TCTGGATAAATTTTTTTACTATTGACTTTTTACTTGTGAAACATCTCATTCACACAGCGACGGCCAGGACTGGGGCGAACGTAACCTACCGGAAGGGACTGTCCATTCCGAAAGTGAGCCAGGTCCGGATGCCGGATCATTCTCCGTCCGCCATAGGCCGTCCGCTAGTTAAAAGAAGGAAGCAAGGGAATCTGAAGCGCCTCGATGTGCCTTGTCCCCGGGAAACTGATTGGCATTCCGTGTGCCTGGGTAATCAATAGCGCTGGGTCTGCTGATGAAATCAGAAACGTGGCATGCCTGTTGTTCTGCCCCGAATTGTTGATAGCGGACGTTGCACTGGACGCACAAGGTGTTCGCGTTGCGAGACAAGCACAGCTGGTTATCGAATTGCTGAACAGACAAGCCAGACTGATGAGATGCTCCTATTTATTGAGACTATGATAATGGTAGTATTAGATCTGACAGTCCGATGCAGGTTCGTAGGCGAACGGCTCGCTCGCGCACGATCGGGTGCTGAGCTAGTACACTGCGGTCTGGAAGATGCATTGCGCGGCAGGCAATCTAAATGCTGCAGAGCTGGGTGCTGGGTACCGATTTCGTGAATGTTGCACACTTTTACACGAGTTACAAATTCGCTTGATCTGACCCTTTTCGTCGACTGGGACATTACGATGCCAGATGTCGCTCGTGATCATGGCAAAGAGGGAAGGGAAAAAAAAAAAAACCTTTTCTCCCTCAAGGTGGCTTTGCCACACCTATATAGTATGTCGTACCTTCTGTACAAGTAAGGTATGAGCATGCGCTTTATCCGTACTACATGCCGAGTCAGTGGAATGCGTTGTCAAGTCAGTCACCAAGTCAGTAATAATATCATAGTGGCTGTTGACTACTGTAGCTCCCCCCCTGGACGGACAGGCAGGTATAGACCTTGTACGACACTGGATCGCACATGTAAAGTACCTACTTGGATGGCTGGGCCTCACATGGAGCACACCTGTAGCTACATAACCCCCAAATTACGAGTGGCATGCCAACATGCCTTCCTCCCACCCTCTTCGTCGTGTTGTGGGAGAGCCAGTCAAGCAGTCGCCTGTCGATTTGGGGGTGATCTAACGCAACGCGACAACCTGCAGGGACCCCTAAGGTAGAGCGGACTCAGCATTGGAGGACACTGGCCAAAAGCCCTGGCCAACCTGCCTTAGAAACTGGGTGTCCAGCAGCATCTTCAACACACCCTACACCGACTCGACGGAACCCGCCAGGAACAATCCTACCCTGGGCGCAGCGACTCAAGCCCAAGTGGCCCCCCGGCCCTGGCCGCGTTAGTGTACTAGGCGTGTAGTGTAGTACCTAGTAGCAGTAGTAGTAGTAGTTGTTGTTGTTGTACTCTGTAGAAGGAATCCAAGGGCTCTTGGACTTTTTGCTTAAAAAAGTAAGTCAGGGATCTTGAGCCAGGGGGGCTTGGACAGATGAGAGGGAGAAGGGGGAAAGAAGGAAACAAAGGGCAATCCACTTGTTCTTTTTTCCTTCTGGTCTGCACTGTCTGCCTGTCTGCTACTTTTTCTGGACCCGTTCCCTGGAGGAGCCCCGGTAGTGTAGCTCCATCGAGATACAGTAGCTCAAACGCCACGACCCCCAGTGCGGCTAATTAAAGCCCGCCCATGGCCCATGGACCTGGGTTAAACTTACAAGCTGTGAGAAGAGTTGGAATGCACGAAGAGGCAAGTTGGGTTATCATGATGAGCCACGAGCGCAGGAACAACAGGAGCAAGCAGTAGAAGGAATGGGCGAGTGTGAGCATTTAATGACGATAATGAGGTAGCTTGATGCCCCAAAGATTACTACGTAAATACGTAATCACTCGATATGAATGACCATTTTATCAAGATACCTTACACCACATTGTGCTTCCCACCCACTTTCAATTGCAGTCAGCTCAAGTACCGGCTGACAGCATTGTGCATGCATGCATGGCAACGGAGGAAACAACGTAATCCTAATTGCTGCGTCTCGTCAACATCAGGACGACCAGGTTGACGACACCCTCACACACACACTTATACACGAAGAAGAAGAAAAAAAAGTCGCTCTCGAGCAAAAGAAATACAATGAGCCTGTTTGCACCATTGCCACTACAAGTCCAAAGTCTGATGAGATGCTCAACGATCGATCTTTTCCCATATACTATCCATGTAGTTACAGGCAGGCTGCGCGGGCAAATAGTGTACTTCTGCAAACCGCCAAGAAAATGTGGTGGCTAGTGGTATCGCCCTCCAACATGACTAGAGGTAAGACTAACACAGGGTCCGATTGATCATTGATGCACATCAAAATCCAAAAAGTTGCATGCCTGCCTACCAACTACCCACGGCAGGGCCGTCGCCTCTGGACGAAAGCCAGTGGCCATCCAGTCATTTTGGGGTTTCTAAAAGTAACATGGCCTTTAAAAGGCTAGCCGATCGCTCAGCAGAAATCCTATCTCGTGTGCATAGCGAACCGTCTCAACTATATCACGTTTTTGTTCTACAGCTAATGTAGGGGATGTCTAAATATGCGTCTGTTCCGTAGAAAGGTACATTTTAGCTTAGAAGGTAGGTTATGCGGGCACGTACATGGCTGCATCGCCTCGAGCGCCCAAGAAAGAAAGAAGAAAGAAAAATCTCTTTCGCACATACACGCACACACACTCGCACACACACACCACTCAACCACCTTTGCATCGCCGCTCATCTAATCTAGGGCACACCCTCTTTGAGTACTTCCAAAGTCACATAGGGATTGGATGTATCCGCGAGCGCAGTCTAATGCGTCAGTTAGGGGAGGTAGGTACCCAACTCGAGGCAAAGCCAGTATTGGCGCTCTATATCCATCTCGCTCGCGGCCGCCCTGCAGCACATGGCATCCGTCATCCCTCGTGCCCTCAGTGTTTTCTTTTCGCCCTACCTGACCTACCTAGCTATGTACCTACATGACTGGAAACTGACCAAAAGCGGAGGGATGAGGCATGCCTGGCACGCTGATGCACGCCGGATATCAGACCAGCTGGCTAGCGCACCTGTCCAGGACTTCTGCGTAGTGGTACTACTACACTACTACACTACATAGAAGAACTATGCCCACACACCCACTCGCCTGCGTGTAAGAGGAGGAGCGGCCGAAAAGCGCCCCCCTTTCTCGTCCACTCGCGAGGCCGGCAGCAGCAGTAGTCGAGTCTCTTGCCTGACACTCGCTGGCCGACGTGGGACTTTTCTCAGGCACTGGCTGCCCAGCACACCCGGCCGGTGCGCTCAGCGTTCCAGGTGCCGCAAGACAGGCTGCTTGCTTGCCTCTTAGCTTGAGACCACACCGTGGATGGATGGATTGATAGAGGTACCTAATGTACTGCCTACCTACCAATGTCCATGTATGCACATCCATTATTACTCTAGTAGGTATTACATGGCGGCGACTGACAGACCTTGACCCTGGCACCTGGACCGCTGCTGGTTGGCGCGGGCGGACCACCAGACATTGCACCAGAGACAGACAGACAATCAGCGAGGAAAAGGGAAGAAAAATAATATGGATGTATCGATGTACCTTCCTAGTTACCACCATTTTTTTTTTCTTTACCTTTTACAGGCACTAACAAACTAACTCTGTCTCCATTTGGGACTCCGTCCGCGCAGCCTGGGGCTCCCGAAAAAGCGCAATGGGTGGAATTGCTTTGCGGGCCAGCAAGCACGGGTGCCGTTGTTTGGTGTGGGCGTGCGTTATGGCGTCCGCCGCGGCGCATTGAAGTCTCAATGCTTCGAGATTCTCATTTCCCACGCAACTCATCAGACCATGTAGCTCACATCCACACTGACTGCACACCCCTTAAACCGCTGCCCCCGTGGGTATCTTGCTAAATTGGCCATGGCGGTTTGATTACTGCTTTTAGTTTTAGGGATGCCCTCCCCGTAGGATTGCCTCTTGGTCTTTTCCTTTTTCTACCTCTTCTTTCTCTTTTTATTTTCTTCCCTCTTCCCTCTCCTTCCCATTTTGCCTGTTTTGTACGTACGTACGTACATACATATACATTACATACGCTCGCATATCAACACCACTCAAGAACAACAAACCCCCAGGTCCTCTCTCTTGACGAAACACCACCGTCAACAACAATAACAACAACAACAACAAAAAGGCATCATATTACCATAATCAAGAAAGGATCCCGACTGTCCTCGTCCGTTGCCTCTTGCTGCTCCGGTCAGGATCTTTCTGCGGTCGGCGGTTTCCTTTGTTCGCGCTTGCGTACACACTCCTTTGGGTCCAGACAGCTCCCTTGTCTGAACGCTCCTTCAAGCATATCTGCAAACATCTAGTCTTGCTGCTACACACCGGGAACTGCTAGTTGCCCAGTTGCCTGCCTGCCTGCTTCTGCGCTTGCTTGACTGGCCAGACTAGACTAGAAACTAAACTGACTTACGACTGTGTTCGACTTGCACACGTCCAATTGTATGTGAAGTTCCCTTCCGAAGCCCCCAGACCAGTCAATCAATGTGCTTGCCCAAAGAAGTACAAACCCGCCTTCACCCTCGATACATACCGCTCTTCGAATCACAACGAAGCTGCCTGTGCATCCTAAGCGCTGCAAGTATCCGAACAGATCATTCACGAGACCTTGCTTGTAACCAGACTTTCTCTTTGCACACTCAAAGAGAGCTGGCCCTCGTTTGCAATTACTCAATTCTTATAGAAAGATCAACTCCCCCGTGCTGACCCACCTTCGACAGTAGAGAGCCACACACTCTTTTTTTAATAATTGTGAACCACGGCATCCTTCCAGCTCCTAGACGGCCAAATCCAGGAGTTTCTACCATTGGAAGGTATTGGAAACAGATACAGCACGTTTCCGTCCATAGAGCTTCTCGTTACGAGAGCTCTTTCTCTCTTTTGCTGAGTGCTTGGGAAAGTAATCACATTGTTTGCCGGATCAATTAAGGGAAAGAAGAAAGAGAAAGAAAGAAGCAAAGATGGCCGACCAAGGAACGGGAGGTATCGAGAGCAGGAGGGACAGAAGATTCTCAGAGCCGAATCCGAATGCACACGAGGACCCGACAATTCAGCAACCAGCCAGCCAGGTGGTCGTGGAGGCACCAACACCCGAGACAGAAGAGCAGACCCCTTCTCACGCAAATGAACACCCACGAGGTCTTTCGCAAGCAGCTGCCCTAACACGGCAAGACTCGACGGGCTCGAATGCTTCAGACGTCAGTTACTCACGGACATCCAGTAGCCACAAGGACGGTAGGAGGCGGATCGCTCGACACAACACAGCAGACATGCGATCTCATGCTTCTTCCTCCAGGCCGCTAGAACCACCAGTCACCAAGGGCACTCTGAGTGAGTTGGATGTGCAAAAGATTGTCCACAACCCCAAGCTACGACACGATATCAACTTTGACCCCGAGCTGCACTTCCGGCCCAATCTTGACGGAGAAAAGGGCAAGAGGAAACAGGACAAGGCCAATCAGTTCTGGAATACTCTTCGGCTCCAGCTGGAGCAATTCGTGGCCAATCCGATTCAATTCCAAGAGCAATATCACAAGCGAGAGTGGTGCTTACCGCTCTTGCTGAGGTCGGTGAAGGAAATCATCCAAACATTGGTCCCAACTCGAGACCGTGCCTACCTGGATGAGGGGCTCAATGTGGATCTGCTCATGCAGCAATTCAACAGGGGTGTTGCCGACTTGGAGAAATTGGCGTCGTGGTTGTCTGGAGTCCTCAAGTCCCATTGTGCTCCTATGCGGGACGAGTGGGTCGATGAAATGTACAGCCAGCTCACCAGCGGAAATCGCACCAACAACATGGAGGAGCTCGTTCAGGGCATGCGCAGTCTGCTTAGTGTTCTCGAAGCCATGAAGCTGGACGTTGCCAACCACCAGATCAGATGTCTTCGGCCAATCCTAATTGAAGACACTGTTCACTTTGAGCAAAAGTTCTTCAAGAAGAAGATCCAAACCGGCAAGCTCGAGCCATTCTCTGCTCAGCAATGGTACCACGCCGCCGCCCGCGACTGCGTTCCATCGCATGACTCCCGTGCTTCTTTTGGAGAGATGGCCGTCTTCTTCGAGGGTCTTTCCAAGCTAGTCATGTTCTCTCAACCCGAGTCCGTTCCGAATACCTTCCTCTTTGACGAGGAGCGGATCCTCAAGTTGCGTTCCGACATGCTCGACGCCATCAACCTGGAAATCTGTATGCGGCTGTTTGAGGAGCTCGAGAAGAAGTATCGACAACCCGCCGTTCCGACTCCTTTCCTCTCGACGCCCTTCTCAGACGCTCTAGGTTTCCTCAGCACCGGTTCCGACGACGAGTCAGATTTCAATTTCAATGCTTCTTCGAGACCTTCAAGCCTCGTCTTCTCCGTGGCTGGCTCGGCTAGTTCATCTCCACGGTCGTCGGTTATTCTCCCGAGCTCGATTCCTACGTCAAGCCCGGTTGACTTGAGGACAAAGTCAAAGAACCTCTACAACTCGCTCACCGCCCTACTTAGCACATCTCCTACGACGACACGCTCGAGCATGAAATGGAAGGCCATGAAGGACTCGTTGGCTCTGCAGATCTTTCGGTTCACGGATGCTCCCCAGGAAGTTCTCATGCAATTTGAAGATGAGTTGGAACTACATCTCAGCGAGCCCGAGTCAATGCTCTTCCAGGAGGTTGAGCAACACTTCCATGCTCGCCTAGTAAATGAGCTGCAGAAGCGTGTAAAGGAGTTCAAGTGCCACACCGGAGTCAACCTTTTCTCAGCAGCCACGGGCGGGCGCGCTCAGGGCCCCAACCGCACTGCGGACCGTGATGCCACCGACAGCTCGCGCGATGCACGCGATGAGGCAGGCGTTGAGGACATGGCCACAAGGTTGACACACCTCGGTCTTCTTCATTGGAGAGTGTGGTCGCCAATCGTCTACCATGCAGAGGACGCAGATGTGGAGATGGACACCAGTGCTTGAGGAAAATCACCACTCATAACTCTCGAATCGAGCCAAGCTCTTTTAATACCACTCAACCCCCCCAAATCAGCATCCAGACTTTGATTCATCATCATCCCGGCGATACTTGGTCAAGAAAAAGCTGGACACGTTAATCTATGAGCGGTTCGATCGACGAGCAGATCCATGGTTTCAATTTCATTCAAAACATAAAACGTCATCAATACCCTAGTCGTACGCGACGCGACTCTAATCAAAGCATCCATTGGTTATCTCCTCTTTCTATTTTGCACTCTTGCGATATTCATTGGCATCACCAGGGGTTCAGGAGTATCTGGTTCAAACAAGGTGTTCTCTTTATTCGGTGGAGGGGGTAGAGCACACACACACACACACACAAGCGCGGGAGAGAACCAGATTAGATTTGCCATTTGTATTTCATGACAGAGAGAGATTCTTCTTCTTTTTACAAGGCGTTGGGCGAAAGTGATTCAGCATTGGGGGAAGACAAAATTTTAGGAGCCCGCCTCCCCTTAGGAGTCTCTTCCCGGACGGCGCATTTCTAAGATTGGGCTGACTGTTTCTTGTTCTTTTTCCCTGGGGCCTGAAGTTAGATATCCCATAGATGAACATATTGCATTTTCCAGTTATCCACATCTGCAAGTCACCAAAATTAAGAGCCTTTGCTTGTGTTGTGCCTGCCTGCCTTTCTCAATAGTCTATCACATATGAATGACTTTGGTGGCGTCTATCTATCCATTCGCATGCGTTACCCGAAAAGGAACGCGGGCATAATACTGCTTCGTTCACGGCAGCATCTGAGTCGAAGCCGCCTGCCTTACCCCATGCCTGGAAGAGGATCCGGCCCCTTGGCGGCTGAAGCCCGTATTGGATGTCTCGGCTGAGACTCTTAATATATAAGAGAAGAGAGTTGCTTTCAACCTTGTACAGTAATTGCCAGCGAATACTGCAGACAGCTCTTTTTATGTGAGTCGCCTCACCCAATTTGTTAAGGTTGCATCGAAATATGCAAACAGGCGAGAAATGCTATATAAGTGTGGAAATACTGTACCAATACGAAAATACAGGGACAGTTTCAAGCTTTGCTTTGCTAGTTCGTGCAACATGGGATTATTATCATTTATTCTTGTCATTACTTTTGCCCCTCCCCTCCCCTCCCTCCCCACACGTGTGTGATGTTGCTTCTCTTTGGTGTACATTGCAGAGATGAATTATCCATCTCATATTGGCCGGGCGTAAATATCATGGGAAACGGCTGTATAACGTAAGATTGGCGGAATGCAGAGGTGGAAAAATACCAAGGAAAAGAGAAGACAAGCAGACGGCTCGGTCCAAAATGCGAGTAATATAAGCATGCCCAAATTTGTCAAGACCTGCATTTTGCGTAGATTTAGTTTTGTTAGCCTTCTCAGAGTGCAAATGATTCTCCTTCTTTCTTTTTATTACACACGAGACACACGCTCATGCAAATATGCAGGGGCTACCAAGAGGGAAAGAGGAAAAGGTTTTGGGGGGGGTTGGGAACCCGGGGACATGGTGTAGGCGCATCATGCATACATATGCGGCTCGCGGGAAGGAAAGGGAAGGCAAGGGAAGGGGTAATAAAAAGGGGAGGGGAGGGCGTATCCCGTTAAAGGTGTGTGTGTGCCATGTGTGGGAATGTGGGAGTAGGGGAATAGGAGGGTACAAGGTAGGATTTTTGGCTGACGGTGGTTGTTATTATTAGAGACACGCATATAAGCTGCAGCAAGGCAAAACATAGAGATCTACTTTAATCTTTTTTTTCTTCCTTCCCCCGGGTTTGTATTTTGCGAACAGACATGAATGTACTTACACATGCACATGCGCACACACATGGTCAGAACTCAGGAAGGATGCAGCACACGGACGAGACACCGAAATGCAAAAGGTTTAAAGCGCATCTCCGGCCGGAAGTGCCTTGCTCCTCTTTTATTGCTTGCTAGTGTTTGTGACTCGTCTGCGCGGCTGCGGACGGGCTCGCTCAGCGTGCCGACATAAGCCAGCAAGCAGCAGCAGCAATTTACCAAGATTTGGCCATGGCGCAATCTGTTCATAGTGCCTATCCTGCCTCACGAAGTACAAAAGAAACAAAACATCTCCCATCTCTTGCATCGGGCCCGGTATAGGCCGTGATGAGTTGTTCTAATATCCTCCCGAAACTCCCCGCCACTTCCCCCGTGACCGCTGGCTTGCTTGGAATTACTCAATAACTATGAAAACAAAAACAAAAAGTGGAACAAAACAATGGTTGCGAATTTCAAACGGTATCTTGTTTTTTGTTGGTCTCCAAATATCGAATTGAGGTTTAAGGATGGCCCCAAAAAAAATTATGATTAGAACCGATTGTTGTCATGGTACCTTGAATATAAAAAATACACGGATGGTTGCACGCTCTTAAAATTGATGAATGATCACAGCAAGATAGCTAAACGGAAGGACATTTTATCTCAAACATCTATCATCTGTTCATATGCCTGCATGTTTCGTACACTAAAGCAAAGGCTGGATGGTTCCGATGCAGTCTGCATATTGATATCGCGTTTTGTTATCAAAGATAGAAATTGTACCGAGAATAGACGTCGCATAGATCAGTAAATGATCATGGGCTGAAAATGGAGGTAGTCGCTGAAGGCGTCTAGAGATCGAGTCCCATCGCAAGATCACAAAGCCGCATCAACATGGACATGCTCTGAGTGATGCAGGTCTCAGCGCTCATGGCTGCCCGGCTCGATGCAGTCAAAGGTATCGAGATTGATTTGTAGTGCTCAGAGAGACGCGCAGAGCATTCCGACTTTGATCCTCCTTTAGCTTACCAAAAGACAAATGAGCAGTCGTGCACAATTCGAAGAGCTGTTTTTTTGCGAGCAGCTGTTCTATGACATTGTCATGGCAGTATTGAGTCATATCAACGAATGGAATGGTCCTGCAGAGTCATGGGTTATGGACAAACCTGTCATTCTTCGGTATAGTATTCACCAAATGACCTACATCCAAACAGGCCGAGCCTCACGTGAATACGATCGTTGCCAAAGTCTTGCCCGGATGCTTATATATGCGTCTGCCATGGACTGAGCATCCCCAATATCCAAATTTATGGCATAAAAGTCCTTGGTCATCATGATTATTATCAACGGGCCCGTCTTAAATTGTGAGCAAGTGCTGCTTTATATATTTGTATTCCCTTGTCCTCTGCTCTGCAGTGTCACTTGTCACAAATCTAAGCTGTTTGTGACTATCTTCAAAGATCCCTGGCTAATGCTTATATTTGATAGCTGTTTGCGCAAGCAGTGAAACGGGGGAATTGTTTGCTATGAATCCCACTTGAAATACTCAGATAATTGCAAATCACAATAGTGATTATTATACCCCTGGAGTCATATTACCGCCCGATTGGCCGTCCTTTGCCATGCTATACTCCCAGTAGTGGGAGTCTCCCACTATTGCTGTACCCCACATTGAAACTAGCGGCGGGGTCTAGCGCATCAACTTTATCTGGACATTTGCAGATCTAAAAGTTGAGCTGCCGAAATTTTTTTTTTTAACTACGTACCTCTTACCTGACCTTGGCCGCCGACTTACACGCTGCCGCCATCCTACTGTCGCGGCGCATCACGATGCACTCCCTCGTCCAACCCGACGCCTGGGTCGCTCTGAAACTCCCCAACGGAACTCTCAGGGTGCTTCAGGTGACTCCAAATACGTAAATATTCCTATTTATTGTGCCCCAATGCAATGGTTGTTTGGTGGTTTAGCTAACCCGCCGGCACCTACAGAACCATTTCCCTGGGCAAATACGGGTCGTTCCCAAGCAATCTGATCATCCAAAGGCCGTATCATTTAACATACGAGCTCCAATCAAAGCTCGAATCAGAGAACTTTCACCGTCTTCGCATTGTACCCGCCTCAGAGCTCTACGCGGATATTCTCGCGTCCCGCGACTCGTCCAACTCGCCCGACTCTCCCACATCGGACCCCGAGGACGACGATGAAGATGGCGCAGACGCCGCTGTGACCTCGGGTGCAGAGTACACATTAGTTGATGCGTCTTCTGGCGCTGTGGTTGCCAAGTCGGACGAGACTGCCGTACTCAACGATGTTGCGGCTGCTTCTGCCACACAGACTCTCAGCATGGAAGAGATCGAGGCGCTGAAGAAGGATGGGTCCGGCGCCGGTCAGGATATTATTGCGAAACTCATGCTGTCGCATACTGCGCTCGACCAAAAGACCGAGTACTCGCTCGCCAAATACAAGCTGCTCAAGACCAGGAAGTACATCCGCCGCTTCACCGTGCTGCCGATGGACGTCCCTCTGTTTGACCACTGGCTCCTTGAGGAAAGAGACTCGACAAAGATCTTAGAGATGCGCGAGGAGATGATTGGCCTGCTTGGGTGCTGGGCAAATGTTCATTGGGGAGGCGAGGACGACCGTGAGAACGAGGCTGAGGATGTCAATGACGATGAATCCACGGAGATTGATAACGCGCAGGGTCGCTATCTGGTGGTTGATGACACTGGAGGTCTTCTGGTGGCAGCAATGGCTGAGAGACTGGGTATTTTATATCCGTCCGAGAAGAGAGGATCGCTGGACGAATATCTAGAGGCCCAGAAAACACCACAACAGCGAAGGGAAGAGCGAAACCGCACAAAGGCCGCCATTGAGAATGATGGTGTCACGGAGGATCTAAAGCAAGAAGAGGACGAAGAGGCTCCCAGGGCACAGCAACAGGAGTCTGAGGTAAAGATTGAGGAGACGGATGAGGCTCAGCCAGAACCCGAGCCAGAAGCTGTCAATGATCGCACAGAGACCAGCAGTGCACCTAAGAAGTACCCTTCTGGTTCCGGAAAGCGTGGAGATGACGGCGTACCATATGCCAAGTCGAATACTTTGACATTGGTCCATGCCAACTCGCAACCTAACCTCAGCTTGCTCAAGTATTATGACTTCGACATCACGAACCCTACCCAGTCTCTCGACCATCCGCTCGCTAGGAATCTCATGGCCCTCTCATGGCTGCAATTACTAGAGCCCACCGCCGACACCACATACATGGCAGAGCCTCCGGCGGTCTCCTCGGATGAGCTCAAGACATGGAAGACGAATCGCAGAGCTAATTATCACCGAAAGCGCCGCCGATGGGCTCGGGTCCGTCATATCGTCGATACGGCGCGGGCAGGCAGCTTCTCTGGGCTAGTCGTTGCCAGCACGATGGATCCGATATCTATCATGAAGCATGCTGTACCTCTCCTCGCTGGCGGCGCACCGATTGCCATCTACTCGCCAACCATTGAGCCGTTAACCAAACTCGCTGATTGCTATAGCATAGCAAGGCGCGGCGCTTGGATATCGGATCCTCCTGAGGGAGTGGCCGAGAAGACGCCGGAGGAACTTGAGCACTGGGGCGGCACAGAGGAGTACCCGCTGAACCCTACCTTGGTTCTCGGAGCCGCTCTACAAACGAGCAGAGTGCGCAAGTGGCAGGTTCTGCCGGGTCGTACGCATCCGCTCATGACGAGCCGAGGAGGTGCTGAGGGATACGTCTTTACAGCTTGGAAAGTGAAACCGGCCGCGGGCAAAGTCGAAGCACGAGGCAAGGGACTCCGGAACAAGAAGCGCAAGGTCGGCGAGTGAGAGGAGCGCGGCGCCATAACAAGTTGTGAATAGAATCATAGCGTTTCGCATGTGAGAGAAACCTATACTAGAAATCAGAGCTAGCTGCATCACTTCATTGATACCCCTGGGAATATGATTGATTCCTCCATGTCGCATTGGCTCTGAAATCTTGAATTCATATGTTCCCTACCTATGAATTTGGCGCTCTGTACCATCTTGGCTGGTTTGCTTCGTCTCGAGATCTAAAATGCCTACAAGCTCTTGCCCATGAACTTTCTCTTTGTGAAACTCAGCCACCACTTGCTCGGCTTGCCATCACCACCTTCTTCGTATACTCTTGCCAATAACCTGCTTGCCAACTCCTGTCGTACTTGAGAGAGATATTGCCGCAACTGCTCAGCATCCTGTCTGTCTCGTGGCGGCTCGTACATCTGCAATTGTCAGTCAGCCTCGTTTCTTGGAATGTTGCCCGCCCCTTTTCCGTCCTTCTGAGATCATCTGCAAACACCCCTTTTCTGATCTGTTTCTTCCCAAGCGCTAGTTCCACTCACCTGATTCAAAGGGAAGCCCGGGTCGCCAGGGATAGAAAAGTTGAGATCTAGTGCCGTGTTCATAACCTCCTTCTGGGCCTCACGAACGCCATGGCTGGGTCGGATCTTGCTGAGGACCTCGCTGGTGTAGAGGATACCATAGATGAGTAGGCGATCGGCGGGTCCCTGAATCTCAAAGTTGCGGAAGAAGGTATTGGCGCGGAACAGCGACAGGACCTCGTCCAAGATGTCATACGAGTCTGAGTCCGGGTCTGGCGACTCGGAGGCGGCGAGCGGCTCCGAGGGCGGCGGCAGCGTGTAGGCCGGGCCCCTGGTCTTGGTGCGCAGCGGGAGGAGAGGGAAGTTTCCGATCAACCGTGGAGGGTTCGGGTCCTCGTTGAACATTGAGTTGTAGGCCTGAGGGGTTGGAGGTTAGCAGCGCTCTATATGCATCCTGTCCTGAGTAGTGTTTCGACTCGTCACTAGCGAGCATCTGGGGCCGGGCAGATACCAGCAAAGTAATCAAGGGACGGGGCGCAACTTACTGGCATCCTGACAATGATTCGTCGAAGCAGTCGGCGATGCACTGGCTGCCTATCTGATATGTTCAATTGCCGAGTCTGAGGGGGTTATCGTGTATCGTTGGTCAGCTTCGTGGAGGGGAGTTGAGCTCCTGGGTAGTGTGCTGCGATGATGCTCTACCTTAGTGGTGTGGAGGGGCTGTTGGATTGCTACGCACTGCGACTGCGCCCAAAGCGTTGTGCCTGCCTACGCTGCACCTATCGCTGCACCTCTGAGTTAGGGGGGCAACTGTTAAGGAGGGACGTCACTCGGCTCAGACTCAACTCGATGGGCCTGAGCTGGGTTGGGCCAATTGTACAATTATTGGCTTGCACAAATGGGCATAAAGATAATGCTTTGTGGCCTCTGCACAACTCACCCAGACGCCACACAGTCCAAGGTGTGGTCAGCACGGCTTAGGCAGCCACATTTCATTACTCATTTGTGCCATCTTGCACACTCTATTGGCCGATGCATCAAAATCCGGACACACGACTTTGTGGCCACCTTGTCTGAGCAAAAGCCGGTTTTGATGGGTTCTAGGCTTGGCAATCGGCGATGGACTGTGTGTGTGACATTGATCTGCCAGTTGCCAGTTGGCCGAGTCCCCAGTCCAGTGTACACTATGTGGCTGGGGACACACAGATTCTCATGGCCCCACTGTTGGAAAAAAGACTCCTTCCCATCGAGTCATCAATGATTGGAGCCTAGCACAGGTGTCAGCCAAGGATGTGATCGGATTGGAAGCAGGAACGAAGCTCTCTCAACAAGTCTCGTGACCTGGCGCTCAACTCGCGTGAGTTGCCCCAGCTAGCGTAGACCCGATTTGACCCACAAGCCAGTTAAGCCGCCCACAAAGAAGACAGGCTGCTCTTTTAATAGGTGTATTTTGCCCCTCCCCCAGTCTTGGTGCCTTGACACTTCTCGTCGCGTCTACCCTTTAACCACTTACCCCCCAACGCCTCCTTGTTCCCTTTGCCGCCCACTGTTGGTGATCGCGCGTCTCAGCATCGTCCCAGTTATCTGCTGGGTTCAAGAAGTCGTGATCGCAATCTTTACAATCAAGTCTTCAACCTCTTTTTTCTATTCTGATAAAATTGGCGAGTTCTTGATAACTTTTTCTTCTTCTTCGGACAAAGGCGCAGACTGCCTTTGCCTTGTACTGGCGCTACGGACCCCCGGGCGCGTCATTCGCCATTCCCACTTTTGACTGCCAATCTCGAATGACAATCAAACTGCTTGTCAAACAGTAAGTCGCTTTGTCGCCCCGCGCGCGTCATAAATACATATTGCCATTTTCGCCGACAAACAGGGATGCTGACCACTACATCTAGTAGAGTGCAAACCCGCCAGACGCATGCCGCCGCGGGTGCACGATCAAAAGATCATCACATTGACATGTCCACCGCCACAATGTCCGTCGCTGCAGAGGCAGAAGGGAGCACGAGCAACCGCTCCAGGCGACCTCGCCGCTCTCATACTGTGCCTGATCGAGGCTCACTATGGGACGTAATGCATGATCACCAGGGCACGTCGCTCTTTGTCTTGCCTCTGTGCTGGACCGATATGCACACGCGACTGCTTGGTTGTCGCTTCGTCCGGCAACCGTCGCAAGATACTCCTGTGCCATCGACTCATTCATCACCCAGAACATCGCCGCCAGCTTCATTAACGCTTGTCGCCATCGGAAGAGATATTGACACCCTCATGACTAGAGACAACCCACGTAACGTCGTGCCAAAAACTCGAGCCCTGAGAAACATCATGTCAACTCTCTTCCCGATTCATCTCGGCAAGCCCAAGGCGAATGCAGAGCTCAGTCTCAGGTTTGGAGGCCGCCTCTACCAGAAGGCTGCCCGCGCACAGGTACTCTGGAAGCACCATGACGCAACCATGTCTTTTGACTCTGCCACTACCTGGACCTCCAGTCGCAACACCAGCCAACTTCTGGCGTCCATGAGCGTTAACATTGCCAGCGATGCCCCCATCTTGGCATATGTCAGCAGAAGCAATCTCAACCACATCAGGCATAATTGCTTCCGGATTGTTCAGGGCCCCAACAGGAACCCAAATATACCAGTGCATCGTCTACAGACCTTGAGATCAAAGAACCTGGTGCCAAGCAACTTGGACGAAGACCCCTACTTTGTTGCAACCGCAATCTCCTTGGCACAGCAGCATTTCTACCCCGACGGTCACCGAACCAACCAGATCAAGCAAAGAGACGTCACTGTCCGCTTGTTCACGATATCGGAGGAGGACCAGGCTTTTATTGTGTACACCGCCAAGATCTCTTCCGAGTTCCTGATGATGTTCCACTCGCCCGAGTCCAATCCAAAGCCCGATGCCACGAACTTTAGGATCGAGTACAAGCACGTCCCCGTGTGGCCGATTCTGGGCCTCAAGGAGCGGCTCGGTCAGGCACTTGGCGAGGAGCTTGTGGGAAATATCGATCCCCTGAGCATGGAGACTTTCCCCGACGATGAAGAAGAAATATTCCACGTCAATGAGCTTACACCTCCGAAGCGCAGGCTTGATGATGTCTTCTCAGAGGTTTTGAATGCCAGCTTCATTGAAGACCCAGAGCCAAGTAGCACAGAGGAAATGGGTGTCATTGGTAAGAGAAGGTGCCTCGAAGGTAGGGTCGGCGTTGTGCGGTAGCGACACACACACAGCACTATGGATCGAGTGGTCGAACGGGTTGCTGAAACGACGTTAGGTGAGGAGAACGTGGCAGAAGATGCGCCGAAAGATGAAGAGGAAGAGCTTGAAGAAGCTACAGCAAGCGAAAAGTGGCATCGTTGGGCCAAGACCGCTGCATTCAAGGCCGAAAAGCAAAGAACATTCCGATGATTTTCCACGACAGCAACACAGCGGGCCTCCAACAGAGACTGATGGAGAGATCGTGTCTCCGATCACTCAATTAAGCTCGTTGGTAGTGCACAGGGTCTATGATAATGAGACACGACCAGAAGAAGAAAGAAGAAAAAAAATGAAGGAATGAAATCGGGTTCAGTTTTGATGTTTGTCAACTAGGCGGAAGGCGTTTAGATGCACGGTACTGCATCAGGTTCATTGCAAAAGACGGTCTGCTTCACCAGCAACGGATGGCACTTTGATCCATGAAAGAATGGTATTTATGTATTTGCGGTTCTCGGGGATAATGGGATCGGGGACGGATGCCCGGTAGTAATGATCTGATGGCTGGATTTGCAATTGCTTGAATTCCGTGTGCCCCTCAAGACTTTTGATACCAGGGCACAACTACACCCCCATGAATTCTTGGCAGAGGGGAAGATAAAAATATGAAAGAATTGATAAACATCATCAATTACACATTTTATCAGCAAAATGCATGATTCAGTGATCACAATGATGGTATCATTAGCTTGGACAAATCATGTGCTACTCGATGTGGTGTGTGCAAGGCAATAACTCTATAAATGCTCGAGGTTGGGTTGGTCCTAAAAGTCATACCCATACCCAAACCTTCAAGAAAGTAAAGTGACGCCTAAGTCGGCATGGATCGGCCGCACTGATCTGCCACTCCTCGCGATTGGTTTGGGCGTAGTTGAAATGGCTAGGTACGAGGTGTTCATATATTGAATTGTCGTGGATTTAGCGGCGTCCCAATCACTAGAAAACAACCAATGGAGGATGGGGCATATAGAGTGCTGACTGCTTGGAGACTGGAGTTAGCAGATGCCTATTGGCCCGCTGCAGGTTGATTTGGAGATTATTGCGACTACCGACAAGTTTGAGGTCATTTTGACATATCGTGACGCACATATCCAACCCCGCGCATGGGAAGCGGCCGGCCTAGCTAGAGTCTGTATGCAGCCATTTCTACTTACTAGAGCGGACTATAATATTATTTCCATATATAACACCTGGGGCAATGATCTGACACTTCAAATTTTTACACGAAACTCAATAATTCACCGCAAGACCTCCTGACGGCAGATACTATACCAAACATCATCAACTGGAAAACAAGCACGAGATAATGTCTCTATACGGACACGAGCAGGATGAGAAGCGGCGCAATCAGATGCTCGAGCAGACACCAGGCGTTCAGATCTACCTGCAGCCCATCGCTCCTCCAGCTGCTCTCGGACTGGCCGGGTTTGCCGGCAGCACTTGGATCACATCCAGCTATATTGCCAACTGGTGGGGATCACCCGACTCACCCACCATATTCTTCCCATTTGTGGGAATCTTTGGCGGCCTGGCGCAATTCATCGCCGGCCTGCAGGGATTCAAAGCTCGTGATACTCTGGTGACTGTCATCAATACCATGTGGGGGAGCTTCTGGATTGCCATTGGCATACTGTACGCTTTTGTGGTAAGCTTATCCTTTCTCTCAACAGGGTCAGCCTGTCGCTCAACAGAGTGCCGTTATTTCATCGAATCATTGCATGCTTATACTGTATTACTTTATAGGCTGCAGGTGCTCTGCCACCTCACTCAGTTCACACGCACTTTCCCGAACTCGCCAGCTGGTTCGTGGTCCTATGTGTCTTTACGTGGTCCAGTGCCCTGGCGGCGACGGCGCGTGACGTGGTGCTGAGCGTGTGCCTCTTCTCGCTGGCCGTCGGCAGCACCATCGCGTGCTGCCTCTTTGCCTACAATGGCGGCACGTCCCCCGACTCGGGCTCGGGCGACGGCCTCAGCGGCGGCGTCACCCGCGGCATCAAGGCCGCCAGCTACTTTTGGATGCTCAGCGCCCTCTGCGCCTGGTGGCGCGTCACTGTTTATCTGATTGAGGAGGCCTATGGTCCTGGACATGCCATTACCCGCTTCTTTGTCATTGGCCGTACTCCGATGGAGCGCCGGGCCCCGTTGATCATCCCCGGCCTGGGAGAACCTGGTGTCAAGCGTGGTGTGCCCAAGCCTACTCCTGTGTAGATGCCCTTTGATGCTGGTTTTGATAACTTTTTACCAATAATGGGATTCCTGTGCTTGACGATTTGACGAGAAGAGACTTACCTGTTCAGTATACGCTGCGATATAGTATATGTATGTAAATTTCTGGGTCTAGAGGGCTTGATGTTCTGGAAATCATGCCCGAGGTAGGATGAACTCACCATACGATTGGATTGTGTAAGCAGTTGTCGTTATCAGTTCACCATGGAAATTTAGTCAATCAATGATTTGTAGCGGAAAGGAGCAGTTTGTACAATGTATGGGAATCTGGGCAGTTGGCCGTCGATGTCCGAATACCGTCCGCCACTTGAGGTTCGATATAAAGCACTCAATTCTTTTACTCTTTTGATAAGACACGATTCAGACCGAGCCGAGGGCCGAGAAACTATGTCCGTTATACTTCAGTGCGACTATGATGAGACATGAGCACTTGACTGATTGTGGTGATAGTCGTGATCTATGGTACTCATGCTGCGGCGTGCCAAGTATAATAAGATAGGCCATGCCGGCGGTCTCCGGCGCTCCACTTTCAACAGCTAAATACTATGGTCGAAATGTACTGGAATAAACTTGATTGAATGCCTTGCATTATTTCATCATTTCCACGAATAAACCTGCAGCTATATGATACGCGAAATCCACGTGGCCATTGTCGCCAGATGCAACTCGACAGCGTAGCGAAGGAGGGAAACGTAATGGAGTTGCAATTGTCCTTGCTTATCCGGCAAGACGCAGTCCGCTATCACATGAAAGGTCGCATCCCGCCCATCTCATTATTTCAGGGGCGGAGCCAATACCAACAAGCGAATCTGCCAAGATCGCAACCCCCAGGATCCCGACTATTTAGGGTTGCTGCCGGTGTGGATTACCTACGCTTTCAGGTAAAAGCCAGATCAGGAACGTGCTGTAGATTGGCCAATTCCACTGGCTATCCGGATGAGAGACAGGGACCAGCATGAATCTCAGCCCGGAGCCGCCAATAAACTTATCTTCTTCTTCCAAGCAATTGGGCTCTCTTTTGTGGAGGCGCGCCGCTTTCTCCAAGGACGCCGTGATGGCTTTGGAGTAGCCAAAAGATACGAGATTGGCCAAGTTTTTCTTTTCTTTCGATCTCTGCATGCCAAGACGGACAATCATGATGTCCATATATATAACGGCTACGTCCGCCGCTGGTGGTGGCGCGGGGAGATGATGGTTGTGTCGTGCACCGATCATTCCACCTCCCTTCCCCGACCTTGACCACTGGCCGACGCAATGAAGAGCACAACCTCGCTATCGTGGCTCGCCACACTTCTTGCCAGCGGTGCAGCGGCCGTGACAATTGAGGAGATCAACGGCAACAAGTTTCTGTCGTCATACAATGGGCAAAGCGTCACAAATGTGACGGGCATTGTGACGGCAAAGGGCCCAAGTGGAATCTGGATCCGTTCAGTCGAGAAAGGGACAGATCCCAAGGTGTCGGATGCCATTTATGTATATGGCAGCGCGCTGGCCTCGAATGCTTCAATTGTTACGGGCGATGTCATTGTGCTCAATGGCAAGGTGAGCGAGTACAGATCCGCTTCCACCTATCTCTATCTCACCGAGATCACCTCGCCAACCGTCACTGCCATTTTGGAACATGGCCAGACGGTAGAGCCGCTCGTCATTGGTGTCGACACCCTGAGCCCGCCGACGGGAGAATACACCAGCCTTGACGCAGGAGATGTTTTTGCTGTGCCCAACAATCAGTCTCTCATCTCGGCCGTGAACCCCGAGCTGGATCCTGAAAACTACGGACTGGACTTTTGGGAGAGTCTCGTCGGCCAGCTGGTGACAGTACAGAGCCCCGTTGCCCTTTCAAAGCCAAACCAGTATGGCGATCAATGGGTCGTTGGCTCCTGGGCGACGACGGGAGAGAACGAGAGAGGCGGACTCACCATTACCAGCAAAGGTAACTTGTTGTGACCCAAAACCTCCAGCTTCAGCTCGGTATGTAGCTAACATATTTCGCCAGATGGTAACCCGGAAGCCATTCGAATCACGGATCCTCTTGACGGTACTGACAATCCTTCCGACAGCAAGCTCGGAGACAAATTTGAGGATATTATTGGTGTTGTCACGCAAGTCTATGGATTTTATCACATTCTGCCCCTGACCAACATTACCGTGATCGAGTCATTGAGCCCGGCCTTGCCGGATGCAACAACCCTGACCAGCGACGGTGTATGCTCTGGCCTGACTGTAGGCGACTACAATGTCGAGAACTTTGCTCCCAGCGACACTGCCCACGTCCAGGACGTTGCTGCGCATATTGTCGACTATCTGCTTACTCCCGACCTTCTCTTCATCCAAGAGATCCAGGACAATAATGGCGAGACGGATGACGGAGTTGTCGAGTCGGATGTGACCCTGTCCACCCTGACTGCCGCCATTGCGGAATTGAGCGGCGTGACCTACAACTACACCTACATTGCGCCCGTCAACGATGAAGACGGTGGTGCGCCCGGTGGAAATATCCGCGTTGCCTATCTGTTCCGCCCCGACGTGCTCCAGCTTCGCAACCCCAACCCCGGCAATGCGACTACCGCCAACGAGGTACTCGCAGGTGCAGAGCTACTGTACAATCCTGGGCGCATCGACCCGACCAATGCGGCCTGGGACTCCAGCCGAAAGCCTCTGGTCGCTGCGTGGGAAACTCTGGATGGCAGCAACACCTTCTTCACTGTCAACGTGCACTGGGCTTCCAAGGGTGGCAGCTCCTCTATCCAGGGTGACGCACGCCCTCCTGTCAATGGCGTCGTGGCTGCTCGTCAGCAACAGGCCGAAGTTACTGCTGTAAGCTCCTCACTCTTTTCCACTGTCATAGTATATCAAGAATCACGTTTTACTGACTGCCCATCGTACAGGCATTTGTTGCACAGATCCTCGCAGAAGACCCCGAGGCAAAGATCATAGTCGCTGGAGACTTCAACGAGTACCCAGTCGTCAAGCCGATTGAGGACTTCCTGTCCCTGTCCGGCCTCCAAGATCTCGACGTGGTGGCAGGCATCCCCGAGGTCGAGAGGTACACGTATCTCTACGACATGAACTCGCAGGAGCTGGACCACGTCTTTGTTAGTGCCGCGATTGCCGGTGCCTCCACGGCGCCGCAGTTTGAGCACATTCATGTCAACACCTGGGTCTCTTATGACGACCAAGTATCAGACCATGACCCCAGCATCGGTAAATTCGACCTGTGCAAATATTAAGCTAGTGTTATGCATTGTACTTTTGTTCATAGCTTTGTATAAATTGGAATATTTCGAGAATTATAGCATTGTCTGATTTGTATTCGAATAAAGTGAAACTGTTCTGGTCAGTTGATATTATTTTAACTACACGAGATCTAGACCTATTCCTCCAATTCAGAGACTCTGGACAATTTTTTCTTCTCAGCAAAGTGCTTTTCATCTTGCTGTTTTGCCCCAGCCCTTTCCCATTCCGTCTGGTCTTCTGGATGGGAATATGAACTCCGTATATCGGGCATAGCATTACTATTGTACAAAAGCCCGATTAATGCAAGAGGCAATCTGCCAAAGTCGTCCAAACTTTCTGCCCTGGTTGGATCATTGAAAATTCGATCCGGGGAAAAAAAAAGCTCAGAGGGAGAATCGCCAGGGTCTTTTCAGCATATTCCCTTACGGTTTTAATTCTAATGGATTGTGAAAGAGAAAGATGGACGTGTAATCAAAGTGATTAAATAAACACTTGACCAGAAATTTGGACAGATAAGAGCATTCCTAAATCAAGCTTCAAGCTTTCTGGGGAAAAGAAAATACTTGATGGAGAAACGTGGACCATGATTTTCTCCTGTCGAGTCCGATGCCCTCTTGGAACAATGAACACTCTGTATTATTGCCGCTACTACAAAAGTTTTGCCTGTAGTAAGGAGACTGTCTTGCTTGGGGGTTGGCAGGAGGTTGCATTTGATTCCATGATTGGTCAATACTCAAATCTATAATGAAGCAAGAGAGTATCAACAATAGACAAGTATTGGAACAGCCATGATTGTGCTTTCCACTCTGTGAAGAATTGTTTCGAACCATACAGGTAGAGCTTGTGAACAATAGAATTAATGAACGAATGAATGAACGGTCTTCCGTGATTGTGCCCATGTGAAAGAAGACGCGTTCAAAATGGGACTGACTCGTTGCTTGGAAAAAGTGTAGGAACGGCACCTCCAGGCGCGTGAATAGAAACTCTGGCGTTGGAGGCCGTTTGTCGATATCAAATCAGTCACTTGAAATAACTTTGATTGTTGCCGTTTGAATATTCAATCAGCTGGCCGTTTGGTTTTCTTTTAGTCAACACCACAAAAGTTGTCACAACCCTGTGCTTGCAACTACCTACCCCATCACACCAGACCACACTGTCGACGACGCCATTTCCCTTTACACAACAAGCCCTCAACCGACAAACATAACAGGGTCACCCATATCATCTCGATTCTCTTCCATCGTCGCCATGGCCAGCGATCCTGAGAGCTCTTCGGAGCTATTGTCGATCAACAATCAGGCGTCGCCGCGAGTTTACACCTCTCTCCTTCTTTGCTTCGGTCTAGAGTCCGATTTCCGCGATTACGTTGGTCTCAAGAAGCACCTACAGTCGTCTCTTGATAAGCTCGCCGAGACCTACCCCCTTCTCACAGCCCACCTCTTTGCCGACGCCAACAATGGAGTCGCATCCCTCACGACCACCAAGGGCGCCAAGATCCCCTTTCGAGTAGTCCAAGACGCTACCAACAGCTCAGCTCAGTCCTATGATGAGATGAAGGAGGCAGGTTTCCCCCAGAGCCTGTTTACCCATGAAAGATTCGGCCGCGACGGTAGACTCAACGCCGAGGGAAAGCCCGTCATGTACATTGAGGGCATTATTATCCGTGGAGGCATGTTCCTCCATTGTGAGTTCCACCACGCCGTCTTCGACGGACGACTCAAGAGCGAGTTTCTAGGCGCATTTGCCGCAATCACTCGTGGCGACGTTCACGACACTTTCTTGCCTTCCAACCAATCATTCCACCACACTGCAGCAACAGCCATTGCCCCGTCGTATGCTCACTTTGATGCCCTCTTGGAGGAGTGCCCCGAATTTGGCATGCTTGTCGACAAATCGGGTCCCACATTTCACTGCTACGACAATGAGTTCCCGTACCGCAACCTAGAGAAGACTGGCAAGATCTTTACAATCAACCGCGCACGCATGGGTACTCTACAGTACATGATCCAGGGCCAGCTGGCCAAGAAGGGCCTCATTGCAAAGGACAAGAACCCGTCAACCTACAGCTGCCTCGCCGCTCTTGCCTTTATGTGCATTGTCCGCGCCCGCTCCATCGCCGAGCCCTTCAACAACCGCGGCAACGGCCAAGACGACACGGCCATCATGCACCACGCCGTCAACTGGCACTCGCGTGCCCTCAAGAAGCACACCAAGAACTATTTTGGCGTGTCGACGCTGCCGGCGTTTACGGCCATCAGCATGGCCTTTCTCAAGGAGTCCAGCGGCGATCTGAACGCTCTTGCCTTGATCGCCGACTTGGTCAAGCGAGACACGGCACAGGTCGACGATGACTATGTGCACAAGAGACTGAATCTGTTTCGGCAAGTAAATTTTTTTATCTTTTATTTTCTCTCGCTTTCGCTTTTTTCTTTCTCTTCAAGTCGAAATCGAGAAAAATTCCAACTTCACTTTTACTTTTCTTAACATTCCAACTTCTCTCTTATTTCTTTCTCGGAATATTCTTTTACATGTGTTTTTCGAATGTCGGCAAGAAATACTCATACCTCTCATATGAATAGATCTTCGCCTGACCCACGCCTTATTGGCGTTAATTACGACCCACGTTCACCCAATGTCATTGCCTTCAACACCTGGCGCCACTTTGGTGGTAGCGATGACTGGGAGATTCCCGGCACCATCAGTACCAGGCCCGACGCCGTCCGCCGAACCCTGGCCGGCTGGGGCACACACAATTGCCTCATTCTTCCGCAGACCGGAGATGATCAGGAGATCCTCGTTCAGCTCCCCGAGGTCACCATGGAGGTCCTTTGCAAGGACCGCAACTGGTATGACTGGTTCGAGGTCATCGAGTAGTGGAGAGGCCAATGTATCTCGTCGTATTTGAGGTTTCATTTGAAGAGGAGAAGGGGTAAAAGGGTCTTTGACTAAAAAGGTCTCTTGCATAAAAGGCGTTTATGGAAACAAGATACCCAAGGGACATTTCACATGGGCGTTGACGATGATATACCCAGCAGGCATGCATACAAGCGTTCACATGGAGGGAATCACAGCTTCTTCCTTCGCATAAACAGGGCAATAATACATGATTTGACGTTGATCTATGCACACTTCATTGTTGTGATGCATACAATCAAGAGAATCAGAGCTACTGACCATAAAGGGATAACCGTAATCGTGAATTAAGTAGTAGGTAACTGTGCTCGGCATTCAAACATATCACTCGACAGGAAATGCTCAACCCATCGTAATGCAGCTTATTGCTATAATTTTTAGTATCCTACATCTCAATGCTCGTCAAGCTGCTTCTGATGCCACCATGTATGGAGCCCCTTGACATCACACCAAGTAAACTCGACAGGATCGTCAAACCACCATCTGGTACCACTCTTGAGCTTGTCACTGGCATATTTCTTCAGACTACCGCCGTCGAACCGGTGGTTCTTGACCCCAAGCAGCAAAACAACGCTGCCGACACGAGGGGTAAAGTCGTGCGCGTCGAGGAACACGGTCAGGTGGACCTGCTTTGGTGTAGACGGGTGCGCAAGCCGGGCCACCCTCTGGCTGAAGGGGGGCAGGGGCGAGGCCTGGACATCGGAGATGGAGGCAACAATAGCTAGGACATTGGTGGACCAGTTCTGCTTGTACGGCAGGTTGGGTATCGCGCGCAGGGTGGTGAGCTTGAGAGGCTTGGTTGGATCCATGCTGGACCACGGCAGCTGGTCTGGATCGACGGGTACCGAGTAGTCGGACAGTGAGGAAGCTGCCCTTGCGGCCATGACTTCGGCTCGCTTTTGGGCTGATCTATCCTGGGAAACCTCCATGACTTCAAAGAAATCGTCGTCTTCGTCCTCCTCGGCGGCATCCGCTACTTCTCTGAGAAGGTCCACGTCGGGATGTTGCCGAGGACGAGCAATGCCCTCGGCTGACTCTGGCTCTGGGTTCGGCTCCGTCTCCGTCGCGACTACAGCCTTGACCTCAGCCTCCTTGGGTATGCCGGCGTCTTCTTCGGATGCATGCTCAGGCTCAGTAACGGGGCCCACATCAACCTCTTCGGCATCGAGCATGGCCAGCAGCCGATTGTTCCAGCCGACCGTGATCAGATTAGTCACGGCAAGGTAGACGACGCCGGCCGCGTTCTGGTGGTCGCCCACCATCTTGCCCTTGCCCTTCTCATGACTGTTGCCACCGCCGTGCTGCTCGGTAACCGCACGCTCCAATGTGAAGCTCTCCAGGCTGACGTAGGCACCTGGGGCGACGTCGCCGCGGTCGACATAACTGTGCATATCACCAGCGAGCAGAGCCTGGATACACAGCTCGCCGTCGCCCAGCAGCAGGCGCATGCCGCGCCATCGATTCTTGGACCGGTGGACAGAGGATGATAATGATGATGATCCAGCGCGAAAGGTGTCGACGCCCTCGACCAGAAAGATGGACCCGGGGATGCAGTAGCGCGTCCGGAGTATGTCGGCGACCAGGGGCTTGGGGACAAACGGGTCCGGGGTCAGAAAGGTTATCTCGTCCGGGGTTGGTAGCGGCAGTGGTGCTACTGATGCTGCTGCTGCTGGTGACTTTGGCTTTGGCTTTGGCCAACGCGGATTGGCAGGCGTCGGGGACATGAGTTGCTTCTTTTTGCGGCAATCATCGTACTGCTGAATTTTGAAGGCTTGTTGTTTGTAACTACCGAGGACAGAGATGATTCCAGACAGTTTCTAGATTCAAGATTGCATGAGGTGCCGTTTCATCACAAGCGAGAGCGGCTCGTCGTCTCGTTTTTCTGTTGTACGGTTTTGTGCTGTTTTGTGCTGATCAGAGCTGGATGAATTATGATGTACCAAGGTGTCGTCGAACCGCGTTGCAGTCGCGTCTCGGTTGGGCCGTTAGCGGGACATCCTATCAAGTAATCCGATGTTTGCATCCTTCTGCAATAACAAGCATGTAACCCAAGACTTTCGTGGTAAATGAGTATCATTTTCGTTGAATTACCTCCTGTTTAATTAATTTTAATAAGTATTTGTTTTGGGAAAATTAATTGTTAGGCATGTGACAAATCAAAGTGTAGTGGCATTTTATGGGGTTAAGTGAACGTTGCCGTCGAATGCTCACAATGGCTAGCGAACTGTTTTTTCCTTCTTTTCTTTCAGAGCTCCACCGTCTTTATTATACGTACTATATATCGAATCGATCTAGTATCACCAAAGTGTAATAGTGATTCATATTACGAATCGCTGGCAGCACATGTACTTGTGAAAAAGTGCGAAACACATGATCAATCATACTGGCGTACACCAATCTTTCTGATCTGCATCTATTAATTGTTCGGGTATCATTCCCAGAAGCAATATGGGCTTCAGAAGCAAGCACATACAGCCATTAAACTTTGGCAATAAGAGCCATGAAATGTGGATTTATATCCTGTACGAACCATTTCTTCTTCCTAGTCGGTGAGAACTGGGCAGGGCACCGGTCTACAGTCAATATTTGTGATGCGGCGAATAAATGTGTCATTCTGGGACAGCATACTCAGAAGCAATGGAAGCCATTTCAGTGGAGAGAAACGTCACGCCGAGGATAAGATGGTAAAACAACAAAAGGACTTTTGTTTATGGATAGTCAAATCTACGTACTCTGTTTGCATGCTGGACTGTCGACGAAACCGACCCATCCTCCTCCTGAGAGTATACCAACCAGATTGCCCTAGATCACCATTCAATGCATTACAGCATCATATTGGCATGTTTGATCGCGTATAGTTACTGATATCTGTTGGGTTTCGAGAGAATAAGAAACAATATACAAAACGGTGGCCCACGTCTGGTGACAAGATGGAAGGCATACAAATTGCTCAAAGACCAATCGGGGCGACTTTTGTGACGTGATTACTTTCAAGATCGAAAAATGGCATAGATGATGATGATGATGATGTTATAATTTAATTGCTCTTAGTCTTGATCTGCCGTTCGCTGACCGATTTCTTCCCTCCCAAAAAAGCCACTGCATATCCTGCAGGATCAAACATTCTCCTTTGGGTCACCATGACAGTTTTAGCATAAAGCTCGCAAGCGAGCTTCAATAGATATGCACTTCCTCATTCGGCCCGGCCATGACGGATAAGCAAAGTCGTCAGCAGGACCGACCTGATCGGCGCATATTCTGTACACCGTCCGAACCGCTGCTGCTATTTGGGTGACCTTAGAGGAGAGTCAGCTTTTGCTTCCTCTTGTACGACAGGTCTCAGTCTCAGCCACATCCCTGCGGGTTCAGCCCAGTCTGGCTATACACCGTACCAAAAACCCAGGCATGACCTGCTAAGACATACCTATAATAAGTAATCATCTCGACGTGTGCCAAGCAGGGAAGATCGGCCCCCTTCCCGCGGGCGTTGGACATGGATCAAGGTAGCACGTAGTTGGGAAGGACGCATGACAGGAGGATGGCGTAAGACTTGATGCATTCTTCTTCTTTGCTTTGCTTTACTTTATTTGCTTTGCGCAGCGCAGCGCATAAGCCGCGAGGCAGTGTACAACTAACTACTACCTAGGTAAGGAAGTTTTCGACTACCCGCGCTTCACTCTGAATACGAATTCTCTGCCGCGCTTCCACAGTCGTCTAGCTTTGCCCTGCATTTTCCCTGGTGGCTGGGCCCAAAGTTTCTTCCCGATTTTTGGTCTAGATTTAGCACCTTAGATTCCAAAGTTGCAAGCGTTCCAGTTCCGATCAGCCCAGTCTCGAGAAGGAAGGAAAAAGATGCGCGACAGCCGCAAAAGATCTGGCTCCATGGTTTCAAGCCATTGCAGCCACTAGAGCGGCCCGGCGTTATGCACGTCACAGCGCGCTTCCGGCGTCTGTCGATGGATTGATTAGGTAGCAAGTAGTAAGGAAAAAGGAAGACAAGATCTGTGTGAGACGGTTGTGGTTATTTTTTTTTTCATGTGTTTTTATTTGACATGCTTAAGTCTATGTACAACGATAGATTCCTGAGTTGGCCGTGTCCCGCTCCGTCTCGAGCACTTCGATGCCGGAGCGCGCCAGTCCTCAGGTTACCGGTGGACGTTCAATCCCAACAATCATAATTCAATGGCTTTCAGCCCTCCCGCAGTGGTGAGGGCTTTGTTTTCCCTAAACGTGTCCAAATGCATTTGTACAAGTTCCGTGTGTCCAAGCCCAAAACGTAATCTATGCAAAACATGGTATCCGCCTCCTAAAGGTCTATCGTATACAACAAAGACGTTTCGAAATGAACAGAGCTGGCAAGCACATGGTGTGTTGTTGACAAGATGATGCTTCGTCCTTGTCAATGCTCCTTGTGTGGCCGCCAATCAAAATGCTGTGTCGTGTGCCGCCGCCACCGCTGAACTCCGGACTCGCCGTTCGATTGTTAAAAATGTAATGAAAAGTGTGATCGCGATATATGCGAATTCGAATGTGTTTGTTTTAGTGCTGTTTTACTAATGAGCGGCTGGGGTCGATATTAACTTTTCGTCGCTGGGGCATCCGCGAGGATCAGATGCCCTCCAGCCATGTCGAATATGTGGGTGATTTGGTATATGTAATCGGGAGGCGGCGCCTTTAGGGCAGCCAGACGAGCTCGATGATGCCGTCCTTCTTGTTCATGGGCTGCTCGTTGCGGTCAACCCATCTCCAGTCATCGCCCTTGCGGACATAGATCTGGCTGACAGTGTTGTCGGCGTTGTTGCGAGCCTCTTGCAGATCCCAGCTAATCTTGCGGCCAGTCTTGAGCAGGGAAGGTCGCTGCGGGTCGAAGACGTAGTCGAGGTTCCAGCCCTTGTCCTGGGGAGCAGCAGCAAATGTGCGTTCCATCTGTGCCAGATTGAAGTTGATACCCTCGGGGTACTGAACGACGCTGAAGCTGGTCGAGATGATGAAGTTGTCGGCAGTCTGGAAGCGTTGAAGCGTGCAGTCCTCTCCACAGATGTGGGCAATCTTGGTATATTGCCAAGGCAGGGCGGAGTGCCAGCCGCCGCCCTTGAAGTGGTGCAGAGAGATGGGCTTAATGCCGGACTCGTAAAAGCCAGACGGGTCGCCGTAGAGATCAAGCTGGTAGAGACCCCTCATGACTGACAGGCGCACGTCCGTGTTCTCGTAGATGCACTTTCTCAGGAGGATATCACCCTGAGGACCCCAGCCAGAGTTGGCCTCGCGGATCTTCTCGTCAGTCTTGCAAGTATCGTAGTCGTTTGTGATCTGTGCAGCTAGCGGCACTGACAAGAAGACACCAGCACCGCCAAAAGCCTGCGAGCCGTGTCGGTCCACATTGTTAACATCCTCTGAAAGAGTGCCAATGTAGAGCATCTCAGAAGGATCGTACTGCTCAAACTTCTTGGTCAAGGCGTGTACGCTGGGGAAGAATGTGTCATCATCGCAAGTCACGAGCCACTTCTTGTAGGGGCGCTCGGGGTGGTTGTATAGTGTTGGCACCAGGGTCAGGTAGCGAACAGCCATCTCCATGCGCGAATCGGAGTGATAGACATCGACATCGATTCCGCGCTCATCGAGGACGTTCTTGGCTGCCATGATCTGCTCCTCCTCGGCATCTAGCAGGAGGAGAACCAGCTTACCACCGTTCGAGTTACCCTTGCCGTCGGTCAACCAGTAGGTCCATTCGTCGACTGGGCTCGTCTTGCTAGAGTTGAATCTCTTGAAAGTAGTGGAAACACCAAACATGAAGTCGGACAGGTTGCCAGTAGCGGGGAAGGGGGACTGCGAGACAGGAACCTGAAGGGGCTCCAGACAAGTCTCCTGGCCGTAGCTGCTAGCGTAGTTGGTGTTGATGGGCTTGACGCCCTGAGGCAGAAACTCTTGGCTGAGCTTTGTGATGGACTTGCGGGCAATCGGCTCACGGTTGATCTTGACGTAGCGCTTGAGGTACTCGAAACCGTCTTGCAGATCGTAGGTCTGTTTGAGCTCGTTCATGTAGTCAGGGTTGACGCCGCAGTCCATGACGTGGTCAGAGACGGGAACAACGTCAGCCTCGCTGGCGACGGGAGTATCGCCGCCGATGGGTTGTTGGTAAGTGGAGCCCTTTGTCTTGGGCGTCGCGGCCTTGATTATTTGTGTCGTAACATCGTCGAGGCGGTCAGACCTGAAGGTCAATCCAAGAAAGACAATCAAAGCGACAGCGAGGAGAACACATCTGGAGAAGGGATTTCTCAGAGTGAAAAACCGCTGGTGTGGTGCAGGCATTTTCGCGCCCATCGTACTTCTTCCCTAAAACCTCACTCAATGTTTTGTAGAAAAGACTTGAGGTCAGACAAAGGCGATAGGGGCCGATGGCCACGAAGATATGCTCGTGGGCAAGAACCGGGGGAAAAAATAAGGGTCTGCCTTTGTTCTCGGAGGATTGGAAAAGCGAGAGTGAGATAACGTAACGATGATGTGTTATCCAGATTACAATAGAAGGAGGAGTAGGAGGAGGAGGATTTCGTTTATCCTTGGCGTGGGTGCAAATTCCTTCTCAACTCGCAGGATATCTATCGGCCGACTTCAATGCGAGGAGCGTTCTGTTGGACAGGTATACACAGGCAGACGACCACAGGGGTGGACGGATTGGTTGTTATTGTTGTTGCTCAGCAGCTGGAAGGGTCCGTTTTGCCCAGGTTCCAAGGTGTAACGAACGAAGACCGCGAACCTCGAAAAGAGGAAGGCGAGACAAGAGGGCCCAGGTTGGACGGGAGGGAAGTAAAAACACAAGCTAAACCCTCTGACGAAAGGTGTAGCAGGATTGCAGTGACTGCCAGGAAAGAAAAATGGAAAACAAAAAAAGAGGGCGAGACGGAACGAGCGAGATCAGAAGGTGGGAGGACGTGGGTAGATGAAGGGTTTGGACGACCGAACTGGGTACCTCGAGCTTGGCATGGGTGAAGGAGGAGTCCAAAGGCGCAAAGGGGAGACAAGGGGAACTGAACTGACTGGACATCCGCTATGTGCTCAAGTGTATGTAGTGTAGGTACCTGGTAGTGTACGTACAGGCACACCCGCGACACACACACACACACACACACACACACACAACCTTTTCATTCACACTTGTTGAAGAGACCGGCGGGTGCTACGCTGCAGTAAAGGTACAGGATGTAGGCGAAATGGGCGAATGCAACGGGCCATGGGTGCCCTAATGCGAATGCTCGGTAGGGGGAATTAGATTGGGCCTGTAGGGGAGGGTGGGGCCCTGTCGACTCCGCTAGGCCACTAGGCAAATGCTAGGCCCGTCGACGATTTCTGGAAAAGGGGATGCCGCCAACCACCTTTGATTTTTTTTATTTTTTTTTATTATTTTGGTTGTCCCATTGAGGCTTGCCCACTTGCAGGCCGTGGTTTCGTGCTTGGCACTGCTGCCGCCAATAATTGAGCCGGTTAGCTTTTCAATCGGCTTTTGATCGTCGTGGTGACAAGAAGAGAATGGATGCTTGTGCCGCCACTGGTTCTTCATCGCATCTTGTAGACAAACCTTGAAAGTGGTGGTTCTCCATACTGTAGGTGGTTAGGCCTAGGTCATGAGATGGATAGTAAGGTACCTTGACTTGACCTACGTCCTACAGTAACAGCAACCCGTGAGTGAAAAGATAGGGCGCGCGTACGGTACGGTACCTCGATTATCTAGAACAAAGAGCCAATTTGATCATCAAGACTTCTAGGGCTTCTTTCTCTCGCTAACTGCACATGACTGAACCCTGATGTGATGACTCGTGAGGCTTGCTAAGCTGCACGTTCATCACCAAAAAAAGAGAGTTGCCAGCGTGAGACTGACTTAGTGCACTGCCCTGAGAGGGTCTTGCCTCTCGACAATTGATTGGCGATGGAGCTCTATAGATGTCGTAGCCGATTGCGTATACTGGTTTGACATTCTCAACGCAAGTGATCTATGTAAGGTAGATCTGAACATCCGTCTTACTCTCCATAGATGCACTACCGAATGTACAGATGAACCAATGGCCCACAGATGCCGACTTTCAAAATCGACCTGGATCCGAAAACCCTCCCCCCTCCCCAGGTCTTGAAAGCTTGTATATCTGTGGGATTGTGTAAACGAAACAGCCGTTGTCCTCTGAGCCTGGGACGTGGGCCATAAGCTTATTGGGCTTGTGCCAGATACATGATGGACTCTACTTCACCTTTGGTAGCACACGTCACCACATGATTTTGCTGCAGTGGCTGGCCACTTTTCCGTTATACACCTTAATGATGGCAAGGGAAGAAAACGAAAACCTGAAATAGTACTACATATCCTCACTACAGCATGATGCGTGCCATCTGAACCCACATTTGTGGCCGCAGATGCTCTCGTACAGTATGGGGCAGGTAGGCAAGTATGGAGTATGTACGCGTGCAGGCGAGCGGCGATATTCAAACGCCACTGCTCGTATTGTATTCTCGACGCTTTCGTGGACGAAGAAGCAGTATTTACCGCCGGAACCAGGGTACAGAAAAAGGAAAAAAATAAATTATAGTACCCTGTTTGTAGACCTGAATGCAACCTCACCTCGCCTTGTGGGCACACACATGGCAGCAGCAGCGCCGGGCATTAGGCCAGGCAGCCCAGCGCTTCGTGCCGTAGGTAAGGTAGGTAATGTGGTAGCCCGTGTCATTAAGAAGCAGTCGTAGGAAAGGCTAATAGACTCATGCGATCGCCTAACCTGCACCTCTGTCCGGATCGCAGGCAGAGGGGCCCCTGTTCATAAGATACTACTACTTACCTACAGGCTGCTAATTATCTAAGAAATGGATACTAATGTATAAAATAACTGGTGGCTCACTTTGCCATCGTTGGCAGTGCTGAGTAGCGTTGCAGTTTATAGCGTGGCAAGAAAATCAAAAAAAGATTCCGATTGCCAAGCCGGAAAAGTAGCGTACGCGGAGAGTGACCCTATGATTGGCACCGGGACGAGGTTCCAATTTTCATTCCATTGGTGAAGAGAAAAAAAAAAGGGACGGCCATTTCTGTCCATTTAACATCGAACGAGTTAAGATCGAGCGTGGGCAGATTAGAAACAGCTAGAAAATTTGGCTACGCGTCACAAACCTTGGAGGCTGTTCGATATTTGCTCGACTATGCCAGAGGCTTTGCCAAGATAGGCAATGTAGTTTAGCCTGTGGCTTTCTTAGGTACGGAATACATGAGCTGATAGGTGGTAGTTCACCCGAAATATGGAAATTTCCAAATGTCACTAGAATTAATGGAGACCCCCAATTCTTGGCGGTCTGGATCGTTTTTATCTGCTTGGTCTACAGCGTACACTTTCAATAGCACTTGCAATCAATGAATGCCATTTGCTGCTTGCTTTGCTTTACATTGCTGCTCCTTGAAAAGAGGAATGCAGGCAGGATGACATGATAGTATTACCAAAAAAGCCCAGACCAGATGAACGAAATTCGCGGTGGATATCGGATCTATCTATCTGTTGATTTTACTAGTATATCGTCATGGCTCTCGTCGATATTGTTTTTTTTTTTTTTTCCCTCTCTCACTCTCTGGACACCGCGGGGTTTTTGCGTTGCGCATCGTTATTATAAAATAACCTGTTTGCGGCATGCAAACCAACGACTCGCCCCCCATTTTCTTTGAATGGATACCACGGTTCTAGCCCTTTCAAGGCATGAAGAACGACAATCTCTGTGCAGAGGCCATCTCCGCGAGTCCCCACTCGGTTTCAGAACCTCGAGGCTTTCTGGTGGTCCCCTATTCCCACCATGACGTCGGCCTGGGCTGGGCCAGTTGTCCGTGTGTGTGTCTATGTTGGCTGTGCACTGGGGCAATCGTCACCTTTCTTTGTCGTGGAATTGCCTCACCCAACAGCCAGAGATATAAGATTCGGTAATTTCCAGGCCTCATGTCACGTCTTAGTCTCTGGTTGTATGCTGTGAAGCTATGGTTTCGGCTTCCCGGTAGTTGAAATGGCTCGGACTCGAAGAATCATTTCATCTCCTGTTCTAGGCCGGCGGGAAGGATGCGTTGGAGGCTGCTGAACACACACTTGAGCGCCCCGGCCCCTGCATACAAAGTAAGCACAAGCAGAACGGCGCACTCGGAGCCCTGGCCGCTGATCATTGACCACTGATCGGTTGATGACGACGACCACCAACACTCGCGGCCGCCCCGACTCGAGAAAAGAGGAAGTCAGCCTGTCAGTCAGCAAAGCTCTGCTACACGCGGAGACTTACCAAGCCAGACCCTTGGTTTACATACAATCCCGTGCTAAATCCCGCCTTGCCAATTGATGCTTATCCTTTGGTGCTGTTTTTTTTTTTTCTTGTTTTGCTTTTCGCCTCCTCTTCTCTTCTAGCTTGCTTCTAGGGAATTTCTCGCGTAGACCGACCAGTTTGAGGAAGTACTACACAGTACGTACTTATCACATCACCAACACTAACGGGAAGTGAACCCCCCCTTTCATCAGCAAGAAAATAAAATAAAATAAAATCCTATGCATCCTTTTGTTTTTTTCAGCTGCTAGTATTTGTCAATGGGCCAATTTGCCCTCTGCATACAGCATCCATTCCTCGTTAGCCACAAGAGCCAGGAGATCCTGGGCCATTCCTGGGCAGCGCGGATGAGATGATTGCAGACCAGCACCCATCATTGGCTGTGCGCAGTTATCCCATGGGCCCCCCTGTTGATCTTGAAGCGGTGGGTGGCGGGTGGAGAGAAGAGCCGCCAATACCAGGGCGCCTATGAGGAGATCTCCAGGTTTCGCAGCACATGCCCCTTGCTCCTGCACGGACGGGCCCTGATATGGCACAGCAGCTGTATCGATCAATGTTAATTTAACTCGTTGACCATTGACCTTCTAAACGCGGCACTCAGCTCACAAGAAATATGCACACAAACGGGTCGTGTTTATCTATCTTTGTTCATCTATATGGGAAGCCATTTCGTTGTCATTTAACATACCTCCATGCCACCATTACTACTATTATATACTCCGTCAACAAGAGTGATAGACATATCGCAAGACTTTGATATTCAAAACGACTGACCCCCCCTAAACTACACCGTAGAGCTCGAGGTGGTATAAAGCAACCATGATTAGCGCCCCGCCTGCCTCCATTATACCTACACAGTACCGGCTACATTAACGCATAGGTACGATACATGTAGTAGTGGTGGTTGAATTGACCGTCGACGCGAGGCTACTGCTATCTAAACCTGTACATATGCCTCATTTCCGCTACTTTACTGTTATTTTCCCCCATGCTCTGCATACCTACATCAAACCAAAATCCCAAGTTGAGCAGATTTGAGTTTGTGCAAGCAAAAAGGTATAGGTATACTTTTGCAACTCACAAACTCGGCTGAGCTCAAGGCGACGCTACTGTTGGCGAAGCAGTGCTATTGACGGAAAGATAGAAGACACGTCTCCCGGCCATGAAAAGTTGCGACGAACTCGAAACAGACATGATAGACTTTGCATGCACGACTGACACCTGATGGTACCATGTATGCAAGCCACGGCTCCTACCTTTACACACATATACGGATAACGCACAACAGAGGCTCTTGTTCAGATAATGCGCAAGCCACATTACTACTTGATAGTGCACTGTTAGAGCGAGGGACGAGGATGTCGAAGCGAGGCAGATTTGGTTTTTTTTCTTTCTTGTTCGCAATCAACACGACACGGATTGCGATGCGGCTCGCAAAGACTGCCCGTTGGTCCCTACTGTTACAGTGTGCTGAGGGTATTCCCGGCCGTTGCCGACCCATATAGACAGCACACCGTGGTCTTTCCAATGTCGGTATTTGCCCACAGCAAGTAGCGATCGGCCAGATCGACCGGCGCCAGGCCCCCCGACCATAACTCAAGTAAGGTTAGTTGCAAGAGTATCGCCGGGCGAAATTTGCGCGCAAACTGATGATCATCATCATCATTACTACTTTGTACTATCATGATCGCAGCTACTCCTCCCAGCCAACCTCCTTCACCTCCTTCTTCTTCTCCAGTGGACACATGTACAAAGTATGGAACACTGGGCCAACCAACAACATAAACGGCCTTGATCATTTAGTCTAGTGTATTCGCTCCTACGTGTAATACTTTGTTCCTCATGATACATCATGGTCATTGTCATCATCATCATCCAATCCTTTAGGGGCGGTTTATTTAAAGCAATCAGTGACCTTTTACCTGGTACAACAAGCATTTGCCTTGGGAGACGCAGATATTGTTTTAATCTGCAAAGATACGACGGGCGCCTGGCCGACATGTGCCCCGCGCCCAGACTAGAAGCAATAACCAAATGTGGTAGCTCTTCTCAACTTGAAACACGCACCGAAAGCATCCGGGGAAAGCCATGGGCGCAGCTTTTCCCTCTTCATCTTTATTTCGTCCCAATTGCTCACATGCGTAGGGCTTCATAATTTCCTCTTTGGGTGGAGTCGTTCTCGACCAAGGCGGGTTGGATCATTGGAAGGGGAAAGGAAAGAAAGAGCCCACCCACCACCACCTCCTCCTCCCCCGTAGACCGTTAGGGGATGGCTGTCCACCTATTCCGGGCGGGTTGGCGCCAAAAAAAAAGTGCTTCCTCAACGGCTTACCCGTGGCTGACAGTGACTGCTTGAAATGTCAATCCATTTCCCGCCTTCTGCTGCCACCGAGCACATCATGACCTCGCATTGATAGATCAAATCGTGCCACCGGTCGTTGGTCTTTGGATCGACCCAATGTATCACAAAAGCTGCTTTGGGCGACTTGCTAAGCGGTTCCGAGACGAGACCACCCCAAAAAAGATTGATTGTGTGTTGTTTGTCTGAAGCCCATCCACCCACCCAAACCACCCCATCCCTTCCCATCCATACATCGGCGATAATCTCATCCACCTATTATAAGCTTTACCTAACAGTCACAGCGTTTTCCCGGTGGAGGCTCAGAGCCTCTTTGCGAACCGCGCACCACCGACTTATTGCTTCTCTTGACTTCTGTCGCTCTCTCCAATGTGGTCGTCCAAAGAAGTTTGTCAAACTCAGACGAGGACGTTGTCGATTTGCTTCCCGAAGTAGGTGGTTCCATTAACCCTCCCGATCCCGGGTCTTTTCGCTTGATTTAAACCTGCCTGCGGCTTTTAGACTCGCGTATCTGCCTGCATCCGTCCGTCCCCTTTTTGCATTTGAAGAATATGTCGCCATCCATGTCAACACGGCGGCATTCGATTTCCACGACTGCAGTAGGTTAGAGTTTTTCTTCCGAGGTTTCTGCAATCACTTTTTTTTCCCGTGAGCATGCAGGCCAAGCCAACGTCCCCAAGTTGGCGGCGGCATCTATCCTCTCGTTGGGTTGGATAAACTCCAACATGGCATTTACGCAAAATCGAAAATTCGCACAAACCATACTTTGGACGTGCTTGGATTTGTATTATCACGCTTTTTTTTTTAACCTATTCATACATACTATCGAGATGTGTAGTCCCCTCCCTCCCTTCAAATAGCCTTATGTCCGAGTACATGTATTTTTACAGTCCGGCCAATCGCGTTCCGGGAAAACTGCTGGAGGAAAAGGTCCATAGACACAAATATGGTTCATAACACATGGCAAGAACATGGTAGTACCAGGTTTTCTTACCATCTCCCGTACTTATTTACCTACTTGCATACACACATACATTACATTACCTATCTTGTAATTTTCGCCTCTTCCTCGTGGCTACTTATTCGTTAGGGGAAGCATGTCCACGACTTGCCTTATTCGGCACAGCAATAATGTTGGAGGCTCTCTATTTGTGAATGCTGCATTCTTTTTACAGTATTGGATCGCCAAGTAGCATGTGGGCAAGGCAAAAAAAGATGAGATAGAGAATGCCGTCTTCTCACGGCCCATTTACCCATTCTTGGCAAACGCTGCTTCTGCCCCTTCCCCCCTCCCTTCAAGCCTGGGTAGGTTGCACTTTGTTAATAACCTTAATCGCGAACGAAATCAGTTGGGGGGCGCCCCCCCCTGGGTGTAACTCACTATAGATTCGGCTATTCGCTTAGAGGTTTTTCTTACACCAGGGTTTGTTGGCTCCCGTTTGCGGAAACCGGCACCGTGGATGCGAGTGACCATCTACTACATAATAGATAAAAAGAATCATAGACTCCCCCCTCCTACTTCGTACTGCAGTATGCCAAGCAAACCATGTCAGAGAATATTGCCGTCCTGGGCATTATCTGTTATCCGGACAGCATGGGCCCCCCCTCCTCTCCCGAGTCTATCTCATACCTATACATTATATCGAGGTGATGCAGAGAAATAAATAAGAGAACTGCCGTGTCTGCGATTGGTTGAGTGGTGGGTTTTATGATGCCTCACATGAAAAGCAGTATCAAGAGCAAGTGCAAGCATTTTATCGAGTCGCATCCGAGATGCATTCCACCCTAGACCATGTCGTGTCCAAACTAAGCTTCTCTCCATGTAGGCAGGCTGGCAGGCAGGTCTCTCAGTCTCAAAGTTGAAGTGTCTGCATTGCAGCTTGAGCTACTGCCTTTGCATGAGGCATTCGGGTCAGACAAGAGCGAGGTCATGTCTCTAGTTCTGCCACGTGAAGAGTCAGACATTCATCGCTAGTGATGACAAAACGTGGGAAATTCATCCGTGTCAAGTCTCTCTTTGTGTAAGTCATGATCCATAGAGAGCATATCTTGCAAGCACTCTGATTGCTTTCGAGAATTGGTAGTCGGTTCAAGAGTAAGACAAGAAGACGCGGCGATTCTCACTATCATTTCTTGACGTCAGCTTGACAGAGCCAAGCTCTCGTTATAAAGGCACTACTAGTGTTACTTTCTCCTCGCATGAACGATACTACCCAACTCTGCTGGTTGCTGCGCTACAACTTTGCAGAGATATTTCCATCTGCTGAGAGTTTCGGCCCGTGAACCGAGTTCTCTCCTGCCGTTTTCGAGCAAAGGATGCATATCACGAAAGTTCCAGGCCTTTGGCTACTAGCACTGCAGACGCAGCACCGTCATCTTTCTCGTGCACCTTAAAGGGACAGGGGAACAAAAAATTTACAAGTTCGAGGGAGAGTGTGAAAAAAAAACAAAGGTGGACAATTCTAGGGAACAAAGGCTAAAGAATATTTGATTTGACATTTCTGCTGCTGCCGAGTCTACTCGGTAAGGTTGTAAATCTTCTGGATATCGTGCAGCTGAGCCTCAAAGTCCACCTCGAGGTCCTTGAGCAGACCGTCCTTGAAGCCAAAGACCCAGCCGTGGACAATGGGGAAGCCATTCTTTTGGAAACTCTGCTGAATGGCGGCCGTCTTGATGACGTTGCGGCACTGCTCCACCACGTTGAGCTCGACGAGGCGGTTGTAGCGGGCCTCCTCGTCCTTGATGGCGTCGAGCTCGGCCTCGTGCAGGCGGTAGACGTCGCGAATGTTGCGCAGCCAGGGGTTGAGCAGGCCGAGGTCCTTTGCCGTCATGGCGGCCTTGACACCGCCGCAGCCATAGTGGCCGCACACGACAATGTGCTTGACCTGCAGGTGGCGCACGGCGTAGTTGATGACGCTCATAACGTTGAGGTCCGTGTTGGGCACCAGGTTGGCAATGTTACGGTGCACAAAGGCCTCGCCGGGCTCCAGGCCAGTGATAGCCTCGGCCGGAATCCGCGAGTCCGAGCATCCGATCCAGAGGTACTCGGGCGTCTGGCCTGCCGACAGCTTGGAGAAGAACTCGGGGTCCTTTTCGGCCTGCGACGTTGCCCACTTCTTGTTGTGCTCAAACACACGGTCGTGCGTCTGCTTGAGGTGTCTGGTGATGTCGTTGTCGGCCATGTTGCGCCAAGTGCTACTGCTGCGTGTGCTGGTGATGATGGAAGGTTGTGTGTTGTTGTGGTGGTGATGATGATGTTGTGTAGAAGAAGAGCTGTTACCACCTTTGCTGTGAGAAGAAGAAGATGATGATGAGCTGCAGTAGACGCGGGGTTGGTGCTGCTGGGGGTGGAGTTGTTTAATGACGGCTCTTCTCGGCGTTGAGAGCAGAGTCAGGTTCAGCCTCGACTTGAACATCTGTGTAATGTAAAAGGGAAGGGGCTTCCAAAAGAGCTATCTATCAATTTCACACACAAACAGAGGCAGGATCTTCCCCCCAAGAAAATAGAACAACACAATTGATGCCCGTGATTTATAGAAAGGAGGGGCAATCTGGCTTCTTATTGGTCCCGGGGTTTATGCCTTCCTTTCAAGATTTGTTGTTGTCTTTCCTTATCCTTCTTTTTCCCGCTTTGCTAGAGGCCCGAATTTGTTGGATGACCCGGAAGTGGATTATTATTGAATGACAAGCAATTTTTCTGGTCTTTATCGCGCGCGCGCTGACGTCGGTCACGTCTCGGCCACTGTGGTGGGCGCGGCATTTCCCCCCCAAAGCTGAGTCACAGTACGCATACGGTGCTCTTTTTTTCCCGCCAAGAAGCCGATAACCCCAAAAGGATCTGCGCCCAGCCTGAACTTTGTTGGCTTTTGAGGGGTTTTGGAAATGTTGACATCCCAAGAACTGTTGTTGGAGGGACGAGGAATATCTTGACAAGTCGAGGGCCTCAATCTTATATAAATAAGACAACGATACTATAGTGTGCCATTTGACTATAGAATTGGAGTCTCAGCAAGAGCCCGTGAGTCGGGTCGCATGGTCATGGCCAATCAGACTCAATATTGAGCAGCACCCTGATGGTCCACTGGACAAGCCTACGTCAGAAAAATATGGGTTATCACGCCATATTCTTGCCATGCTTATTGCCTTCTGGCATAGTATTCACTTTCGTGTCAATCATTGCCTAATAAAACATACTATAGAAAGAAGATACAAGAAGAGTATTCGGGAAATAGAAACCATGATTCTATAACGACAGGAGGTATCATCTGTACAGCTAATAGGTAAAACACTCAATCCTTGATTTCCTTTTACAAGCTCTCCCCATCCACAAAACCAATTGCAACGCTCCCAAACTCTCATGTCATTTTCCGGTACGCGTCGTGTCATGTCTTCTGGGCATCCCCATGTCCCATCTACATCCTCATGCTGATTACTTTTCGAGTCGTGAATGAATCGACCTGGGGGCCCTCGAGCTCGGCCGGCGGTGACGACCCCTCCAGCTCGGCCCGCTCCTCTTCAATAAACTCCCTCAGGCTCATGTGGCTGAGCGGCGGCACATCCAGGCTGGTCGTCGAGCTGACCAGACTGGCTGCCATCGACTGCGGCGAAGAAACTGTAGGTTGTGCCGAGTATGAAGAGCTGCCAGTGTACTGTCTTTCAATAACGCTCGCCGCGGGTGGGATACCTATTGTGTGCCCAGAGGCACATGAGATCAGTTTCTGACTCTTCGCGGAGGCTGCCCGAGGACGAATCGTTCCTTGCGCTCATATGTGGGAATGATTTTCCCGGAATAATTGGTAAACGCACCCTTCCTCTCCGCCCCTTCGACGACGTGCTCTTCTTCTTCCTCGTGTTGGGTTGCAATAGGGGAATGTTTGGGGTTATGATGCCCTGTCCTCGACGCTGCATGCTCCTGGAGATATGGAGGTGGCGGCGACGTGGGCGTGATGGGAGCTACTACACTTCTAAGACTAGACTTGCTAGGAGCTCTGTGCATACCTAGAGCGTTTCTTCCAGGCACCATTGGCGTGGCCACATCGCCAGCCGCGTCGGCCATGATACGCCGCGGGAAGCCGCTGATGGGCAGCAGAGTGCTGCCAGATGGGTAGGGTGACGTGTGCATTGCGAGAGACAGAGAAATCTCGGACGTCTCATCCAGGACATTGATGGTGATTGGCTCGAGTTCAAAAACTCCGTGAAAGTGCATATCCTTCAAGCACAAACATGTCAGTAAATGACTTCAACTAAGCATGAGCCGTGGGAGGGCTCCATAAACCTGCTTACCTGAAGAGCTGTCTGTGTCAGCACGATTTGCCGCACCGGCAGCCTCGTTTTGTCCTCCTCTAGCAAAAAGTATGGCTCGAAATCACCCTCAAGGCATGACGCCGATACGAGCAGCCAGCCGAGAGCCTTGAGCTCAGGGGAGGCCTGACGGAATCTGCAGTAAATGGACCCTACTGGCAAGTTAGCACATGATAAACTAAATGACATGACTGTCGGGGGAAGGTCGCGCCCAGAAACATCGATTTCGTCGTACCGGTGCAAGTGTAGCCCTCCTTGGTCTGCTTGGCCGAGCCGGCGTCTCTCTCGAAAAAGAACGTGCTGGCTATTAATCTATGGACAGCCTCCATAACGACAGCGGGATTCCTTCGGATGGCCTCCTCTGTTTGTCGCTCAAGGTCTTCAATCTTTGATACGTCGGCGAATTTGGGCATCTCGGCAAATAACTCGGGGTTGAGACGCATATATCGTGAGCGGTCCTCTTCATTCACCACGTGAAGAGAAATATACTTGTTCCATATCGTATCTCCCTGCTTGTGATCGTTGGATTTCTCTGCACCGGCGCTTGGGTTGTTGAGAGAAATAAGCATGGGTGTTCTCGGATCGCGGTGAAAGTAGCCAGCATTGCCATTCTTCGCCGCATTCATTGCCGAGTTGCTGGCAGCACCACGAACCTTGTAGTTACCAGCTCCGCCCCGTCCCTGTCTCAGTACTGCGTTACCGCCCGGCATCATGGAGGTCGAGGTAGCCGTGACGGACTGGGATGAGCGGCCTATGCTGGAAGCGGACCGGTTGTCACCAACGTTTCGGCCGGTTCCTATTGAGAGGACCAGGTCTGGCTTTGCTTCGCTTTCCCAGATTGCCTTGCTCTCATGGTGACTGATCCAAACGGGACACGCATGGCGAGGACCGCCGTCGATGTATTCGGTGTTTGTCTCGTCCTTGTGGAATGCCTTGAAATACGGTTGAACCGACGTCGTCGCCCTTGCAGCTTCCCAGATCTTGATCTCTTTGGTTGGCATATCTGCGCGGGCAAACTCATATGGAAGCTTCCTATTGCTTGGATCTGCGCGGTTGTAGTTGGCGAAAATTATAGGCTGGTGCTCCATGGACGTGGTAGCTGTCACTGCCACCTTCAGGGATACATTTTGGCGGGACCTTGTACTGACACCAAAGAAGGGCTGATCAGAGAGATATCTCTTGAGAGTCTTGGCCAATGGCTGTGTCTTGTAAAGACTGCCGTGGTACAAGTTTGAAATTAGGCCAACAATTGGGACGCTTTGCATTTCTCTGGGTGTGAAAGCCTCGAGGCACATGTCCTTGAACTTATCCATGGTAGCTTGTACCGTCCACTTCTTGACACCTAGACCAATGGCTATGATGCCGCCCGTGTTGGAACCAACAATAAGGTCAAAGAAGAGCTGGAGGGGCAGATCGGGGCCAAGTATTCTTTCCATCTCGCGGAGCACGGTCAATTGTACGATGCCCCGGATACCGCCACCATCGAGAACCAGCGTACGGGTGCCAGCATGAGCAGGCTTGGTGTTGATCACCCAGGGCGGGCTGCAAAGGACATCCTTGACGTGTAGCGGGCACCGACTGATCTCAATCGTAGTCCTGGATGTCTTGGTACCATAAATCTGGACACATGGCAAACACAGCACGTGGCCACAGGGTAATGCGCACTCGGGAAGCTCTCGAAGACAGCAAAGACATGCCGAATAGCTGATAAAATCTGTAGCAGCTCCGAGTATGTTAGAGTATTGCTCGTTGAGCCGTTCGCGGTGGAGGAGGGCAGCAACTTGTAGTTCAGGCATGTCGGGAAACTCTTGGCTCAGCCTAAAGGCGGACGACTGCAGCTGAATAAGACTCTGCCGGATGGCATGATTCCAAGATGGTGCGAACTCGGCGGGATCAATATCAGACTGGTAGTCACCGTTGCCGATGATCTTGCCCTGAAGGTTTTGGTGACCCTTTGGGTTGTGACCTGACCGTACATTGCAGCAGCGTCCCATTTCACCGGGGTAGTTTGGGTTTGTATAGGTACACGGCCAATGCATGTCGACAAATGTCTCCAGAGCCGCGGTGCATGGCTGCGCATATCTGTCATCTAGCATGCGCGAGGCAGTACCCAGCATGTTTTGCCGGACGGTGTCAAACATGACGCAGGATGCGATAATGGGCACCATGGCCCGGAAGATCTGCTTTGCATTGTTCTTGATCTTGCCGTTGCTCGTCCGGTCGCGAATGGCGAGGGCCAAATTCAGGATGTTGCCCTCAAAGTTCCTTGCCACGGGACTGTGGCGGAGAGTCTCCTTGATAAAGTCAAAGGGCGTGTCGAGGTCGTTGGTGAAGTGGTCAAAGGCTGCATGGAGGTAGAATTGGAGCTTCTCGGGCGTTGCCAGCATGCGCACTCGCCTCTTGCGCAGGTGAGATAGCTGAGCCCGATCTTGGATGACCTCTGCCAGCTTGCCCGCCTGCTCGTTCATCAGCATGTACTGGCCCTTGTAAGGAATTCTGATGACAGTGACGGAGGCATAGTAGCACTCTAGCAGTTCCTTGGTGCTGGTCACGACTTTGCCTCGCTTACGCCACTGCATAGCATAGTCCTGCACAATCGGCTCGCGCGTGACTGCCCCAGCAATGTCGTTCATGAGCATCTGGGTGGCCACAGTTGGATCCCACTCCTTCTCGTCGATACCTGGCTCGGTGGCGTTGAGCACAATCACCGCGTGTGGAAGCACGGGTTGGTTGAGTGACTTGTCAATCGATGCAGCGCCCCATTTCAACAGCTTTGGTAGTACTGTCGACTCAAATGAGCGAGGACTCCTGAGCACGAAGACCACGACATCAGAGAAGGTGTACAGAATGCGCGGATAGAGCTGCGCGACAGCAAATTCTCTCTTTTTGGTGTTTGGCGTCTTTGCCCAGTTGATCCGCCGAGATTGGCTCGTCTTGTAGCCACTGGCAAGGTCTTCTGCGCGGTGCTTCAACTGCTTGGGCAGCATCTCTCCACCATTAAGGCCCTCGCAGTCGCAGAGAAGCAGTGGCTGACTGGTGTGGATGGTCGCCGGGTCTGCGTACAAATGCACATCTCCAGTTGTTGGAATGTGATCATGTGTTGACGAAGTCACTGGAGAATAAAATCTGGATCTCTCCATGGTCGTCATGTCTTGACGATCTATCAAAAGTTTGATCACCGTACTCTTACCCGCTCCTAGAGGACAAGTGTTAGTCACTATGCGACAAGATGGCCACGCTCATTCTGCCGCGAATGAAAGCTTTGCATACCTGTTTCACCGATAAATGAAGCGAGTTGAGGATGGCGCTCGGGGATATCCTCGCTGGCCGAGTCTGCCATGATGGCCCCAAACCTCCCATAGTCATGGAAAATGGGCTGGCCCGTGGGATCTCGACCGAAGCCGAACCAAGACGTGTCCTCATCTTCACGAAGTTCGGCCTCGTGCTGGGTTTCTGTGCGAGAGGGATCTAGAATCTCTCGCATACGATGCAGCACGAACGGATCAGCCTTTTCGTGCGGCTTGCCATTCCTGGGTACAAGAAATATAAGGGTCAGCTTTCCAATATTGAACTGCGTATAGTCAATGCCGCGAATGTCGTGGATTGTATACTCACCAGCCCACCGATCCTGGCACATGGAGAACCCATTTTGGCCAGCAAGTATCGCAAAAGGCAAGATTGTTGCACTGGATACAGGTATATGTCCTGTTCTGGGTGGTGGTACAGGTCTGACAAGGCTGCATGGCGGGAGGAGCTACAGCCGCCATTATTGAGACTTCCTGGGCATTACAGTATAGCACAGCAGGCAAAAGTCACCAAGTATGAGCAGTCTGTATGGTGGATGATGGGATTCTTGTTACGTTACTTGTACGTAAAACCACGAGAATCGAGGGAAAGAGATCTGGGGGATCTGCCGGCGCGTCCACTCTTATTTCAGCCGCATTGTAGGATGGGAGTTACAGTAGCACGAAGGACGGGAAGGGATGGGAAGGGAAGAGTGGGTGGGGTGGGATCCTCATCCTGCAGGAGGCCATTCCTGTACCTTGGCCGTAGGCAGGCTGTCTGTATGTCTGCTTGTCTCTTGTTCATCTACCCACTGACCGATCGACCAACCGACCGACCTACCTGCCTACTACCAGCCCGGTCGAGTCTGCCCCCAACGAAGTACTGTACTGCACCGTCGACGGATGGTCAAAGTAGTCACCCCACAAACCAAAACGCGCACGACGTCGCTCGCGCCGCCCGCCATGCAGGCTTGGCGCCGTGCAACGGTTGCGTTATCGCCAACCCTGGGCGGGCTGGGAAGCCCAGTTGACGTGAGCACGGATGGAGGTAAGATCAGCGCCATGACCATGATAAGATGATTATGGGTTAGGCATGTATGTATGCTTGCACCACAGTATAAGGGGCGGGGGGAGGGAAACGAGCTCGATGGGATAGACCAGGACAAACATTGGAATCTCATCCAAGTAATTAATTAGGAATGGTGCTTTTCACTACTATCGAAACTAACCCCCCCGTGCCGGAGGGATGGGTAACTTTGATTGAGTTTTCCTCCGCATCGCTTGGCTCTATGTGATTAGTTGCACCCGCAACAAAAGCACACATTGGGATCCCCACCGCTACTGCTGACTACCATACATAAGGACCTTTTAAAATAAACGACCAAAAGCTGAAATGCAAGGTCTGTCGTATGCGAACACTTGTTATTCCTTTTTGTCGATTTGCCTTTCCCCTGGAACCGTCTCCTACATTCCACGAATTAGCGCTTGCCTTGCCAGGCTGAAGTACATGATCCTTCAGGATGGCGGCGCGGCCTGAAAGGATTCAGACGATTCATTTGAAGACGGAGATCTCCATGTAGTAGCTCAGCGGAAATAATAATAAAAAAAAGACCCCCAACAGAACTCGACGGAGGTGCTCGATCGGGAGCCGACCCGATGCTTGCCCAGGCCAATCATGGCACATTGCAAGCTCACCGGTGCTCTTCTCCAATACAAGTATACGCTGAAACAAGACTTCAGTCTGAGCGGAGGGTTCGTGCCAACCACTATGCAAGTCATCTTTCGGGGCAGCACTGCATACACATGACATCAAAACACGCATCTTCTGCAAACCGCAGATCAAGATGACAATGATAATCATGGGGATATTGATCTTTGCGTGTTTCAAATGACTGAATTAAACCGAGATTCATGATATCGATTGTGGCTCCGACTCGCGTCCATGGCCAGGTCGGATAAGTTCTAGGCCATCAAAACTTTACTCATGTTCTCGTCCAGCAGTCTATCGTACGAGTACGTATGCGCCCTAATAACCTATGTACACATTTATATGTTCTGCTCTACTCTACAGCATCTACATTACACAATCTGCCAGCACAACCGGCACCCAATCCAAGTAGTATAACGAACCAATCTCATGGATCGGACCCTGTCCGACTGTTGACGGGGATAAGCGGAGGGAGACTCTTGGAAAGTGTTCATCACCGTCTCGAAATCGGTTAGCCTTCCCCATGATTGAAATAACGACAAGACGACTACGTACTGTTCTAATAACGAAGAAGTCGATACTACATTAGATAGAGCAGTAAGAAGGGGAAAGGGGATGGGATGATGGGTAGGAAGTTGAAGAACGAGTCAGTGCGCTGGTGGCGCCAGACTATAGGCGCTAAACCAGACAACTGGGTCCTTGGTAGCACCAGTGCTACTCTATGCTACAGATTTTAGCAGCTACCCTTATTACCTTGCACGTACTATACGTCGGGTACTATACTCGAGGAGAACTATCGAAGCTGCCGCTGTCCAGCCTATCCAGCCACTGCTAAGCTGGCTCGAACTGGCCTGTCAATAGCATCCATCCCAGGGAAATGGGACGACGCGGCCACTGTTGGGATTTGAGGAGGGGAAAAAAAAAACTGTAGGTAGGTCAGATCTCGTGCCAGCCAAGTAGCGCCCGCTGATCTGGAGATCCTCACATATGCAGCTCAGTCGTGTGGAAAGAACGCTTTGAATGATGGAATTCCCGGTTCTGTTTGTTTCCTCCGCTCTGTGCGTTGCATATGTTGGGAAAACAGGGTATATGGGGGGCTTTGACTTTGTGTTCGCGTCCTTGCCACGTGCCAGAAGCACTTCCTTATCTCAAGGAGGAGGGAAACGCGAGTAAGGGCTGCTTCTTTGAGAAGAACACTGCTATAAGGTCAATCATCATCATGGGTGAACAAAAACCCGGGTTCATGATCAAATCCGTGGCCGTCATCAAGCTGCCTATCTGGTGGCATGGCGATAATACATGGGCCAAGAAGCGCTCTTCTATTCATGAGCCTTTACAGGCGGGTCAAGGCCCAAGGGACTGGTAGTGGCACCGCCACTCAATAAGAGAAGCCCAAGCTGTCAGCCACACGTGGCTAGTCTGGCTCATTGTGCGCCAAACCGCTTGGAAGGATGAAGTCATTGCAACCTTGGTACCTCAGCTGCAAAACATCAAGAAATTGGTGCTGTTGCAACAAGTTTTGTGAGCGCAGCATTACATCTGTCCTGAGCAGCACCGCTACAGTATTTTGTAGCCACGAGACGTCACTGAGAAATAACCTCACCACCACAAACGACTATGGCATCATCCTAGCTTCTTGAAACCACTGTCTTTGCTTCATCTCGTGAACTAATCTCTTCCTATCTCTCTCTACTTCCCCCACCAACGTCTGCGAACCAAAATACCCCGCCATGCAAAACAGCGTCCTCTCGATCCCCTTTCGAAAGGGTACACAGCTGTCGCTGTCCACCGCGGTGCGACAGTACATCTCTACCAAATATGATCAACATCCCGACATGTTTCGTCAAGACCTCGAGGTCATAGACTCGTTGCGCCGCGATGCTGTCAACGTGCGCGAGGCCCACGCCAGCGGCATCAAGAAACTGCAGGCCTACGCTGCCCAGCTGGTCTGGATAAGCGGCAAGTTCCCCATCGATATAGGCGCCGATTTCACCTGGTATCCTTCGCTGGGCTATAACACCGAGCGCCCAATCGTCCTCAACAACCTCAAGTTTGAGCTTGCCAATGTCTTGTACAACCTCGCCGCTCTATACTCACAACTCGCCGTCACGAGCAACAGGGCCGACACGGAAGGTCTGAAGAATGCGGCGAGCTACTTCAACCAAGCTGCCGGAGTGCTCAAGCACGTCAAGGACGAGATTATACCCGAGCTCCGCACTGATCCTCCCGAGGACATGGACGAGCACACCCTAGAGTCCTTGCTCCAGCTCCAGTTGTCCCAGAGCCAGGAGTGCTACTGGCAAAAGGCCGCGATGGATGGCTACAAAGATGCCTCCATAGCCAAACTTGCAGCACGGGTCAGTGACCTCTATAATTTGGCTGGGGAGGCTGCTATGCGCTCAGAGGCCATTAGCAGCAGCTGGATCCACCACATGAGTGCTAAGCACCACCACTTTGCTGCCGCTGCTCAGTACCGGGCTGCATGTGACTGTTTGGAGAAGCGCAAGTACGGAGAAGAAGTTGCGAGATTGCAAGATGCAGTTGCTTGTGTGAATGAGGGCTTGAAAGAGAGCAGAGGCGGCTATCTCAACAAGGTTGTCGTAAATGACCTGAATGGTCTAAAGAGGCGTGTGGAAGAAGATCTGAAGAGAGCCGAAAAGGACAACGACCTGATCTACCTTAGTGCGTTTCGATCCCGGAGACATAAAGTCATTTCCATACTAATAAATATACAGATATGGTACCGGCCAAATCAGAACTCAAGGTCCTTGATAGGGCAAATATGGCCATTGCTCGAGTACCCCCACAGGTATCAGCGCCTATAGATCACTTGAGCGAAAAGGGAGAGTTTGGCCCAGCTCTTTTCACAAAACTCGTACCCTACTCGGTACACATTGCCGTGTCCATCTACGAGGAGCGCCGGGACCGTCTCGTGAATCAAAAGATTATTGCAGAGCTAGAGGCTTTGAACGAAAGAATTCATGAGATTCTCTCGGAACTGAATCTTCCCGGCTCAATACAAGCATTTGAAAAACCTTTGGGGCTCCCGGGCACTCTGGTTCAGCACGCTGAGGAGATCAGACAAGCGGATGCGATTAGTCGCCTGCAGCGCAGCTTTGTGGATATAGACAAGCTGCGAGCAAGCGACTTGAGCATCTTCGAGGAGGGCAAAGAGCTATTGGAAGCCGAAGAAGAGGAAGACAATCGCCTCCGACGACGGCACGGCACTGAGCGATGGAGTCGTCACGAAAGCCGCGCCGAGCCTATCCAAGGCGCAAAACTGTGGAATCAGGTCAAGGATGCAGGAACCTGGTTCGAGACCAGTGCAAGCAGCGACGCCGTCGTGCGTGAAAAGTTCTATGCTGTAGAGCCTCTGCTTGCTGTGCTTGCAGGACCTGACCGCGGCATCATGGATTTTGTCCCTTCTTCGAGGCGGACCGAGATTCCCGAAACCTTGAGACCAGCGATTGGCCGGCTAAGAAGTTCCTACAATGATGTGACACGACTTGAGAGTCGTCGCCGCCGCAAAGCTGAAGCACTCCGAGAAAAAGCCAAGAGTGATGACATTAAGACGGATATTCTGAGCGAGGCAGCACGACTCGAGCGTAACCAGAGTGTTGCCACCGCTATTGTTCCAGCACATTTCGAGGAATTCTTTGAGAAACGGCTAGATTCACTCTATGAGCCAGAATTGGAACTGGTGCAAAAGGAGGCGACAGAGCAGGAGAAACTACTCTCGGACCTGATTCGTGTGAATCGCGAGTTTGAGAGTCAGAAGAAAGTCGTCGGCGACAAGGGCAACCGGGAACGCGAACAGGCCCTGCAGAAGCTCGAAAACGCCTACTACAAGTACAAGGAGCTTGTCAGCAATGTCGAGGTCGGACGCAAATTCTACAATGACCTGAGCCGCATCGTGGGTAATTTCCGCGATGGAGCCAGGAGCTGGGTTACAGAAAGAAGGCGTGAGGCTCGCATGCTAGAGGATGAGCTGGCGATGCCGCCGCTTCATAACCTCAACCTGAACCAAAACCAGAATCAAGACCAAGCCAGCCAACAGAGCTATAATCCTGCGCAGAACCAAAGTCCTCAGCAACACACCTCATCGGCTTACTTTAGCCCTCCGCGGCAGCCTCAACAACCAGTCAGGCAATCCGTTCACAGTCCAGCGGAAGCTCAAATCCAGAGCTGGGCACCTGCCGCGGAAACTGTCGCGCCTCAACCACAACAGCCAAGAGCTAATCCAATGCAAGCCATGTGGGATCCGAGCATGGGTATCAAGTTCTCGGGATCGCCAGCAGCCAACGCTGGCGCTGGCAACAAACCTCCACAAACTGGTCCGTGGGACCCAAAGAGCGGGATTCGCTTTGGTTGAAAGATACCAGGTAGCAGCTAGACATGATGATCAGATTATGCGTTACTTGGAAAATGAGTATGGAATATCCGACTATAGAAAGATAATATGAATGACACGGCGGCTTTAGCTCCGCAAACTCCGAAAGACTGGTTGGTTATCATGACTGCAATGGATACCTACCTGCCTCGGTGTCATATTCGAAGTTTGTGGAGTTGTGAGTTGTCTGAGCGGTGATCCTCACGTCTACAATTGTATGCTATCAATTAATCTTCGTTCATATACTCTGAGACGAATCATCACTAGTCTATTATGTTTTGGTAAAGTGCTTGCAGGTGCATATATACATAGGTAGGTAATGGACTATAATGTAACCAACGGCGTTAAAGCCCGTTACTCCCGGAGCCAGGCCGGGTTTAAAATCCAACATAAATAGCCGTTTGTCCGTCCGCGGCTCCGAACGCCAAGGATTTATGGACTTGCTCCCTCAACGTCACTCGATGATCTCATCTCACAATCCTCTTTAACCTTGTATACTCTTTGTTTTACGAGTACTTTGATGACAAACAACATTACTTGGTAAACTTGTACACAAATTACTCTAGATACTTGTAATCCTATATACTATGCCAAACATTTCCAAGGTCGAAAAGGCCCTAGAGGCTGTCAACGCCAATCCAGAGGCCAAGGAGCTGGTCCTGACGTTTGGCGATAAGCAGGTCAAGCGTGGTGAATATATCGGGCGAGCAGGTAATGATCAACCCGATCACTGAGCCTTTTGTTGTCGATATAACAGAACATGCACGTTGCATCTTTGCAGCGTTTATCCTTCCAACACTTTGCCACGGGGGTGGCGTCTGGCGCAGGGTAAAGCTGACAATGTAAACAGGCGCGCAAAAGACACCATCCTTTGCGTGGTCCCAGGCCGCGCCCGGCACAACCTATATCATGCTGGCCCTCGACTTGGACGCGCCCTTTCCTTCGCTGCCCGTGCTGGGGCCCATTCTTCACGGCATCCAGCCCGGTCTGACCGTGTCGGCCGCCGCCGGCGTTGGTGGTGGCTTGACGACGAGTACCCCGCCCGTGGCTGGTTATATCGGACCAGCTCCACCACCGTGTAAGCACATGTACATTTTTTTATACTACTCCTTTTTCCTTGTCAAAACTTGTTCCGGTCTCTTTAAATGTGCGAAATCACATGATTTCTCGTGACGTATTGAATATTCTTTTTTCCCCCCCTCCTCGAATAATGTAATCATTGGGAAATAAAACTGCTAAACCCCTTTCCCTCCATCCGTATAGTGAGCGGGCCCCACCGTTATGTGTTCTTGCTCTATGAGCAGCCCAGCGGTTTTGACGCAAAGAAATTCATGCCGCAGGCCGAGGGCCAGGAATTTCCCATGATGCAGCGCATCAGGTTTGACCCGGACAAGTTTGCCAAGGAGGCTGGTCTGGGAGAAGTGCTCGCGGGTGGTTGGTTTGAGAGTAACTGAGCGGTATGGCTCTGCCTATACAATGCGTGGGGCTTTTTTTTTTCATGTCAAGTAAGGCTTCATCAAGGTGGTATATGATGATGCTCCATGTGGGATATATGTCGCGTTTCGTTTTTATCTTTAATTGTCATGATCCTACCCTTAGATGTATTCTTGTTGACTATGTCCTGCCTCATCCACACGTGTCTATGAATCGCACATGAACAATATTCCACAGCATTCATGACAGTTGAACCAGGATTCGTTCTGTATTTCTTGTGCTTCATGCTTGGTCCGATATCTCGTCAATCCACGGCAGTCTCTCAAACTAACATGATTCTGACTCTGTTCAACTATTCGCTTGGAGTGTTAATGCTGAGAACCGTAACATGGGCTTGGGGGAACTATTGAGTCGAATAATGATGCTGTATTAGACTGCGACCTGATCTCTTCCCATGAGTCATGGGATGAAGTAATATAGGAAATTGTTGCATGTTGAGCTCGAAAGAATTACGATGATCGGACGCCGCCTCACCCACAAGCGAAGTCTAGCAGACCACTCCATCTCGGTTTTCGTCTTATGACAATATGTCTGTGCCAATCATTTTTCCTCTTCAGAGACGAGAGAAATAGCGAGGATTTGTTTTTCTTCTGTGGGTGCAAGATAGCCTTGCCTCTGCAATTCAGCATGTTTACTCGATATCCTGAACTCAGTTTCCTCGTGTATTGTTGTATGATCGGGAAGCATAATGAAAATAAGATAGAATAATCACGTTTGACTCATCTTGAACGAGGCGAAATGGCAAATTGAGGATAGAAAGCGATATACCTGAGCTGAACAAGTCGATATCCTTGCCACGAGGATCAAAGTGTGTCATTGACAATAGCCAGATGACGTGAGTCTTGGCGCAAATCACGAGCAGTACCATGAAACTTCATGTGAAAGCCAGAGAAGAAAGGCATGATTGTATTCCAACTGGACTCGACAGATGCGGTCCCGAAAGAGATAAAAAATTCTACGCGGGCACGTAGGTAGCAGTCGGTAGCAGTCAGTAATGCGACCACAGCCCCTGCATCAAACAACGTGGTAAGCAAATGGGTGGCTCTGGAATGAAGCTTAAATCACCGGGACCATTGTCTTCTCCCCCCCTCCTCCTCATACAGGGGGCGATCCAACATCAGATGGCCCAGTGAGAAATCAGAAACCAGTATCTATCAGTACAATTCTAGTTTTTTCGATACGACCATCCTATTTCAGAGCACATTGCCCCTGCCTGCTAATTCCCGGAACATGGGGGCTGGAGAGTATAGAAGAAAGGGATCATGGCTATATGCATGATTTTATGTAATGGCTATCAGGCTTGTCAACGAGTCTCGTACCTTTCAGACCTCCTCCCACCCTCCAATGGCACGTACGTGGTATTCTCAATGCGGCTCCCCCCCATCTTGGCTAAATGACCTGCAGAGTACCTTGACGATGGCGCGGGATCAAAACTCGTAATGGAAATCATGCTATTCGACGCCTAAACGTGGCTCTCTTGCCATCACAACACGCAGAGAAAGATCAGCGCTGAGATGAGATGAGCCTGCCGAACGAAGCATGGCGGCCCTAATTTGGTGCAAGATAGAGAGACAACAGACCAGGGGCTCCCACGCGGGCTTTTTAACATGGGGTTGGACCAGGTCTCATGCGGCTTGGGAACTGGTGAAAATCTGTAGACTACCTTGTGACGATAGCCTCAATGATCCCAATGGCTTATGTGCTTTCCTACTTTGGACAAATGATTTGAATAGAATCTTGCCGTTGACCGAGCAGACTCGTTGTCGAACTGGTTGGTACCCCCCAATGATTGCGCGTGATACAAGGACAAGGTAAAATCTGCATCGTGAGGAAATGGCGGTCATCATAAGAGACACGCGATGATACCTACAACCAAGCTCGAGTAACGTTGCTCTTCCTAGCAGAGAAAGAGGCGGCTCCTCGCGAAAGAACTACCGCATCCATGAGTGATGAGCTTTTGCTCAAAGATAATGTGTTCAAAATCAAGTGTACATAACTCTCGAGCATCTTTGGCACAAACCTAGGCTCGCGACGAACAGTTGTAGCATAAATGTTGTGTTCTCTTGATCATAAAAGTTCCACAAGCTGGATACTGTAGGTTGCGAAAATCGGAAAGCAATCAATAAGAATACCCATTCCATTGAACATTACAGCTGCGATGTGTCAAGATTTCATGAAACTTTCTAGTCATTGGAATCACCTTGCTCAAAAGACGCCGCGCCACTCATCTATTCAACCTGGTCAGTCGGGATTCAGCTACGTAAACAAACCAGGCTAAACGCTCATGGAGTCTTACAACATCAACGCCACGGCCATTAGCCGTTGCGATCTGATCCAAGCCTTCAACATTTCATGTCCCACATGCCAAATGGGGACATGGCATAGCATCTCATTAGAAACCCTAGTTGCCTAGGATGCCAGCTCCGAGGGGAAAAAAAGGTCCATCACCATGTAGTCGTAGGATCGACGGCTTCTTTTTTTTTTTTTTGGTGGTGGCGATTCGATCAATGAACAAGGTCTTTCGCGTACCGCTTGATTCTTCACGGGGCAAACAGAGAAGCTATAATTTCGCCGTACTACTACAATACATCCAAAGTGGCAAGGCACGCCAAGCAGCTTTCAGCTTGAGAAAATTGACCCATGGAGAGAACACGCGCCGTCTCATGGAACTGGCCTACCCATGTACCTACCTACTGCTACCCATGGTGAGATGATTTTGTCTGTCATGCCGCCAGGTGACCATCCGCGTAGTGACAGCGGCAGCGGGGAATGAAAAGGGAACGAGAGAGAATAAAGAAAAAAACCCCCATGTTGCCCATCATGGGGCGGGAAACTCTTTTTGACTTTACCAGACAGCGGATAAGAGAGATTGTCAAGAAGAGGTTCTTCCTTGGGCGAATCAGTTTTCAAGACGATGGCGTGACTGTGCCTCCCAAAGACCAAATCATCCCCCCCCACACCACGCCCGCCGCTCGCACGCGACACCATGGAGCATTGCGGAAGTGATACTTGTGCTTCCGAGTTTTCTGTAAGGGGCACACACGCACACACGCACACACTCACACACACACATACATACGGCATAGAAGTGGATGCGGGTGTGTGTGTGTGTGTGTGTGTGTGTGGTATGGTCTGGATTATAATCGCCGGCCAGGCCTTACCGTGGTTGGTGTAGTAGTAGACCAAGGTTAGAAACGGGTCAGCAAGTCCCCATCGCCCCAGCCTTCCCGGTTCAAGTTCGTAGGAAGAGGATACCCAAGACCTTTTCTTGCCTACTTCTGTACATACTTGGGAGAAATTTCGCCGTAAAAGGTGGAGTTGGCATGTTGGTTTAAGCAGAAACCGAGGTGGAAGATGGATCCCGTTCAAGTCAGTTGCGGAGTCTCTCATTTCCAGTCTATAGGCATGTACTACTCTTCTCTGGTATGGGAATGAATACCGCCCATGCCTAACTTCTCCGCGGGTGCGACAACCAATGTTTGTGACGAGAATCAAAGGCACAGCACCTTGGATGAGAACGCATGAGCAATACGTCCGGAGAAGACATGTGTCAGCATGGAGTATCGCAATGTTTATCTGAATCATCAAACTATAGCTGCAGTTCCATTGGGCCAGGGGCAGAGAGAGCCGCAAGGTCTTTGGGTCTCGACCACGGGTTGATGCTCTAGTTCAAGAAGGCAGAAACTGGCATGTGCCGCCTCAAGAGCATGGGTTTCAACGAGCATCCTTATGGTCTCCCACGCTGCCGGAACTTCTGTACGTAACTAATACTAGGTCAGACAACCCTAGAGACAGACAGGGCCGCCGCAAACATGGGCGACCTCCACGCACAACCTAATATCCATCCCGTGCTAGTGACGATGGTATAGACCAGGGAGAAGAAAAAAGATGCAAAGGTAGTTGGGTGGATTTGCCGTCGATAGGTAATGTAGGATTGCTAGGGGATGAGGTAGACGGTCCGAACGGCAGGGAAGAGTAGTATTGTCGGAGGGGATGAGGCGTACTATGCACGCCCATTCAGGTCAAGTCGCCAGTACATGGCTACACTATATCTCCGGTTGTCCATTAGAGAGGGACCATTATTCATGGAGCGTCTCTTTCCAGGTTGGGACAGAAGGGCAACAACTTGCTTGTTGTGCTTGTCCATCGAACATAACCTGATCGTCGATGCACAATGGCATCCACCTCGCAAGCCTCAGCTGCAGAGCCCGGCATGTCGCCAGCAGCAAGAGATCGGCAAGGCGGCAGCGAAGCAATTACGCGAAACGAAGGAGTGGTTTTTTCCCGTACGTGCTGCTGCTGCTAGGTAGAGGAGGAACACGGCTATCAGCGATTTGGCACGACTATCGGAATAAAATGATTGGACCATTTGGACGTAAGGCCCTGGGTTGGATGGGAAAATCTTGGCCAATCCAACGATTGCGTGATCTGGACCCTTTCTGGCGTATGCGGTCCGACCCCCCCTATAGCGCCATTTGGACCGAGCAGCCCAAATCTCTTAGCCGTGACAGGACAAGGACAGGACAGGGCGCGAGGTTGGACATCCGACTCTTGAGTTGGGTGAGTCAAGCCGTGAGCTTGGCAAGGCAGTTTGAAGAGAAAATAGATAGCGTAAATCAATTTGTGTTGCTTCTTGGGTAGTGGCTCATACTCGATATGAACGAGGGCTTGACAGCTGAGTTTGAGCTTGTGTCGGGCGCGCGGGCGGTCAGTCGACCAACAGTAGCTCGCGGAGAAACTGATGTCATAGAGATTTCCAGAGCGGCAGTTGAGATCCCAATTTGAAGTGCAGCGCAGAAGCAATCATACTGTCTGGAGCGGAATGCAACGAGTCGACAACCTTTGTTGATGGTTGTCTTGGATATATTTGTAGAACTTTGCAAAACAGTGTGCAACTCTGCAAAACAAAACAAAAATAAAAAGCGAAAATCATCTGCCAGTTACGTCCTTGTCCTCCAAGGTGGGCCGCGTCTCTTCGTGATATACGTAGCCCATCAATGACATGCGATCGCGTGCCAGGCTCGAAAGGCAGCGTCCTCCAACAAACACAACCGCCCATGCGCTTCCGGTTCCTATGAACGCCGACCCAATGTGAACCCGGTTTCCCATATTCATCTTCTTGTGTAAACCCTTTAGCATCACTCGATTTCTCCTGCCTCGGACTTTGCAGACTTGTCGTCTTCAGAATCCGAGTCCTTGCCAAGCACCTTGAGCGCAGCAGCCAGTTTGGGGTCGAATTTCGATTCCTTTGCGCCTGTCTTTTCCATGACGAGGCCCCGCAACCACTTGTTCTCCGTCTCCAGGTGGGTGATGCGGTTCTTGAGCTGAGTGACTTCGTCGTTGAGCTCCTTCTCGCGCTTCTCAAGTGCTTGCTCGCGAGCCTTCTTCTTAATTCGGAAGCGGGCGCTGGCAGCCGTGTTCCGTCTGCGCTTGTCCTCCTCTGCCGCTAACCGCGACTGGTCCTCGAAGCTGATTTGGCGGCTGTGGCCGGCATCACTTGGACGCTTGGTGCCAGCCTGGGGCGGTACAGCATAGGGGCCTTGCTGCTGCGGCGCATATGCTTGAGGCTGGCCTGGTTGCAGCTGCTGCAGACTGGCTAGGCCATCTGGGAAGCTGGGCACATTGGGAGTTGCAAAAGTGCCGAAATCAAAGCTGTTGAAGTCGTCTAGAGGCATGTTGGGTCAGAACGTGTTCGTCGTCGTAACAAGTGCGCAACAGAAAGAGAACGGCGTAATTCATGCATCGAGAAGTAGGCCCGAAGCAATTCGATCGAGGATGACAACTATTCATCACCTGAAATGCAAAGACCAAGACATGAATTGGTGTTTTGGTGCCATTATGGGGCAGCGATGGGGCCGCTCCCCCAGACTTTCCAAGTCACGGGATATGGCACCATATGTCGAATTGCGCAATGGCTTGGAAGTTTGTAAGCCGCTGGCTGGGAGGCCAGGATAAGCAGGCGCTAAACGACAAGGAGCTACCCCCTCGCAACCTAACCTCGACAGGCCGCAGAAATGCAACCCATGGGAAGAGTGCCAATCAGCTGCAACCTCCTGCGTGGGAGGACAGACAGCAGAGTGGGGTAAAGCGATACTGTCGCTTTCATGGGTGTCTAAATGGGCCCTTTTTCTCATTGACGCGATATGGGATGCATCGCATGGGGGGTTTCCCCCCCATGGCTCTCTCCATATTGAGAGTTTCTGAGCGCTGGCTGAGCAGAGCTCGCCTTTGCGAGGAATTGAGGCACTAGCCCAAGAGTCATAAAAAGAATAAGATAGAGAAATTCCAACAAAGAATCTCATGGGATACTGGATTGATGACATGGGGGGAAAACAAAACGACATGATATGGTTTGGATATTGATGTTTGCGCTCGGAAGTCGGTGCATTTTGACCGAGACGCCGCGTATAGCAGAAGGAGAAGAAGAAAACAACAATACAAGAGAAACCCTTGGAGACCCTCATGACTTACCTGGTAGATTGAAGTCGAAATCACCCACTGCAGAGGTGGCTGACGCAGGTTCACGAGGAGTAGTTGTAGTAGTAGTAGCCGGAGCAGCAGCAGCAGCCGCAGCAGGAGGTGGAGCAGCCACGGCGGGCTTTGTCTCTGGCTCAGGCAATGTGAAGTCTGCTGGTGCATTGCCAGATGCCTGATCCCATTCGAAAAAGTTGGTGTTGGTAAACATGGCGAGATCCTTCTCCCAATCCTCGCTCACAGGAGAGGTATTCTGCGACGGCACCTCAACATTCAAGTCCTGGATAAAGTTGGAAAAGTTGACCTGACCACCGCGGCGGCCATTTGCTTGAGTCGATGCCATTTTGTTGTTTGGTTTGGTATGTGACTGATGAAAACCAAAGTGTTTCTTTTTTCCTCCGCCAAATTCCCGCTGTCGAGAAGAGCCCGTCGGCTTGTGCGATCGATCCTCCCAGTGTCCCTTCTTTTCGAATCCTTTGTTGCGCAGTTGGCGATAGTGATGTAGTTGGCCAAATTCCCCCCTCGGGCAGGTGTGAGAGGTTTTGTGATGGGTGGGCCCCCGCGAAAACAAAGCCGATGGTCTGCCGAAGGAAAAAAAAAAAGTGACCCAGTACCAACTAACCTAGCAGTCGTTGGTCTGTTGCTGAGGTGGTATCAATCAGACTCGTCTCTCTTAGAATAATAGAGAGACGCTTTCGATAAATGGAGAGTCTAGACAATAGGAGACTCGTTTCGCTTCCCCGGATTCTTGAGCTGCGATGGGGGGAGAAGGTCTGTTAAGATTGAGTAAGTTGAATAAAGGGAAAAAAGCAAAGGCCGAGTAAACTGCGCTGGACTTGCTGGGGATGCACCAGTTTGACCACTTGCCAGTCTTGTGAATTAGTCAGAGTGGGTGAAATCGCGTGGAGGTGTGGGGAGCAGAGCCCTGTCATTGGCTGGGCACCACTGCGCTCGCAAGATTTAGCTGCGGGCATTTTCGGTCAAATTGAGCCACTGCGTCCCTAACCTGGCACCTTAACCCGCTGCTCTGGAGGAGTCGAGTGCTGCTACGGACGGACAAAGCCAGGGAAAATACATTACCCACATCAAATCAGCAGCATGTGCCAGTGTGCGTAAACCTACCAAAAGCTGCGAGGTCCGCTTTCATTCCTATGCATCGTCGCCATCGAACGAGAACAGCCCACATGTACTAACCACATACATGGTATAGACAATCTAGATCTCTGAAGTCATTTCAATACAAACCAGAAGGCTTTCATTCAATTGCTTCCGCGGAGGCTGAGGGACTGACTACCTAGTATAAACGACTATAACTCGGACCTAAATCATAAGCACGCGCCTGGAACTACACGAAGCGGTGGTGGCTTTTTGTGTGTGACTATTGGCTTTGGGGCATGCCCTTTGGCATGTACCTAAACTCTTCTCACCCAACCTGATTCCGTAGTGGCGGCTGAGCACTCATTCCGTAGGCCGCCCGCGGAAGTGAACCTCACAAGACGCACAAGAGTAAATCGCTATGAGAATGACGTGCATAGCGAAGACGTCTTGCAGCGTCAATCACCTCCTCATCCCCCGCTCGATCCGCAGTGCAGATGAAAAAGAAGTTTGGACCAGCAGACCCAGACCAGACTCGCCAAAGTGCAGTACCAAGCAGGCGAGCCAGGGCGCACATTTTCTTGACAGTACCTAGGTTTCGCAGACAATGCCCACATCCTACGTTTATCCCGGAAATCTATGATGGCCTCATCCAAATTTTAGCTCGAGTCATTCCCACTTGTCGGATGTGTCGTACAAAGGCGCATCTGCAACCAGCCAGCCGGCACTGAACCCTTGGGACGTTGCCGATGACGGAGCCACTCATCTCTATTTGTTCTACCTTGCAAGGTGGATGCAGGGTCCAACCAAGCGACCTGGGCATGGGAGATAATCGCCGGCTTGCCATATTTGGCAACTTGACTCGATGCACAGACCAAGTTATCCAGAAGGCGGGATTGGCATTGCACAAATTCTTCTTATACAATTTTAGTGCAAAGAATTGCTAATGCAGCTGGAAGCAGGAAACCTTTATGCATACTGCTGCATAGCAGCAATACCTCGAGGGAATTTTGCTTACCTCTGTTCTGATGCTTAGTATTCTTGCTTTCAAAACCATCGGCTTTTGAACTTTTGGTGAGCATTCTCGGCTATCGTCTGAAATAACCGAACTAACAAAGACCGAGGGATTAGTTATCAGAAAATCAGCCAAAGCCCGATTGTGTTTGATGATTCGCTGGCAACATATTTTCAGAGAGCCCACGTCCGCCTAGGAAACTATAAGCCGGTCAGAATCATGGTGCCAAAGCCAGTCCATGTACGGCGAGAGACACTATATGGTGCCTTGTTCGCTGAGACCCAAGACTAATGTAACATGGCCGCCAACTGCTTCCTTTAAAACCCACCAGCTTATGTCCACACCGCCATAAACCCCAATCACGTTGTGTGACAAGGAGTTATATTGTATTGCGTGATTTCAAATCAACAGTTTCAATATGATGGATTGGTAAGCATAGTTATAGTAGTGCCTTGAGCACAGGCCTCAATCTGACTATTTTTGATCAAGTCAACTACCAGCGCCAGACGCATACCTAAGTAAGCACAAAATCTGCCGTTTTGACGGCTTTTGCTGTCCGGTAGTACAAAGTTGACAGAGATTTGCGACTAGACTTGATAATGCACTCAGCACTAATGAGAACTTGTCTTCAGCAACCGTATTAGAATAAGTCTTCCGTAGCAGACTGCCACATACTATTAGAAATCAGCAAGCATATTACGTCCGGCTCACTGACAGCCCCGAAGACTTCCATTTAGCTTGTATCAAAACGTTTCAATATACTAGAGATAGATATATCGGTTAAGCAGAAAAGATTTTTCAAATTAATATTCGCAGACCGACTTAACTTAAGGTGGAATGCTTCTTATTTTCATAGAGACCTCTAATACGTGCTGCTGAATGACTTGTATTGTTTTCTAGTTCATGCTCCCTTACTTTTAATATGCGGCTTTTAACATATAATGAATTGTTCACAGGAAACTCTTCATGGCAAGTGAATTCAGTAACAGATTAACATACAGTATATAGGCCATCGCTCTGCTGAAATACAGGCATGTATGATCCGCCTCTTGGAGCTTGATGACGAATTGCCGGATAGCCCAACTCGGTGACTAATGTATGCCACAGTTGAATTGAAAACATAAAAGCAGGTCTGCTAATTTACTATCATAAGATACAGTTGTTTGAACTCTGCATCTTGACGAGACAATGGTGAGAAGCAATATATCTTTCAAATGAGGCAACTGAAATTATTCCAGCTGACAAGCTACGACGGCAATCAAACAACCAGACACCCTGATCTCCCCCCAGCATCCCTAAATTGTGGTCACTTTTAAGCTCGAAAAATTCCTGCAAAGACGATGATGGTAACGTAGTAGGTCGGAACAGAAAAGCTCGGTGATTTCCATCTGTTTGCATAACTTTGGTGTAAATCATATTGCTTGCTTGCATATTACGTACATCTATTTTTGGAGATGGTCCAGGCCGAACGAGAGCTAGACCGCCAAGCTCACAGGCTCTTGGTGGGGTCGTTATACTCGATCAAGAAAACTGTTTGTTTACTTATACTGCTGCGATCCCACGCTTTCTACAGCCGCTGGTGATAGCAACACAACAGACACATGTGATGAACATTGACATTGTATGATTAGTCCCAGGTCTTTTTGTTGGGCTCGCGAAGAAACCTGCCCCTTGAATTGATTGAAAAGCTGCGCAACCACTCGTGCACATAAGCCCACTCCAAGCGCAGGCCAAAAGGGCCCCGCGTCGCGTCCCGTCGCGTAGGTGACTGAGCCCCATAGATTTCATCACAACACCAAAGTCGCAAAAGAGTTGCAACATACACAACCGCCATTGATGCCCTCATGATCCGACCATGCCGCGCCTTACGGTGCCGACCACAGCACGCCTCCCATCCTCTCTGCGTGTCGAGTCGTCCAACACCGCCGTCGTCAAGCTCCTGAACCGTCTCTCGCGTGCGTCGCTACTGTCGCTCGTACTCGACTGGCTCAGCGAGAACAACCAGACCCTTTGCCCGCCACTGCTCCGCCGACCTGATGACGAAGATGACGGAGAATTTGACGACGACTTCTATCCTCCCGCCACCTCCCTTGAGGAGTTGCGCTCTCTCTATGCGGGCTTGCAGGCCGCCAAGGGCAGTCGTCGCGATGTCGTGGACCGCATCGTCGACGGCGACTGGCGACACGGGCTGACACTCTACCAGCTCGCCATGGCGGATCTCCAGTATCTCAACGACCATCCGACATCACTCAAATGGTCCGCTTATAAAATAGAGCCGCTCAAGATGCCGCGGAGCGAGGAAGACGCAGAGGGTCCCGTGCGGCCTGACAAGCAGACACTCAATGTGCCTCGGTTCCACCCCTCGACATTCCTCCAGAATCTACAGGCCGAGGTCCTGCCCGACGTCAAGGCGCACTACAACTTTGACCGCCCAAGAGATCTGCCGCTCCTACTATTACGCATATTCATCCTCGAATCACCGTACAATACGGGGTTAGCCGTGTCGTCGCGCATCCCTGGCGGTGGAGGGAGCCACAACATCACACCCGCGACCAGCTTCGAGGCCTCGCGGACCATTTACATAGCCTTCCCGGACTCGTCGCCGCACATATATATTTCGCGATCGCAGAGCACGGGCGCCACGACGGCGGGCGACTCGCGCAGCCTGGGGAGGGTCGTGCTCGAGGGCATTCCCAAGGCGCTGTCGCGGCCCCGCGAGCGCTACGCCCTCCGCGCCACCAATCTCGTCTCCAAGAACCTCGCGGCCTTGCTGGCCGCCCGCGGCGCCGGCCGCACCAACGCCGCCCAGGGTGGTTGGGGCATCTACGTCGAGGACGACCAGACGACCGGCGCCTCCCCGCTCAACACGGTCCTGCCGACGCGACGGCCGCTGGCAGATGTCTCCGTTAACGAGGATAGAAGGACGCCTGCTGGCGGCGGAAAGACGCTGAAAAGAGGATTCCAGCCCGAGAAGGAGCGAAAAGACCGCGAGGCCAAGCGCAGGAAAGAAGTGGCGCAGGCTCGATTCGGCAACTCGGCAGAGATGGAAGACGAGAAGGGCGTGGAGCGCCTGGACGTGATGATCGAGGACTCACTCCCAGGACTATCAACGCGTAATGCCCGGCCAGTTGGAGGAGCAGAAGAGGAAGAAACAGGCTCGCGGCGATCGAAACGATCCAGAGGCCGGCAGAGTGACATGGATCTCGAGCTCAACAAGGAGCAGGAGGATGAAGAAGATGTCGAGGACGGGATATCAGACACAGAATCGCAGCACAAGCCGCGGATTCGTCTCACTTTCGCGGGCTCGCACGTGTTTGCTGGAATCAGAAAGCTTGTCGAGGCTGGCATCATTGATGGCGAGCGCATGCCCGGGTGGATGACCGGCGAGGAGGGAGTAACATCAGCAATCATCAGAGGCGGCAGAATCAGAGGTTATAAAGGATCCGGCATGTGAGGAACCTGTTGGAATCAACATGGCAACTGTTTATATGGGAATGACGACATTGGCGTTTGGCTGAAGAATGGGTATTGCATATATTACCAAGGACAGTTCCTTGATGCACGGAACAAAGGGAAGCATGCTTTTTAGGTGCTACATATAAAAGAAGCGTGTCTATGCATATCTATTATTTGTTTTCAATGTTTCTAGTGTTAATCGTCTATACCGAACACCTTGACCGTGTTACGCCATGCCGCCTCGCACACTTCTTCTACTGTGGCGCCTTTGATGCCGGCAACAATCTTACCAACTCGCTCGATACTACACGGCTCGTTCCGGCCCTTGACCATGGCACCCTCAACCCACTTCTCCTTCTTGACGGTCTTCCATCGCTCCGGCACTTCGGGCTCCTTCTTTTGAGGTTTCTTGGACTTTTGCACTTGCTTTTGGGGCTTACGCTGTTGTTGCTGTTGTGCGTCGCCATTGACACCAGCAGGGGCAGCAGCGGGAGCGGAGGAGGTCTCCACAGCGGCGGCGGCGGCAGCAGCAGCAGCAGCGGGGTCCGGGGTCGGAGCCGGCGTCGGCGGCTTGGAATCAATGAGGTACTTCCACCCTTCGTGGCTCGGCCGAACCTCGCACCACGGCCCATCCGTCTCCAGCATGAGCCGGTCGAGGTGGATCTCCTTGACCACGGCGCAGTTGTCGGCCGTTTTGAAGCTGCAGCCGTTGGTGCCAATGTACAGGCCGAGGTCCATCAGTTCGCGCATCTCGTCAATGGTGCCCGTGAAGCTGTGCACGACGCCGCCCTTTTCCAGCTTTTCGAGCTTGTCGCCAAACTTGGCCTTGAGCAGATCGACAAAGTCTCGGTGGGCAGCCCGCGAGTGGAGAAACAGGGGCAGCTGAGGCTTGATCGCCAGCACCAGGTCCAGCTGCGCTGCAAAGGAGTGCAGCTGGATCTTCTTTGAGCAGTAGTGCAGACGGTCATAATCAAGACCGAACTCGCCTAATGCAATCAGAGCATTCGGCGTCTGGCTCCGGGCATCCTCGATGAGTTTCTTCAGTTCGGCAATGATCCGCGACGTTTTCTCCAGGTCTGGCTCGTGCTCCTCCGGAATCGGCTGGGTGGGATCTGGATCGCAAGGCATGGTGTGCCCATCGGTATCCTCGTGGGCATTGGCTGTGCTGAATATCGCGCTGCTGCAGGGGTGGATTCCAGCTGTCGTGTATACTGTCCCAGGGTACTCCTTTGCAATATCCAATGCATGCCGCGAGCTCGTGAAGTCTGAGCCGGTGATGATGAGCTTGCTGCAGCCGACCTCTTGTGCTCTAGACACGACTGCGTCCAGGTCGTCTGGATGCCTTTGTGTGCCATGGTAGTTGCCCCTGAAAATGGGGTCGGCAAGGTTGATACCAATCTGTCGTCAAGCATCAGCACCGAGTTTGTTTTAGATGTGAGTTTTAAAGAATGGGGTTTAAATCCTACATCTATGTAGCGGGGATTATACATGTTGATCGCTGCACCTTCTGGAGAAGATGCATTAGTTTGGTTCTCTGATGCCATGATGGATATAGGCAATACTTGTCTCGAGAACAAGCGACCAGGCTCAACCAAATGACTGCACCTGGAGTATGTTGAGCGTGGCTTCACAAATCTGCCGAGAATCATAAGGTCTTTGACATCAAGGAGGTAATTATTTGGTACCACCACACTTCTATGACTCAGGGGACTCTAGGACTCTTCAATTTGCTCGTTGCGGCGCAGGCATCAATCAACATTTACAGCTGACTCATTTACAAGAGGCACAATATCTCTCTCCGTACATGCAACCGTGATGTTCGTCTAGGGCTGTAAGAAAAGCACGTGCTCTCGTGTTGGTGACGACAGGGATTCGAGCGGCAAGACGCGGCTCGAGCGATATGGGGCTGTCCAGAAATCGGACCTGACCAGGCAGGGACAGAAAAGAGATTGTAAAAGTAATGTCAATGTCTCGGGATACTCGGATATACGACTTTTTGGGAAGATATGGGAAAGAAACCAGCAACACTAATCTTGTTTGCCGTGTTGCGGAAGACCCGAAACGTTGGGTTTGGTTAATGGGAATCAATTAAATGCACATTTTTAGCTAGGAACAGCGCGTGACACGCGTAAAGCACTGGAGTCTTTTAAGTGCCCTAAGGATAGTGGGGCAAAAAGTTGTTGCCATGTTCGTCGTCATGGAACGAAACGCAAAAGTAATGTGCCATGAGACAAAGAGGGGGGAAAAGAAAACATCAACAGATCTGTTTTGGTTCATGCTTGATACATGTGTCTCAATTATAATTTACAGTCATACGAACGTGTTTCTTGCTGCTGTGAGCCAGACTGCAGAAGATTCGGATGGTCGTGGGGTTTGACTCGGGGCGCGAACCTGGCGGCAAAGAAAACCCATTAAAATCAATTCCCCCGCGCTGATCCACGCTAGATGCAGCTAAACGCGTCTCTGTCTGACTGACGGACACACACTGCCAGGATTTCATAACCCAGATCCCAGCCCTTAGAAATGCACTTCCTAACTGATCAATGCCCCCAGCTGATTAATTGAGTCCGGGCTCAGTTCAATATTTTTCTCTCATAGTAATAGTCCTGGCCGTACCGCGTCTCAAAAACACGCTAGTTACGTGCTGCAAGTCGCGTCTCACCCGCGACTTTATAAACTTCTACAGTCTCCGTTGCTGCACGCTATTATCTGCATCTTCCATTCACCATCATCCACGACTGATCACGACTTCTTGACACGCAGGGGCTCTCCAGTATAGCCTGTCGCGTCTTTCAATCGTGTCTTCTTCTTCTTCTCCTGACGACAGAGAGAGCCACTTTTCAATCTTTGCTTTTTCTTGTTGTCGTGGTTTCTGAGTACCACTGCATCTTCAAACCCCCCCACTGATACCCTCCCTTTCCCCGGTGTCAAGAACACCATCCGACCTTGAACATGTATGTCAAGAAGCGTGGTATGTATCTCTCTAGTCCTCGTCGTGATCAAGGCTGCAGAATCTAATTCATAAAATCTAGATGGACGCCAAGAGCGCGTTCAATTCGACAAGATCACAGCCCGTGTCTCGAGGCTATGTTACGGTCTTGATGCCGACCATGTCGACCCCGTTGCTATTACACAAAAGGTCATCTCCGGTGTCTACGGAGGTGTGACAACAGCACAGCTTGACGATCTCGTGAGTTTCAGGATCCTGACGAATCATCCATGTTGACAATCATGCTAACAAACTCTTCTCCCGACAGGCTGCCGAGACCGCCGCGTACATGACCGTCACCCACCCAGACTATGCCATTCTCGCAGCACGTATTGCTGTATCCAACCTCCACAAGCAGACCAAGAAGCAATGGTCGTCAGTTGTCAGTGATTTGTATCACTATGTCAACCCCAAGAACCAGAAGGCCTCGCCCATGATTGCCAAGGAGACATACGAATTTGTCATGAAGCACAAGGAAGAGCTGGACTCGGCCATTGTCTACGATCGAGACTTCAACTACCAATATTTTGGCTTCAAAACCCTGGAGCGATCCTACCTCTTGAAGATCAACGGCAAGATCGCCGAGAGGCCACAGCACATGATCATGCGTGTTGCTGTCGGTATCTGGGGCGATGATGTCGAGAAGGTGATTGAGACCTACAACTACATGTCTCAAAAGTTCTTCACCCACGCTTCCCCAACCCTCTTCAATGCCGGCACTCCTCAGGCCCAGCTCTCCTCGTGCTTCCTGGTGGACATGAAGGATGACAGTATTGAGGGAATCTATGACACGCTCAAGACTTGCGCCATGATTTCTAAAATGGCCGGTGGAATTGGTCTCAACGCCCACCGCATCCGCGCCACCGGATCCTACATTGCCGGAACCAACGGAACCTCCAACGGTATCGTGCCCATGCTCCGTGTCTTCAACAACACTGCCAGATATGTCGACCAGGGAGGCAACAAGCGCCCTGGTGCCTTTGCCATCTACCTCGAGCCATGGCACTCGGATGTCTTTGAGTTCCTTGACCTGCGCAAGAACCACGGAAAGGAGGAAGTCCGTGCCCGTGATTTGTTCCTTGCCCTCTGGATTCCTGATCTCTTCATGAAGCGTGTTGAGAAGAACGGTGACTGGACTCTCATGTGCCCCAACGAGTGCCCTGGTCTCGCCGACTGCTATGGCGAGGAGTTCGAGGCCCTGTACGAGAAGTACGAGGCTGAGGGCCGTGGCCGTAAGACGATCAGGGCCCAGAAGCTTTGGTATGCTATTCTCGAGGCCCAGACCGAGACTGGCAACCCCTTCATGCTCTACAAGGACCATGCCAACCGTAAGAGCAACCAGAAGAACCTCGGAACCATCCGCAGCTCCAATCTGTGCACTGAGATTATCGAGTACTCGGCGCCCGATGAGGTCGCCGTCTGCAACCTTGCGTCGCTGGCTCTGCCCGCTTTCGTCGACTACAACTCGGGCACTTACGATTTCCAGAAGCTGCACGAAGTTACTCAGGTCGTTGTCCGCAACCTGAACAAGATCATTGATGTGAACCACTACCCCGTTCAGGAGGCTCGCAACAGCAACATGCGCCACCGCCCCATTGGTGTTGGTGTCCAGGGTCTTGCCGACGCATTCCTGGCTCTCCGCATGCCCTTTGAGTCGCCCGAGGCAAGGCAGCTCAACACGCAGATCTTTGAGACCATCTACCACGCCGCCCTCACTGCCTCGATGAACATTGCCAAGGAGCAGGGCCCCTACTCCACCTACGAGGGTTCGCCTGTCTCCCAAGGCATCCTTCAGTATGACATGTGGAAGGATGTTACCCCCACTGATCTCTGGGACTGGGAAAGCCTCAAGGCCCAGATCAAGCAACATGGTGTCCGCAACAGTTTGCTGTTGGCTCCCATGCCTACTGCATCTACCTCGCAGATTCTGGGCAACAACGAGTGCTTCGAGCCTTACACCTCCAACATCTACTCCCGTCGTGTGTTGGCTGGTGAATTCCAGGTTGTCAACCCCTGGTTGCTCAAGGATCTCGTTGAGCTCGGACTGTGGTCTGACAGCATGAAGAACCGCATCATTGCTGAGTCGGGCTCCATTCAGAACATTCCCAGCATCCCTGCTGACATCAAGGCTCTGTACAAGACCGTCTGGGAAATCTCTCAGCGTACTGTCGTCCAAATGGCGGCCGACCGTGGTGCCTTCATTGACCAGTCCCAGTCTCTCAACATTCACATGCGTGAGCCCACCATGGGTAAGATCACTTCCATGCACTTTGCTGGCTGGAAGCTTGGTCTCAAGACTGGAATGTACTACCTGAGAACTCAGGCTGCCGCCGCCCCTATCCAGTTCACTGTGGACCAGGAAGCTCTCAAGGTTCAGGAGAGTCAGGCCATGAAGCCCGCTGCTCTGAAGAAGCGTGTTGCCCCCGCCGGCAGCTACTCGTCCTCGGCAGCAGCAGCTGTTCCCCGGCCCATGTACCGTGAGAACTCCAACACAAACCTCACGGCCAGCAGCCCCCATGGTGTTCCTACACCCAGCACCACCCCACCTCCCACGGCCAAGGTTGCTCCCTCCCCCATGAAGCAAGTGCCTTTCAAGGCCGACCAGGATGAGGGCGAGAGCCCCAAGGCCCTGCCTACTGAGCCGGTCGAGACTCCCAATAAGATTGAGGAGCTCCCGGACCCGGCTGTCGAGACCAAGCAGACACCGTCGCAGTCAGAGGACTCTGACAAGGTCAGCAAGGAGCGCGAATTCGATATCTACAATGAGGCCGTCTTGGCTTGTAAGTCGCCCATTTTACTTTTATTTCCCCCCATGTTTAGACCAACCTACTCACAATTGATTGCAGGCAGCATTGAGAACCCCGAATCCTGCCTCATGTGCAGTGGTTAAGGTGTTTTCTTGACTCGAAGGTTCTGATTAAGTGATGATGATGACACGAGCTGGGCCTGATGATGGTTATAATATGATGGGGGGCTCTTGATATTACTATCTTATACCTGTTGCTCACGGGTAATATCAAGCAGGAATACCGCCGACATACAGTGGTAGGGAACTGCAAACATGTATTATGGGAACGATTTGGTTTTTTTTTGGTTTTTTTTTGCGGCACTAAAGGGCGCACATCGGTTCTGTCTTGTTTCGATACATATTTTTCCTGCATATTACAGTTCTCATCAACCCTGCAAACAGTTTACCCTGTATTGAGAGGGCGAGAGCAAATAAAAAATATTTTTGATAAAAGAACACATCATCTTCTAGTCACGGTTTCAATGGACCTGTTACCTTGGCTAGACAGGCATTGGCCGCAAAGCAGCAATCTCATGGAGGCTTTACATCCATCCTTGCAATCTTCGGTGATTTCGCCCCTCTCATATCCTCTCGTGTACGACGGGCAACGTCGAGTGTTAACGGCACAGACTAATTACATTATTGTAGACACGTCTGGTCGGTTTGCCTCAACGGGTCGCCAATATACGCAACATTTCCTTGCAATACCAGAGATGTTTGTTTGACAAAGCATGGACAATCACAAAGACACATAAGTAGCGTATGAGAAAATACACTATGTATTAATTACCTAAAATGGCAAAAGCCAACTCCATTGCCCCTGGGAATGGGTATCTCAATGCAGCATTAGTGGTCAACTATGACCTCCCTTCATTTTATACATGATCCATTACGTCGTGACAGCCGGTAAAAAAAAAACTTGAAACTTGTTTTTTTCTTTAAGAGAGCATCGACCCTCCAGTTTGTTCACACCCAGGTTAGATCATCAGGGCGAGACCCATACCGGCAGCGGCGATGAGACCAACTGGGCCGACAGTCTGCTGAGCAGCGAAACCCGAAGAGCTGCTGCTGCTGGCAGAGCCCTCACCAGTCTGGGTCGAGGTGCTCGTGGACAGGGTGGTGCCAGTGTGGGTCGAGGTGGCAGTCAAGGTAGTGCTCTCGTTGGAAACAGTGTTGACATCAGTTCCAGTGGTGGTGCCAGTGCTAGTGGACTCGACCTCGCTGGCAGAAACAGTCGATACGGCGATAGAGGTGACGGAACCAGCGCTGTCAGTGGACTCGGAGAAGACAGTAGAAACAGCGCTGCCAGCGGCTGAGGCATCAGAGGTGATGGTCGAGACAGCTACGGAGGTGACAGATCCAGCGCTGTCAGTAGACTCGGAGAAGACAGTCGAGACAGCAGCGGCAGCCTCAGAGAAGACGGTCGAGACGGCAATGGAGGTCACGGAGCCAGCACTGTCAGTCGACTCGCTGAAGACAGTGGAGACGGCAGAGCTAGCAGCACTGGCAGCACTGGTAGCATCAGTGCCAGAAGCAGTAGTAGAATCAGCTCCCTGCAATAAAGAGTCAGCAAAGTCATCGATTACGTTAAATAATGATGATATCTTACAGTGGTAGCGGCACCGGCGTCGGCGACGACAGTGGTCGTAGCGGAAACGGTGGCAGGCTGTGAAATGGATGATTAGTATCAAGGTCAAGCAAGATTGCCTAGCAGATACTCACCAGAGTGCTGTCAACAGAGATACCGGAGACAGCGATACCAGCATTGGCACAGTAGTTGACTCCAACCTGCTTGACGAGATCGGCCTCGCTGGAGCTCGAGCAAGCCTGGTCTGCACAGTCTCTAACTCCGTACAGGAAGTTGACGTTGGAGCAGAGGCACTGAAGATCCGAGGCGCTGCAGTTGAACTCGCTGCCGGACTTTGCAAGCATATTTGTGATACAAGTGATCTGAAAAGAGAGCTTGTCAGTTTCCACGGTTTCCAAAATGAGCTGGATGTATGAGTTGATACCACAGCGTCAGATCGTGACCACAGCAGTGGTCCGACGCGACTCCAAGTATCAAATCAAAACCAATTGGGAAGCCAAATACTTACACCACACTGGGGGAAACCGTTAGGGAAGTCGGTCTGAGCAGCAGCCAGGACAGCAGCCGAGGCGCCGAGGAGGATGGTAGAAGTCTTCATCTTGATGGATTGATTTGGTGTAGGTTGGACCTGATTGTCTGCAAGAAAATGTAAGAAGTCTGAGTTTTGAACGAATATGATGCTCAAAAAAGCGTGCAAAAATGTGACGATGCGCGGAAAGGCGTGTCTTGCGTGTCTTGTTTATGTGTTGATGTTTGCTGGTGTGATTTGTGAATGAGATGTGTTTCTGCTGTAGTGGGTTGTTTGTTTGTTGTATGGAAAAAGGACAAACGGGGGTTTGCTTGGTCGGACTGGAGGGGAAGGGGGAAAGTATTTCTTTCAGTTTGCTAGGCTTGTGCTGCCCAATTGCTGGGAATTGACACCGGGGAAGGCTCAATCAGAGGCAATTGGTTTCGTGTTGCAACTCGGAAAGAGCGTCCGACTTGTCGTGCACCAGACCAGGCAATAACGAGTGTTGCGGAAGGTATCATGTATAGAATAATGATGGGGACGAGTCCTCGGCGTGGGGCACAGGCGGCAGCGGTTGGAAAAAGGTAGGGGGATCCGGGCGGTTAGGCGAGGTTTATACTACCTCCTCCGCCCACCTATCAAACCCAATTCATTCCAAGGACACAATGGAAAGAACGAAACGACGCCATGACAACAGGGCAGCTGACAGGACTGAAGGCTCTTCCTCTCGACGACTTGTTTCACTTACCGAAGAGTAGATGATTAGATGCAACGGCTAAGATTGATCTTGTGGAATTGACACGGGTTGTTTGAGATGAAGGCTTGAAGAAGGAGAAAGGGGAGGAGGATTGGTGTAAGTTGTATGCTGCAGTAGATCAAATCAGACAAGACACAAACCTATCTTGGGAGGACAGCCGGGACTCATTAAATATGAGAGATTTGGCTAAAGAGGCAGACAGACAGACGGACGATGAGAGGATACCTGGGAACGGGTGGAACTAGTTAGACCCAAAGGCTTGCTACTGCTATCTGCTGTGGCTAGGTTTCTGTGAATCCGTGTCATACATGGAAATCTCCCCCAGAGCCCTGGTTAAGCAGGCCTTGTTTGACGATGTGATCGGGCCAGTATTTTTTTTTTCCTCTTCCCTTCCCTTCTGTGCTATGCTCTAGTCGGACCATTCGACTGGTTACCTGCGTTACCCATGGCAGGTACTTAGTTAGTTGTCCATGCAGGTGCCAACCTCCTCCGCTCTCCCTCCCCTTGGCAAAACTTGGATAGAACGTCGATTAGCTGCACCTCTATTAGCTAAGGCACTGCCTGTTCCTTGTTTCTCGGCACACCAGGAATTGAGCTAAGCCAGGGCCTGGCCCGCCCCGCCAGCCGACTATGCCAGCGCATGTCTATGAGTGAGCTCATCGCTGCAAATCGTTTGTGGGGGAGCTGGAGATCGAGCATTTCTCTTGGCAATCTGCTATCTAACCGGCGCTGGGTTAGTCTACCTAGTCAAAGTACCAGAGTTCCCAAAGGCCCTGTTTATTTGGCCATGATATCAACAAGAGTCTGCAATCTCAAAGGAATATTCTTCGCTTGTGCCGAATTCCCTGGCCTGGCAGCAATGACCAACCGACCACCTCCCACGTGCAGCATCAGAACCACGGTATTCGGCATGGTCATTATTCACTGCAGCCAAGCAATGGTTGACGGTTCTAGTTGCTACTTTCTGTGACCATTCAGCAATTCTTTTTCCGAGTTCGTACCTACTGCAACAACATACACAATTGATTCACAATGCCTTTCCACGTTTCAATTGAATTGTGAGAGCATTTATTTACTCATTCCTCTGGGGAAATGTTCAGAAAGGGGCCGAGAGAAGATAATTAGATACCACGACGGAAAGCTCAGTCATTTCCAAGTAACAACCAACCACCTCCAGTAGAATGCATTGCCGATGGGCTCATAATACACAGCGCGGGCAAGCACCTGTCGTGAAATATGAATGCCGTGGTCTTTCTCGCACTTTGGTTAGGCTACTAGCCGCTCTGTGCCACCTATTACATCACAAGCCCAAGGAGTTACACTTTACTTCATTTCCTAGCCGACCTCTCGGGTAGTCCGCTTACCAGTGCGCACCTAGACAACAAGTCTCTACCGCCACTTCCAGGCAGGCTCTTCTTGCTCCAAGAACATGAAGGTAGAGTCTAGAGTCCTACACACTAACACTACTACTGTACGCGGAGGCTGCTCGCTAGCACAATTACCGCGGCGGTACTGTTTAGGTCGATGTTGTTTCACAGGCCTCCGGAGGGGCAGTGAATACATTACCTACCCTCAGCTGAGAGTAAGTCAGGTCAGCGCGCCACTGGACCGGGCCCTGATAGCGCGCTGTCAACTATACTAGATGCATGCTGAAAGCAACGCGGATCGCTGGGCTACGAACAACGACAACCGACTATTGACTCTCCATGACCACATCTCTCGCCGACAAAATGCACAGTCGATCTGTAGCATATGGCGAACTCAAAGCCTTGCATCAGAACGGAATCCGATCGTTGGGTCTTGATCGTTTTTGTCAGTCCGTGCTGAGACGGACCCCGCCAAAAAAAAAAGAAAAAAAAGAAAAAGAAAAAGGCACATTTGGCAAAGAGAGCTTCATGGCAGCGAAAAGCAGGAATTGGGCAACAACAATGACATGCCAAACATGTAACATCATGCTTCGTTCCTGTAGGTGCATTTGCTTGATTACATAGTACAGGCAAGGTACCCACCCTGCCTGTCCCCATGTCGTACGGTCCAGAATCCACACAAGGGTATTTTCCGCAGCCTAGTAGTATACTACCGCATCAGCCCATGAGGCGCAACGACGATATTCAACAGCGCCAACATTCACATCAAGGCTCTGATTGTACTCTCATCTTCCAGTATGACATCTAGTTCTTCATATCCTGGCGTATACGATGCAAAGAACAGATGGCTGATGGCTGGGGCTCTGTGATGTTCCATGGACGGTACTCGAAGAAAACAGGTAACCAAGCCATTCAATTGTCCAGGGCCGGTCTCTGGTTAAAGTTTGATTAGGACGGCAAGGCGATAGAGTCGATGCCAATTGACTGTCGAGAGTTTCAGATTCAGGCCAAGCTACCAAGCGCCACAACTTGGGCAAATACTACCTACCTATCTGCCAACCTCCAGGCCAAGTTGCCAGGGGCCAAGGGGCCTGTCAGATTTTCAGATTTCCGCATTGGATGTTCTGCGCGCCTGCGCGCGCCTGTGGATCTATTATCGATCTGACCAACAAGAGCGCGCGTACCAAATTTTCTTGTCCAGTCCTGGCCATTACCTCGATGCGATATCATCCAGAGTATCTCGGCAGCACGAACAACAAAAGGTTTGCTCAAGTCATGAGCAAAGCTCTTCCCAAATACAATACATGTGGCTCGGAATATCCATGCAAACAGAGCTCATCGCAGCATCGTCAAATTGATGTCATACCGACACCGATTCTTTTCTTTCATGATCGGACAGGCGACAGCAGGCATTGCTATGACCAGCGAATGATCCGACTTCCGGTTCCATTCTCCAACTTTCGACCCACCAAAAGGATTCGCCGGTTCTGGCTCCACTTGTCCGCCGACTCGGGATCCTCAGCGGAATTTATGAGCTCAAGCCTGTGCTTGATACTAAGGGACGTGATATCTCACGATGATTGATAACAGCTGCAGATTCTTGACAGTTCGTAGCTCCAATAGCTTCGCAACGGGCATGTCGATCGTAGCCTCGGCCTCTGAACGGGCCCCAGCCCAGCTGAAAAAGTCTTTCTCCAAGCATCTCTTGTCTACCGATCGGTTCCCTCTCTCTCAACGATGCCTTTCAAGCTTAACCAGTAGCGTCAGTGGTAGCTTGGTGCATAGTCACAGAAGCTCAGCGAATCGGCACCCTTCGCCGACTGGAGGTGACGACACGGCCCCCACAGGCCAAAATAAGGTTGCATCAGTAGACTGGGTGAATCTCAGCGTTGATGGTTTTGTTGCCGGGCAACTTTGTGATACCTGCTGCTCAATGGCTTCACCCCTGAGGGCAATTCACACCAACTCCCGAGACATTCTCTTGTCACCGCTTCAGACAATCTATGAGATCAAGTTTACATGTCAGACAGCTTGTAGCTCAGCTTGACGATCCTGTCTAGAATCAACTGGCTTTTCTTTGAAAGTACGTGTCTTGCCAGTTTTTGGCCCCACGATATACCCACGCTCCGACAGAATGGAAAGAAAGGTATAGCACTTTTCAGAAATCATGTTTCTCTGCAAGTCAAAGGAATGGAAGAAAGCAGCAATACTTGCCCTAAGTCAGCGCATGGTACAGGAGGAACACAGCACGATAAATTATCTAATTACACACCTTTGGCCCAAAGACAATCAACCCATCGTGCATGCCTAATACTCGAGAGGCATTCTCCTCGCCGCATCACGTCCTCCAACTGTGGCGCTATGTCCGACAAGCCCTACCATGATCAATCGAGTACAAGAAATCTGGACTGTTGTGTTTGTGCATTCAGTCCACAACCACGCAATTGTGTACGGCCAGCAAAGGACCCAGGAAATGAAACGCACACTCTTGTAGACGGTCAGCAGACAGGGGCCTTCCATAACAGCAATGAGGCTTTCAGTGACAAGAATCACCCAGGAGTAAGCCGAGGGTCGTTACAGCTGGGGGAATGGCAATCTTGAAGCAAATGCAGCCTCCAATTGGGAGGGTGACCTTTTGCAGACCGACTTCTGCCCGTTTCCGAACAATTTCCTCAACATGCAACATCGTGGCCCAGTCACTTACATATACGAGTTGTGTACGCGCAAGGTGAAACGACAAGCACGCGCCAAAAATCTCCCCACGTGCAACATTCCCGCCTGCAGGGGAAAGTTTGATTTGTTACCGTACGCCATGCTGCGTATACTTACATTACTTGATTGAGAGTTTCGGATCTGCCCGCGGCTGTTGCAAAGAGAGAGAGGGACAAAAACCAATGGGCTGTGGCTTTTCTTTCGTGTCACTTACACTCACCCCTCTTTCTAAACCACACGTGTAATTTGTGCTTGTGGCTGTTCCTCATCTTTCTCGGCTGTATTCGACTGTTTTCAGTCTTTGGTGCAAGTATCGAAAAAGTTTTACACGCCGGAAAAATGAGTCCATGCTATTTGACCGGGAAAAACTCCCTTAGCTCATCAGCCTCTCTCTAATGACGTTATGTCTCAAAGCATTGGGACGTTTTCTTTCCGTTCTTTTTCCTTTTTTTTTTTCCCCCTTCTGCACAAGCTCGACAAGCAGCTGAAAGTGCCGGCACTATTGGTGATGCCGCTGCCACACTATTGGCACACTAGCGAGCGACGACGTTGTGCTTTGGTGTCAATTCTGTTCTGGCGGTTGTAACCAGGCATCAAAAGTACGAATTAAATTTTTTTATATCTCGACGAAAAAAAAATATTTTCCGACGCTGGACAATTCCAGTGGGGGTTCATTTTTATTTCATTCTCCATGATGAAGTAATTCAAAAACAAAACGTTATCTTCGGCTGACCCGGAATACGGTGAGGACTAAAACCATGACGATGGTGATATTTGGATCTTCATCAAGACGCCCTGGAGCAGTTTAGTTCTTCTGAAGTTTCAATTCTCCCAAGAATATTCATGACTGAGCAAAGCTGTCAAGTATGCCAATGGATACGAGAAAGACATGGCGTTTCTTCGTCGGCTTCTAAGCGTTTTTGTTCTTCCTTTTTCTTCCATCGCTCGTAGTGACACCATATATATCACACTCGGTCCAAAGAGCGTCATTCACAACAAAACTCCAACATGTAGGACGCGAGGCTCGATCAAACGCTACAGGTTAAAGGAAAGGCCCATCAAGGGATGCCGACGGGACCATACAATTTGGCTAGCTTTGCGCACATTCCTCCCATCAAGTCAATATCATCATAATTACACGTACTGGTTTATCATTCCGTAACCTTTGCTCTCAAAGAGACGCTGACGGTCATCCACGAGAGACTCATGATGATCGCTCCCCCCCAGATGTACCTGGGAGAGAGATGCCGCTCTAGATGATTGATATACACTTGGGCCACTGACGAGTCCTCGAGCCGGAACGTGACCTAGATAATGATCGTGCAGAGCGAAAAGCGAGGATTGAGGCTATCACTTGTCAAGGATATGTCATACACCCGCCAAGGCATTGTCTACGTACCACTCTGTCAATATGACCCCTCAGCATGAATACACGGCGAATGAGGGAGTATTTTGAAAATCGATAAGCTATAGAGAGAGCTAGAATGCATGTGAATTGTACTCTGATGGCCGACCCTGGGCTAAATATCTTGAAGATTGGGACTCTTGAAGAGTGTTTTCTACCAAATGTAGATTCAATCTTAATTATAAACACTGCATCAGTCTCGCCTACCCATGAGGTGAGTAAAGACAATTCATCTCCACGTTTGATAAGCGAGGAGATTGGACTCTATGTTGCGTCACAATATGCAACGAGACAGATTCTCGGCTTCATTCCAGCGCCATTGCATATTCTTCGCATTCAATGTCCAGGGTCAATAGATCGTCTCTTCTTTTGGAATAAAAATAAAATGGTAGCCCATCGATTCAAATCACCTATACACAAAAACCAATTATATTCGTACGGACACGAGTGTCCATCCCTACACGAGCCAGATACCTTTTTGTTATATCATGGGCAACATGTTTCTTCCTCCACTCAGAAAAGCCGATTCAACATTCATGAGACGAGGAATGGGATGACCCGCATCTCAGAACATGGAATTCTTTCTTTCCACCAATCTCAATCTGTACTCTCCACAAGAAGAGGTAGAAGTAGAATGGTTTGCCTGAGATTTGGTCGTTAACAGCCGTTATTGGCCCGAGACATTAGTAGAATCTGTCCAAGACTTTTAGATTTCGACATTTGAGAGTAAGCAGTTGTGAAACATGACACTCTTTTTTCATCTCGTGAAACCATAAGTTGGGTAAAGCCTGGAATCATGGACAGTTGTCATTCCACGCCTCTACCCATATCCAAGAGATACCCGCCGTTACGCCAGAGTTATCTGAGCTCTACAAAAACAAATAACCACTGCCTATGAGTCCTGATTGCTTTCCAAGGCCCCCTTCCCGCCTTTTTTTCTGATTACTTTCGCCTGTTTGTGAGGTACTGCCCATATATATGTACCTAGAAGACGATCCATGGCCCGCAACGCGTTTCTCGTATACACGCATATGAACAAAACAGTAATATAAGATCTGTCTGTACCTTACGCCTTTTTTGTTTGTTTCGATGTGGCCTCCGACCCATGTGAAACCGTCCCGTCTAGACCTTTTTTTTTTAACAGTGGGAAATCTCCAAGCAGAAATAGCGAGCGACTCGGAGCCGAACACTGAGCGCCGTCGTGTTGATGCAAATCTTCCATACCAAAGCGGTGATTTTTCAATTGTCCAGCTCTAAAGAGCCTATTTCTGCCCCTGGTCTTATTTAAATACCCCGGTATGCGATGACGTTGATCCGACACCTCTTTCTCTAGAACGTGAGAAAATCGACCCACGTGTTTGTTCTTAATAAAGGTGGTGGGCCATCCGACTTGCGTACGAGTGAGACATGACAGACGTCCCCTGTCGACCGCATGCTCACCACTGTTGCTGTCGGGGAGCGCGAGCAGGCTCTCATTGATTTGCTTCGGAGCTCTTCTTCAGCTTATATGTCCCACGTAGCTGAGGAAAGGTTCGATCAAACTGGTCGCCAAGCGTCCAGTTGTCCAGCCTCTTCATGTGTGTCTCAAAGACGGGATTTATCAGCAGCTCCCCGTCGGGATTCTCAATAAGCACGTCTGTTTCCTCGTACGGCCAATTCAACGACAAGGTATTTGTAAAGGGAACGAAGAAATCGTCAAAGGGAAACTCGACCTGCGCTGCGGGAGCATATCGAAACGACTTTGCTATCTCCTCTCGCATCTCGGTGAATGGGAGATGGTCAACCCAAGCCGGGTGCTGCACTGCAATTTGAGAATGCGTTGGTATACACCAAGTCGGCAGACGGTCAAAGTTCTCCCGCGTGGGTGATATCTGCCACCTCATGATTAGGAACATGACATAGAGTACAGCTACCTTCTCGGGTAATTTGCTAATGCCCGGGAAGGCGCGGAGAATATCTGTAAAGACTTGCGATACAGGATGTGACTGCTGGCTCTGTTGGGGATTGAGCAGCGACTTGACACTAGGATATCGCGGCCCTACAAGCTCCTGGGTTGGAACACCTTCGGCTGCCAGCTGTCTTCGCTCCTTGAGAAAGTCGAGAAGAAGACTGTCCAGTGGACATGTCGGACCGCAATTGTTGATGGGCGCCTGGACGCCAATCCAAGAATCATTGCCTTGAGCGGACGGCAGGCCGGTTTGCCCGGAAGCAAAGGTGGCATGATGCTGTGTACTATGAGGCAAGGAACCGGAGCTTTGATTGTAGCTCTCAGAGCGTTGGCCGGCCTGGGCGAAGCCATTCCAGTCATGCTTCAGTGGCATGTGCGGGTACCCAGGCGCATCCTGAGCACCGCCATCTCCTGCCTGCATTCGACTTCCAGGCATGGTCAATCCATCGAGGAGGAAATTGAGCTTGAGCTGCTCGCCTCCGGGACCAAGATCCAAAGCATGCAGGGAATTATGCCGTTGCTGAGTGATCATTCTGGCTTGGTCAAAGTGCGGACTCGTCTGAGTCGATGAGCCGGCACTCTGCGGCGCTGGGTGCTGCCATGTCGTTGTTGCTGCCGAGTTTGGCGAAGCTGCGCTGGGTGGCGTTGAGGCAGCGCCAGTCCCTGTACTGACCGGCCCAGTGGCAGAGGGCTGGGCTGGTAGAAATGAAGGCCCCGGAGAAGCATATACGCCCTGCTGAGAGCCAAGGATGGGCTGTATCAAGGACATTATTGACGCCATCCTATTCTTGACATCGAGAAGCTCCTGCTCGACAGCTTCCTTCTTCCTGAGCACAGCCTGGAGCTCCTGGTAAGGTTGCTGAGACGTCAATTCCGTGATCTTGTTCTCCAGGTTCTCGATGGTGTGCTTAGTACGCTCGCGAATAGCTCGCTGAGCTTCTCGGTCTGAGGAGAGCGTCGAGTGTCAGCTTTCACAGTTTCTCCTCGCGTTCTTCTCGATTTGTGGGAACTGAAGAGTAATTGCGTCCCGCCAAGAAAGGCGGCTGCAAAGCACCAGTTGGGTGCTGCGGCAACAAGTCCACCTTGGCGAAGACGAGTACGCAAGAACAAGCAAAAGGAACGACAACCACGGGGTTCAACGTACCATTGGCGCGCTTCTTGGCCAATTGCTCTGGAGTCAGGTTGGCGACTCCCCTCGAGCCGGGACCTCCCTTGCGCTTCTTGGTGCGCTGGTCCTCGGGGGCAGCACCATCGTCCGGTGAGGCCTGGGACTCGGCGGGAGAGTCGGCGACATCGTGGCTTACGGACAGGCCCCGGGCGTGCGAGTGGGTACGACCGGGGGCGGAAGAGGGGAGAATGGGATCGGAAGTGGATGCCGAAGCGTTGGTATTGTGACTACTACTATTATCGGGATGATGGGTCGTGGCCGCCGTGGCCGTGGCCGTGGCAGCTGCTGCGGCGGTGTTATGATTGCTGCTGCTGCTGCCGGCGGAGGTGTTGGTCGCCGTCTTTCTGGCAGGGCCCATGGTTTATGTAGAGAGGACGATGCATAATCTCATCATCCTATAAGTTCAGGGGTAGGTCGCATTAATGTTCATGTAATGTAAGGTAATGCAAGAAGGGGAAAAACAAAAACACAAAAGTGGTGTGTTGTGCTGCTGCTGCTGCTGCACAGTAACGGCAGATCAGTCGGCAAGGTACGTATGGTAAATGTTGTAGTGGATGGTGGTGTTGAAGGACGAATGCGGTTGCGATTCGCACCACTCACTCAATCGCCCACCTACTCGGCTACCAAGAGAAAGGCTAGCCCAGCTTCTTTCCTTCTTCTGCTTCTGGGAGCCTTCGAGGGCTATTTTCTGCCGAACAGGTCCAGGTCCAAGTCAAGGGTAGACCGCCCACATTCGGGAAATAGGTCTAGACAGCTCGAGGTAGGTGCTGTAGCTGGGCTGGCTTGCTAGACACTTGACCGCCCACGGCCAAGGTTGTTTTCGATCGATTGCCTTTTGTCCGTGGGGGCGCGCCAGGTAAGAGACCCGAAGAGAGAAAAAAAAAAATTAGAACTCCCTAGGGCTGAGCGAATTCGGGGCAGAATAGGTGGGCAAGGCGCAAAAGTTGAGCTCACCTGAGACTCGACCCGTCCTCATCAGGTACCTTATTCTCTTCTCTTTCCACGAGCTTCAATGCCAAGTCACAGACAATCCGTGTCGGTATGTTAGGTAGCTGGGCAAAGGTCAAGTCCAGTCTGCTGCACATGTCTCTCAAGCTGGGGCTCCGCCCCCAGCTTCTTTCGTCCGCTTCAATTGGCTTTTTTTTTTAGGCTCCATGTGCCGGAAGCTTTCTTCCCTTCCCAAAGCACTTGAAATACCCACAAGGCCACAGCTTGAATTGGCGGCCCCCACAATCCCTTCTCTGCCCCTGTTGGCTGCACCTCTCGAGCTACTACAACCATCTAACATAGGTACTACATTACTTAACTGCTTGTCATAGCTCATGGGTTGCTGCCGAGGAAGCTGAGACGAACCGAGCAGCCTCGAGTCATTTACAAAGCTATATTATACCTAGGACCCTGCTATTACGTCGAGTCCTACGACCTACTTTGCGACAACTTGATGGCCTATCTTTTCTTCATCAATCCGTGCCGAGTTTTGCCGTGGGAAGGATTGGCACGTGTATATCGTATACATTGCGGAATACACTCAAAATCGCCATTGTATTACCAGAGTAGTGGCAGCAAATAAAACAATATTGTTGTGTCATTTATTCCTTCTATTGGCGTTCGCGATTCGCCTTCTTTCAGCCAAAACAGTCACATCTGGCGGAATATTGAATCGTCTACGAAACAACTGCTTTGATACTGGAGGGGGGGAAAGAGCCTTTTGAAATTGCCCATGATCGATGGTTATTCTGACGGGACAAACAAAGTAAATTCTTCTCCCCTTTGTCGTCCTTTTCCCTTTCTCACTCTCCAAAGAGGCACTGAGCTGGCTCGGCAGAATTCCCGCCTACCTCAGACCGTCAAACTCTCATATAGTCCAGTGCACGCCATGCTAAGATCTCCTAGCTTCCTGTCCCGATTCGTCCCTAATTGTGCCCATCAGTGCCTCAGCCAACACCTAATCAGCCGAAGCTCTAGCCAGAGCTTGGTGCAAGTGCGGTGGGAACCGGTACTTGAGCTGACTGGTGTACGTCGTCAAGTCCATGCTGATCTGCTTGAGATTGTCCACCATGATGCGCCGCGTGCCCTCGTTACCGCTGTACTGTCCGCTCAACAGCCTCTCCCTCTGGTTCATGCAGCACGTGATTGTCCACATCAGCAGGTTGGGTATGTTGATGGCCACTGGCTGAGATAGCCCGGCGAATTTGGACGCGTATTGGCGGATTATGCTGGGGTCACCACGTGCATCCAATGGCAGAATCTGAAGTGCTTGGATTTTCTGAAAATTCATAGTTAGTCTTACTGCGGCCAGGGTGGTTCTCGAGAAGGGCAGAGGTAGATCGGTGTCAACTTACGTCCAAGCTTTCTGGCCACTGGTTAGCCTCAACCATGCCCTTGATCTCGCTCATCTGTAACAAAAGGTGGCATGCGCTGCGGTTCTGATCCTGGATCTTGGTGTAGAACATGGCGTCCTTCTCGTACATGGACATCATTGTCCTGGCGAGGTCTATCGGGTCATCAATGGCAGCGAGACTAAGACTGCTGCCTGTCTGTACATCGTCCTTACCGGCGGCTCGGGGTTTGACTGGTTGCAGACGCATCGGGTCTTCTCCTATGTCGAGCGAGATCGCTTCACTAAGCGCGCGGCTGACAATGGTGACGACGCTGTCGTAGTCGCCTGCGAGGTGATAGAGGAGAACCGCATCCGTCGTGCGTCCGTTCTCATCTGCGTATCTAGCAGCTTGGAGTGTCACAGCCTTGATAAAGTCGTCTTCTTCCCTCAGACCGATCAGAGGGCCACGCTCTTCGACCAATCCAGTGATACGGTGACCATCAGGGCGGATATCACCAATCAACTTGCTGAACTCCCGTGTCTCGAGGACAAGCTCACGTAGTGCCAAGTGACAAAGCTCGACTTGCGATCTTCCAGCCTCGCCTTCCAAGTCGGCGTTGAGACAGATCAAGGTAAAGTAATCAACGGCTGAAGCCACATCCGCTGCCCGGAAGTCCCTTGTGTAATATCCGAGCATTCTTCCAAAGCTGATCTGGGGTTGCGATCTCGTGTTGTAGGTGAGAAGCTCGTTGGCGTTGCCCCACGAGTCGGAAGGACGTAGGAGACCGTAGAACTCGAGACCAATCGCAAAGTGAATAGCATCAACGTAAGAAAAGGGGTATAGGTATGCAATAGCTTGCTCGAACATGCCCGCCAGAATCTGAAGGAAGAACGACATGCCAAACTGTCCGTTGGAGTCATCGGCTGGTGACTTGGGGAAGTGCCTGAGGACAATCTCCCGAATGGTCTCCTGCAGATTGGCCAGTGTGTATGATTCGCCAGCCATCTCGGTCAGTTTGTCATTCTCTCTAGCGAGGTTGAACTGAAGCCAGATCCAATCGTAGATGTCCGTGTTTAGTCCCTCAAGGTTGCGATTTGCAACCTCACAGCGCCCAACAATCTTATAACAAGCCATTCTGAATGGGTCGATGCTGTTTTCGGGGGCATTTCGAACACGTTGCGTGTATTCGTTGTTGCAGCGCTCCTGTAATTGTCTTCGAAGACGGCGGTCTTCGCTTGATGCATACTCCAGCAAGTATGAGGAAAAGGTTCTGTCAATGCTGCGGAACGTGGTAGCATGCTCCTTAACATACTCCGCGGCCTCTGTAACGTGACCAGAACGCAAGAGATAGTACACCAGTGCCCAGACGTACTCCTTGTTGACCTCTTGAAGCTGCGTATTGTCGGGCACAAGGTCCTTTCGGTTCTGCCGCAGTCGCACATATGCTTTGATCTTGCTCACAACATCCGGACGACCACCAAGGTTGGCCTCTCGGGGGTATTTGGTGATCAGAGCCTCGACCTCGTCAAAGAACTTCTTCTCCAAGAACTCATTCGAGCCCTTCAAAACTCTCTTGCGCCATTGGATGGAGCTGGGCGAGTTACTTTGCAAATCTAGATACATCTTCTGGAACTGTCGTTCTCTGGCTGTGGAGTTCTCGGCAAAAGATTCGGCATCTGGGTCTTCCCCTGTCATGCACATGACGGCATGATAGGCATCTACCAAATTCTGGGCATGCCGATCACCTGAAGCACTCTCAACCTGGCTCAGCTCGTGGAGAATTGAGAACGGCCTTTGCTGCAAACGAGCATTGTTGAGTTCCCTGATGCGCTCTGCGAGTTTGCCCTGCTTCTCCCGGAGAAAGCGGTCATCAATCGAGCCGCTTCCACTGATGGCATTTGTCTTGGAGCTCTGGTTCTCCACGTCGGTAAATTCGGCCTGGTGAGGACCAATTTTGCTAGGTGTGCCAATGACAGACTTTTGAAGATTTGATCGACCAAACACACTGTTCTTCTCGCCACCGACCGTCGACTTGCCGGCTTTGCCTCTGCGGGATCGACCAAATCCACCGAGAGACTCTCTCGGTGCGCCGGGGGCATCTGTCGGGCTGTCACGGGGCTTGATGCCAAAATGCTCGTAGATTCGTTTCCGCTGTGCTTCCCATTCTTCTGTGACATTGTCCTCGAGAAAGTTGTCAAAGTCCCGAACGGAACGCTCTAGACCGTCAGCAATCATGCTAAGGGTAGTCTTTTGTTGAAGGTTGGCAAGGTATGTGTCGACGTCGATCTCAGCAGGGCCTGTGATGGGCCGCTCGACACGGCCGGCTTGGATATCAAAGTAGTTGAGGTCTCGAACGGCGGCTCCCGGGTCCATGCCAGAGGCCGCGAGGGTGTATTGAGCCCTGGCGCTCTGCAGAGGGTCGGTGCTTCGTGGGCCAAGCTTTCTAAGCTTTTGTCGCAGGTCGCCCAGACCCAGCTGGAGAGTAGGGAGATCGTCGTTTGGAGCCTCGCCTTCGGCACGCTTCTTGCTCTTTGACAGCAGACTATCAAAATAGCCCATTGGAGCGGCTTGCGATTGGGCATTGGGGTTCTGTGAGGCTCCGAGACCGAGCAGGCTCTGTCCTGCTTGGTTGTTGTTGGAAAGACCGGCAAGGCCAAGAGCACCAGTACTAGGCGCCTGGTTTGATGCCGGAGCTGCGCCAAAGAGTCCACCTCCGAGTCCGCCACCGGTATTTGATTGAGGCTGAGCTGTACTGTTACCAAAGAGGCCACCACCAGAGGCGGGCTTGTTCTGAGTGTTTAGACCACCGAATAGTCCACCTCCAGTGGAAGGTTGAGCAGCAGGGGTGGCACCACCGAAAAGTCCACCCGTGGTGCCCGTGTTTCCAGTCGTGTTCGAAGTCGCATTAGGATTCGCGGCCCCAAACAAACCGCCAGTGCCTGCCGTGTTCGTCTGAGTGTTGGTGGCGCCGCCAAAAAGGCCACCCGAAGCGGGCTGGGTCGTGGATGCAGCAGGAGTCGTTGATGCAGCAGCTCCACCAAAGAGACCGCCGGTAGCGGGTTTGTTCTGGCCCCCCAGGCCCGAGAAGAGCGAGGTCGATGCTGGGGCAGCCGCCGTGTTTGTGTTTGGAGTGCCGAAAAGTCCACCGCCCGAGCTGGGCGCGCCAGCAGCCGGCGTGCCAAAGAGACTCATGATGGATCGAGTAGAGCACTGCGAGCCGTAATGCACATCGATTGGAGGAAAGGAGGTGATTCGGACAGGAAAGTATTAGCAGCGTGGTGGTGAAGTGCTCCTCACTCACCCTTGGGTTGCTGTAAAAGAAGCTCTAAAATTCACACGAGGCTGAGAAAACAAATCAACAAGGCGGGAATCCAGAAGCTAAGCTAGGCTTGCTAGGCTGTTGGTTGCTAGGCTCTAACGGGTGCTTGCACTGCAGGCAGTCAGTGGAGCAGACAGAACCTTGACCGACCCACCAAGAAAACGCGGTTCCGCCAAGATTTTAATGGGGACTGTCTCGCTAGAGCTCGGGCTTTATTATTTGAAAGCTTTAGTATTTAATTCATATTGCCTGTCAATAGATGCCTCAGGTACATCAAGGTACGTTACCATTTCCTGTGCCTTGAGGACAAAATCTCCAGCCCTCGAGGCCTTCACTAATTGCAGTAGCATCTCAATCGTGCATTCAAGGCTAGACACGGAAAAAAAAAAAAAAAAAAAAAACACTTCTCATCACTGTTTGTTCTTGACACTTCCTGAATGTAAGGTTGTACGCACTCATTGGGGTAAATAAACGCTCTAGCTCCCTCCCTCCCTTTCTCTTCTATCGATTGAGGTTCACGCAAAATGGTCGAATCAAGGTCTTGTCTAATTACATCCGCACCTTTACTGCTTCCCAGGACAACATCATCGAACCAGCCTGTCTAGTTCAGTACTTTTACTTTCCAAAAGCCTTTGCCCAAGAAGAAGTTGCTTCATCAACTTTCCTGCGATACTCTTGTTGCGTACGGCACTGCTCCAGGAAAACCTCGTACTTGGCGTGAAGCAGCTTCTTCTCTCCCTCGTCGGTGCCGGGCTTGACCAGTCGGCCCGGCTTGCTCATGCGGTCCATGATGGTCCAGAGATTCTCCGTCTTGCCGTCGGCATCGGCACTGGCGGCTTTGGCTCCCAGCATGGCCGCACCGTGCACCACGGCGGCGTGGACGTACCGCGGAATCAGCACCGGCATGTCACAGGCTGTGGCCATGAGATCCATGAGCAAGGGGTTCTGGCACTGGGAGCCAGACATGAAGATGGTGCTGATGCTGTGGCCAGACTCGTTCATGGCCTCGATGATCTGTCTGGTCTGCAGTGCAATGAACTCCATGGTTGCATAGTAGTAGAGAGCAAGGCCGTCGAGACTTGCGTCTGAACTCAGCCCAATCACTGCGCCTTTCATGTTGGCATCAGCCACCGGCGAACGGTTGCCCCAGAGATCTCCATAGAAGAAGAAGTGTCGTCCCAGGTAGGATATCGTAGGAGCGCCCTGCTTCTCGGCCAACTCGGCCAAGTGAGTGTTTAGGTACTCGTAAATGTTCGTCTGCATTGCCTCGGCCATGGTTTTGGCACTGGAATACGCCGGGTGTGTCTCGATGACGTGCCTCAAGAGCTCGCCCGTGGCAGACTGTCCACCTTCGGCCATCCAGTAGTCGGGAAGAAGCACATCTCGGTAGGGTCCCCATACGCCATTGACAAAGACGGGCTTCTCAGACATGGCGAGATGGCAAGTCGATGTGCCGGCCACAGCGGCAAGTCGTGTGAAGGCTTGGGAAATGTCGTTTGCCGGGTGTGTCTCGTCTGATTGACCGTACTCAGTGTCGACCTTAGCGCCTACCGTTCCAATCCATCCAGCGTAAGCATCGATGACGCCGCTGCCGACGGCAATACCGACAGGCAGCCCCAGCTCTCGGCTTGCTTTGTCGGACAGAGTACCCACTAGCTCACCAGCACTGGCGTACTTGCCATTCTGTATATTTGCCATCATGTGTTAGCGAACTCATTCCAGAATGGAGGAGATGAGAACAAAAGAGATAGAAGGAGTATAATGAAATGGGCTCACCACCCCGTCGACGCCTCCCATGCGCTTAAAGTCATCCTTCACCAGGTCGCCGAGACCAATTGTCTCGTAAAAGTCTTCTTGCCAGCCCTTGACACTGCCGTCAACGCCGACGGGAACAAAGCCTTGCTTGCAGACGGTGCTGCAGTAGCTTCTGGTGTCATTGCCAGTGGCCATGTGCGTGAGTGCATCCGCCAGGTCATAGAACTTGCACTGGTCAAACAGTTCCGGAGGCATGTTGTTCTTGAGCCAGAGGACCTTTGGAATCTCCATCTCAATGCTCATTGTGCCGCCGACGTATCGGAGCAGGTTGTGATTGGTGGCATTGATCTTCTCCGTCTCCTCGACCGGGCGGTGGTCAAGCCAGAGAATGACATTGCGAGCATTGCCATCGTCCTCAAAGTTTGGACCGGTGACTGTGATGGGCTCGTCGGTGACATTGGAGAAAACAGCCAGTGAGCATGTGGCGTCGAAACCAATGCCCTTGATGGTGTTCGGATCAGTGTTGGACTGGTGAACAACCTTGTGAACACAGGTGCATATACATGACCAGATGTCCGATGTTGATTGTTCCTATCATTGTAAGATTAGCTTTGCGATGTGAAAGATCAACAAACCAGGTTGGGGTAGTATACTTACATAGTATCCGGTCTGAGGCTGCCACAGCTTAATCGGCTCTGAAGCAAGAGACTTGATGTCTCCGCTAGAATCGATTAGACAGGCGCGGGCAGAACCAGTGCCGACATCAATACCGATGTAATGAGTCTGTAGGATCTTGTCAATTGCCATGTCGCCGCTTGCTAGTAATAAACAGTGGTTTTGTTGAAAAGTGAGAACTAGTAGCTGGGTGGGAAGGAAGGAAAGAAAATTGAAAAGACACAAATTATTTGACGGGAGTAATTGAGCGGCCCGTAAAGCAGCATGTCAGGAACAAAGGAATTGGGAAAGAGCTGCAGTATGTACCTCAGTCTCAATGTGAATATGATTTCGTGTACTAGATGAGCAAAAAAGCAAACGCTCTTGGTCAGCACAAGGATTCCGATACCGCTGTAAGTATAGTGCCAGATGAGAAGCTTCGAGACTGCTTGAGATCGATCGAGACTCAAATTGGAGGGGGCGGATGAGTGATTACATACTCCATGCTTGCAGACAGACTCTCCTGAAAGTCGTTACACACGAATAGGCGATGTCGTAGGTAGGTAGGTAGGTAGGTAGGCAGGCAGGCCAGATAGGACCTCAACGGTTGAGGCTGGCTCGGAATGGACGGGTGACGGGGCGATGAGTGGACTGACTACCCGGCTACTGCTGTTTGTCTCGAAACGTCGTGTAAGACGTAGAGGAGGGGCGGGAGCAAGGTGAGAGAGGTCACGAGAAATATCGACAGGGCCAAGAAGTCACAGATGCAAAGCGAATAAGTAAGAAGGTCTCGAAGTAGCTGTGGCGTTCTTCTCTCCTCTTCTTCCGCTCCTTCTCTTTCTTTCTACCACAAGATTCTGGACTCACGAAGTTACCCCGACTATGCAGCGGAAGGGGGTCCAAAGGGGCATCCGGGGACGAAGTGGCATGTCGTCACTAGGGGTCGCTTACAACCCCACCATAGGCCCTGGGGCACAGCTATAGTGGAGAAGATGAGGTGGAGTTTGGGGAAATACAGGGACCTGATTCCCTATCGGACCAGTGCAGTCTGTCAATCATGCTGAGTATAAACTTTTTCTTTTCTTTCTTCGCTTGCCCTCTTTCTGTCTGTTGCTAGCTGCTTAGAGGGATCTGCCCATAATTGCCCATCGTGGCCCTTGAGCAAGCCACCCGATCACGGGCCTGTCGCCACGACCATAGAAGACGTGTTTCCTGGCAGAGGAGAAAATTGCCACATGCAGATCAGATCGTATCATTTCGTAGAACAAGCCCTTAGTTGCGCGGATCGACACCTTGGAAGCTTATTGCGTCCATTCAAACCTGGCCAGAAGGCTCACCGACACGGCCTGATACCTGCGGGCTTCTGGGCACAGGTGTGCCACCCCATCCTGCGTCTTGCTGCTTGGGAAGGTAGGTTGTGGGCTTCATAGTTTGTTAAATCTGGACTTGTCTGGCTATGTGGCTGCAAGGCCAAGTGTGGTGCTTCCCGTTCCTACTTATCGGGTGCCCGCCAGACATCTAGACTCTGCTAAGCTGCTGGCAATAGTCAGGGCCCAAGTCTATAGGCCAATTGTCAAATCAAGTCTCCATCTTGGAAATCCACTACTACGTCCTCTCCGGTTTCCCCGGACCAACTATTAATCGCTAGTAATAGCCTACCGAGCTTGTTTACATACCAATGCCCTCGATACGGACTGTGCAGCAGAAACCGTTGGCTATACTTTGCAGCCATCATATCGCGTATTCTCGTCACTCATAAGTCGTTTGCGTAAACCCGCTCTTTACTCGGACAAGGCGCGCTCTCTGTCCTCTACTAGTATGACGACCGTTAAAGTTGCTGCATAAGCTTCCCGAATAGCACATGCCACGCTATTAATAGTCAGCATGATGGGTATACTTCATCTAGGGAGGTAACTGCTGGCGTAAACTTACCAAGTCTTTCTGATATCCGCCACCACTGCACTGAGACCCCAATGCGAACACCAGGCTCGTGCTAGCACTTCGTTGTCTGGGGCGCCAAATGCCTCAACCACGAGGACCCTCTCGGCATCGTCATCGTCCATCATGGGCTTCGCCGCCTTGCTGCCGCCGACTGGAGTTGAGTTGAAACTTCTCTCAATGAAAGCATTGGGGTTGCCCCAATCCCGCATGTTGACTATTTCGTCAGCTTTGATGATGGTGTATACATAGTCGAAAAACAGAGGGTGGGGCCCTGACGAACACGGCCAGGCGTTGATGAAGGAGACGTCATGTGTGAGTCGCAACGGCCACGATACTCCGTCAATGGCAAATTGGATCGAAGCATCAAACCATCGAGGTCCGTGATCCTGGCGGCTGGGCAGAAAACTCGTTAGGCTGAGTAACTCTATACGGACCGCATCCGCATAGTCATCAACGTCTGGCGTGACTAGCTTGTATTCGCTGACTGGAAATACTTCTGCGGGAGGGCCTAGAGGATCGGACCTCTCACTCATTGAAGTCACATCCTCTGGAGTGATTCGTTGTCTGGGTTTTCTGCAGCGGATGCGGGCGATTTCGGATGATTCTAGTGTTGTTGGTCGAGCAGGGCCAATCCATCCGCCTACCTCGAGACATGTCGGAGCCAGTACCTTTCCGACAATACACGAAGCGGACCAATAGGTGTAGCTCTTTCGATATTGAAACCCACATTGTGGATGTAGGTGTGTGAGTAGAGCTAGATCATCCGTGGCCTCGTCCGGATCGATGTCAACGAGAGTGTTCATCAGCAGGAATGGGAACGTGGGCTATTGGATGGTCAGTTGGCTCGTTATACAGTCAAGAAGTGCATCTACTTACTCCAGGAAGAACAAGACCACTAAAGAAGGCCATGGTATGTGAACTGAGGCCTAGCAGGTTTCCCTCGATTTCGTTTTGCTTCAATGCATCTAATGTCTCATCCAGGTTCGGCCACTTCATCATTTGAGCAAAACGCTTCAGCATCTTGGCCTGGCGTTTCCGTAATTTGAAGCGCAGGCGCACTTTCTCGGCTGTCTCACCGAACTCTGCAACGCGGACATAATCCCTCCATCGCCTGGCCAAGGCTAGATTCCACTGGATCTTTGGGGGTATCTGAGCTAAAAGCTTCTCCTTAGACACATCGTTGTGGATTCCTGCGCATATTCGAAGATCTAGCTCGAGACTGAGCAGAAGTTGGTGGAAGAACCTGAGGTATAGCTCATGGTTTTCTGGCCGTGTGTCGTAGATGAACCTTGTGACAACTTGGTTCTTTGGGATGGTGAAGTCTATCCAATCAGGGCTCGATAGGACCATGATCAGATCCGTGATCTGCTTGTCCATGGACTTGTGGGGATTCAGGACCTTGTCGGGGTCTTTGAGGAATCGTTTGTACAGATTCCGGTACATCAAATCTGCATTGTCATACTCTAATCCATCCTCCAGCTCCAGCAGTCGCTCAAAGATCTCGACCAGGCCCACTTCACGCGGCTTGATACCAGGGTCACGGAGTTCGATGGCCGGTGGTATGATGCTGGCCAGGCTGGCCCAGTGGTTCAAGGTGATGGTACCGGGACGGGTGCCATATCCAAAGGCCAGACTGGGTTGCTCCAGCGTCTCCCATGGACGAACAGGGTTGCTGTTGCCCAGGATCCGGAGGGTCGTCAGCTGGACCATGGAGTCGTGTTGGTCAGCAGCATCTGTTTCGCCGCCGTGATTGCCAGCTGTAGTTGTGTAGAGTGCGTAGTACTGATCCGAGCGATGTGGGACTGGCCGCTTATGGCCCTTGTGCGCCGGAACACCTCGTGATATGAGCTCCATTGCCCGTCCGAGCGGGAGCTCTTCCTCGCTAGACATGCCCGAAGGCGGCCACTCGGACAAGGGTGAGTCGTTGTAGCCGTGACCGTTGGGCTCTGCTCGACTTTTGCCCTTGGTGTCGTGAGGGGTGCGGCGGGGCCGACGCCGTGTATTCCCGCCACCCAAGGGTTTCCGTCCATAAGAAACATCACCATCACTGGCCCTTCTACCGTGCTCTTTGGACTGTGTGGCAGGTTAGAAAAATCGCTAGTTGGACTGGTCGTGCTCATGTGCATGATTTGTGTGTGGGTGCATACCAGTCTGCCTGCTTGGGCAGTGCTCTTTGTGCGAAAAAGCCCACTCCAAAAGCCCTTCTTTGGTTCCGCCATGGCGACTTGGATAAGGTGGATATCCGGGCATCAAGCTGAATGTGCGTGTTTTGTGGCAAGCAAGCGGCCAGGTGCGTATGTTGTCTATCTTTGGTCGGTCTTTGTCTTTAGCTTTGGAAGCGAGGCTGTGTTGGACACGCGTCAAATTGGTTTTGGAGGTTGTAGTGGTGGTGGTGGTGGCGGCGGCGGCGGCGGCGGCGCTGCTGGGTTACCTAAATGTACCTGCCATTCAGACAACTCTTTTTTTCTTTCTTCCTGGGTTGGAGCGAAGCGCTTTCCCGCACAGAGTTTCATTTGGATTCTCCGCGTGATTGCATTGCCCTTTTTACATCTCCTTCTCAGATTTGCGAGATGCACCGATTTATACCCTGTGCGCTAAGAGATATTCGGGATGGGCTCTCCGTCTGTCTGCCTACTAGGTAAGGTACACATACAGCTACTAAGGACCACTACCACCTACTCAGAAGTGGGAACGCGTTCGAAACAGGGAGTTGCATTTGATGACCTGCAGTGTTCCAGAACCTAACAGAACAGAAAGAAAAACAGTTTGGGTCGATTGACACTCTTTGGGGGGTCCGGCCACCCCAATTTGTTGAGACAATCTTGATGTGGTCGCTAAGCAGGGCTGCCTCAGGTCAGACCGGTAGAAAGGTATGAGTGGGCGAGACATTCGATTTCTGGCAGACTGCCACGTTTGATGTCCGTTGTTCTGCGTCTGCATCTGGGCGATCCAATAACGGTGGGCAGAAGATTATACTAGCTATAGGCAGCCGGCATTAGGGCCATTTAGTGAGGGGCACGCTATGATTGTACTACATACAGTAGTAGGTATGTACCGAATACCGTAGTAATGTATGCACATCATCAAACAAATAACATTGAACCTGTCCAGGCTGATTTTGCGTCTTGTTAACAAGTCAGATTACTGTCTCAATAACATGCATCATTGTCTTATGAAACTTAAATACAAAGGACGCGTGCAATTAATGAGTACGCTGCTGGTCCCTTCCAAGACACACTCAGCAGCCATACATGCTATCTATCTATTCCGTACAAAGAGAGGTATGATCCATGGAAGCTGCCCAAGCTTGGCACGCTAATGTCAACCTCTCTGCAAAACCTTGAGATCCATACTGTGGCCTATGAAAACAGTTCCTTTGCATAGGAACAAGGGGTATCTTGGCTTTTCATAATACAAAGGGAAAAATGGAAAGAGGAAGGAGAAACAAGAAGTCAAACTGCAGCTGAATGCTATGCAAAGAAGGATGACACTTGGGCTCCTTGGCTCATGTGTACATCGGTTTCCAAGAGCTTCGTAACATCAAGCTTCATCGTCATCAGCCATCACCGGACCGTACGAGAACACCTTCATGGTCGAACCGGCGCCGACAAACAAGCTCGAGTGAGCGTCATTGTTCATCTTTGCAAACTGCAAAGTTTTGATCGGGCCTCTCGACTCCACATCGGCCTTGACCATGTCGATGGCTGGCGACTCCAACTGATTGCCCGACTGGAGAGAGTGGAGGGCAACCCTGCCATCATCATGAGCGGTGGCCACGATTCCAGCTTCGATATCAACATCAAAACCAATCTTGATGTGAGCGTTATTCTTGTACTCGGGGAAATCGACAAGACTGAGAGCTGGCTCTTGTTTGCTGTGTAGGCTTTTCCACTTGTCGGGTCCATCGCTAGTGGTACGGTGTTCTCTGTCGACCATACGCAGGTCATAGATGCACATCTTGTTCCGCGTGCCGCTGACGAGAACGTGGTGTTGGTTGAGCGACTTGATGTGCGTAATGCTGGTTCCGTGCTGGAATGACTGCCAATGATCATCACGTACGCGAGCGTCCGTGACAAGGCAGCGGCCAGGTCGACCTCCTCCAAGAATGATCATGTCGTGCCCGCGAAGAAAGTCGACAGTAAATATGTCTCGACATGACTGCGGGGGAAACGAGGTCGGCCTGAGAGGGCTGGGTGCAGCCCAGTGCAGACCTTGATTGGGATTCGCTAATGTTGTCATTGGATACGCCATAGAATCTGCGGACAAACTCGTAATCAAACTTTCATCATATCGTAGGATTCCCCTGTTAGAACCAATGGCACAAATAACACGAGTCTGGATGTCGGGGATTGCAAGAGCATGGATCTCATAATAATCGTCGGTCGGTTGTTGTATGTCGAGTCCAAAGGGATGATGGTAAGCACTCATTTCTGGAGAAGCCGGTATGCTGATCGGCGTGCCGACATTGCTCACTAACACCGCATGAGCTATGTTAAAATCATAGATATTGCCAAGACACTTACCTTGTCCAAGTCGCACAAACGGTCTTTTGCAATCCTTCCAAAGCTTGTGCATTGTAACAACCCTGTGAACGCGTAGCGGAATAAAAGGCTCGGGTCTTGACGATGCAGTGATGATGAAATTCCGATGGTGGTCAAACTTGATGGCCGATACCTGCTCGTGCTCACCTTCGTGGTAAGGGGCAGCGCGATTGCCGGGGACAGAATAGCCACCGTCCACTATGAGGCGGCGGTGGACTCTGTTCATACATTAGTTATGGCACTGGGAGACAGGCGTTGAGAGTTGTAGACATACTGGCCCTTACCGTCCCTGGGAATGTAACTGGACGCAATCGAGTTTCCATCAGGAGCTATCATTAGGAGAGTGATACAGTTAGCGCCATGAAAAGGCAGGAGATGGAGGCAGAAGAAACCCCTCAGTGGGCACATAGCAGACTTACAAATGTAGGCAAAACCAAGGTCAGTAAACTTGTCCTTTCCAATCACAGACATGCAGCTCATATTCTGGGAAGCACCCCAGCGGGCGTCATTGAAGAGAATGCTACCTCGATGGACCAGATTGGCGGCGATAGCAGTTGGTCCCATGTCTTGTTGAACGCTGCCGTGAATCTCGCGTGAAAGATCGCCGCCATGTAGAGGGCGCATCAAAGCCGGTGAGCGCTTGACCCGGTTCTTATTCAGCTTCATGCGCTCAGCTGCCCGCTGCATCTTGTCGTCCTCCAGCTTGCGCTTCTTAACGGCATCGCTGGACCAGGCTGACTGGGCGGGTGCAGTCGGGTGATTCACAACCTTGAAGTAGCGATTTCTGGTGGCATCTGCAGTTTTGTTAATCATGATTGAGTTGGACCTGGAGAGGGATTTGCTTACCATAGTAGTAGCCAGGGATCTGGGGCATGAAATGAGACATGATGGCCTGAAAGCAATCGAGGCCCGTTGCTCGACTTGGGTTCCTGCTATCAAGCTCGCAATGATGACAAACGGCGACAGCCAAACTATGTCGATGAAGAGTGCAACTGGTGCAATATCCGGAACAACAGCTTCATCGGCGGCTTCGACTTTAAGAATGGGGGGAAGAACAAAAAGACAAGAAGAAGGCACAGAATGTAATTGTAGTGGGCTGATGGCAAGGAGAAAAAAAAAAGAATGACAGCAAAATTTGCCAAAAGCCTGCTTGCTGTTTGGCAAAGCAGAGTTTGCCCCTTGACAATTATTCTGTTAGCAGGATGTTTTTTTTTTCCCCCAATGCCTGGCCTATTCGATTCTTCTCATATGCAAACGCGTTTTCACTTACCAGTTGCTTTAGTGGACAATCTCTGTCGTTGTGAGGCTCGAGTGGAGCCTTGCTTGCTACTGCCAGTCCCTTTAGAAGGAAAATTGGTGTGGTGCTTGGTTGCAGCTTGGTGAGAGTGCTGAAAGAAGTGGGCGTACTATTACTACTTGCAGCTTTGGCGCTAAACGTCTGGAATGGTAACTCGACTGGGTGGCACGTGCTCAAGCTCTAGCTAGGTAAGTAGGTAGTGGGTATCAATTGTAGCTTAAAGAGGATCTTGTGCTGTTCTTGAATCCGGCAATCGCGGAAACGAAACATCAAAGTCCTATTAGGTTATACAAATGCAATATAACTCAATATATTACAACGAGCTTTATATGGGCTTACGATAACTTGTGAGACATCCAAAATGAGACTAATCAAAACGAAGAGACTCTGTCTATTAACATGGATGAGTAAACCTACAATGGTGGGATAACCAACAGCAGAAAATACTATGGATATTGTTCATGCGAGAGCAATCTGTACTGTGGCTCACAAGTCACTATAGTCTTGAATGATGAACCAGTAGACTACCGGTGAAAAGGACTCAAAGACGCCATGAAGAGTGAGTTCTGTGTAGAATGAGCGGGCCACTGCCGTCCAAGCTGGAGAAGGTCTTCTGAATATACGGTGCTCGAGTATAAACACATTATACCGAATCTAGTCGTTTCATGCGCAGGCAGGGTTGACCAAAATCATCGAATGACAAGCAAATAATCACATATTTTAGACCATAATGCCTCGGTGGAAGTAAATGAGGTCTTTATAGCCTCTTCCTCTCTCAAGAGAGGCATTATCTGGAAACGTCCACGAGACATAATTGCTGTAGTCTATCCACCTAGCAATCCACGAACGGTCCGATTCCAGGGCCAGCTCGGGCTGCTCCAGGCCTCTCACTCGCCTCACGTTCCCACTTATAGCGCCTTGCTTTTGAGTCTTTACTCACCTAGGCCATGATTTACCGTCAAAACCACCCCGCAAACCTCCAAATTCCCTCCACGATCTCCCATAACCAGTGGCCAGGATAAGCCACCAACAAGAGTTCTTGATGGGCTTGGGCTGGGCTGGCACACGACTCGTGCAAGGCATTTATTAATGTAAACTCAATTATGGACACTCAAGCAGACAGAGAGAGAAAAAAAAAAATCACCTTAAGTGACCCCGCCGACTGGGCTCCGAAGCTACCCCTCACTGCATTTTTGTTTGGTGGCCCGCTGTCCTATGTCATACCTTTTGATACTACTATGTTCGAAATTTTTCTTGACTCTTAAGAGCCATTGTGCCACACACCACATTGCCCAGCTCTATCCTGTATACTGTTTCTTTTTACGATAGCTCTCTCTTTGCTTATCCCTGTCTACTACCAATCATCGGTCTCTCTCTCTCTCTCTCTCGCATACACACACACACACAGCCTATTAGAGCCAAATCTTCCACGACTCGCCCACCATGGTCTACACACTCACCGTCCACATGTACGCCAAAGACGATGCCGACTGCATCGAGAGGCTCAAGCTCAAGCTGATCGAAGCTGCTCGCATCTACCGCAACGACAAGGAGACTGTCGACTGGTTCGTCATGCAGGATGTTCACGACCCCCGGGCTTTTACCGTTGTCGAGAGATTCGAGCAGGAATCTGTATGTCTTTTCCCACCCCCTTGCTCGTTGCCATGAATCAGTCTTTTCCACAATGACCTCAAACTGACGTCGTACTTTCTCTTTTAGTCTCAGAAATACCACCTTGAGAACCCGTACTGGAAGACCTTCGATCCGTGAGTCATTCATACCAGTTTCTATCATGCCCTCCATCCCACAAGAAGTGCTGCTGACCGATTGGCCCATCCATAGTTACGTGATTCCCCTGCTGGCCAAGCCAATGGACCTGAGAAGACACGAGGAGCTGGATACCAGCAAGGATGTTGTCGTTCCCCAGTAGAGAGCAACAACACTCTAGAAAGAATAATATAAATCAGTTGCAAAGCAAGGCACAGCCAGTGGTAATACGCATTTAGTCCAAGTTTACAATAGTCTTTTGTGCTAGTGGTCTATAGGACAGTGTATTTAATGAGCAAAAAAAGAAATCGTTCAAGGCTACTGAATACATTTGGCATGAGAAGCATTCACATGGCAATAACAAGCAGTATAGTTTATCAATTTTACTTCTTTATTAGGATCGTCTAGAAATGGAAAGTGGATATAAGACTGTCAGAGCGCATTATCCACTTCTCGGCGATTGACCGAGGTGGCCGCCAACACGACACAGTTTAGACAAGAAAAGAGCGAAAAACACGGTCCCGGCAGCTGAGTCGTTGCTCTACGCAGGCCAGGGACCCCACGGGTATCATCCTGCTTATAGACGCCGATGCAATGGTGGGGAAGTTTATGCGGACTTCTCGTGCTGAGTGGAGACACGCTGGAGTGAAACAACTATGAAACAGTTAGTAAAAATTTGCTTGGGTGAAGGAGTTATATAGACTTACCGAAGTCCTCGAGCGAGCGCTGCTTCTGGTTGCCCTTGATCGATCTTCCGTGCATCATGTTGTCGAAGCCTTGGCTGCCAGACATGAGGTAGTAGATACCACCCATGACGCAGAAGACACCGAAGGAGAAGATCCAGATACGGACAACAGCGACAATGGAGGTCTGCTCACCACCCTCGAAGAAACCCCAGATGGTGAAGCAGGTGGCAAGGATATCGACGACCAGAATGGCGCCGGTGAGCTGCCACGAGGGGATGGAAGACCAGAAGGGACCGTTGGCACGGGTGATGAAGATCAGCCAGTTCTCAGTAAGGGAGATCTCAAGGAAGAGAACCTCATCCATGTTACCGAAGTTCTGGACGATACCACCATCCTCACCCTGAGCGTACATGGTGGTGACAGTGACCCAGGTACCGACAGCGAGGATGATACCGAGGCAGACGGACATACCCCAGAGCTTGGGCAGGTTCCACTTGACGGGGGACTTGGAGAAGGGAGCGTTGTCGTAGGCAATGGCAAGGGTGGCAACATCAGCAAAGATGGCAATGAAGACAACCAGCTCAATGTTCAGCGAACGGTTCAGAATGGCGATCCAGAGACCAAGGAAGATCTCCAAGTGGATGGACAGGGCAATTCTGTAGACAACGTAGGCGTACATGCGGTGGAAAATCTGGCGGGAAGTCTTAAGAGCATCAATGATGGCACCGAGACCAGGGGCAAGGAAGACAATGTCGGCAGCGGAACGAGCAGCATCGGAGGAACCCTCGACAGCAATACCGGTATCAGCCTTCTTCAGGGAGGGAGCATCGTTGACACCGTCACCAGTCATGGCAACGAGGTAACCACGCTGCTGCAGGATCTCAACGACGTTGTACTTGTGCTGGGGGAAGACCTCAGCGAAACCATCGGCAGCCTCAACGAAATCGTAAACCTCAGAACCGGGCATGTCACCACCACCACCGAGACCGAGACGCTCAGCGTTGTAGATGTTGGTACCGAGACCGAGCTGGCGGGAAGTCTCACGAGCAATACCGACGGCGTCACCAGTCAACATCTTGATGGACAGACCGAGAGTCTTGGCCTCGTTAACAGTCTTGGCAGTATCGTGACGGGGAGGGTCAGAGCAGGGCATAATTCCGAGAATCTCCCAGGCACCCTCACCACGCTTGCGGGCAACACCAAGGGAACGGAAACCACGGGTAGCGAACTCAGCAACCTTGTTCTTGTAGGCGGCGTCAATCTCCTCGGGGATGGGGTGGTCCTCCTCGACGGTCTTGAGAACGAACAGAGGGGCACCCTTGACACAGGTGATGATCTCGCCCTGGGGGGACTCGACAACAGCCTGGACCTTCTTGGAGACGGGGTCGAAGGGGTGGAACTCGCGGACAATGTACTTGGACAGGACACCCTTGGCGCGGGGGTAGAACTTGAGGGACTTGAGGAAAGCCTTGTCAATGGCATCAATACCCTTCTTCTTGCGGGAGGCAGCGAGACAGGCAGTAAGCATGAGGTCCTCGGGGTCGACACCAGCAACAGTGTAGGGCTCAGACAGAGAGAGCTTGTTCTTGGTCAGAGTACCAGTCTTGTCGGAGCAGAGAATCTCGACACCAGCAAGGGACTCAATGGCAGACAGCTTCTGGACGATGGCCTTCTTCTTGGCGAGGTAGGCAGCACCGACAGCCATGGTGGTGGTAACGACAGCGGGCAGACCGACGGGGACACCGACAATGGTGATGGCCAGGGTGAAACCCAGGATCTCAACAATGGGGTTGGAGCGGTAGAAGGAGGAAACCCAGACAACGAGCAGGGTGAGGATGACGAGGACCAGGAGAACCTGACCAATACCGTTCAGAACCTCAGTGAAGTGACCAGAGCCGGCAGAAGCCTGGGAGACAAGGGCAGCAGCACGACCGACGAAGGTGTTGTCACCAGTGGCAGTGATGATGACGAAAGCCTCACCACGCTTGACAGCGGAGGAAGCGAAACACTGGTCACCGTGGTGCTTGTCGACGGCAAGAGATTCACCGGTAAGAGCAGACTGGTCAACCTGGAGGAAAGCATCATCGGTGACAATGCGACCATCGGCAGGAATGATGGTACCCTCCTCAACCTGGAGGATATCACCGGGAACGACCTCGGGAGCCTCAATCTCCTTGAGCTGACCGTCACGGAGGACGACAGCCTTGAGAGCAAGAGTCTTCTTCAACTCGTCGACAATGGAACCAGCCTGGAATTCCTGAATGAAACCAACACAGGCGTTGAGCAGGAGCAGAGCGCAAATGACACCGAAATCAACCCAGTCCTCAAGACCGGCAGCCAGGACGGCAGCAGCCTCCATGACGAACTGGATAGGACCCTGTTTTGACTAGTTAGCTCTCTGTCGCGGATAACAGCGAGTGATGGCGGGGTAGACCTACAATGAAGAAACCAAGGAACTTGAGAACGAGGTTCTCCTTCTCCTCCTTCATCTGGTTGAGACCGAAGCGCTTGCGACGAGCAGTGACTGCAGAGGGTCAGGTTAGCGATTCAAGTCATTTCGATCGAGGCACAATTGGATTGTAGGAAACTCACCCTCGTCAGAGGTAAGACCGATGCGAGAGTCGGTCTGGAGAAGCTCCTCGGGAACGACACGGCCAGTGTGGGGCGAGGACTCCTCCTCCTCCTCCTCTTCCTCAGCACCTCCATCGACGGACTCGAGGTCCTCGATCAGGGCGTCGATGTCCTCATCGTCGTCCTCCTCCTCGGCAGCAACCTTCTTCTCGGCAGTAGCTTCGGTAGACTGGTGGTGGTGGGTCTTCTCGTCGAAGTGGCCCGACTCGATGTTGGTGGACAAGGCCGGCGCAGCGGCGTTGGACTCAGCCATGGCGGGCGAGTCAAATGGGACAGTCAAAGTCGACCGACTGTCGGTAGAAGAAAAAAAATATGTATTAGGGTCCAGGAATTAAGTGCAATCGGCACGTATAGCTTTGTTGAGTTTTTAGGATTTTGGGGGGGTTGGGTGATGTTCCTAGGAATTTGCGGCTGTGTTGGTGGAACAAACAACACGGGGGATGGTTCTCCAAAGGAGAGATTGAGGGGGATCACGACAAGACCTGGCGGGAAAGCACGTCCAAGATGTCAAGAGTCGTGAGGAAGGAAAAGAAGAAGAGAGTCGAAAAGCAAGAGGACTGAGGTCCTTATTATTACCTTGGCCGTGTGGAGTCTACACTGTAAGAGTTTTCGGTGTTTTGATTGGCTTGTGCGGGTTGCAGGGAACAGGAGCTAGTCGATTCACCCCGGGAAATAGACTCACCAGGCACAGGCGCAACTCAAAGTCTGGAGAGCTCTTTTTTTCCAGTGTCATTTCTTGGACAGGAACGGTAAGACTGCGGCATTTGATTGGATTGATTAGAAGCCAAGAAAAATTTGAATTCGCTTCTACGTACTTGCTCGGTCGTACCTGGACTATCTGTTCTACTGAAGCTGCCAATTTTTCTTCAATACGTCCGGCCCTGGGTGAATCTTCTCTCGGCCATTCTCACGTTAAGGTGTCGCTCCCACTCACCTCCCACTCACCCTCTCTCTCTCTCTGTCCATGTCTTCTTTACTACTAGGTACGCCCGTGTCCCCATCAACCCAAAGAGACCCAACCCATCCGGTTGTTGTGATGGATACGCCGTAATGGAGTGGGCATCCCAGCTTTTCGGGGTACCTCTGGGACCGTATCGCGCTTGCAGGCATTCTAGGAGCTCACCTATCTCCCCCCGCCCCACTCCCTTTGCGGGTGCCAATCATCGGCTTCGCTTCGTCGATGGAAAACACGCGAACGCCGATGCTGTAAAATAACGCAAGATGGATTTCGTGACGTCGCCATGGTGCGCCAACGGCCTCAGATTCGATCTGTCTGTCTGTCTGCCCCTCGGGGTGGCCATGAGTTGTGCATGAATTGGCCACGATGTTCTAGTCAATTGCATCTATCTCCGTGATTCCTAGGTATTTCCAAGAAAAAGCCGACGACGGCGAATTGACCCTGTGGAACGTGTGATATTGTTGTGATTGTTATTATTTGTTTTTGTAACTACGTATTCCTTCTGCTGCTCATTGCCGCAGCTATGCTTCCTCATCTCGGCACCATAACCAAACATTGCAGAGGGCAGCCAGCCCAGCTCCCAAAGGAACTTCACTGATCCAAGGGCCAAGCTCCACGGCCCATTTCTCTCTCCAGCACTAAGGCCGTCGAAGGTACCTGAGTACATGCACGCATGCTGCATGCATACATGCATGGGATAGCTCGAGCCCTGCAAGGAGTGTGGTCACCAGCTCACACGGAGTATCATGGGGATCCGCACTGTGCCGGTTGGATGGTAGTGTAAACAAATAAGTGACCGTGCTAAGGTAAGAATTCGGGATCGCAGGGCTCACTGGGCAGACAATGTGCGATAGTGCTGGAGGATACTCATCCACAACGACCTCGACTCTCGCACTCAGTGAATCCCACTCGCATCCAAATCCACTGAACGAGCGGCCAGTCCAAGTCCACACACCGAGGGACGTTTGCAAGTCACCATTGAGCCAAGGGCCGGGTTTGCCTGACTTGACTTTCCCAAAACCGACCCTCTTCATACTACAGTAGTACTCAGCGCACACAAGACATGACAAGACTGATTGACTGCCCGCCCGTTTCCCACCCCCAAGACCCAAGACCCAAGAAAGCCGGCCGCTTGACGCCCACCCCAGTCCAGTCGTTCTCTTGTGCTGCTATTTCTTTACCCATTTCTCGCCGAGCATTGCTCATCTTCATAACCTGCGTATCCATCTCTTGGACATGCCATATCGAGGCTGCGGCTGTCTGCTCAGGCGAATCGGAGACCAGCGGCACAGCCGTGACCTAGCCCAGGCCAAGCAAAGTACCGCGCTGCATGTCAATCTGCCAAGCATATACGTCATAACCATTCCCAGCCCAGGCGAATGGATGACATGAGCAAAGCACGATAGGCGACGGTAGACATCCGGCGATCACTTGTCGTTGTTCGTCTATCTGCGGATCATATATTGAATCTTCGCTTTCCATGGTGGGCGCAGGCGCGCGTGCGTGCCATAAGGGCCACACCCCCCGTCGTTGTTGGGTCTGCCTATTTGTCTTGCACGCCCATCGACTACGTGTAGATACCCGCGCGCTGCACTGGGCTTCTTGAATGGCGTCGTTGAGTGACAGCGGATGGGGAGTCAAAATACTGGAGACCCAGCAAGCAGACAGTCCTCCCGAGGCTCTCCATTTCTCCCCTAATAAAGTCCATACCGTGCATCCATACCCTTAGTTGTGTACCTACATTACAATATGTACTTGAGGACCGCGCTATCTCTCCATGTACTATTAGTATTAGTGGTAGTATAATTGCCTATGTACAGACCGCCCGGGATGCACGCTACTGTGTGCAGGTGGACTTCTCCGTTATCCAGGAACCATCTCCCGCTTGTGGGTATCGTAGTCCCGTACTAGGATCGATGGTCTTGGCGGTGGGCATTCAAGCGGGTGGGCTTTTTTACAAACTTTTCTTTGTCAGTTTCGCCGCCGAGGCAATGGAGGGGGGGATAACGCAGGTCATACTTCTGTCGGTCGCCGTGAATAGTCATGAACATTTTCATCCAGCCTTCTTAGGCTGGCGCCTGGGGCTGCATATGTTTTCTTGTGTAGGTGTGTCAATGTAGGTGTGGTGAGCTGGATGATCGGTCAGCCCGGGCAGATATTGCCGCAGTCCCGGCAGGCCATTTGCCGCGCTCTGAGAGGTCCTGTGCTGAAGGGAAGCCCCATTCATACTTGCTGCTCTCTTGCCATTCCTGGGCCGTCTTACCTGTGCGAGTGCACGGGGTCTCGAGTCATTATTTGCACCACGAACGACTTGTGCTGATGCAATCATGGCTGCTTCTCATTGCCATTGGATAGACAGCTGAGGTAATTTTTGTGCACCATTCGGGACTTGTGAAGAATCTTTTTTTTTCCTCTGCCTCTTTTGGCGCCATGCTACTACGAATGTACATTCCAGTGGCTACCGATCGCTACCGACGCCTCCGGGTCTTTCCTTGCACATTGGGATTTTTAGTGGCGGGTGAAGGAAAATGTCCAGTAGCAGAGAGGGAAAAAAAATTCATCGTGCATATAGTCCGACTACTGCTACACACATATGAACAATCTGATGCATGCCAACATGGTACACTACATACTGTTGTCGACACTACAATAGTTGTAGCGCCCCCCATCATGTGTGATGGTGACTGGGGACTTCTAGAAGCTCGACAATTGGAGTCATTGGACAATCAGTGTCCATATCGTCCACTGTAAAAAAGGAGGTAAGTGTACACGATGGAACACCATGGAGAAAGCGTTGACCGCTCACGGCCAGCATATTATTGTTCAATGTTTCTCTTGTCACTTCGCCAATGGTACTCGTTAGTCCATTGCATTTGTCCGACCTTCTGGCCGAGCGACCACTTGGTCATGGCTTTTTCCCACTGCTCCTGCTCAGCTATGAGCGGGCATTGGGGGGGCAGTCTGCCGAGGTCCCCTCCATTGTAATCATGGAGAGCGCAGCGAGGCAGAGGTCCATCGTCGGTCCAAGTGTTCGGTCGCCCAGACAGAAAGGGAATCCGAGCGTCATTTGCGTGCTGGCAACTGAAAGATGGGCCTGGATGTCAGGGAGTCCATTCACGATACAATCGACAATATGAGAGCCGACAGGAGAGAGAGAGAGAGAGAGATAGAGCGAGAGACATGCAGATGACAGTATGTAGCTACGACAACCGTTGTATTGTTATGTATGTTGTACCTTTTTCGCATTTCCTCGCAATATCACGAGTCCCCAGAAATAATATTCCGCGTAAAATCACCTGCAGCCGACCGGGACAAGCTGCCTGCACTTTGTTCTCCAGCGAACGAACTGCATCCCGCGCGTACGCCCCGCAGAACCCCCAATCCCCTCGATTCTCCAATCATAGCCATCTGAAAGAACGATTCAGGAAGAGCCCAATTCGCACGAGCAGGGATCATCCGAGCGGCTCGAAGCTCACCCTTAGCACCCACTCTTGTCCCTCTGCCCTTCCAGGGAATATCGGCGCAAATGTCGCCTCGCCTGGACGGGCCCTCGCCCGCCGTTTGAGCGGCCTTTACACGGACTTGCCTGGCTGTCTGACTGCCTGCCCGACGGACGTCTGCCTGTTTGACCGCGATGCTGCTCAGTCAGTACTGCAGTCAGTGCTGCAATAGCTCGGATGGGCAAGAGTCACGCAGTTCAGTCGGTCAAGATCAGAAGAACCCGGGTTTCTCCCCCCCCTCATCCCCCACTGGACGCACACTCCAGAGCTTCTAGCGGCGAATCCGTTCCAGCCCTTCCTGCTGTCAAGTAGCCTGTAAAGAACCAGCTGGCTCGGCTGGCTTCTGGTACTGCTACTACCGCTACAAGTAGGTGGTGTAGGGTACATACAGCCTGTGCAGGCCAGGTCAGGTACTCAGGTGCAGCGATATTGCAGTACAGGCTACAGCTACTACATACTGCTAGGACCCGACTCCATCCGCCTGTTCTGCCCAGTCTAGTCGATATCGGAGGCGCGGCGGGCAACGGGTACAAGCGCTCGCTCCCTTGGTGAGAGGATCAGTGCTAATATTATTCTTGCCCAGCGAGCAAAAGTGCGCCTTAGCACCAATCCGCCATTCTTGACTCGCCGAGGTACCCTGGGCCAGTGTAATTCAATTCTTGACAAGCCCCGCGGACCTGATCGTATTGCCCCGAGCAAAAAAAGCAACGTACCAGCCCAGTTAGAGTAGAGCCTGGGCAGCCAACAAAGCCCAGATCCTTCAAAAAAACTCATCATACTTCGTACCGGCCACTTTGTCTCGGATATTACGCCCTTCTCTAGGTGTCCACACTGGAAGTTACGGTAGCCGAACAGAGAATCTGTCTCGTCGCAACCTTGACGATAATGACACCCGAAGCGATGCCCATGGTTTGTCTCTTCTGCCATGGATAGACGATGCTAGGGACCGACGACGCGTACCTTCCGCCCTGATGCGATCGCGCACCCTGCTCTACTCTCATCCATTCAAGCTTTTTTTTTTACTCCTTCTTCGAGGCCTGCGCAGTTGCCCTATGTGGCCTCAGCTTGAGCCCTACCCATGAATTACGCGCGCCCGCCATGACGAACACTTTAATCGCGAGTGCCCGCTCGGCAGATGCGCTGCTGCTGCTGCTGCTCGGATCTGAACGATCGCTATCGTCATTTTAAAATGAAGCCCGTGGCCGCAGCAGAGCACGGCAGGTTATCTGGGCCTGGTTTGGTGGCACCAGTGTGCGAAATGCGTCCGCGCTTCCTGAATGGATGCGGATGTCAGCTATGCATATGTAATGTAAAGGTGTCGTAGGTGTATCTACGGTAGCTGGGTATCGCATTCAGGGACATCCATCACAGTGCCGTGCGCGCACATGGCACTCGTGTGGTCGACATGGGTAGCTCCGGGAGATTCGAAACAAACCCTGGAATCTTAATTGTCCAAACAAACGGGGTCTGTTCTCACGAGCAGAATCAAGTTTGTCTTCCTACGGTAGGTACTTTTTTTTTTTCTCTTGAGGTCGTTGTTTTTCTTGGCCAGCACGGTGGCCGTGCCTGGTAATGTCACCAAAAGTCTGAAACGGCGACGCACAGCACCAATCTGATTGACTGACTAACAAGATGGTTTTGCACGCTACCAGTCGATAGAGCAATGTCTTGCACTGGTGGTTGTACGCGACAGAGGGAATGTTTCTTCAGTTCAAACAGTCCGTCACACCTTGGCTGAGTAATCGTCCACCGGTTGTAGCAAATAATGGTTCGGGATGCCGAGGGCGGGTCGCCGCCCTGGCTGTCATTCCTATCTATAGAATCGAAACCAAACTGCGTGATCCAATCATAGATTTCCATGTCGTAGAGCCCAAAAGTTTCAAGGCTTCCTTTACCGCCAGAGACCTAAAACTCTGCGGGTTCAGGTGGCATGAGCTTTACAATCCGTTCGGTCGCACCGAAAGTGTAACGTGCGTGCGTGCGCGTGCCGAAGCAGAGGCGAGTGAGTTACCATGGTAATAAAGGCCTTTTTCTTTTGTTTTGTGCCCAAGCAGCCATAAGAAGTCGAAGGATCTCCGATATAACCGACATTTCAGCCTTGCATAATGGCTCCCTTAGCCAATGCTTGAATGATTTGCGCTGGGGATATGTCAGATTTTCCGTTCGCGGCTCGCTCTCGGCAAGTTCGCTTTCGTGTCAAATGGGCCGACTGCTTGGGACAGGACAGAAGGGGACAAGGAAAAAAAAATCAATAGACACACTCGCTGAATCCATAAGGTTCTATGGTCACCTAGCCGAAGCTTCCGCGCAAAATCCACACTTTTCTTCCTCGGACCTCTTTACTTGCCAGTATCTATGCTTTGGCCCCAAAAGGGGGGAGGATTAAGGCTGAATTGTTAAGGTTCTCCTTTCCACGACTATTAGGTGCCATGGAAATACTTTCTGATTGAGACAATATTATAATGCATCACAAGGTGTCGGTTCTCATATAGCCAAGACGTCTTGGCCGATGATCCTGATGTGGGAAAATGTGGTTCACGAAACGGTCCCCCAGAGACGCGGCCAATTTTAAGCCCTACTTCTTATATTCTTACAACCATATTCATCCCCCCCTCTCCCAAGCTCCTTTCAAATGAGCCTGATGAGAATAAGATCGGCCGGCTGGCGCCTGGCGTTTTTTTACCCCACGGGCGACCGGTTGGTTTTCCCCCCCCTCGAGGCCAAGGACTAATAGTTTGTATAGTTCGTTTTAACCCGGCACCTAAGGCGATCCGAAAGAGTGAGAAAAGGGCAATGTCTCGAATCAAATGGCTATCATTTGATGTGCTACTACTCATTGCGGCCCGTCTCCTTCTTGGCATCTCACCATCTTCTATAACGTACCGTCTCGGCAAGGGGGAGGACCATTTATATGTTGGGAAAACTCCAGGTTTACCCCATTCGGAAGCCATCAAATTGGGGGGTTGATTAAACTCCAGATACTTGTTCCTTTGGCCCAAGGAAGGTGGGTTAAATCCTCCTCGCTCCGCCAAAATGTTTATCAGACGAAAAACCAAATCAACGGTTGCGCTTGGCATCTTGATGTGCCACAGTCTTGATCCGCTTCAATGGGCTGAGTCAGTCGCGTCACGAGGATTGATATACGTTGCGCCCTGCGCCAAGATTCCCCATCTCACCGGGGGTGGGCTATGTGTTGTTCAATGAAATCGAAACTCACGGACGGTATCTATTTTTTTTTTTTTTTTTTTTTTTTGCTTTGGGCTCAGGCAAGACCCTGCAGCAAGATACGAAAAGGCGAAAAAAAAAAAGAAATCAATCGCTAACCCGCGTTATCATTCAAACTACACAAGTTTTTGCCAAGCGGTCTTAAAACTCTTGGTAAGGCATGTCCTTCCGGAAAAAGAGAAGGACAAGCGCTACTCAATCGTACTCTTGACTCAAAAGGCTTGGGAGATCGACTGCCTCACTCGTCCTTTATTGCCAAGAAAAATTCCAGGACAACTCAGCAAAGTCTTGACTCTAGGGACATGAGAGGAGCGAGCATCAATCGCCGTGTGGCTTGGCTGTGACCACTGTACGACGACGACCAACCTCATCTCCGCCCAGTGTGCGTTGTTTCTTTCGATCCGGAGCGGTCCATCGGGACCTGGCATGGCTTGGCTGTGCAACGGAGACCGAGCTCCGTCGGGGAGGACTCGACTCTTCCGTGTCCTACCTGGATATTTCCTTTTTTCGGGGGTGGCAAACCTCTCTTGATAGACATGTAGTATCAATACCTGCCGAGTGCTTGGCTGTACGTCCTTGGCTGTGCTCTTGCGGTGTGTACAGGAGACATTGTTGATGTTGCAACCGCTGGCCAGAAATCACCCCAAGAGCTGTCATAAGTATGATAAGTCTTGGGTCATACTGATAGAAATTTGAAACATGAGCAGCTTGTCAGAATATGTCAGTTTGCCAAACGGATGCCAAGTCGGCTAAAGTACCATGATTCGCAACACCGGCAGAGCATTCATTCTCTTGTCTGACTGACATGATCATTCTCTCTGATGATCGAGTCAAGCAAGAAGACCGTTGACACGGATGAATCTCACAGTCCAAAGGGCTCGAAGACACGTCACATAGGGCTATGACTTCTAATATACACTTGATCAAAAGAATTACGAAAGGACATGGCCAGGAAAACTCGAGCCGAGTTGGCTGGCGAGATGTCCACGGAGACTCAGCTCGATTGTTCGCCATGAGATGGGTAAATTCTTGGATCACCAATTCACAATGTTGTGTTCACTATGGTAGTGATCAAGCAGATATGACACGAGCTGGTTGTTCTATGGCTCTATCTACACATCCAGCTGAGTTGCCAATTCATATCTTCTCCATTTTTTGTCATGGAAGTTTCTACTCGGTGGCTCTCCTGACCCCATGTGGGTGCTTTCTTGCCGGATTAGAAAAATGCTCTTCAAACATTTATAATTCATATCTATAGACGATGGTCCAAACGACGTATCTGAATGTCGTATCCTCATTGTGACGCAAAAGAGCCAAATATGTGAATGCATTACTTTTCCTCCATCGTGATTTATCCAGTACATCCCCAATCCAAAGTCAATGCTATCATCTGTGTACTTAGAAAGTCTCAAATATTGGAATCGTAGAGTTCATATTGAATGTCCAATACGTCCAGCATGCTGTACTGTGCCTTTCCCCCCTCTACCTCGTAAATCATGTCGGGGCAGAAAGACACCATGTTGCAACATGAACATGAATCAATTTATGAAGAGGCCATTCCACGATCTTGATAATCACATGATCGTAATCTTTCTACCCATACCTAATATGATACATTTCAAAGAGACCAGCCACAAAAGCAGGAAACTTCTCACGACAGGATACATTTGTCTAACGTTGGTGGATCACGGAGAGACGGAGGCCGAAACGTCGAATACCATTCCAGCGACCCAGAAAACTCGACAGAACTGGATCAGCCTTGCTCCCACGGATCGATCGATCCCGTCCCCGTTCGGTTCTCCAGATCCTATCATGGATGGGTCCCGGCAGTACCGGGTGACGGGAGAAAAAGTGACGACGTGGGTCAAGATCCGCATGGTAGGAAGACCTGGACCTCGACGGCATTCTCCATGTATAGCTCTTGGTCTCCACTCTCGAGGTCGGTGGCGATAAATAAAGCACTTATGTAAATCGTCGAGACAATGTCTACAGCATGTCACACACCTCAACACGACAAGTCAAGCATATAGATGATAGGTAGCACTCAAATATGTTAGTATATTCTAGAGCTAAGCCCGTTGCAACCACGTCCTAATGAAGAGCCGCAGCTTGAGGCGTTCATTTTATGTAATCCAAGAGGTCTCTCAGACTGCCGCGACAGCATGCTGAGAAAAAGGAAAGATGGCCGTCTATAAGCAACATGCCCCCATATCTGCTGCATCTGTTTCCTCTCCTGTGCCGAATTTTATAGCATAGGGCGCATTCGACACAGCTAGAGGGGGACAATACCATGTATGGTAGAGTACACATCAGACCCTAGGCCGCCTAATGCTTAGCAGTGACCTTGTCACCGGTCAGCTTCTCAACATAGGTCTTGGCCATGTCGCCCAAGGCAACCATGCAGACGGTCTGCCAGACACTCAGTCCGATACGGGGGGTGACACCACGGTACAGACCCTTCATACCGTTCTGCTGGTAGATGTACTTGGCAGTGTTGCCGACGGTCATCTTCTTGGGGCGGTTGGGGTCCTCCTTCTTGCTCTGCATCTCAACGCGGATGACCTCGATGGGCTGGTTCCAGGCAGAGAGACCACCACCAAGCGCAGAGGCGAGAATCTTCTCAGCAGCGCCGAGTTTCTCACCGTGCTCCTTGTTGGTGAACTTGCGAATGCCCTGCTCGGCCAGACGAGAGAGACCAAAGCGGGAACCCCAGTTGGTCATCTGTCGAATGGCGACAGCATTGACACCCTTGTTGATTCCCTTGATACCCTCCTTGCGGTAGATATCCATAAAGGTAGCAAAGGTGCTCTGCGGCTTGACACCCGAGGCGGCGAGTTTGTGCTGGGTGATCTCGACCGTCTTCATGCAGGTGCAGAAACCCATGGTGGCGTAAGCCTGGGCAACACCACCAAAGATACCACCAATGATACCACCGCCAAACTCGGAGGCACCAGCGTTGCGGGCGTAGAATTCGGCTTCGGAGGCGACGAAGAGGAGCACAGCGCCCTTGGTGGACGCCTCGATCCAAGCCCAGGGAATGAGACCTTGGTAGACTGTGTAGAAAAAACATCACATGTCAGCCTCTAGTGTTCCTAGTTGCAGACGGGGGAGTGGGAACGAGGGGACAGATTGACTTACACCCGAAGACACCACCGCGATTCCAAATGCGGCTCAGGGCCGTGGTAAAACCATCACCACGGTTCGCAGCCATGGTTGTCTTGACGACCTCGAGAGGTTGGCCCAGGGACTGTGGTGAAGGTGTTAGCATTGCGGTGAAACCATTTCCGAGCTATTCAGCGCATCGCAAGCGGGGGAGAAGCCATTGACCGAGGATCTGGCGCAAGACTTGGCGATAACATAACCAGCAGCGGATGGGACTCGGGGAATGAATGCAAGCTTACCGTGACCTCAAAGAGGTTGAGACCAGCACCCAGCAGCAAGTTCGAGAACTTGATGGGCTTCTTCTCCAGCTTCTTCTCCGTCAGAGGCGGAGGCATGGCAGCGGCAGTTGTCGACATCTCAGCAAGAGGAAAAGGGGGTTCAGGCCTGACCAAGGCTAAAGGGTTGCTCTTAGCAAATTGTGGATTGGAATGACTCTGGGAGAGTTTGTGGAAGGAGAGAAGAAAAGGAAGCTCTTTCAAGTCGCAGTGGGCGGATATGGATGGGGTTTTGTTATTCTGATTACTGTCACTCACAAAAACGGATGGATCCCGCTCGCTCGTCGTTGGGAAAATGGGTCTAAAACTAGAAGCCAGGGAGATTCCAGCAAGCGAAACCGTTCCCAACTGTACGGTGTATCAATGGCCGACCGTCAGCAAAGAAAATGGGGTCAAAAGGTACAGGTAGGTAAGGTAGGTAGGTAGGTAACCAGTTGCACCCACTTATGCAATGCACCCCCTTTTGCAACGGATTTTTAATAAAGTCCAATACAAAACATATAATATAATTAAATATTTTCCCATTATAACACACTTAAATTAATTTTTTTAATTATAAATCTAGTTTTTACGTCGTTTTTTAATTATAAAAGGTTATATTTTAAGGAAATTATTAATAAGAATTTATTCTTTTTATAGCATTTTTCGCAGCCGCTTATTTAACTTATTTTAAATAAATTTAATATATAAAAAATTAGCAAATGCCTAATTCGGATTAAAAATAATTATTTAACGTTTATCGGACTTATATTTATTTAGTTTTATATTTAAAAGTAAATTATTTTAGCGCGTTATAATTAGTTTTATTATTATTAAATTTAATATTTTTACCGTTTTCGTTATTAATTGCTTTACCTCCCGCCCTAAAGCTAAATGTTTTTTTTAAATGGAAAAAAAAATATCTTAAAAATCTTTATTATTATAAAAAGTTATAATAATAATTTTAGCTATATTTAAAGGTTTTAGTAATATATATAAAAAAGGGGTCGGGATTAAAAGAAAAAATTTAGGGTTATTTAATATTTAATTAAGATTTAAAGGCTATATACCCGTTTTACGCTAGCTATTTAATATAGTTTTTTATATAAAAGCTAATTAATAAGCCGTAGCGTAAGCTATAAGCATTTTTTGCTTTTAAATAAATTTAATTATTGCTATTTTACGCTATTTGCTAAATTATTAATAATAATAATATTTAAGGAAAAAAAATATATTTTTATTAAATAATTAAAAGGCTTCGCTAATATATATAAATAAATATATTAACGCGATTTTTATATAATAAATTATAAATATAAATTTTAATAATAAATAAATATTATAATTATTTAATATTAATATTTTTTAAAAGCGTAGCCGCTACACATTTTTACGGGGCTTCGTTTTTAGGCCGAATATTTGCTTAAGCTACGAAAAAGCTATAATAAAATTAGATTATTTTTTATATATAATAATAAATTTAGCTTTTTTTAAATCTTTAAAAAACTATTACGTTTATAGCGTTATTTTTTTTAAAATATAAATTATTATAATTATTAAGCCGAAAGCGTTAATATTATAAATCGTAATTATTTATTTAATCGCTCCCGATTTTTAAATACGAAAGCGACGTAATTTCGATATATTTATAATAATCCTTTTTTTAGCTTTATTTTTTTAAATCCTAATTTTATTTATATTATATATATTTTTAAATTTAATTAAATATAGCTTTAAAACCTTATTTATAAATATATAAAATTTTTAAATAGCCCCGGAATTAATTTTATTAATTTAATCGGTATTAATAACCCGTTTTAGCTTTATAATTAAATATAAATAGCGTTATATAAATTTATTTATTTAATTCTTCCTAATATTAATAGCTTAATTATTAAATTCGATGCTAATAGCGATTTATAAAGTTACGTTTTATACGATTCGTTTCGAAAAAGCTTATCCGCATCGTTTTTCGTATAAAATCCAGTTTTTAAGCTCTTATTTTTATAATTTTAAGAGAATTTACGTTAATTCGTAAGCATTACGATAAAACCGCGCACTTTATAGCTTACGCGATAAAATAAATGCATAAATACCTAAATCGCGTGCAATTTTAATTAATTTTTTACCGTTTTCGACCTTTTTAATTGCTTCTTTTATATCGCGTTCGTTTAATTTAGTTATTTTAAAAAAATAGGATTAATTAAATAAGTGGCTGTTAAGATATTATAAAAGTATTGTAGTTGGGTTACATTGTAGAGTGGAAATAACACGTTGCAAAAGGGGGTGCATTGCAAAAGTGGGTTCAACTGGTTAGGTAGGTACCCACCCCGGAACGAGCTCCCAGTCGCTGACTTGCTGCTGACTTCTTGACTTGGTTGACTGCTGGAGCTCAGCAACCAGTAAAGTCCAGTGCAGGTAATCTGTGCAGTCCCAGCCCAGTTTGGTTGGTCACCCAGCTCCAAATGTCCCCTTCAGATCGTCCCTCGGAGGCACGTGCAACCAAGACGAGAATCAGAGGTGCTCAATCCGAGGCAATTGATGTCTATCTATGGCAAGTTATACCCGACGATGTCTCTTTCAGGAAAGAAACAAGATAAACAAAATAGAGAGATTTTGTGGTTTTCCTAGTCTTTTCTCGTGTCACTGGAAAAAGGACAGCTTTGTCTGTACCAGCCCTGCTGCTTATCTCTGTCTCTCACACACTCTCTACCTGTCTACCTACACTTCTTTACTCATCTGAGCCATTCCTTGTCTCGGGATTGAAGCCGGGTCAGCAGCAAGCCACATTTCAACCCGCGGAAGGTAAAGAAGGACCAAAAAAGAAAGTTATGGGACCCTGCTGCTACCTTGAGCGACACATTCCCTGGCTGCGAGATAAGGTATGTTCCATTTCGGCCAGCGAACGCCGCTGAGCATGCAGCAATAACATCAGCACCACGACGCACACACACATGTGCAGCACACTCAGTTGTTGGTACTCCGTATATCCAATACGTAGTTTCAGCGATGAACGGCCGAAGGAGGCGCTAGAGATTGAGCCCGGCCCTGCGGACCCCGAAAAAAACATCCAACGAGTATGCAAAACTTGGAGGAGGAAAAGCCCTCAGCCTCACACGGTACCTGCACCTGCCACCGGGCTCATTTCCCTAGCACTCAACAAAAGCACAAAGGCTCCATCCAGCCTTGCCCGATATTTGGGGAAGCCGAGATTTCGTTCAGAGTAAAAATAGGTAGCCCACCCACCCCAGCACGGCCCTCAACAGTCCGTATCGCGGATCCCCAAACGGAAAGACACGGGGTTGGAAAAAACGAATGCTGCTGTCCAACATGCCAATTGGCTCAACACATGGCCGCAAGCAATTTTGTCGATGGTAGTTTGCTCTAGCTACATGCTCAAAATACATAATGATCAGCGACTCTTTGACATTCATGGGTTTGTGACGCTGCAAGCACGGTACAATTACCGAACTCAGAACGGTGCGGACAGCGGCACCCTCGGTGCAATAAAGCCGCGGGTGGATCCGTTGAGCATTATTACAACATACTTTGAACCCTGGAGAAGCCCGATTCAGTACATTACGGATTCCGAGTAGTACATAGAAGGAGTAACCCGGATGGATGACTCCAGGATTCCTCAAAGCACACGTATAATAACGGCCAATTGATCCAGTCTCATCTCACCGTCGTGACCGGTACCTGGACGTAGGGCTGTAACTTTTTGCAAGTAATAGAACTTACCTATTGGCTCTATCACAGAGACAACTGTCACCCATCTTGGTGTAACATTTCTCGTTTTCATGTCAGTGGAATAACGACACAGGAAAAATGATAAATCAATGAATCATGAACGTTTCATTTTCATTCGTCAAGAAAAGAGTAGAGTTTGTATCGCAGCCCAAAAAAAGCAACCATTCGTTATGATAGTATCTACATAGACACACAATGTCGTGATTATATTGTACAAACGCAGTGAATGGTATCGTCAAGGAGCCCTCTAAACACCCCTCTTAATGATACTGCACCGCCCTTTGTAACGAAGCCCAATCTATCCGATTTTGACAAAACTCCCCTATCCACACAAGCAACACGGCTGTTGTTCGATTTACAGCTTCTTGCAGATCTCGATCCACTTCTCGGTGGAGAAGGACTTGGGTCGCTCAATGGGGGCACCAACGGCACGGTCAATGATGAGCTGGGGCAGCACACCAATGGCACGGGAGACACCGAAGAGCACGGTGTAGTAGTTGGCCTCGGTCAGGCCGTAGTACTGCAGCAGAACACCAGAGTGGGCGTCGACGTTGGGGAAGGGGTTCTTGGTCTTGCCGTGCTCGGTCAGGACCTTGGGGGCGATCTTGTAGACCTGGCTGACCAGCTGGAACATGGGGTCGTTGGGCATCTTCTCCTGGGCAAAGGTGCGCTGAGCCATGTAGCGGGGGTCAGTCTTGCGGAGGACGGCGTGGCCGTAACCGGGAACGACACGGCCCGAGTTCAGGGTGGACCACAGGTAGTCGGTGATGGCCTTGTCGCTCAGATCGTCACCAACAGCCTTCTTCATCTCAGTGAGCCAGTTAAGAACCTCCTGGTTGGCAAGACCGTGGAGGGGACCAGCCAGACCGTTCAGACCGGCAGCCAGCGAGAGGAAGGGAGAGCTGAGAGCACTGCCGACCAAGTGAGTAGTGTGGGCGGAGACGTTGCCACCCTCGTGGTCGGTGTGGATGGTCAGGTAGAGACGCATGAGCTCAATGAAGTCCTTGTTGTCACCGAAACCGAGCTGGTTGGCAAAGTTGAACGAGTAGTCCTTGTCCTTCTGGATGGGAGCGACCTTGCCGCCCTTGAAGACGTTCTGGTAGATGCGGGAAGCAATGTTGGGGAGCTTGGCAATCAGGTCCATGGAGTCCTCGAAGGTGTATCCCCAGTAGTCCTTCTTGTTCATGCCCTTGGCGTAGGCCTTGGCGAAGGAAGAGGTGTGCTCGAGAGCAGTGACGGCCAGAGAGAACTGGGCCATGGGGTGGAGGTCGCTGGGGCAGCGGTCGATGAGCTCCTCAACGAACTTGGGAATGTCAGAGCGAGCAGCCCACTCGGCAGACAGGTCGCGGACCTGCTGCTCGCTGGGGACCTCGCCAGTCAGAAGCAGCCAGAAGAGACCCTCGGGAAGAGGCTCCTTGCCACCAGGGGCCTTGGGGAGGACCTCCTGGCACTCGGGGATGGTCTTGCCACGGAAACGGATACCCTCCTCGGAGTCGAGCACTGAACCTTCCCAAACCAAGCTCTTGATACCACGGGCACCACCGTAGACCTGGTCGAGAGTGACCTTGTCGATGACCTTGGAGCCGTGCTCCCTATGGGAATGTAAGATATTGAACGTCCTAGATCCTGAACGGCGGGCAGGTGTGTGTTGGCTTACTTGCGGAGGGTCTTGATCTCCTCAATCTTCTCGGGCAGCAGCTCGGCGAAGCGCTCCTTCAGGGTCTACAAGGAAACGGAGAGTCAGTCTCGAAAACTCAGAAGAGAGCAAAGCCATTGGTAGCGGCAGCGGCAGCAAGCTCATACCTGGGTCTTCGCGGAGTAGCATCGCGCAGCTGTGAAGGCCGTGTTACGGGCAGTGAAGGCAGGAGCCTTCAGAGCAGAAGCTCTCAGGGCAGGTCGCAATGCTGATGCCATTGTGTATATGTGATATAGGACTGAGAAGAAATGGGAACTTGACAGCAATTGGGAATCTGGAGAAGAGAATAATATGAAGGGATCAACAAAGGCCCCGACGACAGTTTTTACTGGGAAATACCTCAAACGTCGGAACTGGGTCGGGTTTAACTTAATGACGGGAGAAAAAAGTTCATTCCTGGTAAGCTACCATTCGGGCATAGTCTCGCCCAATTGAAATGGCCAGGAGCCAATCGTTGGGATCCATCGGTGCTCCAGCTCACAGATGCTCCCCACTGGTGGACCGAATGGCCGATCTGGCGCGCGCGCACACCTGGGTTGCTGCTGTTGCTGAGCTCTTGAAGCTGCCGTAGTGGCCGTTTTCCTATGCCGGTAGAAAGGCTGGCTGACGTCAAAATGCGAGTGTTTACCACCAGCTCTTCAGGTCGTTTTGCTGCAGGGGTGACATATCGCTGCAGTAGCGATACCATTATGCTTGCCATGTTGGTAGTAGCCAAGCATCTCGTTCGTGTGCGATAAGATCATTTCCTTATGGATGGAGCTTGACAGCCCCGTGGACACGAATATTGGATTCTCAAGCACTACACATGACAGCCAGCCAGCCAGCCAGTCAGTCCTCTCATCGGATCATCTTCAAAGCCCGAGGTTGTTGCCAGGAGACATCGACTTTGCATCCACAACACAAGTGTGTCAGGACGCGTAGAGCAGAACCGCGGTTATCCATGTCCGGGGAGCCGGTCGACCGAAACATGCCTAACACTTATATACTTGCTTGGACCTCTGCCAGTCTACCTTGATATCACGGAATACGGGAACGGCGGCAGCATTTGAGAATATACTACGTCAACGGCATTGGGAATGTTATTATTTTCAAAGTGCAAAAATGAAACCGTGATGGTCTTTCTCATTAGAGACTGGCAATACCGCTGCGTTCCGACATGAAGGTAGTACACTAATGAACTCAGTGTGCAGCACTCTGCAATACTGCCAGCTTTCAAGGACGATGAAACACTGGATCGGCCCTTCAAGACACTTATGACCGGCTTGCACGTGGTTGTGAGTATACCATGTACCGGGATAGAAAGTTGAATAATTGATTGCCAAGGCAAACCTGTGCTGCAATAGTGTAAAAGAGACATGGTGGATGGCTACCAAGGTCTAAATAAAGGATACAATAATAAAAGCGCCTTTTTCCAGTCAAGAAGGTGTTGTTTGTGATTACTACATCATCTCGTGTTTGCCCGTGTTTTTGAGCGGAGCGTAATCAATTGGCCGCCGCAGAGAGGACCAGGAAAAGTGGCAGCAGAAGGTTCCGCTCACCAACAAGAAGGGGTCGGCCCCACCACTGAAATTTTTTCTGCCCCCTTGTTCTTCACATTACTATTTTGTGCTCCTTCCATTGGGGGGTAGCTGTTGGCGATCTTTGATAGTGTGCTGGACCCCACTGAACACTCTGTAAACACTCTACGCCAGGTGTCACCAGCCAGCTTTTCCAGTGCGACCTACCAGCTTTTTGCAATTGCTGCCGCCTCCATTACCTAAGGTTAGCTTATTAATAATTGTGCCAGGGAAATTGAAGAAGCCTTGCAGCCAGCCCAAAAAGCTTTCTGCCACCATCCGACAGGCACGCACCCATTCTCCCCAGTTCAACTCAGCTCAACTACAACCTAATCCCACCAATATTCTCATCAGCATACTCACCATCGGCAGCTGTAGCATCGCATCGCATCGCATCGCATCGGCGTCTTGCGAGGAACCATCGGCTCTGGTAGTGCGCACCCAAGTGCTCTTTCTCGACATTTTTCTGGATCTTGAAAAGCAAATCCGTAGAGGCTTCCCGCCGGGCGGGACGCTTCCCATTCATCAACTCACACAACGCGTAATTGTGGAAGGAGGAGCAGCCATTTCCCCTCACTCGCTCCCATCAACCCCTCAAGGCGTGCCGCTCCCAGCCACAAACAACTCTCGCAAAGAGTCGTGGCCTGCTACCTCCATTATTGATTTCTCTTCGGACTTCTGATCAACCCATCCATCTGGTTCATCGGACGTATTCTTCTTCCATTCGCAACGCAATCCGCCAAAGGCCCAAGGCATAGATTTCCGGCCATCGAGCCTAAGACTGTAAACCTGTGATTGCGATCAAAGTGCGCGACGTGCTCCGCTCGCTAGGTACTGGGCATTCCCTCTAGATCGCCTGCGCTGGGCTGTAGATACAGTGGCTCGAAATCCCTTGTGATATCATCGCTGGCTAGAGGCATCGCCAAAAAAGAAAACAAGTGTCTGCTTGGTAATAGAGATCCGCTGGCATCGCCCCCGTTACCGTACCCAAAGAAAACAAAAAAGGCCTCTTGATCACAGCCAATATGTCGTCGCCAGTAGCAGACCTCGAGTCTGGTCTCAATGTCATGCTCGGCAATAAGCCACCGGGTGTTTCTGGCTCGCAAATCAAGAACATCACAGCGCTCTGCGTCAACAACGTTCAGGTAAGATACTATTGTGGTAGCAGATCCCACACCACTCATCATCACTCGGCCTCCTAGCAGGGTCTCATGTATGTTCGTGCTGACTTGCTTCTGTCGACGATAGTCCGAATCCGTTCTCATTCAGAAGATCTTTACTCACTTCAAGAAAACCCCGGGCACTCACAAACTAGGTGTTCTCTACGTTGTAGATTCTGTGACTCGCCGCTGGATAGATCAAGCCAAGCAACAGAACCAGACAATCAATAGCTCAGCTCCTGACGGTACATACGCTGCTGGTGTGCATAGAGTAACAGAGTTGATCCCTGTATTGATGAATGACATTCTTCAATCTGCCCCTGAAGACCAAAAGGTACGCAAGCCGCATCACATATTGCCACATGTATTCGTCTGCCTCATGACTGTTTGGCATTGACGCACAAGTTGCCTACCGGAGGGTATATTATCGCCCAATACTGAGCCTGCGCCATACATGAAGCGGGCAGGCTAGTTCAGCGCCACTTCTTTCTCGAATGACCATGTTGTGCATCTGCTTACTGTATATTGAAACTGTAGGAGAAAATTAAGAAACTTGTCGACATTTGGGAAAAGGGACAAACCTTCCCGGCAACACTAATCGAGTCATTCAAGCAAAAGCTGAATGCTCCCAAAAGTAAGTTATCATCAGTGCTTCTAGGAGATACTCAACGCGATATCTTCATCGTCGCCCACGTGGATCGATTGTCTAATCTTTGCGGTCTCCCGGCAGATGAATCTACAACCCCCATCGGTAGCCCCCCTCCGGGCCCGGGACTACCTGGTCTACCCGGCTTCAACGTTGCTGCTGCCAATGACAAGCCGGCGGCCTTTGGTGCCCCAAGCGACATCATGGAGGCACTCAAGAAGATAGCCCAGCAGAACAGTAGTGTCGCGCCGAGCAATAGTGCTGTCCCAGCTCTCACTCCAGCTTCAGACTCCTATTATGTCCGAAGCGCATCAGCTCAGCAGAATGGTGCCGCGCAGCAACAGCCTCCGCCTCTGCCTGTAACTCAGAGCCAGCCTTCATTTCCGTTCTCTGCTGCACCGCCGCCGTCTGTGAACCCGGCGATGCCTTTTGCGTATCCTCCGTCGGCTCCTGCCCCGGCACATGTTCCTGCGTATCCCGTGACTGCTAGTAGCCAGCCTGGTGGATTTCCTGGTATCGCAGCTATCCCCCCGCCAGTTCCTGGAGTAGACCCGGCCGCAGCCCAGCAGGTTCAGTTGATCCAGCTCCTAGCTCAGCAAGGTATACCTGCAGAGAATATTCCTGCTTTGTTGGCGGCTTTTCAGACCAATGTGCCTCCCGTAACTCAGTCGGCTCCCATTCCGGCCGCACCAGCAGGCCCACTTCCGTATAGTAATTCGTGGGGTCAAGATCAGTCCCGCTCAGATATGTCGCAGAACCGCAACTACGGCGGCAGATCTCCCAATAGGTATCAAAATCGGTCGCGATCGAGATCACCGACACGCCACTGGGGATCCCGCGACTCGCCCCGGGGCAGAAGTGATCGCGGACACGGCGGTTACGGACGTGATTCGCCAGCCCATGGCCGAGATGACCGTTCTGGCTGGGGCGGAGATTATCGTCAACGAAGCCCGCCTGGACGTAGAGGCCGCAGCTCGTCCCCCCAGCGATTTGACCAACCCCAGCCCGGTCAAAAATGGGTAGAATTCGATCGTAGTCTCCCATCTGGCCACATTAAAGGTACGTCCACTTTGTGGAGTCTCTGTCATCGCATGGTATTCTAACTTGAGTGAATAGTCCTAAGCCGTACCTTGTTTGTTGGAGGTGTCACGTAAGTCCAGATCCATCATGGTATGTACTATAATGTCTTTAGGCTAACTTTGTCTCAGATGCTCGGAAGCTGAGCTGCGGAGCATGTTCAACAGGAGTGGACAAGTGCAGACATGCATTGTAAACAAGGATAAGAGACATGCATTTGTCAAGATGGTTACACGCAAAGATGCAGTGGCTGCCAAGGAGGCCATGGAGAATAGCCAGTACAGGGTACGTCAGCGCGTCGACGCACGACAGGAGATCAATGCTAACAATGGTAATTATTGTAGACACGATGGGGTGTTGGTTTTGGCCCCCGAGACTGCAGTGACTACTCGAGCGGCATCAGCATCATTCCGATCAACAAGCTGACTGAGGCGGACCGAAAGTGGATGTTGACGGCCGAGTGGGGTGGCAGCGGAGGGCGGTCGATTGAGTCAGGCATGGTTGTCGAGGAGCCCGACATCGAGATTGGTGCCGGCGTCTCATCCAAAGCCATCAGTCGACGGATGCAGACCGATCGGGGAGGCAAGCACGGCCCCAAGTCTAGCAGAGGCGATGACGAGGAGAACTTGGGAAGATGGCGACGGAACAAGGAAAACAACCCCCGCCGAGAGGACCAGCGCGGCGACAACAGGGAATTCGGCAACAGCCAGCAGCCTATGGTTCCTGATTTTCCTTACGGCATTCCCACAGGAAACAATGGGATGCCGATATTCCCTCCGGGCTTCGCTTTTCCGATGCCGCCAAGCCAGTAGAAGCGTTCATGGGGTTCCGATCGCGGGGAGGCACGGCGAGCGAGCTTTCGGCTCCAGACGCGTCGATGGACCACGGCGCGCACATGCCAAGGTATCGAGTCCATTGGCGACTAGATGTGAAGATACGGCGGCAGAACCGAGGATGCGGTGAAGTCTGTACCTACTCCAGAAAAGGGGGTGGGTCGCTTCCGGGGTAGTGGGAAGAGGATGCGTGTAGGCTTGTCTGTATTTACATAAGCTCAGGGACGAGGCAGGTGGAGCTATAGACTGCCTTGCAGAAAGAGGGTCCCCAGATGGCTGGAGTAGCATGATGATACCCCTAATGAGAATGTCTTTGTCCAAGCTGATGACTATGTACTCAATTCCCCTATACTATTGCACAGTTGAGCACCACATGATCGATAGTTCATGCAGATAGAAGGGGGCACCCTTTCTCGTGCATGACGAAGGCGTCAAGTATCAATGACCCGTATCGAGACTTTGTCAGTGATGGGTTTTACGTAGCAGGAACTGATGAATATCTGACAAGCTGTATGATTGCAAAGGGCTAAGTTAAGAATTGCGGCGTGCTTCACCGTAGAATGGTGCCAAAGCAGCCATGCCCAACTGGAATACATTTACAAGCATCAGCATTTGTACAATGGAACACGGCCATTTGGCAAAACATTGAAAGGAAATGGACATGTTAGGAATTGGTACAATGCTTGTGGTATATAGCATCATTATTGGTCATGACACCAGCCCGGTTATAGTCCGTTATAGTACGTATATTATTATTCATCCGGAAACAGGATATCACAACTGTGGCCATCTGACAGCGCGAAACTAAGAAACATTTTGCTGTTCACCAAATCTGTACGTAATCATAGCGGCCAACAAGTGAAACATATCTCAGACTAGGTGGGCGTATCTTGGCCACTTTTGCGATAACGTGCGCTCACATGACAAACAGTCAAGAGTTGCAGTAACTGCTTGAATTCAACATGGGACTCTTGACTTGAGCTCAGACCACGAGAGAGAAGACTAATGATGAAGGGCAGTCTGTGCATCTAGACCTCAGCTTGGGAACTTGATAGACACGATATTGGGCGGAGAGAGTGGAAGAACTTTTTGCCCAATAGAGCAGGGCCGGCGAATCGGATCCGTTATACCGCTCTCAAAGAAAGACAGATGGTATAGATGGCAAGAAGAAAAGCGTGACCGGCACCGAGAATGCCGAGTTGTCGCCGCGCCCGTGGCCAACCTAGAACTATAGATTTTTTCTTTCTTCTTACATAGTAGGGGTCCTAGCTTTATTTCGCTCAGCATCGGTTCCTACTGGTTCCCCTTTGGCCTCACCGTTTTCCGTAAAGGTGCGGACTTTTGTGTAACCCAAGGATCGGGGGAGGAAGGGCAGTGGAGGATAGGTTTTTAGCGGGGGGGCGGCCAACGGAGCAAAAAGAACAGAGACAAAGACAGAGAGACAGAAGAAGAGAAAAAAAGCTCGCACACAGTGAAAAAGTCAAACACTGTAGTCTCCATTACTGGCGCACTGTCGACAGTGTCGACAAGACCCACACAGTTGGCGTCGTTCAAGTACCAAAGTACATGGCAAAGTTGCATACGGAATACAAACATCATGTACCGGACTACGAGGGAGCCACTTTCTTATAGTGCAGACCCAGTTACACCTGCATAAGGGAAGACGGAACTATGTAATAGTACGCAGTAACTTCCTGGGGGGGAGTCCCCATCTTGGCTTGGGCTATTATCTTTTTGTGGGAAATTGGAAAAAAGGAACAACTTGAAAGTGGGGAGCTATGGTGGAGTATATATCTCTTTTCACTTTATGTACTTGTTCTTTGACATTACATTAATTTTATTCCTTTTCGTACATTAAGACAGCAAGTGGTCCACCATGATATGTATGCACGCATTCAAAACAAACACTTATTACCGGGGCGCCTAAATTTGGTATGCAGTCCATCTGAACCGGCCCTGTCCCGGTTCGCCCCGCGGAGGAACCGGGGGAAGGAGGAAATGTTGCCCGTTGATGGGAAAAGGAAGAAGTGGGAATAGAATAGGGTACATGTGTATCTATCTCTCTCTCAACGGGCCACTTGTCTGACCTGCATATTGGGAATTTGCATGTCCGATCGTCTAGTAGAGTAGCGAGCCGAACGGAAGTCCAGTACTACTACTACGACACACTAAATCGATCATGGATGAACCCGCCACCCGCCCGAATCAAGCTCGCGGGATTTTTTACAATGTAAAAAAAATGGATAGATATTATATTTCTCACGCTTCTCATTTGTGAACAACGAATCTTGCTAGCATGTCGGCTGGCACATTATGTTACGTGATACTCTACCAGAAGGGAGTTCCTTGTTGTGGATAACTCCCCCAGTAGTGTAGAAAGCAAAGGAACATGCCGATCTATTATCGCCGTCTGGAGCAGAAGAATTGGGGAAAAAGCCAAATAGTTTGTCTGGTACATGATACGTACACACGAGTCGTTTGCTTTTGCTCATTCAAGGGTTTTCGGTGGAAAACGTTTATGCTACTGTCCTTTCCCCTGCCATTGTTCAGCCTATTTGCAATACGTAGTGTGTACATGGTAACAAGTAGTATAACGACGTCAGCGTCAATCACACCAGCAGAGTTGTAGTAAGCAGCAGTGACCGTTGTGGTTCTGCCAATGAAAATCCTCACTTATTCTTTACAAGGGACGGGTATTGGATGGACAATCATATCTTAACCTACGTAGCCAGACCTGAGGGAATTTTTTGGGGGCTGGCTAGGCCCTTATTGGGGAGGAATTGAATGAATGAATGAATGATATGACGGTGGTGGTAATGGGTGGTGCTGTAAGCGCGCATGAGACCTCTTACCGAATCGAGGGAGGCTCTCTTTAGCTTGCGAAATAATCCGACTCAGCCCCTCCGTGAACTCCCCCCAGCCAGCCGTGAACCGCCTCCGGGCAAGCCAGGGAACCAAGGAAATCGCAAACAAACGGCGGCCAAGGAGCGCCCTATGCTTTTCCTGGTCATAGGATGGGAAAATCGTGGAGATACATGGTAATCAGCCCATTTGACTCGTTCGTGTTTGAGTGTGTGTGTGTGGAGGTGGGAAAGGAAAATGGAGAGTTTTTTTTGCCAAGACATTACAACGTGGGATGAGAAGTCTGGGAGAAAACCTGGGTGCCCCGCGAATCGTAGGTTGTGTTCCCATGTCTTGACAGGATCATATGGGTATGTAGTCGGTCACCTAGTCAGCTTGTAAGGGCCAACTTGCGACTCGCAGTCAATGAAACTTGTTGTCATACTTGCGGTCAGCATGATTCAATACAACAGTCTGTTCGGCACTTTGGAGGACATGCAAGAAAAGAAGACAATGCCTCGCCGGTCCGATCTCATGTAGTTCTGTGCTTTTGTCAACCATCCGATTATAGCCACCGGGTCAGTCCCGCATCTGGGCATGATACGTGGTGGTCTTTGTCGTTCCAAGCCAACCTCTCTACTGTCTATACTCGTGGACCAATTGGGGAATACCCATTTAATCCCTCCAGGCAAAGAAGAACAGACCAATGTCTCGAAAACGAGGCTTTTTTGCTCGTTCCGATCCGCAGTAACTCCTTCTGATTATCCCGCGGAAAACACACTGATCAATATCTTGCCTCTTTGATGTTTTCCCATGCCTTGGCCGTCGTCACCATTGTGCTTGGAACCAAGAAAAAGATGAAAAACCTGTTGGAATAAAACCGCTCATCTATTTCCCAAAAATCTAAGCGAAACGGGGTCCACTAAACGAGTCAGCTCTACACTCGGCAAGCCACAAGCCAAGAGGGAGATTTTCAAGAAAACCTTCTTCTCCATCCCATAAGAGCCGGCGCCCGTTGGTTTTTCCCTTATTTCTAGAACCCTTCGGCGCAGTAGTGTCGTTGGAAATAATTAGCCCGGGACCCCCATCATCTCAAGGCCTGGAAGCGGAGTCCCACATTCGTCGTCCAACTATAATGATATCAAAACCGTGTAGCTCACTATTACATGCCAAACATTGAACACTTGGCAATCCAATTTATTGCTCATCTTCTTACCTGAATACATGATACGTATCTACCGTTGTGATCCTTTTGCACAAACCACGCTTTTCAATCTCATCCCCCGTGACTTTCTCCATTATCCTTTTCGGTCCGAAAGAGAAAAAAGTGGACGTGCCCTCGTTGGAAGCAAAACTCCACCAACCCCAGAGACAAAAGGGAAACCCCACGACATTTTTCTCTTGGGCGTCTCCATAGAATATGATGTTTGTACCATGTATTGACCATTATTATACATGTTCATCGTGATTGTACATGACATTAGTAGGTACATAAAAAGGCACTTCTTGCGTCTGGTCCGTGTGCCTATTGTGATGATGGTCACCGAGATGCCTCCTTTCCCGCCTCATCATTCGGCAGCGTGACACGGGAGAAGAGAACTGAAAGACTCCATAACAGAGAGCGTGTACGTACATGTTTCTATCAAGTACGTAATCACAAGTAATGATGGTGAAACATTATTGTCAAGCGAAGAGATATCAAATCCAATATCTCAGGGTCCAGATCGTTCTCTACTACTATTCAGCTGCCGAGCAGGCTAGGGATAGGAAAGAAACTAGGATGAACCGTCTCTTTGGATCTATCCATGTACATAATAAACATCCCGTCTCGTTGTCGTCCTGCAACGAGGGTTTTCCTGACCGCTGTATCTTCTTCCCATATGCACCTAACGTTAGTTTCCGATTTGAGCCATTTCTGCCAAGACTGAGGCTTGACACTACGGATAGATGGTTTATATACTCGGCCATTCTCCAAAGCTAGTGGTTGAGTAGTAGTCGATCACTTTAGCATTGGTGTTTGTTGACTCTCCGCCTGCCGAGCCTAGGGAGGTACCGTAGACAAACTTCTGCCTTTCCGAAGCCCTCGTAGTATTGAGCATCACAAGTGGCATTTGATATAGGTACAAGGTCCTAGAAAGTAGTGATACATTCTTCATTAGATATATACTATTGACCGCTGAACAAGGAAGAGCCTAACACATAAACGGGACCAAAGGTACACACGCTCAAGTACACTATCATATATGCCGCCGTCTCACTGCAGCAGTCACTGATGCATATGCATATCCCGTCCTCTTAGCTAGACTCGTAGTCAAAGTCGTAGTCTGAGTCGCACTCGGCGCCTTCAGCCTCCAACTGTGCCCGCGTATACTCGTCGAGATTTCGGCCGTGAGAAATCTCGGCCCAGGTGTTCTCATGTAGTAGCCTGCTGGCCGTCTCGCTCTCGTAGCCCTTGATTGGCCGTACGCGCCGTGGCCTTGCATGATCGGCGAACCTGGTGTTTTCTTGCTGCTGGCTCTCAAACCCGGCTAGTAGCGGTTTTTTAATATCATCGTCCATGTGAGCCTCTGCCCGGAAGAGCCGGGTTTCCGCATATCTTGGACCCTGGACGGCGCCAATGCAAGGATGCGGATTCAGGACGATCTCCCCGCGTTGCAGATACTCCCCTGCTCTCTGCCGTCCCAGGCTAGGATCTGGCCCAGCCAGTCCTTCGGGAGGAGGAACCTCGGGGTGGGGTATGAATGGTCGGGGACGGCGTATTGCTCTCTGTTTGCCCCCGAGCTGCATTCGCAGGAGATCAGAATTGTTCTTTGCCGCCTGGTTTCCTTCTTCATCGTCGTCGTCCTCGAGGCTGAGAAGGTAAACCCTTCCACTTCCATCGCCCACAGTGAGCTTTGTGTAATCTGGAGAGAATGCTCCTGCTGTAATGGGCCCAGACACTTCAATGAGATCCCGCAAGTGCTTTGCTTTGCCGTTTCGGATATTCCAAACTTTGACAACACCATCTGACGAACCCGTGTAAAGTCGGTCCGCAGTCGTGCCCCACGAGACAAACTTGACCCCAACGTCCTCAAGTTCCTTCTCGCCAAGGAGCTCTTCTACCGGTTCGCCGTGGCGAAGTATACACATGGGTAGATCGCTGCCGGCCGTATCCCAAACATATACATTGCCATCTGTACACCCAGCTGCAACGTACGAGTAGGCGGCACTGTTGGGTCGAATGACCAGCTCATTGATATCAATGGCTGTGCAATCCAGCGTCTTGATCGCTCCGTACTGGCCAGTGTCTGGGTTTATTTCAAAGATGCGAATTTGAGTATTAATATTGTGGTCATTTCTTTCAATAGACATGGCCTGAGAGGTTGCCACGGCAAATGCGTTCCTGCTTGGGTGCCATGCTACCTCGAATACGTTCTGTGTGGCCAGACTGTTAACTTTAATCTGCTGCCTCTGCAACGTATCCCAGAGGCAGAGCTCGCCAGTGCTTTGCTTGTCCAGAGGGATGTCGTGGTCATCACCGGTCATGCTTCGAGGAGAATAGCCAACCAGCAAAAGATGCTGTAGGCCTGGAGCCAGACCCCAGCGGATCGCTGCGGGACAATAAGCCCACTTTTCAGAAGGAGTATAGTCCTCCTCATCGACCCTTGTGCAGGAGTAAGAGTCAAAGCTCTGATTCGAACAAATGGTCGCCGTGTGATAGACTCGAACGGCATTAGTGGCTACATCGACAGCTGTTGCCACCAAGCCATGCGGGTGCTTCGATGCCAATACAAAATTGACACGGCCGCCATGTTCCCATGTCCCTATCAGTTCCATGGTGTCCTTGACTCGCCAGATCTTGACTGTTTTGTCAAAGCTGGCAGTAAAAGCTAGCTTCTGAACGGGGTCAAAATCTGAATCCACGACAGAGCTGAATAACCATGGATCTTGACTTTCCACCATGGCGTCCAGAGCATTGTCTCCATGCAGGACTACAGGCCGGGGGATGCGATGGTCTGGAAAGGCACGTAGCGTACTTTGACTAGAGGAGCCCAGGAGCAGATTGCCTGGCTTATTGTACTGTTGATTATGAGAGTCCGAGTGAGTCGTGGTACCGCAAATGAACTGCGTGTTAGACACCCAGCTTAAAGTCATGATATCGCCAGCACAATTGGTCCATTCTATCTGAGGCTCCATTGCATCTTCGTGGTTGGACTTGAATGTCGTGGTAAAGTTGGCATACCGGCGGGTAGAGTTGAATGCACGATTTCCTACGATTTCGCGGGCGAACAGCAAGGAAGGTGCCCGGTTGATACGGGTTACTCGATTGCTCAAGTCGTCGCGACTTATGGTGAATGTCTGATGTGGACCTGGCCGAAGCTTGCGCCTGCAAATGTCGTTTGCAAAGTTGTCGAGGTCGGTCATGCTTCTGGACAACAAGGCGGGTGGCGGGTTACCGAAAGAAGAGTAACCATTGTTGTGAACTTTGAATAAGTCTGTATAGACATGCCCAACTTTTGCCTTTTTGGCCTTTTTGAGCAGATGTCTCAAGTCTTCGAGACTGTTTCTCTGTCCCTGGATTTTGGATCCGTAAAGACGCCTAGCAACAGTCTGAAGGAACTGGATCTCATCTTCGCTGAAATCGACATGTATAGTGGAGGGTTGTCGTAGCTCGGAATCATCCAGGCGGAGCATGTGAACAGGCTCTAGCACACCTTGGCGCTCACTCCACGGAAGATATGGTCGTGATGACAAGCTGAACCATTTGTTTCCGGATTTTGAACCAGCACCGTTGTCATCATCAACAATCCTACCAGACTGCCATTGCTTCGCCTTGACTCTAGCCCGAAGGCGCTGGGGGCTGACTGGCGACGCCCGCTTGACTCGGCGCTTCTGGCCCGCGTGTTGTCTTCCTCCTTGTCCACTATTTCCGTACCTGTCTCTTCTCGGTCTTCCTACGGGGTTCCTTTCTTCTGGCTCTTGCTCAAATTCGGAAACACTGGTAAACTGGGCAGGAGCCGATGTGTAAACGGCCAAGTCGTCAATGTCTTCGATCGGGGGAATGATTGCTGGCCGGGCAGGCTTTTGCGCTTGAAAACCCTTGAGTCGTTCCTGGCCAGTTGTGTAAGCAATGTGAATGACGAGTACGAGGACGGATGAGAATGGCAGTCACGTACCGGCTTGCTCCTCAGCTGGATCACGAGGCGTTTTATCCTCGCATGTAGATTGGCCTCGAAGGCGGCCGAGGGCCGGAATTTGCTCCTCACCCATTCATGCTCAAAGGCGTTATCTGTGACATGGCTCAGGACTGTGAAATGTAGCTTCTCGGCGTGTTCTGCGTCAAGATCGGGGGCCAACCGAGCTATTGTTTGCTCGATTGCGGGCAAGAGGCTGGATTCAAGGTATGCATTAAAGAGGCGTCGGTTAAGGTCTGGTAACGGTGTTCCTGTCGTTTCTATGCCCGAATCGGTTCGCTGGCGTTTCGACGGAGGCTGTTCGAAGCCATTGACATCGTCGTCGGAGCTGTGGTCGTAGACGCGGTTCGTAGATATCTTGGGCGCGTCCGGAGCTCGGTGAGCCCTTAGCTGTTGCTTGAGCGGCGGCCGTGGTGGTATTCGCTGCTGTCGTTGTTGTGGCAGTGCGGGCAACGACGAGGACAACGATTTAATTTCCGAATTTAATTCAATTAAATCATCGTTATCCTCGTCGTCTATTGTTAAATCAATGGGTTCGGTTTGCGCCATCGTCAATAAAAGGTGACGTTGTTTAAAGGTAGCACGGGTGGGTATTTAAACGCGTAATCCATTAAAGCTATTAGTTTAAAAAGTATTAGCGTTAAAATTTATAAGTTTTAATTTTAATTTTTATAAAAATAAAAATAATTTATAATTTATTAATTATATATTTTTATTTAATATTTAAAAAATAAAATAATTATTTTAAATATTTTAAAAATTATAAATTAAATATATATATAATTAACGATAATATTTAAATTTAATCGATAATAAAAGATGATTTTAAAAATAAAATAAATGCTTTATTCGGTCTTTCCGTATCTTTTCGCATTCCGCTAAATTGCATAGCACTTTATCGCAATATTATGACATAAGTTCGCAAGGCACAACTAAGCTGTGTCGAGGTTACCCGGATTACACGTTCACTTTATGCCACATTTTTCCGTCATTCAAATAAACAAAAATCCTTTTAGCAATGCATCAAAACTAATAATTATTTAATGTAAACATTCCGCGCTTTCCATGCATTTCTGCGAATCAGCAAAAGATATTTCTAAATAGTGTGTGTGCATATTTACATGTCGGAGTTGAGCCCGTATACATAACCAGAAGTTCTCCAAGTCTCCGACAACGATTATAGGTTGGACTTGATCGGGTACTCGGCGTTGATTTCGACATACATGCGGTCAATTTCTGATCGGTACTTCTTTGCGGCTTGGGCTCTCTTGAGCTTGAGACTAAATAGATAAGTCAGTAAAGTTTTGTTTATGCAGAGTACTTTTTTTCTTTCCGGAAGGGACTTACGTGTGTGTAAGAAGCTCATTTGCAATGGTGAATGGCTCAATCTCAAGAACGACATTCTTCACGCGCTCGTATCCATTGAACTTGTTCTTCCTGCCAATATCGTCGAGATGCTTGACAAATGCCTTGATGACGCGCGGATCCTTGGCGGCAGCCTTGATTGCTTCAAGATCATCCGCAGCGACAGTCTTCTTGAGGACCTTGCTGGCAAATGGCCCAAATGTGGCTGGGTCAACGCCAAAGATACCAACCAGGTGCGACTGTGTGCCATCTCCATGAACGAATGCCATGGTCATGAGGCTCGAATTGCCCATGTAGACATTCTCAAGGCGCTCTGGCGAGACGTATTCACCTTGTGCGAGCTTGAGGACATTCTTCTTGCGGTCAATGATCTTGATGCGTCCCATCTCGTCAATCTCTGCCACATCTCCAGTGTGGAACCATCCATCAGACTCGAGAGCCTTTTGGGTTTCCTCGGGGTTCTTGAAATACTCCCGGAAGATGGTTGGGCCTCGAAGGAGCAGCTCTCCACGAGGATACGGCTTATCTGTCGCCAGGTAATCGAAATCAGGCAGTGACTCTAAGCAGATCTCAGTTCCAGGGGCAGGAGGACCAATGTTGCCAGTCGTAAAATCACCCCTGAGCTGGTAGGAAGCCACGGCATAAGATTCGGTCAAGCCATAGCCTTGGGTAATGTAGTTGCCAAACGCAGCCCGAAGGAACTCGTGGACGGAGGGGTCCAATGGAGCACTTCCGCTCACCATGGAATGACACCGTTCCAGACCAACAGCAGCAAGAACCTTGGGTGTCCAAATTCGGTCATAGAGTAGATGCGTATTGTTGGCTTTGCCAGGAGGCAATTTCATGCTGGCCTTCTTGGTCTCAATGACTCTGCGTGAGAGAGCACCCTTGAAGCCTTCAGCCTCAATAGTTTGGGCTTTAATGCCCATGGCAAACTTGTTGTAGAGTCGGGGGACCGAGATGAATCCCGAGGGCTTCAAAACCTTGAGATCGTCCACCAGCTCGAGAACGTTTCCGTGGAAGAAACCCAGAGCAGCACCCTCGGCAAAGGCCGTCTGATCACAGACCCGGCCGTATATGTGGGCGAGGGGAAGATACGACATGGACGAGTCCTTGTGAGACATGTTTCCGGACATGCGACTGCTCGTCACAGCTGCAACGCAGTTTCCATGTGTCAAGACGACACCTTTGGGGTCGCCGGTTGTGCCAGAAGTGTAGTTGATGGTGAGGATATCCTCGGGCTGAGGAGGGCGGTATGGGTGTGCGACCTCTTTGCCCAGCTTTTCGACGCCCTCCATGGCCCAAATCTGGACGCCATGCTGGCTCGCAATGTTGTTCAGCACTGCGAGTTTGGAGTAGCCTTCGGGTTCTCCAGCATCAAGGGAGTCAGTGCAAATGATGAGCTTGAGCTGCGGAAGTCGCGAGGCAACCGCAAGCAGGGTCGGAATATGCGGGAGCGAGGTGACTATGCAGGCGAGCTCAGCATGCTTGACAATGAACTCGGACGTCTCGGGTCCGAGGGTCTCGTAGAGAGATACAGTGAATAGCGACTGTGAGCTGAGAGCGATATCTGTAGAGAAATCATTAGCCAACGCCCTGACATTCGCAGAGGATATGGATTCTGGCCGGTCCACACTTACCAGTAATCTGCCATTCAGCACGGTTCTGGCACCAAAGACCAACACCAAACTTGTCAGCAGTCACGCCGACTCTCCGGTGAAGCTCGAGGATACCAGAGCCAAAGTTCTTTGAGCGCTCTGCAACCTGCGCATACGTCTGCCAGGTGTACTTGTTGTCCCAGCTCTTGGTAGCAGGGTTCCAGTGACGCGTGCCCAGACATCTGTTGTTGGGAAAACGTCTGACTGTGTCTTGAATGAGCTCATGAAAGGTCCGAACCGATGGATCATATGTGGACAAGAGCGGCTGGTCTCTGAATCGCCAGTGGCGATAGACAGCGCTGCGGCCTTCGCGTTCGGAACCGGGAACAGGCACGGCGTAGGGCGAGCCAGGAGGCGGCGGCGAGGCGGTCTTGGACAGCCAGTCCTTGACCTCTGTATTAGGGCCCGACATGTCGACTGCTCGATATTTCGTCCCTTATATGACGTAGAGCTGGGAGCGCCGGAAGGGGGCTGCAGAGGTCGGATCTTCAGACAATTGTGATTGTAGGAGACGCGCACGTCACTAGTGGGTTAGCACAGAGAGAGTATAGCGACGGGGAAGGTCTCTATCAATGTGAGATGTCTGGCTGTGAGATGTGTTGAATGTCGACCGTGTCGAATTGGAAAAAATGAGCAAAAAGAAAAGGGAACAACACATGTAAATGCTCTATCTAGCTACGGTCGAGAGTCATGCTACCTATCCACGAGCTGCTGATCCACCGCTTGCCGAGGCAGGACGGAGCGCTGAGCTGGACAGAAGACCGACGACTTGACCTCATCCAGTAAAGCGTAAGCTGGAGCCGAGAAGCCGCCCCATTTCATAGTGGCTCCCTGAGTTTGGGGGACTTATGGGGGAGCAGCAGTAGTGCATAGGCTTCTTACATATGAATGACGAGAAAGAGCACCATGAAAACACTTTTTGCAGAGGAAAAGATGATGATGATGGTCCATTCGGCGTTTGTGTGCAGAGGAAATTCCATGTGAAAGGGTCTCTCGTGCGACTCTAGGTGGCTGCAGGTCATAAAGGCACAATGATAGGAGCAGTTCGCAGTAATCCTGGCTTCTGGATATGCAAGGGGCCACATGCAGTCGGCTGGTCGGTTCAGTTCTCGAAGAATTCTTTGCTGCGGCACGGTGCACCCCTTCCGACTTGACCGGATACCGTAGAAGGGGATTGAATCCTTTTCCCCATTGTCCATTAATATGGGGTAATATGCTTAAAGCTTTGATTGAATTGGTTTTGAGCACCTATAAAGCGCAACAAAAGATTACATACACCACGTATTAATCAATAACACTGTATATGGCGTGTCACTTTCGCTGGATTCTGCATTTGATGTGCGGGTGCCACTGGATACACAAAAACAGACAGACGTCCAGACAGCTTTCATGGCATGGCCATCTAGTATTGAGTAAACGACAGATACTCGCCAAACATCGCAACTGCTTTTTCAGCTGTGCACATGGCTGTGGTAATGGAGAGCCTCGTAGTAGTACAGTATTGCTTGAGACATTACTTGGGTTGTAAATGGAATGATGGCATAGCTGAATTAAAGTCTTACTCGAGGCAGTTGCTCCTGCTGCAAAACAGTCTGTCAATTGGGGGTAATTGCCCCAGCTATTTTGGCTGACATCTATCAGCTTTTACCCATCTGCAATCACTCAATTTAAGACACAGAGTTGAGTGGCGACCCCTCCGCCCCTTTCGCAAAAAGAAGAGAAAAGGACGAGTTGCTTCGAGTTTTTATACTTTTACAACAGAGGCACTATATGGTTCGTATCGTTGAGCTGCCCAGTGCTTGCTCATGTTTGAAGTCTGAGCATTTGATTCTTTACCTAACCCCCAATCTGGAGTATTTTTGACTTGGGGCCTAGCTAGGCCTGGGCCTGGCTGGCATCCTTCACCTAATGGGCAAAACCAGGGTGCTGAATCCACCCGCGTTTCGATAAATTCTGGGCATATGGCACTCAAGCTTTTGCTCTGGCAGCCAAGACACCTGGCGAAGCGTTCCTGATACTCATTCCAAGACTTCTCAGACTTGACCAAGACTTTTCAAGACCGAGGGAGGAGTCGAAAATGGGATGCACTTCTATTTATCTCTGGGGGATCTGGGGTTTCCGCATCGTCGTCGTCTTCCTACGTCAGCTCGCTCTGACTTGAACGCAGGCTTGGGCTCCACAGTTTGGCTTGTTTCAACCATGCTGGCGTCGTCCTGTGTTCGAGATTCCTTCATCTTGCCTCCTCCGTAACTACTACTGCTAATACTACCACCACCACCATCACACAGACTAATCACCTACCCATCCTCCTACGATATATCATTGTCTCCCCCCTGCACTACCAGAGTCGCTGGTAGTAGCTTGCTGGAAAACAGGACTAAAGAGCTAACACTACTCGCTCGCTCACAGGCCCTGTCTTTGCAGGAAACAAACTGGTAGCAACTCGAAACAAGCAGCCATGCACCGTCACCTTGTGTCTGTGTGGCCTATTCCTTTCCCGACCATGGGCGCGGCTTTTTGAAAAGTCTGCGTATTTTCCTAACATCGGATGCCCAGTCTCATTGGATGCCTTGGCTCATCTTCGAGAGTCCTCGGGGGAGTAGACATGGCTTTGAAGTAGTCAGCCAGTTCAGCGGCCAGGAAATTGAAATGTCTGCCACATAGATATATACACTACTACCGACACAACTGAATGACTGACTACTTACACCTGGCAATGGATTTGCCGGCAGCCACACTGCAGCCCATCACTCACACTTTACATGACGGATGTATTTCTACGCGGAAGGAGAAGAAGGCCGAAAAAAGAAAAGAGAAAACACTGCGTCCAATCAAACCTTGGCGCGCCGTCGAAGCGCCCTGTCGATATTACCTAGGGCAGGGGTCTCTATACATAATATACCCGCGCAATCCATATTGGGCGCTCCTCCAAACTACCCATCCGTGCATTGGCGGCATGCCTGTTTCAGGATGATTTCAGACCTGCACATTGCAGCATAATCCACGACGGCGATCGATCGCCCTGATTGGGGACATCCCGGCACCTCTTTCACGCATACTAACCGCCCATAGAGACCCTGTGCCTGTGACATTATTCTATCTAATGCCGGATGTCCGTCGACGCATAAGACAGGTGGACTCCTCAACCTTTTTTTTCGTTGCTCCCTCCCACGTCTTTCTGTATACTTACCTGACGCCTGGTGCTCAAGATCTCTTCCTCTGTTTCTGTTTCTCTTTATTTTAAGTTTCTTGTCGTAATCTATTCTGCATCATCTCTCTCTCTCTCTCTCTCCTCCAGCGCTGGTTTTCTTTGGGTCTTGTATATGACTTCGCATCTAGACTCTCGCTTCCCCAACCGACAACCGCTCTTCTCCCACTCATCCAACATGCCTTCGATGGTCATTCTCGGTCTGCGGGCCGTTCAGCTCCTTTTCGGCTTTATTGTCTTGGGACTGTCTGCCTATGGTGAGTTGATGAGTCTGGTGGCTAGATAAATTGGCGTGGTCTCGTTTTTGACTGACTTGTTGTCCCTTTTAGTTGCCCACTGGTACAATGCCGATACCCTGACTGCCTCGCCGTCGCAGATTGACTGGCTACTATTCTGCTCCCTCTTCACCATTTTGTCGGTCGTCTACCTCGAAGTTGCGCCGAGAGCCATGCCAAAGAGTAAGTTGGGGGAAACTAGTCTCTTGATTGCAAAATCGAAGCAGAATGTACTAATGCTATTCCACAGTTGTCCACCCCATGGCCGTTGTTGCTGTGGAACTGCTCAACGCTCTCTTCTACTTTGCCGGCTTCATTGCCCTCTCCGTCTTCATCAGCAAGCTCCTCTTCTGCCGCGGAAGCGTGTGCGGCTCAGCCCGCGCCGACGTGGCCTTTGGTGCCATGGAGTTTCTGGCCTGGACCGGCACGGCCGTCTTCTCCGTCCGCGATGCCATGAAGGGGGGGTTCAACTTGCGCCGCCGCGGCGGTGCCAGCAGCTCAGCCCCCGTCGGCGGCTCGCAAATGAAGGAGGCCCAGCTGCCCTAAGCGTCCCCGACCTTGTCGTCGGGGTGCTGCCGTCTTCCAAAAAGGAGGACGAAGGCATTCGCAGCTGCGCCTATTCCAACTATACGGACATCCCGCTCAGCCCTTATGAATATCGGCCTTCATTCGATGGCAGCCTGCCCAAGAAGAGCCCCCTCTTGTCAACCTTTGACAGGCGGCGGCTGACGATTGCCACGATGAAGCTATGAGTGTGGCATGTGAAGATATTTCGCGTATTGGGATCAAACTTGTCTTTTATTTTTATTTGGGTTGCCTTGCTTGTCTTTTTTTGCAATCAAGGGGGCGAGGGAGAAAATGTTGGAAATAAATGACAATACTTGCGGGCCGAACAAAACAGAGAAACAGAAACAGCATTGGAAGAGTATCACTGCGGGGAGTAGTGAGGAAAGGAATCGGAACTTGTGATGATGATATGGGTACACGTCCGTCTGGGCATAGGCTTCGTCTAGATGACCAGCCTGCCCACCCCCATTTTTTAGATTAATGAACGGCAATGTGGTTTTTGGGTTGGTTATGGGAGGGCGGGTAGTGCTGAGTAACATCAGTCCGTCGAACGCACCATAGGTTGTGTCTCGACTTGATATCCATAGGAAATATACCCACCTATATGACAAACATCTGCACCGTGGTCTCTTTGATAATGAAGGTTCAAGACGCCCATGCGGGAAGATATATGCAGCTGCAGGGTCCATGTTACCGCACCTGTCAAGTGTAATTATGACATTACCAAAAAGAACGAACCTAGCTTGAAGGCAAAGAACCATGTATCCAAACACATGGAATGATAGCTGTCAGCATTTAGGTGTCAAGTCGTCATCAAATGATCTAAGTATTGAATCTGAAAGTGGTACACTAACCATCTACCTAGATTTTCAAATGCCGAGTTCACCCACATGACCAAAACGGACAAGAGTGGCCGATAGCCAGCCTGTTTTATCGGTCACGAACATCCGAGACGGCATTGGCAGAATGGACTTTGGCAAGGGTTCATACAGACCCTCGCCACAGACTGAGGTTGGCAAATGGGTGATGCTAACCAGGAACGCATTATTGTGTCCTAGGTAGAGGAATGTGGAGCACTACTGTAGAGTATAACGAACTAGCTCTTGTCAGACTCTACTTCAACGTTTGACAGGCAGCATAGTCTACGGATTTCATCGGCCCTCGACAATCGCAAAGGAGCATCTTGGAGGGAAAAAACACAAGGTTTTACCGATCTCGGTAGGAATCTCTTCTGGATTACCTAGTTGACCTTTTTTTCGGGGATGGGGTGAGAGGGGGAATCCCCTCGAGCACGCAATCCATCTAACGACTGGCATTCTTGACCCCACTTCCCCAATCGGAGCACGTTATTGATGATGCAGGTCGACACGCTATTCGTGAATTGGGGCAGACCATTTGTTGGCTGAGCGGAAGGGGGGTCATTTTGGGGGGGAAAGATCGCAGGAAAGAAAGGGCATTGGGAAAAAAGGAAAGACTTGCTGAGCAATTTCTCAAAGTATATTAGTTTAGACGATCCCCTGGTCTTTGTTCCCATGATGTGATTGTGTTCTTGTGCTCTTAGGTTCTTCTCGTGTCCGACGGCTGTCCAGTTTCCGATCTTACTCACCATATATCACCTCCCCGACGCCACGTCTTCCCAACCTTTCATCCAGATATCCCCATACAATCGTCAGCTCGAGGTCCCAAAATGGCGGAACAGCTGAGCAAGAACTTTGAAACGCTCCAGCTACATGCAGGGTATGGCCGATCGTTGCTCTTTCTCAAGACGCTTTGCGAGGAGAATCTCCTAGGACTTACACACTCAATAGTCAAGAACCCGATCCTGCCACTAACTCGAGAGCCGTGCCTATATACGCAACAACGGTTAGTCACCAAATCAGACGAATGAGACTATGATTGCAGACACATACTGATCAATCCACGTAGAGTTACACGTTCAATGACTCGGCTCATGGAGCGAGGCTTTTTGGCCTCAAGGAAGCAGGCAATATCTACAGTCGGATTGGAAACGTAAGTAAACAAAATGTGGGCTACGATAGTTTACGAGATTGTCTAACACAAACAATAGCCCACTGTTGCCGTGTTCGAAAATAGAATAGCTGCCCTAGAAGGCGGAGCGGCCGCTCTCGCGACCTCGTCTGGTCAGGCCGCACAGTTTATAGCATTGACGGCTCTGGCGCACGCTGGCGACAACATCGTCTCGACGACGAATCTCTATGGTGGCACCTACAATCAGCTCAAGGTGCTTCTGCCGCGACTTGGCATCAAGGTCAAGTTTGTCGAGGGCGACAAGGTAGAGGAGCTGGTTGCTGCTATTGACGACAAGACAAAGGCCGTCTATCTCGAGAGTATTGGCAACCCGAGATATAACATTCCCGACTTCAAGGCACTTGCAGATGCTGTGCATGAAAAGGGAGTTCCCTTGGTTGTACGTTTCTCCCCATCAGAGCTTTGTACGAGCATAGGCGAGACTGATTGTTTGGCCAGGTCGACAATACTTTTGGAGCTGGAGGCTACTTTGTCAGGCCGATAGAACACGGTGCTGATGTAGTTGTACACTCGGCAACCAAGTGGATTGGGGGCCACGGCACTACCATTGGTGGTGTGATTGTTGATGCCGGAAAGTTTGACTGGGGCAAGCATGGAGCAAGATTTCCTCAGATGGTTGAGCCCTCGGAGGGTTACCACGGGCTCAAGTTCTGGGAAACTTTTGGCGCCCTCACCTTTATCATGCGCGCTCGTGTCGAGATCATGCGTGATCTAGGCGCCTGTCTGAACCCCTTTGCAGCACAGCAGCTACTGCTCGGTATCGAGACCTTGAGCTTGCGCGCCGAGAGGCACGCAGAGAATGCCCTGAAGCTGGCAAAGTATCTCGAGGAGAGCGAATACGTCAGCTGGGTCTCATACCCGGGACTTTCGTACCATCCCAGCCACGCTCTGGCCAAGAAGTATCTCAGGCGCGGCTACGGCGGTGTTCTGAGCTTTGGCGTCAAGGGAGGAGGTGCGGCCGGCAGTCAAGTAGTGGACGGATTCAAGCTCATTTCCAACCTGGCCAACGTCGGCGACTCCAAGACGCTGGCGGTCCACCCATGGACCACGACCCACGAGCAGCTCTCGGACGAGGAGAAGATCAGCTCCGGCACGACCGAGGATCTGATTCGGATCTCGGTGGGAACGGAACATATTGACGATATAATTGCTGATTTTGAGCAGTCGTTCAAAGCTGCTTCCGCCACGACCAAGGATGGTGCTGAAGGTGACGCCCCCAATGCTAAGAAGGATGAGGCGCCAGTTGTTGTTTAGAATACCATATTTGTAATTCAATAGCAAATTAAACAAGATGAAATGTATTCAGAAAATATCTTGTTCGATGAGTCCTGTTGTGCGGCTCACCAAACCAGCAACTCGTAGATTGAACGCAATGGACATATATCTATATTTGGCCATGTTGAGATCTTAGCACCGGCAAAAGACTTGGGAATTCGACCCGGGAAAATGACTCGAGTCTCTATATAAGGACTTGAAGTGTATTTAAAGTAAATAAATTGAGAGGATTTGTAAAGATTGAGGAATTGTTATTCTATCGGTAATGAGGGAGAAGGAGTCAATTTGTTAACCCAAGGTGAGTTGGTGAGTTGTAAGTCGGTGTTAGCGGAGCTTACCGAGCAGCCACCTCCCAAAAACGTCAGCAATCCAATCCAATTCGTTCTATGGAGCAGCAACCTGGACAGGACCTAACCATTTGCTATACGCCAAATGTGAACAGCTCTTCCTTGCGAAACCCTCCCACCTCGACAATTCCGTCTCCCGCAACTTTCCTCCCATCCCAACCCAGACGCGAAACACATTGAATCAAATCCAATAAAATTTGGGGGAAAAAAGTCTCATTCGCGATGCGCCTAACCCTCCCAGCGCTCCTGAGCGCCCTCCTCCCAGCCTTGGGGGGCCTGGCCTCGTCCTCCTCTTCTTCCTCCGCCGACAACATCGGCACCGTCTCGCTCACCCTCACGGTCCCGCCGGCGCAGCACCTGCCCAACCCGCACGTCCTGCCCGCCTCGACGCACGCGACGCTGACGGCGCTGGGCCACCCGCGCCGCGCCGCGCCCTTGACCGTGTCCAACACGTTTGTCTTTCACAACGTCACGCCCGGCTCGTACCTGGCCGACGTGCACAGCGCCGCCTACGGGTTCGTCCCGCTCCGCGTCGACGTCCTGGAACCTGCGGCTGCTGCTGATGCCAATGGAGGTCCGGTCGTCAAGGTCTGGGAGACGTACCGCGGCAACGAGTGGGGGAACAAGGGCGAAGAGGTCCTTAATACGGGAGGTGGTGGAGGAAAGGCGGCCTCTGGACCTTCTTTTGCGGTCCGCTGTCTCGGCAAGAAGGTCTTCTTTCAGGAGAGGGGAAAGTGTGAGTTATTCTTTCCTTGATTCCTCTTCTACCTTGGATCGAGAGGTTGAGTGCTAACAATGTTCCGCTTGGTTACAGTCTCGATCTTGACCATTCTCAAGAACCCCATGATTCTCATGGGTCTGGCCAGCATGGGTATCTTCTTTGGCATGCCAAAGCTGGTCGAGAATAGTGAGTTTCTCCCTTAATACCTGCCTCTGTTTTACAGATTGGAGAGGAAAAAAAGACCATGGAACTGACATACATCACCAATAGTGGACCCCGAGATGCGCGCAGAGTGGGAAGAGCAGCAAAAGAAGAACCCAATGAGCAGCATCATGGGTGGCGGCTCCAGCGGTGGCAACCCAATGAGCAGCTTTGACATGGCCTCATTCATGGCGGGCTCTAACAACAACAATAATAACGAGGGCAGCTCTGGAAATGGGGGTAAGAAGGGCGGGAAGAGATAGGTCCGCTCAACACTGATTTGACTGGATATTATTCGCAGAGACACTAGAGTCGATAGGTTCGTTCCCAAGGCTACATTGTATGGCATCAGAAATAGATGATTCATTTATACTTGAATTATGTCATGCATTCGCAGAAACTGTGGATTGATTCGATGAATCTGAATTATGAAGTATTTACCTTCAGCGAACCGGTATATCCTGGTCCGTCTCTTATACGTAGTATTGACGTTGACCTTTTTGCAAGTCTATCAAAAAGTCAGATGCCGACTCAAAACATGAAAAGCAGCAATTCATCTGCAAAATCGTATCATGGTCATGATGCCGAGCCTTAAAAGGCCACAGCCCTTTTAAAAGTCGCCTCCAAAGTCGTCACCACCTCCAAAATCATCACCGTCCTGACCATCATTATAGCCATCTTGATATGCGTCTTCCTGCGCTTCATCAATCTCGTGTGCAATGAGGGCTCCGCCGAGCACACCGGCACCAAGACCTAGGGCAGCGCCACCGGCCATGCCCATACCTCCGCCGCTGCTCTTCTGCGGACGCTGCTGGTAACCACCATAGCCACCCTGCTGGGGATAGCCTCCGTAGCCTTGCTGTGGGCCGCCGTAGTAGCCACCCTGTTGTTGCTGAGGATAGTAGCCCTGCTGCTGAGGAGGGCCATTGTAGTAACCCTGCTGGGGCGGACCGCCATAGCCGCCATATTGCTGCTGCTGCTGAGGATATCCGCCGTAAGAGCTGCCACCGCCTCCAGAGTACTTGTTCTTGCCGCTTCCAAACAGCTTGCCTAGGAAGCCCTTGGCCTTGTCGCCACCGCTGCCGCTGCCGCTGCCTCTGACATCGCCCGGCCGCGGCGGAAGCTGTTCCGGATATGGCGAGTGGCTCTGTGGTGGGGTCGGCGCAGCATTCAAGTACGATGCGGCAGCACCGCTACCGCCGGCGCGAGCATTCTCCTCCTCCTGGAGTCTGCGCGCCAGGGCCTCATCTTCGCTCTCGCTATGCGACGGACCGCCATTGCCTCTCGAGGCGTCGTTTGCATGGAACGGGTTGGTCTTTGCATCCGAGGGCGTGGGGCCGCCACCCGGTGTGTAGCCCGGAGGCGGGCCAGCTGGTGAGTCGTCATTGGGATTGACGGCAGGGGCTGTGGGCTTCTCCCATTGTGACTTCTTGGTAAATGTGTTGACGTAGAACCTGGAAAGATGGCATCAGTCAGTCGGCTGTTGTCTACACTGAGTGTTTCTTCGTACTTGCGCTGCGCTGAATGACGCACGCAAGATGATCGACGGGGTGGGTCACAGTTCCGAGTATTGGTTGCTGATGGTGAGGTACTTACCACTCCTTGTACTGGTCGTTCCAGCGGGCGACCCAGCCCTCGGGGACCTTGGGAGGCGGAGGGCCAGAGGGTGCGTCGAAGTCTGCCATACGTGTGGAATGTGTGATTTCTGGTGTTCTTTTGTTGTTTTCGCGGCTGTCGTCAAGTTGAAAACGATATCTACTAGATCAAGTTCCGACGCTGCGAGTTTGATCCTTCGGGAAGCTTGTCAAGTACTAGTAGTAGTAGGTGTGGGGTTTTTGGCTGACGGTTAGACGATTGTATGGTGGCAATGAGGGGTAGGAGTAGTAGTATTGTGTTTCGGACCCAAGACAAGGGACAGAATTCAGGTGTTAGAGGAATTAGAGTAATAGACTATGGGAGGCGTCAAATATGGCGAGAACGTGAGGAAAGTGTTCAATGTTCGTCAATAAATACTAAAGAAGACAGAGTTGCGGCGATGGAGAAGGTCGCGGATATGCTTAAAAGTGCGAGATGCCAGCCTAGTAGTCACTCACGTAATTGGTACCTACCTAATGTACTTAGCATTGTACGCATGGGCAAAGACCAGGCACGTATGGCTTGGCCAACCAAAAGTGAATGAATGACCTGCACAGCCTCTCGAGTCGACGCAAGCACGAGCGCATATTGGAGTGACCAAACGCTTGGGTTGGTACATTATCCAGGCGTATCCAGCGTAGGGGATCCTAAAACCGCCACTCTGAGTTCTTGTTCGGGTTTCGCTGCGGCCGGAGGTAACCAACCCGGTGCAGGCTTGTCTGATGCAATGCGTGTACACTAAGTAAGTCGTGCTGTGGAAAGGGACCCGCACTATGGAATACGCAAGTCCGTTTCCAAGGCTCGTTCCAGATGCTTCCTTTCCATGTGTGCTACTGTTCGCAGTGTAATCACCAGTGGCTGTGCTGCTGCTGCTTTGTGCCGATCACGCATACTCATACATACCTCTCTCTCACACACACCCGGAAGGGTTCGCAAAACGGCAAGATGCATCTGGCATGTCAAACCAGCATGTCTGTCTGTCCCTTTGCTTCCATTCGTTCCAAACGATGCGGCCCGCTGTGGGTGGTGGACCAACGAAGAGGCTGGAGGCGATACTCGAGCCCACTATTATTGGCTGTCCGACCATTCCGGCTGCCTCGATGGTCTTTTCCCACATCTGCTACCTACCAGCTACCAACCCAACCGCCATGCAGGAACCTCGAGAGTCGCACTGCATTTGCATTTTTGGGACGAGCCTGATCTTAAAATAAAACTCGACTATTGATTCTGTGCATCTACTCAACATGCCCCGAGCCATTTCTTTCATGAATGTTTTTCATGACAGTAAGTGCAAAGTAACCACGGGATATCAACGACTTTGATAGGTATCCAGGAACTACCTACCTACGAACCTCTTTGCCCACAAACATGAGGCTCTAATGTAGTCTGCTACCTACAGAGTACAGTGCTGTTACTTCATTGGCAATATTCCCACCACAGCTCATTTATACAATGCGTATCTCTCAAGTGAAGTATTGAACTTCGACGGCAAGTCTAGTTTCACGACCGGTTTTCTATATGTTATGTTGGTCTGGTTAATCTTATTGATCGCTGTCATGCTCTACTCTTTTGTCTGCATATATTGTAGGGGTGTACTGCCGGGCTTCTCTCAGTTGAAACTGACATGACAATACTTCTCCGGTCTCAAAAGCTTTTATTGACTTCTCAAAACGTCCCACGCCTACCATGAAATATTGCTTCCATGAACCTTGCCTAATAGGTAATTCCGCAGGTATTCCTCATCTTGAAATGTATCAATGAAATACAAAATGGCTCATCTCGAGAGAGATCAGATCATAATTTAATTAATGACGTGTTCCCGAAATCTTTCTTGAGCTACCTACTTCTCTCTATATGTACGGGCCCCAGCACAAGGCGGACATCCCCTAAACCTTGTTGACCTTCAAGAGCGTTCCGAAAAATCAAACCTAATGGTAATTTACAAAGAGACCCCTATTATTGACTGAAACTCATTTCGAGATAATTGACGCAAGTCATGTTCTGAACTTCCAACATGTCTAGATTGACCAGCCTAGGCACTAAGTCCGTGTAAGTAGCCCCCTATAGTCATTGGAAACAATCTGTGTTGCGTAATAGCACATTTAAATATTATCATATTAGAACCCATTAACTGAAAACAAATTATGCTGGACACTGATAAGCACATCCGTTAAGGTTCGATCTCGGGCCGCCATGATAACGGCACAGGAGAAAATGTTTACATTCCGACAAAGTCTGGCTTTCATTTAAACAATCAATTGAAATTGATGCTCCCCCATACCGACGTCCATAGCCTGCTGTTATGAGAAAAACAGTCCATTCTTCGTCGACTTCACAGTAGAGCCCTTAGTGAGACAAGTATGTCCGAGTTTGTGATCAATGACCAGGATCTGACCGGCCTAAAAGGCAAAGTGGTGATAGTTACCGGTATGTTTTTTTTTTTTTTTTCATGTCTTGGTCTCACTTTAGTCTCACCCACTCTGTTTGAAAGAGAGTCTGCAATTGAATGAACTCACATTTGACTGTCCCTCTCACAGGTGGTTCCAGCGGCATCGGTCTAGCCACGGTGGAAAAACTGCTTTTGCTAGGCGCATCCGTCATCAATGGCGACATACAGCCTCCTCCTCCTCCACCACCACTCAAGCAAGACGGACATGTCTCGTCGGACAACAATGACACCAGCTCGCCCCCATATACCTTTGTGAAAACAAACGTGGCCGTCTGGGACGAGCTCGTCGCCCTCTTCAAGCGGGCCCGGGAGCTTCATCACGGCCGCCTGGACCATGTCTTTGCTAATGCCGGGATCGGCCCCTGCGCCGACTACTTGGCTTTGCAACTGGACCATGACGGAGACCCCCGGGAGCCCGCTTATGATACCCTTGATGTCGGTCTATGGGGTGTCATGAACACGGCCACCTTGGCGATACATTACATGCGCCGACAGCAGCAGGACGAGGCGGGAGGTTGGAGCGGGAGTATCGTTCTGACAGGATCCGTGGTAGGTTTACAACGACTCCGGGCTGTAGACTATGGTAAGTAAAAGCCAAACGTGTGGGTAATACATTCCATCTCTTTCGACTGACAATCATTGATGGCGACAGCTACTGCCAAGCACGGCGTGCTAGGCTTCGGACGAGGTCTGACGACGCTTGTCAAGACGGCTGGACTCCCCATCAGGATCAACACGCTGATGCCCTCGTGGACGGACAGTAATGTCGTACCAAACTTGAAGCGCAGTATGGACCGCATCGGGGTCGAGTTCCAGCCCACTTCGGTCGTGGCTCGCGCGGCTATCCTCATGATGGCCGATACAACCAGACATGGGCATGTTACTTATGTTGGGCGTGGTCGGTACAAGGAAATTGACGAGGCAGTGCTTTTGCCTGCATATGCGTCTATCAAGGGTGATTACCCTTGGGAAGACGATGTTTTCCGCCGGCTAGTGGAGATTGCAACTCAAGAGTCGAGTTGATCACCATTGACATGTGTCAGAACGAGGCCGGAGCGGAACTTGAGAGATATCGGATTGTAGAGAACGAATATTACGCAAAAGAATTTATATCGACAGGTATATCCTATGTTCTGTAGACTCGAGTGAGACCAAAACTAGGGAGCAGAACATGCGCTGATGCGAGGCGAGCAGATGGTATCGGAAGGGTTCGCTTTAACTATTAAATCTATTGTACGGGTCCATATACATTAATGGCTCTAGAAAGGCGCGAGGGGGTATACTTTCAAAAATAATCATGCGTCTTCGCTTTCTCCTCCATCTCTCCTCCAAGTAACAACTTCCGACATATGCCATCGGAGTTCTGACCTGCCCATGCGTGGTATAATTCAATATGCTTCCTCCTTCCCGTAGGTCACGTATGCTGTCGTAACAATGCAGTCGGCCTAAGGTCCAGCTCTCCAACTGGTTTCATGCGCTTTAAAAAAAAAATGGCTCCCAGGAGCTTCCACGAGTGTATCGAAGGGAATATTTAATTGTTTTAGAGGGGTCGTTGCGTGTGATCGGTATTTGGTCGGCGAATGTGTCTCGCAGGGCGATTAAGTGCGTGACCGTTGCAAATCCATGAATCCAATCCAACGAGTCAGAGGAACCCGTAAACCATTAACGCCAACGCCGTATTCAAATGAGTGACACGAATAATGAAGAGGGGAAAAGATTAAGGGTATCCTGTAGGGCCAGAGGTGATGGGCCAGTCGTCCTCGGTAATACTCGACCAGAAGATCCAGACCATGACAACAGAGAGGAGCGTGAAAAGCGTTTCAAACAGAGCTCCGTCAATCTTTCCGGAAGTGCCGTTGCAAATGTGCGGGCTGATGGTGTAGTTGAAAATCTGGCCCAACGCGAATAGAACAGCTGCGGCGGCAAGGTAAGCCATAGGGCGTACCTCGCCGAGAATTCTCAAGACCAATACACTCTCGAGAACAAAGAAGGCGACGAGAAAGATCAGAGGCACAAGCTGATACAGGACATAGAGCGCAATATTGCGGTTTGGTGCATCGTAACTGCTGGCCCAGAAACCTGTAAAGCCTAGGCCGGTGTCGAGAGCGATGTAGCCGGTACCAATGAGGAGAATTGCGCCCGAGATGACCATCAATCCAACAGACATCGGGGTGCCGTCGTCGATAATTTGAAAACCAACCACTGCGTTAAGCATGAGAATCCATGTAGTTGCAATAATCATTCCAATGTGAATTGCAGAAAAGGCCTATCAATGTCAGCACGGCTACTACCAAGGTTTCCATTGCCTTGGAGGGACATACGATGCGAACAGTTGAGTTCAAAGGAAACTCTCCAACCGAGAAAATTTCACATATTTCAATGATGATATAACCCAAGAGGAACAGTTGCATCTCTCTGCACACAGTGTCAGTATGGGGCAAGCTTGTGAGGAAGCGAGCTCGACGAACCTTCGACCCACAGCAGCCTTCTTCCTTTCAGATCGCAGCAAAAGTAGCACAGAAATCACGATGGCGATGCCACAGAGTAGGATAGATCCTAGATTTCCGAGGTGTCTTCCATTGCTCAAAGGAATGCCGGTAAGCTCGCAACCACCCCAGTTGCCAGTTTGGTTATGCGTAGTTGTTAACAGCTACGTGCCACAAATTAGAAATCAGACAAAGCGGCGTGCTAGGACATGAATACTTACATTGCAGACTGGCAGGGTCGAGTCGCGGCAGAACGCCTATTTGCACCATTGTTAGTTCCTTTGGTACAGATCAAGAATATGCAGGCATGCAGCCGCCGATAATGCGATTGACTGGACAGCGCATTCACAAGACTGAAAGCATACCTCGAAATTGCCAAACTGCGTGTCACCCATTGGAACCTCCAAATCAAGTCAACAATTGAGCGCGCCCGAGAGCACGGAGTAATTTGTCGTTGAGAATTGGTGGATTGAACGACGATCCTTCGACCGCGTGCAGTTGGGGGTTGATCGGCTCGGTCCGTGTACGATGATCGAATGTCGCGCGCGTGCGTGTTGTCGTCGGTATGCTTGTCGAACGATGGGAAGTAATTGCCAGCTCTTCACTTGCGACGAGACGCCAACAACGATGAAGAGAGATTGACGATGTTTGGCGGTGAGGATGAATTAAGGAAGCTTGGTAGCTTGTCGAGAGGAACGCTGGCTCAAAATGCAGGTCCCAGAGTCGGGCGCTGGCGTGTCTTGCCTGAATGCAGCTCAATGGATTCCTGTTCCTGAAAAAAAAGAGCGGGTCTGCACCAGAACAGTAGAAGCGCAAGTGTGGATGGTTCCAGTTGCTATGTGCCACTTCCGAGCTGAGTTGGTGCCTGCTTGTCTTGCTCTGCCCCCGGGCTGTGTCTTGGAATATTCTTGTCTTGTATTTGTGAATACAGCAATTGATGGCGATACGTAGAGATGGAGAGATGCTCAGTTTCTGTAGGAGTGAAATGCGAGCATGGGAATACTTTTCTGGAGCCACAGGATGGGAAGAGAGAAATGAAAGGGTAGGGTAGGGGGAAAAAAAAGCTCGGAAGCAGGTTTCACTCTCGAGGCTGGGCGGTTGTTGTGGTGACTTGGAGACGGAAAAGCTACAGTAGAAGGTACCTATTGTATGGATTGGTGCCAGTGGTGCCAACTAGGCATGAAGGGTGGTGAGCTGGGCCTGGCAATTTCCCCTACCATTGATTCGTCCAGGGACGGACAGGAAGGACAGGGCTCAGCAAGAATCAAGACAAGCGCATAAACAGCGAAAAAAAAGTTACAATGCTGGGCAGGCTATTGCCGTTCGACAGAACTGGACAAGACAAGAGGGTGCGGGTGGAGTCAGCAATTAAAATAACTACTGGCCTTAGCATGTCCCTCGCTCCAGGGGGACCCCTTCCTTTGCGCTTCCTTGAGTCAATCCCCATTACTGCTATCCTCCAAGGCCAGCCACTCGTATTGTGTCCCTGACCTCGCCCAGAGGCTGGAAAAAAGGCCACCCCGTTCGAGGTGATGCGCCGGACGCTTGTGCTGGTCAGTAGTACTATGGTACTGGGCAAGGATGCATGCACAATTGGTTACAGTGTTGGACGGGACACTAACGGCATCGGTAACGCGCTACGATCCGGCTATGAAATTGCTTCTCTAAACCCTGGTTGGTTACCTGTATGCACATGTACGTATGGCTGGTCGAAGCAGCCGGGCCTCGACGAGACAGACAGACAGACAGACTCCCTTGGTCGATTGTCATTTTGGTTTTGGCCTCTGACTGAACTGGCCCTTTTTGCTCGGAACGTGGCAGATCGATCTGCTTCACGACCCGTTTGCCTTTTCACCGACAGAAAGCAACGACAAGAGCACAGACTGAAGTCCCTTCCTCACCGCCGGACTGGATGGTCTGGTCTGCCGCGGGAGTCGTGTACAACGGGACCATCAATGGCAGTGGAACATGGAAAGATCCAGAGGCTCCCTTCTATTGGAAGCTTCCAACGACTGAGGCTAGGTTTCGAGCTCCGCGCGGGCTAGTTTGTAGCGGAAAAGCCACATTGATGTGGGTGGCATTTATGTAAGAATGAGATACATACTACTTACTCATGCCATGTTTCACGCATGAAGGTCGATATGTCAGTGTAACCATGCACTCTGCTTAATGCCCTTGTCAGCGCAATTATAAAAAGCATCTTCGTCATCAAGCGCAAACTTTACAGTCTTTGTCCATGTGTGATCTGCGCATATGATATTGCTTGTATTGCTTTACATACATGGCTGTGAAGTAATTGACTTTTTTGCAAGATATACACTTCCAGCTGGAGAAGCGGACGCGGCCCTCCCACTGTCTTTCCTCGACAAGGCTTGCAAACGGAAACTCCACGTCCTCAACCTTCTGGAGAACACTGATGAACCCACCCAGTGACCACACCCCTCAGCGTCCGGTGCTTGCCCGAGCGCTCCACCGAGAATGACCAGGGATGTGAATATGTAAGCAGCCAAAAGGCAACGTCCGAGGTTCTCGCTTCTGCATGCCATCGCAGTGCAGTGCAGACAGACGAGATGAGAAAATGCAAGGTGCCGACTTGGCCGATGCAAATCAAGTCCAGACATGCTCTGAGCAATCTCGTTGCCACTTTCAAGCCATTTGAAGAATGAGAATAATGCTTCCTCGTTTCTCTGTTTCGACATCCACCCGAAATAACAACTCCAAAGTTACAGCACGTCCATTATCGCCATGTACACGTGAAGCGGGTCCATCCATTAGGCTTTTCAGGACTCTTCAAACAGGAAGAACCCAGTTCGCAACAGCAGCCCGAGCTTTCGACAATCGACGGATCTTCCTCAAGGATTGCCATCGGTCCCTCAGCCCTTTCCTGCTTACCTTAGCTGGCAGCCTGACTCCAACTGCCATTCTCAAATTCGTAAAGTCTTCTCGTGGCAATGAGCCGAGTATCAGTATCGTGCAAAGTAAATGGTATACCACGGGAGTATACTATGTATCACGCCTGCTAAACACTTCCATGTTGTTCGCCATTTCCCTGGGGACTGCCGAGGGGCCAATCAACCAATGAGTAGTTGGGCCGTTCAAGATTGCCTTTTGGGCTTATCACAAGCTTCAGCAAGAGCCCGCCCCATCGTCCGTTCACAGCAGGGGGGGTTTAGGCGCCCAGCCACAGGTTAAACGCCTCCCATCCACTCACTAGATTTATGCGCTGTCGAGATGTCGACACTCAAGAAGTCCCTGTCCAATGCTGCTTAAAAGACCCCGAAATTTCGTTGCAGCAACCCTGAGATGATACGCATGGCTTTCAAGACTCAATCATGGTCGATTATTGGCGCGTCTAGTCTCGCCGTGGTTTTATCCCGAAACTGATTACCAAAGACTGAGGATTCTCAGGACTACTTGTCGGTGGATTCTGATACTTTCAATAAAGAGCCTTCTTACGGGTTGTCAATACTTAATTACCTTTAGCAAGTCGCCATATTCGTTGCCCTTTAGGGCTGGCAACGCCTCCCGTCGGCCGTTGATTTGGGCCATCGTGTCTTTTTTTGGTTTGCTAGTTCCCACAGCCTCCCAAGATACGTGATAGGCTTCGCGCCCATCTGACCAAGATGGGCGCGCAATTTGGCAGTGTCTAATCCAGATAAGGATCAGCTTCACGAACTGTAGTTAAATTGATACAGCATATAGAGTGTGTTGGATAATATGGACACTTTCCCTGGCAGGTATTGTGGCGTGATAGTCTCATATCCTGAGTATATTCAATGACTCCATTAATGAGAGCTTCATACTCGCCGTGTCATGTTGTTTTCAGTTCTCATGAAATGACGTGGTATCAGCGGGTTCCTAGGAAAATACTAATTCAGACACGCATTTATCTACACCTTGTAGTTGTAGATATTCTCGAATCTCTGGGGTTGTCCATTCGCAGCTGTAGGTCATATCTCATTTGGGATCTTTTGGCATCTCCCCAGAAAAGCGATCTGGTGTTGTCTGCTGATGTCGCATCCATCAGCCAGTGAATCCTTGCGGAATAGAATAGGTGATCATGCCTGCACTCTTTAAAAGCCGCTCTTTGCAGCAATCCTGCCTGCCTGAAAGACTACGATACATTCAGGAAAGACCCCGTGGTAGCTCAGATCCAATACCGACGCGGTGCAAGCCCCGGCATCTTAGCAGACAGGAATTGATCTGACCGCTTTCATGCGGAATGGATACTATGATGCCATCCGTGGAGACCTTGCCGCGGGCTTGGCTCAAGGGAGGCCGAACCCCATGACCCTCAAAGCGACGGCCACAAGACCGGGAATCTGCCTGCCCGTTTCCTCGTACCCAGCGACTCGGCTGCACTATGAGTACCACGTGCATTCCAAGGATATGCGAACATTCAAAAACTGATTCCTACGACACATAGTAACCCTCAGTATTTCCCCAGACCCCGCGACATGCAAGTCGAAAGCGAACTGAGGGGAACACTGGATATACTTGACTAATAGCTACCTAAGTTTAGACTGACAGTGAAGACGCCTCTGTGGGGTATGGGGGAGGAGTCGCAGAGGTATTAGACACGCCTATCACGGTTGATTCCAGCAAATGAGCGTCCAAAATATCAATTGATATACAAACGACTTCTTGGATGGGTACACTATCAAGGTCTTCAGAGCTTTGGAGCCGTATTTTCAGGGATCAATGTTATCTTTTTATCTGAATCATGCGCGTTGGGCATCTTTGAAATTGACTCGGGTTGCAGCACGGTTTGGCGGGCCAATGCAGGACTATTTGCCATGGTCAAGATCAGCACAAGTATATTGGCGGTTGTGCTCGAGTCAAATAGAGCCTCCGCCGTGACCTATCTGTTGCCTGTCTGCTTTATACTCTGGTGTATTGCAGGAGATTGTCTTTCCTGACTCTTTCAAGACGAGTCGAAGGTAAACATACAATTGTTTTTTTCCATTCCATTGGAAAGCAATAGTCAGCAAGTAATATATTATTGCCGCAGATGATGCTTTTATTTACAGCGATCGTCGCTTTCTGTGTTGTTACACGTGATAAGCCACCCCACTGCTGGATAGCTTTGCTTGGCTCGTGTTAGTGGACGTACAGAACAACAGCAGCTGGAGCTAACAGATACAGATAGAGTGATGCGCTCCGCTAAGAAACCTGGCAAATCTGGAGTTCCGGGGGGCTGGCTCCAGGCTGAGAAAAGGGGAGATGATTGTAGGTAAGAAGAGTAGGAGTGGAAGGGGGAAAAACAAAAGAAGGCTACGTAGACATTTTCATCATTTTTTGCACATGAACTCTTTCGTCGACGCTCATTCTCTTGAACTTCATTCTTCGTCCGCAATCGTGCTCTTTGAATTGTCCATCCATGTATTTGTTGATCTCGTTTTGCTAGGTAGCTAACTTGAACCATTGCTGTCGTCTTTTCGACTTTCCCCCAAAGATCGCAACACTCGCCTGCTGTCGGTTCAATCGAGTGCCAGGGTACATACCCCGTAGTGGTGGCACTATCTTTTGTCCAGATCTGGTTTGCACGAGGTCTCTCACTGGTGTCACTGGTGTCCACCTCCTGCAGCCTCTCGTCACTCCTCCAAAGAACCAAGGCTTCCCAGGGCTGCAAAGCGCACTACCGCCGCTTCCAACTGACCTGACCCCGTCAATCAATCACCCTTCGGTTCTGGCTTGGAAAACTGACCCGAGTGTGGTATAAACACTCCACTTTCTTTTTTTTTCTATTCCTACCCTTCTTATATTTCAATCATTCCCATATCGCGGAAGGGAGCTGCTGCCAAACAGCCCCATATCTTCCAAGATTCCTCCGCCGAACCAGAGTCGTCTTCCCTCCAACATTCCTCTGCGGACCCTCACTAGCCGTCCCGAGCACCACGGCGCCCAGTCGACGTCATTGTTGGCAGGTTCCCGGGTCGACGACGACCACCACCACGATCGCCCGTCGTCTGACTCTGCCGATTCCGAGTTCGACTCTTGGACTGATACGGGAGATATTGCTGAACAGCTTGCCGACGAGGAAGATCCGCTCAGGATACGCCTTGCTGACACATCGCTCAAAGACGACGGCTTGCTCGCCGGCGTCGTAGATAAGAAGCGTTCCAAGCATAAACGCGTTCAATTCCGCAGATCCGTATCCGAGCACAGTCCCCAGCGGTCATCACATCTACATGCAGACGTCATCAGCAAGGAAGCAATTGAAATCCCAGACGTTCCCTTTCGTCGACCTTCTAGAGCAACACGCCTGCTGTCCGCCATCATGCCGGGCACGGGGCTTCGCGGCCTCACAGGCAAAAGCCTGATGTATGTACACGCGGAAGATAAGGAAAACCCCTCAGATATCTGACTAGGTGCTGACCGTTGTTATAGCTACTTTACGAGTATATTCGTTTCTTTGGGCGTTTTCCTTTTTGGCTATGATCAGGGAGTTATGTCCGGTATTATCACGTAGGTGTTCAACATTGCACGCGCCCGCGCGTTATATAATCGTGCCTGCCACTAATGCTCTTGTCTACAGCGGACCTGACTTCCGGAATTATTTCAACAATCCTTCCCATGCCGAGATTGGTACCATGGTGGCCATTCTCGAGATTGGTGCCCTGATATCATCTCTCGCCGTGGGAAAAATTGGCGATCAAATTGGTCGGCGAAAGACGATCCGTTATGGCTCTGCCATCTTTTTCGTGGGCGGTGCATTGCAGACTTGTGCTACCAACATGCCCATGATGATGTTGGGCAGAATTATTGCCGGTCTTGGTGTCGGCTCGCTGTCGACCATTGTGCCGGTATATCAGTCTGAAATCTCCCCTCCACACAACCGCGGCAAACTTGCATGTATAGAATTCAGTGGTAATATTATCGGTTATACCACATCGGTATGGGTCGATTATTTCTGTGGGTACATCGAAGGCAACTACTCATGGCGCTTGCCGCTTCTTATGCAATGCGTCATGGGAGCGCTTCTGGGTGTAGGGAGCTATCTCATTGTGGAATCTCCAAGGTATTTACAGACTGCGATTGGCTACCATAAAGTGAATCATTGCTGACTCTGCCCAGATGGCTACTTGATAACGACCACGACGAGGAGGGTATTGTTGTCATTGCAAACTTGTATGGTGCTGGAGACATCCACAACGCCAAAGCCCGTGACGAGTATCGCGAGATCAAAATGAACGTTCTGCTGCAGCGAATGGAGGGCGAGAGGACCTACAGCGAAATGTTCCGTAAGTACAAAACGCGTGTGTTCATTGCGATGTCCGCCCAGGCTCTGGCCCAACTCAACGGCATCAACGTCATCTCGTACTACGCACCGTACGTCTTTGAATCTGCAGGCTGGTATGGGCATGACGCCATCAAGATGACTGGAATCAACGGTATTACGTACCTGCTTTCTACAATCCCTCCATGGTATATCGTGGATCGATGGGGTCGCCGGTTCATCCTGCTTAGCGGAGCCGTCGCCATGGCCATCTCACTTTCGTCTGTCAGCTACTTCCTCTACCTGGACATTGACAACACGCCAACTCTTGTGGTCATCTCTGTCATGATTTATAACGCTGCATTCGGATACTCATGGGGTCCTGTAAGTCTTTCCGACCTGTGATCTGTTTTTTTCCTCATTTAAAGCTGACAACCATAGATTCCTTGGCTTTACCCTCCCGAAATTCTGCCTCTCAGCATCAGATCGAAGGGTGCCAGTTTGTCGACAGCTGCCAATTGGACCTTCAATTTCATCGTTGGTGAAATGACCCCAATCTTGCAGGACTGGATTCAATGGCGACTGTATCTTTTGCATGCATTCTTTTGCGTTGTCAGTTTCATCACTGGTAAGATTTCGACCCCGCTGCTGCGAGTGAGCCATGATCACTAACAATGTATAGTCTACTTCATTTACCCTGAGACTTCTGGCGTTCGGCTGGAAGAGATGGATTCGCTATTCGGCGACGCTACCACGGCCATGGGCACCCCTAGCTTGAGGTCCGAGACTGGCTCTATTTACAGAGCATCGTCGCCAGTGCCCTCTCTTGACCTGCGCGGCCGGCCGGGCCCAGACTCGGCCATCCCGCCACTGGATATTGATCCGCCACACGTCAAGATAGTGGATGGCAAGCCTCAGATCCGCTCCGAGAGCCATTCCCGGGGCCGTGTTGGAGATTGGCTCAACCGGGTGACAGGACGAGGCGAGAGCGGCAGCCGTGGCCCAGCTTACGAACGTTTGGATCAACGAGACGATTAAGGCATGAGTACTGGACAGCGTGCATTTTCAGATTCATCTCACGAATTTAGACTTGGGGTTTGGTTCACATAGAGAGCATCGGCAGTCAACTCGTGCGGAAGCTATGTCCAGGCGCGATAACAGAGCGGATGAGAGGAAATGTTCATTGCACACTGGGTGCGTTGGACACACCATAATCTGATGAGGGGGTTTGCAAATCTCATGGGCGTACAAACTCAAGTACTCCACATGAGTGACATGCATCATCATTGGGGGTTAGAGGACAGAAGTTGTGGTTATTTAGTAGATGGTTTTGATTTATGGTTAGCGCCTGGGGTGTAGCAATTGGCCGAATTCAACGTTTTCATGACACCGTTGCATGATTTTTTTAAAGTTTTCCGGGAATTGATTGCAGATGGAAACTGCTGTCCATGTCTACCTATCTACCAACCTATGTACCTATCTCGGTGCTATCAATGCGAGAGCAAAGCATGTATAAAGCATGTATAAAGCATGTCTAAGACCCTTCAAAGAGGCAAATGCTCCCTTTCCCCTTTTTCCCCCTTCACGTCACTTTTTAGAGTGTCATGATTGCTTGGCTGTTTGATCGAGGTCTAGGACGGATTCTTGACCAACGTATTCCGTAGAAGTGTTGTACGACTTTGACGATGAAGCGGAGATGGGGAGTCGTGTACATGTGGAACGAACGGGTCAAAGTGAGAAATTGAATACAATACAGTGTCTACCTGAATACGTATCTTTCTACAAGGTGTGTATGTGCACGCAAAGAATTTGGAAATGAGAGGAAGAAAATAGGCCATTACGGAATACGGTACGATCCGATAATACGAAGCTAACGAACGGAGGGGTCCAGTCGGGTCCCGGCCAGGGGTAGGGAGGGACCTACATTAGGTATTTGAAGCTCCTCCCAATGGAAGTGGTTTGTCTCGTTTTGGTTCCCGCAGGCCCCAAGTGCTCAGCTCTGGGCCTGTAATTGGACCCGGGCAGGGAGCTCTTGGGAAGCTTTTCGAGGTTCCTGCGCCTCTTATCCAAGCTGAAATGAACTGACCACCTGTCCATCTCGACGCGCTAACGTAGCCTGGGCTCCCGCTAATAGCACGACGCGGACCAGGGAGTCGAGGGCCTGCTGGAGTGGACAGCGGGAGGAACAGCTAAGGTAGAAAGACGACGAAAAAAAGATCGATGATACCTGGTCCATACCGTTCAACAGGTAGGGAAGACCGTCAATCCATGTACGTGTAGGCAGGTAGCTAGCAGCCAAGCATCTATCAATCTACGACTCCTACTGACGCTACCACCCGTATCTCCAATCCCATATTATCGGGCGCGCAACCCTTTTTTTCTTCAATCCCTCTTCTCTAGGAATCTCACCCCAGGAGTTCTAGACTTCACTTCCTTTTTTTCGCCCAAAAGGTTGTGTTTCCTGTTTCCATCATCAATCTTCCTCCCTTCTGTTCTTTATTTTTTTTCTTTGGGAAGGGAGATGACATTTGGTGGACCGTCGTATCTACCTTTTTTCTAATTCAAAACGTTCACTTCTGACCCTCTTTTGCTACCAACCATTTGAACCCCCTTTCGGAGCTCGACACCAAACCCGTCGTCCCAGCTACAAAACCACTATTCCCGGGTTGCCTCCTCCCACTCAACCTCACGACCGCCCATCCAACGCAGATCGAGAAGCAATCGATCTAGCCCTTCACCATGGCCGATACGAAGGCCACGGTGGCCTCCGGCGCCGATCCCAATGGCCAACAGCTACGACAGCGTAATGTGCCCGCGACGGCTCCCGGAGCTGCAGTTCCTTACCAGCAGGACGAGCAAAAGCTTCACGGCAAGAAGAAGAAGGTATGCTGTTTACAGTCCAATATTACTATTGCTATAGTATACTCGCTTGCTGACAGATCTGCGAACGACAGGAGCCCTCTTTCCTCGAGATTCTTGACGAATGGGAGATCGTCATTGCACCTATCATCTTTACGGCTTTCGCCATCTTCACCCGTCTCTACAAGATTGGCCTCAGCAACATTGTCACCTGGGATGTAAGTTAAAGCCCCATCTTGATTGCAGTCGGCTACAACAGTCACTAATTCGGAATACAGGAAGCTCAGTTCGTCTTACCCGCAATGACTCTCCCCCCGACTTTCCTCGATCGGTGCCGCTGACCTCTTTTCTCTCGTAGCTTCGGTAAATTCGGTTCGCATTACATCAAACGAGAGCTTTTCTTTGACGTGTATGCCTCGTCCTATACCAATCCAAACGTGGAGCCAATTGCTAATATGCAGACAGCCACCCCCCGCTGGGAAAGATTCTGGTTGGTGTTTCTGGTGTTTTAGCTGGTTACAATGGGTCGTTTGAATTCAAGTCTGGCGAGACCTACCCCGAAGAGCTCAACTACACCTTCATGCGCGCCTTCAATGCCTTCTGGGGAATTCTTTGCATTCCCTTGGCTTACTTTACCGCCCGTGAGCTGAACCTGAAGCGCCCCGCCGTCTGGCTGGTCACTCTGATGGTTCTCTGCGAGAACTCTTATACCACCATCAGCCGCTTCATTCTTCTCGACTCCATGCTCTTGTTCGGCACCGTTGCCACTGTCTTCTGCTGGTCCAAATTCCACGGACTGCAGAAGTGGAGCTTCGACCCCGAATGGTTCTTCTGGCTCTTCATGACTGGTCTCAGCTTGGGCTTTGTTTGCAGCATCAAGCTTGTTGGCCTGTTCGTCACAGCCCTCGTCGGAATCTATACCATTGAGGACCTCTGGAACAAGTTTGGTGACACCAAGATGCCAATTCCTGAGCTGGCTGCCCATGTTGCTGCTCGAGTTACTGGCTTGATCGTCATCCCGTTCCTCGTCTACCTCTTCTCGTTCGCCCTTCACTTCGCCATCCTTACCCGAAGTGGTCCTGGCGATGCCCAGATGAGCTCTCTCTTCCAAGCCAACTTGGAAGGCAGCGAAATTGGTCGTAACTCGCCCCTCGAGCTTGCCATCGGATCCAAGGTCACCCTAAAGAACATGGGTTATGGAGGTGGTCTACTTCACAGTCACGTCCAGACTTACCCTGACGGTTCGAACCAGCAGCAAGTTACTTGCTACCACCACAAGGATGCCAACAACGAGTGGTGGTTCTACCCGGCCCGTGGACAGCCCGACTTCAACCCCGAGGAGGATCCCAGATTCATCGGAGACGGTGATGTCATTCGTCTGATTCACACGCAGACTGGCCGCAACCTTCACTCGCACGATATCCCTGCTCCCGTCTCAAAGAGCCAGAAGGAGGTTTCCTGCTACGGCAACTTGACCGTGGGTGATGACAAGGATCACTGGAAGGTCGAGGTCGTCAGCGATGTAGCTTCGCGCGACAAGAGCCGTGTTCGTACTTTGACCACTGCTTTCCGCTTGCGACACCCCGTCCTGGGCTGCTATTTGCGTGCTGGCAATGTAAACCTGCCCCAGTGGGGTTTCAAGCAGATTGAGGTGACCTGCGACAAGAGCAACAACCCCAAGGATGCTTTTACCCACTGGAACATTGAGGCCCACCAAAACGACAAGCGTAAGTTTCCGTGTCTGTGCTTAACGGGATCGACGAGTACTGACCTTGACTAGTGCCACCGGGAGACCCCGGCAAGTATAAGTCGCCGTTCTTCCACGACTTTATTCACCTGAACGTTGCCATGATGACCTCAAACAATGCCCTTGTGCCCGATCCTGACAAGCAGGACGATCTCGCTTCGCAATGGTGGCAATGGCCCATTCTGAACGTTGGTCTGCGTATGTGTGGCTGGGATGATAAGATTGTCAAGTACTTCCTTCTTGGCAACCCCTTTGTCTACTGGGCCTCAACGTTGTCTCTCGGCGCGGTGGGCCTGGTCACCGTCTGGTACATTCTTCGATGGCAGCGAGGCTTTAGAGAGCTCTCGCAGGCCGACATTGACCAGATTCACTACGCTGGCCTGTACCCTATCCTCGGATGGTTCCTCCACTATCTGCCATTTGTTGTTATGGCTCGTGTCACTTACGTGCACCACTACTACCCAGCTCTCTATTTTGCCATCCTCAGTCTCGGCTTCCTTGTTGATTGGACACTGCGAAACCAGCAGAAGGCCATTCAATATGTCGTCTACGGTCTTCTGTACTCGGTCATTATTGGCTTGTACATCTTCTTCATGCCAATCTGCTGGGGTATGACGGGACCCAACAAGGATTACAGCTACATGAAGTGGTTCGACACTTGGCGCATTTCAGACTAAGATGGCCATGCAAACTTGTCTAAAAGCAGGAGGGCATACAGGCTTGACTACCCAACTTTTCGGAGGTTTAGGTTTTATAGAAGCCAAAGGATCTGTTTTGCAGATAAAAGGCATGTAATGTGCAGCAGGAGTTGGGGATATGTACACCACAAAGCAAGCGCCATCATGATCTCCTCTTAAGATGTAACAATAGAGAGGCCTGCACGCTTTGCATTGGAGAAAGACCCTAGGTAAGGGAAACAAAAGGGCGGCCTCGGTGGAGTTTTCGGCGATCTCCCAAAAGATTTCAGTATCATGTGTGTCTGCATGCAATCAGACACGACACGGTTATTCAATCAATCACAAAAGTCTGTTTCCTTCGTGTCAAGTCGCTCGTTCTCTTGCCATCCGTGAAAACCGAACACGCCAAGACCTTGCATCATGTCAGACCTCTCCTCTCGTACCAATGCTTTGTAACCAATGTAAATGATAATGTTGATAATAGACATTAGTAGTTGTTTTAAGGGTATCATCGAATAAGTGTATCTAGCTATGTACACACCAAAGCATATTTGGGAGCTTTCATCATTTCCTATGCTTGCTTACTGTCATTCCTGCTTTCGAATGATCTGATCATGCTCGATACTATTGCCACGAGACTCTTGATATCTTTTTTTATTGACCTCTTCGAGGTCCTCTTTCTTGCTTTAACAACATCCGCCGGAGCCTTTATTTTGATCTCCCAACTTGACCTGGTTCCTGCCGCCCATGCCGGGCGTGGGACCCTTTACGCCGCTCCGCCGGTCATTAAGATCGTATTTTCCGGCATTGATATTATCAAAGATGCGCTCAGCCACCTTCATAAAGGCGAGCTCGACGCCCTCGCCGCTCTTGGCCGAGGTCTCGACGTACTGGAGGACGCCATTGTTGCTGGCCCACTCCTCGGCCTCGGCGACCGTTACCTCGCGCTTGTTCTCCTCGCCCTGGGCCAGGTCGGCCTTGTTGCCGACGAGGATGACGACAATGTCGGGCTCGGCAATCTGTCGCAGGTCATTGAGCCAGTCCGTGACGTGGGCAAAGGTCTGCTTGCGCGTAATGTCAAATACGAGCAGGGCGCCCGAGGCGCCACGGAAGTAGGACCGCGTCACGCTCTTGTATGTCTCCTGGCCGGCCGTGTCCCACAGTGATAGCTTCATATGTTTCTGCTGGGCGTCCGACTTGGGCGGGTCGGGCAGTCCGCCGTCACCGTTGGCCGCCGACGACGTGCCCAGTGTTTTCGAGTGTGGAGGACCGACGGGCACGATCCTCGACCCGAATTCAACGCCAATGGTGACGTCGTGCTGGGGGCTGAAGCGGCCCTCGCACAGCCGTATCGTCAACGAAGACTTGCCGCACCCCGAGTCGCCAATGCAGACTAGCTTGGCAATGTAGTCCCAAGGTGGCGAGGATGTGGAGGACGACATTATTTTTTCCGTGTCACCTGCGGCAGGATATGTGGTTCAGGTGTTCTTGCGTGGGAGGAGGGATTCGCCCGAAGTGATATATCCCTTCACCAAAGACGTCACCGAGCGGAGGGGCGGGTTGGAGGAGAGAAGTGTCGTCTGGGGTTTCTCGTTGCTGGTGATGATTCGACGAGATGTTTTGCTTGGGAGGTATGATGTTGTGGACAGGCCTGCCTGGGGAGGGTTCGTAATGTCTCGTAGGTGATAAATGCTGGATGCCACTCGTAAAATGATAAAAAAGCACGTGAGGGTTATCTGTGTCTGTGCCAAAGAAATGTCGGACTGGGCAGACCGAACGTTGACGACGGCGTTTCCAAGCTTGCAGCAGGGGTGCCCAAAGAGGTCGTCTCCACTGACGTGCTATAGAGGTGGCTAGGGCCTAGCGATCTACACTACTACGTGTGACCCCACGTCTACCACAAGCTGTTGTAGGTAGTAGTACTAGTAGGAGTAGTAGCAGCTGTGGTGTAGATAGAGATAAAGAGATAGATTGATTCCTTATCGAGCTAAAATCGTTGGTATAGTCAGATTTGGGCCGTTATGAGGAAATAGATGGTCCAAGATATGGTAGCACGTATTTTTGCAGGCGCCTTGATTACTTGTTGAAACTGTGGATTGTTGGATGTGGTAGGTACTCGGCTGTCGTGTGTGCTGTAGTAGTGTATTTAGTGTAACCGACGATTTAGTTGGTTGGTTTGACAGACGAGCAAAAGAGAGAGTAGCCAAGGTTATCCATTACAGTCAGATGAAAGAAAATAGAACAATTATCTTGGGTCAGAGTTGTCTCATGAATAGGTAAGCAAGACAAGCTGACAATAACGATACCTGAGTGTGTAACGAGGTGGGCAGACAAGTGAGAGAACCTAAATCAGAAATGGAGCTTGTGTCATCTGACAGTGGCTGCTCCGTACAGGCGCCAACCCACAAGGGGTCATTTCCAGGCACATGTCTTCATCCAGTTTTAGGAGGGCCAAGCCAGGACAATTGGGCTCGAGCAACAAAGAGATCCTTACCTACATGGTATAAGCAAGAAGGAGGGAGTGAAGAAAAGTGTATGTGAGAAAATGAGTGAAAGAAAAAATATTGCCGGCTTATTGGTGACAAACGAATCGCAATACAAATTCCATACTGAGTAGGTTTTGCGTACAGAGTACGTACGGCACTGACTGAGGAAAAGTATCAAATGCTGGCGAAACCCCCCACAAAGCCAGCGCATCACGAGCATTATTGGAAGCAGCAAGACAGGCCAGTCTCAGTGAGTGAGGAGAATGACTGACATTTTGACCAGGGCCAACCTGGCGGGCATGATCAGCAACCTCCATCTGATGCAGGGTCTCATGGGATACTCCCGCTCCATTCCGCGCCCGCCATTGCCGCGTTCGGCAGCTTTTTTGGGTCATGTAGTTTGGAATTGGTCGGTCGTTTGGGAATTGGGCTGAGCTGCCGCTGTTGGTCTGCTGCTGCAACCGCCCAGTGAACAAATCACCTGGCGCGCGTTTGAGGAATACGTCCAGGTACATAAATACAAATGCCCCCATATCTTCCTTTTGAGGAGGTCGCTGGTAGCATCCGGAATACCACATGCGGCATGTTAGATCGTGCTGCTTTAAATGATTGACCAGCACGAGCTTGAACATAGAGTTGTGTACACTATGAAAGAGTCGACCGTAGAAATGCTGTTCTCGTTAACCTTTTTGGCTTCGAGAACGGCATACAGACGCTTTCCAATCGAGGAAGCACGGGTTATTAGATTAGAATACAGCACTTACTGCCTTGATTCAATCCTAGAAACAATAGCTAGCCGCGCGTGGTTACTGCTATTAATAATGCTAAATATTTCGTGAACCTGGGTGCTATGGAGTTTGCATGTTTCCTCTGAACTGAGTATCGGTTTTCGATATTCTCTGCTTCACCCCACCACACTATTGGCCAGCCGTGTTTGTAAAGTTCCTCATGCAAGCTCTTATTCAGTATTCGAGAATTTGACTCGGAGGCTTGTTTGAAGAATCATGCACGGAATATTTACTTTGACTGTTGAATCTAGAGCCGCACACATTGATTAATGCCCACGATGCTGAAGTGTTGTCCAGTACATGAGTAGGTAAGGAGGGAGATGGACTATGTACGAGATATGGGTTTCTTAGAGCGGCAGGAGCACTAGGCCCTATCAGGGGATGACAAGATACAAGGGGTCGTGTGCTGCTAAGAAGGAAGCAACGCCGGGGAATGACTACTACTGACTAAAAACTGGCTGACTGCCTGCCTGCCCTGCCTGACCGACTTGACTGACCGACCCCCAATCGACCACACCCAAAGAAAACAAATCTGTAGCAGGCAGAGAGGTCCATCTTGTTTTCCTTTGGTCTTGGTGGTCATTTTGCCCTTTCTCCCAATAAAAAAACAACATTCCATATTGGTACAGTTCTCACAACAGCTCACATAGCCATGCATATCTCTCGTCGATGAATTTTGGCGCCAGAGTTAGAGACAGACTGATCGACAACCGACAGCCCCAGCTTCTTATCTCTTGCCTTATCCCCCGAGATATCGTCATAAGGCGAACCCCCCCGAGGCGAGCTCGGCCATTCATTGATTCATTCACACGACCACGAGCAGCCGCAAACCAACAGCATTAAATCAACATCCATCTTTGTCTGGTGCAACTACTGGCTGTGTTCGGTTCCAAACTTCTCTTCTTGTCGCATACAATTACCCCCTTCTGCAGGATTCGTCCTCCTCCTGCTGGAGCATCGCAAACATGTTCTCGGAATGTAAGTGCACTTGCCCAGTGACCCGCCCTGGACTCGATGCCTAAAAATTCCCCCCGTCGTCTTGTTCAAATCGGTCTACTGCGTACCTAAAAACCATCTGCACAAAACATGTACTAACAGGCTTGCGCAAATGCATAGATGCGTCGAGGTTCCTTGCACAGTCACAGTCGCGGCTCTCAAGTTTTGGCCAGCCAGATGGCGAGCCATCAAATAGACAACCTCAAGATGGCGCCTCCCGCTTCCCCCGGCATCCCGCCCGCTCTACATACCAGAGCAGACTAGGAAACCCGTATCAGTCAGGGTCGAGACTCGGCGCTTTTGGTTCGCGATACAACACCAGCCAGGACGCTGCACCGCTATTCCACAGTGCTGTCAATGAATTTCAAGACGAGGATGAGGACGATGCGCGTGAGGCGACGGACTTTCGAGCCCTGCAGCGGTCGCGGCGAGTCTTCATTTCCAGTCGCTTGGATGAGAGCTCCGCGTCGGAAAACGAAAACAGTCATGCATCTCTCGGCGAGAGTGCCGAGCAGGGCTGTCGTCTATACGAGGAAGGAGGCCGTCCCATGGGCATAAAGAGCAGCTGGAACGGTGATTCAAGCTTCAAGGACCGGCCCACGAGGCAGACTCTCAAGGAAAATATGAAAGGTTCGGCTGTCGCAAGGGCTGCGCGACAGGATTCTGACAGCAGTGGTGATGGGAAAATGGTGGATATAGGCCTCGAGTCTGCGGTGCTGGACAACGAAGTACCGGAAGATCTGCTCCAAGAGACATCAACAGATGCCGACCCTCCCGCGTTTCAGCAATTCAGAGATCCCAAGGCCTCAACATACGACCCACGTACATTACGGCATCAAACTATCATGGAAGAAGAGGAGCCAATCGAAGATGCAGCTTTGGAAGCGCCATCAGTCCCCATGTACACGGAATTGTTTCAGAATGACCAGTTTTTTGCATTCATTTATCTGATTGCCATGGCATCACTGTTCTCGACTTTTGTCCTGGTATGGCTGCATACATCGACACCCAGCAAGAAAACACCACTGGGCGATACTATTTATACAACGCTGCATGCGTCCTTCTATCTGCTGGCCGTTGACACAGTAATCTCGGTCATTGTGGCTATGGTCTGGATGGCATTATTGCGATCTTTCGCAAGACCTCTGGTTGTTTTGATAATAGTTGGGAGTCCCATTGTCCTAATGTCCTTTTCGCTGTATCCCTTCATCTCGAGCTTCCAGGGCGGATCAAAGAGACTCGCGCTCCAAGATACAGTGATGAGATGGCTTTCGCTCATTCCTGCTGTCGGCGCCATTGTCCTGGTTTACCTCATCAATCGGTCTCGCTATCAGCTGCACAAGGCGATCGAGTTGCTGGAGTTTTCTACCAGGATCCTTGCCGCCAACCCAGCCCTCGTTTTGCTCGGTTTCGGCTCCTTGGTTTTCGTCGTTGGATGGACCTGGATCTGGTTGGGCATGTTTACTCGCGTCTTCCTTAGTGGGTACTTTTCCAAATCCCTTTCCGCCTTTATCATTGGGGCAGCCACATGGTGGATCGGCGTCTACTTCTTTTTGATGTATCTTTGGACCTTGTCCGTGGGGACTGGTGTCATCAGAGCCACCACCGCCGGCACGGTTAGTAACTGGTACTTTCATCGCAACCGACAGCCACCGACACCTTCCAACGCTGTTGTCATGGATGCACTTGGTCACGCGACAAATTCGACCTTTGGAACCATTTGCGCAGCAACACTTTTACAACTCGGCGTTCGTGCTCCATTGCTCATTCTACCCGCCAGGGTTGCTAGAATAGTAAACTTGGCCGCCTATTCACTGATACCGGCATCGATTACATTGTTGACGAACCCATTGGTCTTGACATATGCTGCGATTCATAGTGTGCCGTTGATGGAATCGGCCTCGAGGCTGTCTCGGATGCCCTTCTTGAACATCAACGAGGGCGCAACGACACACTTGATGCCGGGTACTTTCAATCGGCGAAACCACAACGTCAGCGGCCTCGTACCCTATGGCCTGGCCAAGCTATTACTCAATGCCACAAGGATGGTCATGTCCGTGGCACTTGGTTTTGCAGGCTGGGTCATGACAGCACATCAGCTGCAGGGGCAACGACCAGACGGCATGGGGTATCGGGGAAGTGCTTATGCTTACGTCGTGGGACTCGTGGCAGGTGCCATTGGCTTCAGTATTCTGGGTTCACTTGAGAGTATACTCGTGGGAATTTTAGATGCCGTGGTTGTTTGCTACGGTAGTGAGCGAAGGTTGGGTAGTGGGCGCATGGGATATTGCATGGAGGCTGCCCATCTTTTTGGAGACAGTGACGATGGAAGAGAGGATGTCTGATATATGAATTAGATGGCTTTATATGCGTGCTTTTTACAGCATTGGTGTTTCGGAGCGATTGACATGGCATTGTCGTCCAGGAGGACTCTTTGGTAGATTGGTGAATAGGGAATTTTCTTCTCAGCATTAGGAGTCATCTCCTAAGGGTAGATTTCGGATAGTTTTCAATTGTACGCCCACAGCGGCAATATACTTCTACTACAACTACTCTTCATACAAAACAATTTCCGTGCCGTTCCAAGGCTGGAAGTATTGTTGGTGCAGGTCCTGATCAGTGTTCCAACCATGCTCACGCTTCCCAGCTCAGTATGGGCCGAACCCTCTGACATTACCACCGTCTACTAGTTGTCATTCTCCGGAAAGTAGCTGGCCCGATCTACGCCAGGTCTACTCTAAAAAGTCAGAAGCTGCCCGGCATTGGCAGTAACGTAGGCCTTGACATTGGCGGAGCCAAGCAGGTCATAGTCGTAGGGGACTGAGGTCAAGTTGCCTTCGGGGGCAAGGTTCTCGCTACCGCCGAGGTCGACGTCATTGACAACGGCATACCCCTCATAGGTGTTGTCGTCGGTGAAGATGGCCTTGCGCGGGCAGTTTTCAAACACGGAGCTCTCGACGAGGACCTCGGCTAGGTCGCGCGTGTTGATGGCCGTGTCGATGAGGTTGGAGTAGTACGAACTTTTGTTTTTCACTTGAGTCAGTCTTCACTAGAGTCTTTTGTTTTCTGGGGCTTGGGTACGATATCATCTTCTGGTGTGGAAATGAGGAGCTGTATGAGAGAAAAGTACTCCTCTCCTATTTGAATTGTAACTTACTTGTACATGTGACCCTAGACGCAGCATGTCAGCAAATCTTTTCTTGTTTGGTCTCAACATACACGGTATCCCGGGGGAAAAGAGGAATACACTCACGGTTCCGAATCTGTACATTGGAGTTCTCGAATTGATATTGTCCCACCAGTTATATGCGTAGGTCACGTGCAAATGTCCTAGATCTTCGGCTTCATTGTTGGATGAGTGACCGACGAGACATCCCTTCCACTATTTTGCCATTGCAAAGTTTAGCCCAAGAAGAATAAAAGAACAAACATGAAATCTTTGGAGCTGGACACGTACGTGGTCGTGAAAGTAGTTGTTGGTGATAGACACCCACTCGGAGGCGTGTACAGTATCAATCAGACCATCGTAGTAATCCTTGTCGTGGTCGAGGTCGTTTGAGAAATCCGACGAGTCGACCCAGACGTTGGACGAGGCCTGGATCGTGATGCAGTCGCCATAGTCGGCCAGCACCTTGCTAATCTTCATGTTGCGCACAATGACGTTGGACTGCCCCAAGATGGTGAGACCGATACCCGTGAGACCTGTTTTTTTCAAAGACAAAAAGTGTTAGTCAAATCTCGATCCATCTCCTTCCTTTGGATGAGATGGGAATGGCATTTTCGTTTTCATCCCGTGTGGACTTGAAGTCAAGTGAAGCTGATCTGAACGTACTAGAACCTGGCTGGCCGATGATGGACTTGTCAGAGCCGACTTGCACCTTGGCCGCTCCCGACAGGGCGGCATCCAGCACGATCACATAAGGTCCCGAGGCGTTGGCCACTGCCGTGAACTGGGCCAGGGTAGAAACCGTAGTCTTGCAATTGAAAAGAATCATGTCAGCTTCATATTGTTTCACATGGAGTTGCGGTATCATGGTGGGAGTTATACAGTCAACCACTTACGGTTGTGCCACCGGTTCCTCCAGTCGTTCCGCCGTTCTGGGTACAGAAACCGACTGTGCAAGCATCCGTAATGGTCGCCCTCTTTGCTATTGTGCGGGCATCGAGGACATCGTCCTGAGTAGGCGTGGGGCTCGCGGATGCCAGGCCTAGCAGCACCGCAAGGAGAGCTGGTGATCTCATTTTCGGCGTAGAGGGATAGCAAGCAATGCCCAGAAAACTACTGAAGAGTTATGTTGGAGAATCTTGTGATTATCTCGACTGAAAAAGACCGTCGGCCACTGGAAAAGGGATTGGAGAAAAACATGTCAACATGTGCACTTGACTATAGAGGTATTATATATGAAAGATAAGATTGTCCAATGTTGGCTTTGGTGTAGTTTCTCGGTTGCATAGGCCGATCGATGGACACATGTTGAGTATTCAATCTGCAAGGCAAGGCCCAGTACCTGCATGCACAGTGGGAGGAGTTTGTAATATCCCTCCAATCATGACTCTGTGTTGGGGTAGATCTTTCGGAGGCAGATTGGCCGCACGACTGTATAGTCTTGGCCTGACCCTCCCTATGCGGCTGCGTTGTGACGAGGTGATTCATAGTATATATGATGCTCCAGTCAGCAAACCGCCTCGTGCAGAAACTGGAAATTAATTAATGGCACGTTGCTGCTGGATGTGGGACGTTAACAGTTCCTGTTCATTTTGGATAGCGATATCCTTGCACTTGATCACAAGTCATTGCTGACCCTTGCATCTCGCCTAGGCGATTTACCTCACCTTCTTCAAGAGCGCTGGTAGAAGATAGAAGAAAAAGTATGAGTTGAGTTGTTCAAGATAACATTCCCTTACAGCAGTCACCATGAACCAAGGGACCACCTCCACTGTGGTATTGTAAATGCAAATACAAGGACGTCTTCTCTTTTCTGAGCTAATCTAGGCGAATTTGCCATCGGCTGGAAATCTAATTAGAAAAATGAGAAAAAAAAGAACAACAAAAAAACATACAACACCGAGGATTCCCCAGTGGTCACCCACCTGAGTACTGATTCGGCAATTAGTTGCTTAATTAAGGCAGAGCGAACGGGATGCCATGTTTTCAACTATCTATGGTCGTATGTGACAATCTTGTCAAACAAATAACATTATATCCTTTTAAAATGATAGAAGCCAAAACAAGGCTGCTTATTGGTGCCATACTGCAGCGCATCGTCCGATAAATTGGCCAAGATTAAACACGCTACTTCGCATTAATAACGAGACCTGGAACCTCAGATGGCAGAATACGGACTTTATTCTTGAATGACAGCACACTTCGTGGGGCCAAGGCTAAGGGGGGAAACTACTGCAACAGTTCTTCAAGTCCACCAGCATACGCACTCAGTACCGATTTCTTGGGAAGCGTCTCGTCCACCGCTTTTGCAATCGTGGGAGGCGAAGGATACCATCTGCACTCGGGCTCCTGCCAGTCTTCCGAGGGCGCAATAGTCTCAAAGCACGTGGCCATGCCCTGCTCAACCGTGTCAAAGAAGCAGAAGCGTGTCACGCCTTTGCTGCCCTTCCATACTCCCTGCATAACGGGCCGAACACCTCGCGCTGCCATCAGCCCCAGGCGCTCGTCCATGGTCAGGTTGTCCATGTCAAAGGCAATGTGCTGGACGCCCTCATGGTTGCCGTGCGCGTCCAGGTAGTCTTGCATCGATGTCTGTCCCGTCAGAGGCTGGATGATCTCGAGCACGGGCTCCCGGGGATCGGGACTCTCGGCAAAGGCGACGAGCAGGGTGAAGAGGTCACTGCCTTTCTTTCCCCGGAGTTCCTGCTCGGGAACGGTCTCGGAATTGAAGTCAAAGACCCGGAAAGGACCCAGCCCAAGACGGCCGAGGTTGTCCAGAGTCTGGTAGAGATGGGGAGTCACAATACATATTTCATTGAGGGAGCCGAGAATTGGTCGGCTGGAGGTGGCAGTCTTAGGTTCTGCAGAGGAAGAAGTCATGTTTGTAGCAATGGTGATGGTATATAGAATTAGACAGGTAGGTAGATATCAAGTTCACAATGATGTGGATGGAGGGTGAGGATGCGTACAGGATAGATTCAGGTTACTTTATATGGATGCCATTTTCAATCAAGAGACCGAGCAAGCGTTGCATGCCTCCAATGTTCGAGGTATTTGTCAGACCTGTATTCCTTTGCCCGCAAGACGGTCATGAACCATGACGACGCGGAACATTGATCTTGAACTTTGTACACTTATGACGGCGGCGCACGAGGAGATGGGATAATCAATCAGGACCCCACATCTACGTACCCCCGGCAGGTACCGAAGTGCAAGGATACATACTACGTACATAGTGACTGACCAGCACGAAGCTTACTCGCGCTAAGCCTGATTGGCCGACAACCCAGGTAACATGGTACCTAGCTTGAGGTCCCTTCTGGAGATAAATCATCCATTGATTTCATGCACATGTGGGCGAGGCTGCGTGCGGTGCGTGACGTCTGGTCCATCTCCCAACTCTCTGTTCTTCTTAGCCTTGTGCTTCAATCGGACGATTTTCTTTTCTTTTTCTTTTTGCTAGCTACCTTCTTGTCCTACACCTGCTTGCCACAAGACAAGGAGGATTGGCAGCAGCGGCAGCGGCAGCACGTGCAACTGCAGCCCTCTGTAGAACCACTGTGCTGATTTCGAGGGCGGCCAGCGCGAGGATTGGCATAAGGGCGGTGCCTGTTGTTGCCTGCGCCAGTTTTGCCCTTGGCTCATTTGCAGCCTCTATCTTCTTGCCGTTGCTTTTCTTTTGTTCTCTCGTTTCACCATCGTCGATACCAGGCATAATCTAATTCAACAGAGCGTTTATTTCATCGCTTTTCCTCGTGGCCTTTCTGATCGTCGCCCAACTCCATTTCTCCCGCCTCGCCTCTGTGACTTGAGATCCACCAGATTGCCGCCCTCTGCACAAGACACCCAGCAATCATATATCTTTAGAAACCTGCGGTGGTTTCGATCACGGCCGATTGATCATGGCCGACTCCGACGGCGAATACCATGGCGCCTCCGACGATGAGCTGCAGGTCAACTCTTCCCACAATGCGCGCGGCAAATCAAAAAAGGACGGGCGCAAGACCCAAGCGGCATGGGAGAACGTAACGAGAACATGGGACATAGTCGAGGAGAACGAGGATGGAACCATCAAGCGAGTCGAAACGGCCGAAGCAAAGAAGCGCGCGCGCCTGATGAAGGATACCACCCCTCTGCAGCGCGGCATCATACGTCATCTTGTCCTGGTCCTCGACATGTCCTTTGCCATGGCAGAGAAGGACCTGTTGCCCAACAGACACGAGCTCACAATGGCATATGCGGGGGAGTTTGTCAGGGAATATTTTGAACAAAATCCAATCTCCCAACTGGCCATCCTCGGCATGCGCGATGGTATTGCCATCAGAATCAGCGATATGAGCGGCAATCCCGCCGATCACCTGGAAAGGTTGACCCGGTGGACAAAGCAGGAGCCGCAGGGGAACCCGAGTCTACAGAATGCCCTGGAAATGTGTCGGGGTGCGTTATAGTGAGTTGTGATCTCCCCTCAGCGAGCTCAAGTGGTGGTACCAGAGGGCAGGACTCTGACAAAACACGCAGTCACACACCATCCCATGGCACAAGGGAAGTTGTTATAGTCTACGGTGCCCTCATGTCCAGTGACCCTGGTGACATTCACGAGACCATCAGCGCCGTCATCAAGGACAGGATCCGTGTCTCTGTCGTCGGTATTGCTGCTCAAGTAGCCATTTGCGCAGAGCTATGCGCCAAGACCAATGGAGGAGATGATTCTAGTTACACTATAGCACTGCACGAGCAGCATCTTCGCGAATTGCTGCTCGATGTCACAACACCGCCAGCCACTCGAACGACGGAGCAAAGCAATGCAAGTCTGCTCATGATGGGCTTCCCATCGAGAACAATCACCACGGGCGAGACCATTAGCTATTGCGCCTGCCACAACAGGCCAAACCGGGAGGGTTATACCTGTACGCGGTGCAGCTCGCGTGTTTGTCGTTTGCCGGCCGAGTGTCCCGGTTGCGGCCTAACACTCATTCTCTCCACCCATCTTGCGCGATCATATCACCATCTGTTCCCTCTACGGAACTGGGTAGATGTGCCTTGGTCGGAAGCGCGCAAGTCGACGGCGTGTTATGCCTGTCTCAGTGCCTTCCCCCAATACGACAAGAAACACGTTGAACAACACGGTGCCCCCATTGGCTTAAGCGAATCCGGAAGGTATGCCTGCGAGGTTTGCGGAAATCATTTTTGTATCGACTGCGATCTCTTCGCTCACGAGGTGTTACACAATTGCCCCGGATGTCAGAGTGACACACGGGGCTCGGCTATGTCTAGTCAGGAGCTGGAGACGAACGGCGACGCCAACGGCCGTATGAATGGTACGGCCATGGACATTGATCCTTGATCGATTAAGGACATGATCCTCCGTCCTCGACTTTGTATTGCTTAGATGACGCGGGCACGGGGGTTATGAATGGAAAATCAAAACAAAAAGCATAGACAGGCGTTCAGGCTCGGGGCATTCAGACATCATGATGATTATATTTAGGAAGGGGTCTGAGGCTTCAGGATAACTGGAAGGCTGGCTTCTGGATGATCTTGCACCACAAAACACAATATATAGTGTCTATTGCAGGGACCAAGCACCACAAAACTATTTTTCGCAAGGCGACAATCGACTCTGAGGCAATGAATAGACTCATCTCTTGCCCACGATGCGATTTCATTTTAATTATGGTACATGTTCGAAAACTGTGTTGAATATTAACTTGAATTCGCTCACACATTGCTAAAGTGGACATTGTCGAAAATACATGCTTGATTTTGCAAACATATTTGCAACATGACCTTTTTTTTAACACTTCATTGCCCTCTAACCTAACTAAGTAGGGCATTGTAACATCAAAGCCATTGAAAAGCAAACGCTAGTATAGGTACGCATGTGCCCTTGAACACTTTCATCATCTATCTCATCAAATCTTCATGATATTTTCTTCTTCTTTTTCTTTTGGCACTCCCTTGGACCAATCACAGGTTACCTCGTTCAGCCTGTTCTCTCTCAATCGCCTCAAATAAGCTCTTAAAGTTACCAGCACCAAAGCCTTCAAACGAGTTGCGCTGAATAATCTCAATAAAGACGGTGGGGCGGTCCATGAGCGGCTTGGTAAAGAGCTGGAGCAGGTAGCCCTGCTCGTCATAGTCAATGAGGATGTTGAGGCGCTCAATGGCGTCCAGGTCCTCCTTGAGCTCCCAGTTGCGCTTCTCGGTGCGGAGGCGCTCGCGCATGGTGGTGTAGTACGAAGGGGGCACATTGATGAACTCGACGCCGCGGGCGCGCATGGCCGCGACCGTGTGCAAGATGTCGTGCGTCAGCAGGGCAATGTGCTGCACGCCCGCGCCCGCGTTGAAGATGACGAACTCCTCAATCTGCGACTTCTTCTTGCCCGGGGCCGGCTCGTTGATGGGCATCTTGACCACGCCGTTTGGCGAGCTCATGACAATCGAGTTGAGCGCGCTAAACTCGGTGCATATTTGCGAGTCGTCGACGCTCCAGAATCTGTGGAATTGCAGGCACTGCTCGTAAAAGGCACAAGCCTTGACCATCTCGTTCCAGTCCTGGTTACCGACACAGTGATCGATGCGGGCAAGGTTGGTCGGTGGTGCTTCAATGGAGCTCGGGGCAGGTGTAGCTGCGCGAAATCCGGGCAAGAATGGTCCGGTATATGATTTCCGAGAGATGAGTGTGTGTGTTGTGTCGCCATATGTGCAAATGACAGCCGTCCGGACTGAACCATGCTGCTTATCGTGGTGCATGGTAGGTTCCTGCACGGATCGAGCCTCGCCAGCAAGTGCTCTGCTGTAGACTGCGTCTACATCGTCCACCTCGAAAGCAACATCCTTGACAGCATCGCCATGTCTCTCGAGGTGAGCGTGCATTTCCTCGAGGAGCAAAGACTCTTCTGCTGATATCGGCTCATCCTTTGGGAGATGTCTGTGCGAGCGGATGGGGGATGTGAAGACGAAACGGACATTGCCATTTTCTACAACATAGGAGGTGAAGTATCTGCTGCCTGTTTCCAGGCCCTTGTAGGCAACGGTCTTGAAGCCAAAGAAGGTATTGTAGTATGCTGCCGCTTGCTTGGCATTTCCAACCCACCAAGTGACGTGATCGTAACCTTGGAACTGGGGCACTCCGGACTGAACAGCAAAACTGTCGAGTTCGCTGTGGCCATTGGTCTCAGTTGTCTGGAAAAAGGCATTGTCCCTTGGAGGGGACGTCGAAATAGCGGACGGCGCCATGATGGTAGTAGAAACTCGGCTCGATAATGAGTAAGTGTAAAGGTTCACGGTGGCAAGTAGTATGTCTGAGTTATGCCGTAGATTTTGATAAAGTGATGAGATTTGTAGAAAGGTTCAGGATGCTTCAGAGCCTATGTACACGATAACGGGTGTTGTACCGAATAACTTTATAAGTGCAAGAAGTCTGACAATTCGCCCTCTCCTGATTGCCTCTTGATGTAAGGAAGCGGGCGGGCAGACACGGCAACCAGTGGCCCCATGAGCGTGCGGCCTTGGCCATCTGGGGTTCCGTGGTCCCTAGGCCACCGTTCGGCAATGTCAAGAACTCTGAACGGCGCGTTCCCGTGGTCTGGGGTGATGACGGATGCCCATTGTCTAAAGGGCGGAAAGACGAGTCGCGGAAACTAGCGCCACAGTTCCCCGGCTAAGGGCGGCCATTCGCGGGGGGTCAAGGTGCGGAAGTGGCCCCAGCCCTTCTAAGGCTGCCCGAGCATAATGCAGCAGCAGTTATGCACCTTTCCCCGGATACATGAGGTAGAGTATTTGATGCATCATAGCGCCCCAAGAGCCATCTCTTTCGTCTTTGAACTGCCGCACTTGAGATTTGTTGCAAAAACAATACCAACGAGGCATTGTTGCAGCCGAGGGTTCATCACATAACCACCAATCCATCCCTTGTATCCGAGCCATTTCTCTGTAGTTGCACCGAGTTGCATAAGCCACCAAACTTGTACGAAGCAGCTTTATACAGAAATCCGATCAACCACGATTCAGTCATCCGCTGGTTTCGAACTGTCCGCCGCACAAGATGGACCCCATCACTCTGAGCCGACGCGATGAAAACGTCCTTGAGAAGATGAAAGATCCGGAATCGGACCCATCAACATCGATCCTTGTTGATTCGACTTTGCCAAAAGACCCCAACGTCACCGAGCCGAGTATATATGAGCGGGTCTCAAAACGCGAGAAGGACATTGTACTGTCAATGCAGCAACTCGAGATGCAGTTGGCCGGCATTAAGGTTTTGAGATCAGTGCAGGACCCTGTCCAAGAATATGCAGCATGCGTGTCCCATCTTGGAGAGCTCATCTCAGAATTTCCAAACTATGCCAGCGCTCGCAATAACAGGGCACAAGCACTCAGGCGGCTGCACGGAGACAAACTCTTATCGAAAGTGCTGGATATGCAAGCTCTAAAGCAAGACGCAAGCAATGAGGAGCGAGCACAAGCCGCAATAACATTGCTCGGCGACTTGGACGAAGCCATCTCCCTGCTGACGCCCAAGAGCGTCTTTGGATCAATCTCGCCAGTAGCTGGGAGAACTCTGTCCTTGGCACACACGCAGCGCGGTGCAATCTACCACATGACGGCAAAGTCTGCCTCGGCAGAGCGTCAGGATCTCGGAGAAAGGAGAGAAGCTGTTTGGAGCATTGTAGATTTTGAGACGGCGGCATCCAGAGATTTTGCGCTCGGAGGAAAATATGGCAACGATATAGCAAAGGGTTTGGCGGTAGCGACAAACCCCACTGCGAAGTTATGCGGTCAGATGGTGAGAGAAGCAATGAAGAAGGAGTATGGCCCGGCTTTTGAGGGCCTGTGAACCGCGAATAATGTTGAATACGGGGTTGATGGAGGCCCGGCCGGTACTCCTCGGTAGAATTATTTTATAAATGATACCCATGACAGTCATATTGCCTGCATTCACATTCTTGACGGAATGACTAAAGAACAGTACCAAGTCCGAAGAATCTTCTTGCAGTGGCGACATATCCTACTGTTTTGATGTCGCAATGAGAGGGACACATGAGACCCTTTTCTGACCTGTGGCAAGGCTTAAGTTGTTTTCTTACTGAGACCAAGACGTCTATACAACTTGTAAGCCAGCGCCAGTAAACCAATCATTAGTATGAGAAAATTCACCTCTTCATAGACTCTAGAGTTTGCTCAGTAGTCTGGCCCTTTTCCTTCTCCTCACGGTTGATCCTCGTAGCAGCGGCACCAAGACCGATGACTACAGCAAAGATGGGGTCTGCGACCTTGGAAATAATGTATGTTGGAGGAGCCATGGTGAACTTGTAGGATACAAAAGGTCGTGGCTCTGACAGTACCAGGAAGTTTGGAATGGTGTCTAGAACTTGACGAACGGCACAGAGTCCAGGGAGAGGTGTTCTACTATGTCGATATCGTGTCGTGGTGTGCATGTACTGCAAAGAAGCTTAGCTAGATGGGACCAACACTTGGGTGCCGGCTGCGAGCCAGGTCAAAGTCAGGGACCCGACCTGATTTATGCACGGACCATCACATCAGCTTTGCCCCAAGGTCTCGAAAACTGGGTCAGCACCAAAGGTGAGAGACTTGAGACCTACGGAATAGAGAAAAGAGCGACCCCACTTTTTTCGGGTCTTCCTCGCTTAGGTTCCTGCCCACACAAAATCGAAAATTCAACGACCGCTGCAATTGAACTTTTTTCCGCGTGACAGGAGAAGACGAGACCTCAACGCCAAATCTACTAACCCCTCAACAGCTTCATATTGACCCTTCGGCAAACGACGTCAAAATGAAGTTCCTCAAGGTCGGCAGAGTCGCCATCATCACCCGCGGCAGATACGCCGGTAAGAAGGTACGTCGCCAGGAGCAATCTCGAGGAAAGATCGAGGTCGGGTCAGGGTATGGAGAGGCAGCGAGGATTGAAGGCATACGCACACAATGCGCTCAACCACCACAACCACCACCACTCACAGAGGAACAACACGTCAAGACAGAGAGAACACACCTCGAGTTGCGATTTACCTGCGCCCGACCACGATCAAACAATTCCTCAAAAATTTCACTTCGCCAGTTGCGCGGATAGGCACTACGAATTCATGCGAGGAGGACGCAGAGAAGAAAATTAGCTGACCGTGGTTATTCTTGATTCAGGTTGTCATCATCCAGCCCATCGACTCGGGTAACAAGTCGCACCCTTACGGCCACGCCATCGTTGCCGGTATCGAGCGCTACCCTTCCAAGATCACCCGCCGCATGTCCAAGACCCGCCAGGAGAAGCGCTCCAAGATCAAGCCCTTCATCAAGGTCATCAACTACAACCACTTGATGCCCACCCGTTACACCCTGGAGCTTGAGGGTCTCAAGGGTTCCGTCACAAACGACACCTTCAAGGAGGTTACACAGCGGGAGGATGCCAAGAAGAACGTCAAGAAGGTGCTGGAGGAGCGCTACACCAGCGGCAAGAACAGATGGTTCTTCACCCCTCTGAGTACGTCTACCTGCTTTCGTTGCTCCCCAATCGCTTTCTCCGACGAGAGCAGCTTATTTGGGAGTGTCCTCACTCATCGACTATATGCTAATCCTCTATACTACAGAGTTCTAAGCTTGTTTCCTTGTCACGCGTTCTCATGTCGTTCGGATCAGGGGTTAAAGGATTGGGATGTAAATCTTGCATCAAAAACATCGGCATTAGGAGCCCATAGGGAATTGCTATGAATTGACAGAAAAAAAATGTCACGACCATACACGATGTCTTTACGATCCGTGATTCCCTGTGAACTGCTGCCTCCACCACGGGGCCATGGCGACGAAAAGGGAAACATGATCGGATGATGGGGCCTTCGCGATCCGGGCTCGGTCAGCAAAGCACTAGGGCAGGAAGGGAAGCATTGCGAGCACTCGATGATTTTGGCGTTCTAGATCAAAGGGCAATGGTGTTCCAGTGGTTATAGTCAGTCTCGATAATCAACCATGTGGCATTGGTAGCACATTGACGTTTCTGCGAGCATTCCGGGCCAGTTGTGACACATGATAAGGGTATTACTATATGGTCATGAATTGCTAACATTTTTGCCTAGTGTCCTATATGCCCTATATGCATCAAACTTGGCTGGCAAAGATACTATAATTCAGCCCTTCATGGCTCATCATTTCCTACGAACGGAACCTTGCTTTGGCCAACAGTCACGAGTCAGATCGAAGCATCATCCCGTCATGTTTGTTCTTTTATGCTCCCATGTCGGCTGAGCAGTGCTTATCAACCATGGCTCCCAATCCTGCCTCGGACAGCAGTTATTGGAAACGAAGGAATGTTTCCTTTCGACGATCTACTTCCCCAAGACTTTTCCAAGTGCCATTTTGCGTACTTGTGCATGTGCCAGAACAATATTGATCCTTCTTTTCCATTACCCGACACACCATGGGCGTGTGGGGGTGATTGACTGGGCTTGAGCATTGCCTGCTCTTCGCACGTCAGATCACATTCTGAGCTATATCACTGATTCCCAAGTCGAAAATCGAGTCAATGTCTTAGGGTACAATCAATCCATGTACGCTTCACAGCAAATAGTATGGATAGATGAAAAGCACAAGTCTTGCACTAGCGATAGCTCTTTTCCCTTACCTCTTTCCCGTTCTTCTTCTCTTTCTTCAATGTACAAGTTCCACGGTTTGCAAAGGCAATGATCTAGTATGTCATTTCGAGCCCGCACTCCGAGAGAAGAGACACAAAATCGCAAGAATTCCGAAAACCTTTTCCGTCCACGTATTGTGGTTGCTGACTAGCCACCAGCTATTTCTGTATCTGTAGGGTGGGAGTCAAGGGATTGGGTTGGACCTCTCACATACACCCAACAAAGAACTTCAAATGATCATCGACATGAGTTATGAAGAGAGATCGGTTCTCTTACTTGAGATTTTGATTGGTAACGTATATAATCAGCCCCCCAACCAAAGCCCCAGCACGCAGGCTTTCCACTTGCTGCTCGAGTGCATTTCTGTTTGGTTATTTGCTGTTTTTATTTTATTTTGTGGTTAGGTTGGTCGCCCAGAAAGTGCATCACAGTCCGCCTTGGCCCAATGTCAAGTCGGCAGTGGTTATTACAGGGCCGATGCTAAGTTTTTGAAGTGCATAAACGACAATACGAATCAAGTGTCACTCGCCTCATGAATGGTTGATGTAAGCAACGAGGCTGACTAGCTTTTTATATGCGAGCTATAATAGGATCACGCACGGCTGCTTAGACAAGATAGCCGGGATATCTCAACGTCATGGTCTGTCATTTTTGTGTGTTCCAAAATTTTGATTTACAAATTTCATCAGGTTGTCTAAGCTGCACAAAGACCAAACGCCCTTTCTCGTGTGAACATGATCCCAACCTGCGCCCCCTTCTGCTGCCAAAAGTCTATAAACATAAAATGCAGCTAGTAGTCTTCTGCTGACCTATCATAGCCGCTGCCAATACAAACGAGAGTACTCCCCTAGCCAAGAAAAAGGATCCAGTAGAAGGATGCAAATATATGAGTGTCGTGCAAAAGCACATGAATGTGGTTCATCGAAATCGAGGGCCGCCTTCGCCGGTACTATTCCCCCACCCGGCAATAGCGCGGACACCTCTCGTCAGCTCGCGGAGCCCGAAACTCCGGAGTATGTAAGTCTCATCTATTCTTAGATATTACAAAGCCATATGGTGGACATGAGTTCGATTGTCATCCCTGATTGTTTTACGAGCCAATGCCGTACTTGGCAGCCGTCTCGCCGAGGTAGGGTCGGTAGTCAGCGCCATAACTGGGAGCCAGACCGCCAAAGAGAGCGAAGAGGAAGAAGAGAGCACCGACGATGACGATGACCTTGCGAAGGACGGGGCGAGAGTTGCCGAATTCGGCCCACTGACGAACACCCTCAGCAGCATAGCCCTTGATAGCATCGAGTCCGAGCTTGTAGTAAACCATGCCGCACAGCGCAATGGTGTAACCGAAAGCCTGGAGGCCGGAGATGGGGGTACCCCAAATGAACATGGAAGCAGCCACGAGGAGAATATCCTTGAGGACACCGCAGAGGGTCATGACGAGGGACGAAGTCTTGCCAATCTGCAATTTGTTAGCGGAAGTGTAAAAATGACATCATTTGACCAAAAAACTCACCAGGAAGACAACGGAGACGTTGAGAAGGAACGCGCAAAGACCGTTCAGGAAGAAAGTCGACAGTCCGACGTGGTAGACCTCTGGCATGGTAACCTTGGGCACTTCCCAGAGCAGGGCAACGATGCCGTTCATGACAGCGCAGACAGGAGCAAAGTAGTACAGAGAGACCAGAGGGTCCATCTTGTACTCAGCGGAGCTCAGAAGAGCCTGAACCAAGTTCAGGCGGATGGCCTCGAAGATGATTCCACCAATCTGGTAAATGAAACCGATCCAGACAAACTTGATCTCGCCAAAGGAAGCAATGATGACACCGACAACAATGGCCGAAACGTTCATCAAAATCTTCATGTTGGGAGCAGCGATACCCATCGACCAGGAGGAGAGGAGCACAGCGACGGGAGTTGTAGCCTTGAGCATCTGAATAAAGGCAACACTGAGGTACAGGTAGGTCAGATTACCGCAGATCAAGCTCAAACTGAAGAACAAGCCGATCGGAACAATTGCGCGGAGGTAGACGCGACCAGTCATCTTGACAGTCTTGCGGCCATCAAGCAGCGAAGTGTATCGAGCCATGAGCTGGGTTGCAATGGTCGCGAAAGTCAAGTGGTAGGTCGTTAGAATGACGGGGTAACCTGCAAGATAATCATCTCAGTATGTGGCTCATGATATGATCGAGTTGGAACTGCGCTTCTTACGGAACTCGAGGGTGTCCAGAATCCATTTGTTGAACAGAATGACGGAGGAAGAGAGACCAATCCATGTTCTGCAGCCGGTAACAGTCAGTCTATGATTCTGCAATGGCAACGGCCATCAGACGAGGATGCCAACTTACGCAACGTAGAAAGCTGGGTGCAGAGCGGCCTTGGGAGGCTCAGGCTTCTGGGTATCGGGGTTGACAGTGGGCAGAATAGTGCCCTCGGGTCGAGAGACCTCGCCAGAGACTCTGGTCTTTTCTTCGGTACTCATCTTGACCGATCGGTGGTGTGTAGTTGATTAGGTGATGATTGATTTCAAAGGTAGTGAAGAAACTACGTGATCGCTGTCGCGCGAAGAGGAAAAAAGGAAGCTTTGTTGGAGAATGGAAATAACTTGTAGCAGTGTACGTATAACGAGTGACAGCGGCCGAGCCAGCTAGGACCAATTAGGTTGTGGGGTCGATTTGGAGGGGGGACAAATCGAGAATCGCGATGGCGTTCGCCGGCGGAGTGAGGATGCTCTCTTTCCGGATGGATCACTCTTTTGGATAATCGTGACGAGAGTTGAAGTTGGGAGATGTCGGCGACGGAGGAAGAAAAAAAAAGAGAGAGAAGGAAAAGAAAGAGTATGTGTGTATGCGAGACCAGCATAAGAAAAATACAAGTACTACGTACTATTATTACCCGTTGCATACATTACACTACTACTACTTACTACCAGAAAATTTAGAGGCTCGCACCAAGAGGCAATCAGATTACGACGGCTGAAGTGGTTTCGTCAAATTAGGTGCTAGTCGGCATGACGCCTGGGCGAGTTGCAACGCGTCCTAGTCTAGACCCAGTCCCAATTCTGTCCCTGGCACCAGAAAAGAAGCGCGGGATAAAAAAGGGGGCTCCGAAACGAGGAGGGAAAGAGAGGCTATGTTTGCTTTGGGGGGGGGTCAGAGTTCTAGTGTCCTTAACTCACATCAGTTGGCCCAAGCCATACTCAAACTGTCTCCAGGAACCGGTATCACATCGCCCCACTGCTGTTTTCAACCAATCAATGATCCACGCTGTTGCATTGACAAGCACAATTCCTCATTTTTAGGGCCAGCCGATTGCCAAGAAAAAATCAACGCTGTGCCCGGCCCATGCATTCATCCTGATCCCAGGGGATGGATTTGTCTACACTATGCTAGGATGGGATGGGATGGGGTAGGATTCGGAAGCCCCAAAAGACTTTCAGGGGCTAACAAAAAAAATCTCACTATTATTATCGCTACTACCGTCCTATCGCAGACTGTTGCATACATTACTTTTACTGCTATCTCGGTACTATCTACACAGTACACTCACTACAACCCATAACCCTACCCACCGATGATCTCATGTATGTTTTTTTCATGCCAAAGTTGGCGATCAACACCTCCTATACCAAGTCAGGGTGGCTGTGTATGTGTGAACTTGCATCAAGTCGACCCAGTTCCTGCCTGTACGCGACGTATTCCGCCGAGTAGTGTAATGTACTCTTAGACTTGCCCATCTCCGCTGCTCCAGTGTGCTGGCCTCCTGTTGCTTGCTTGCCTCCTCGCTTGCTCGCTGATCGAGTACCGTACATGGAGTTCACTTTGCTTTACGCCGAAAGCAATCAAATAGCATACAGTGTCCTAAAAACTTGCCCAAAGCGTATGTTTGTGTCGCCATGCCAAAAGACGACGTCCTGGCCCAATGATATATCTTCCCCTAGTTTTCTACTTGGCGGATCTACTATTGCATCTCAGCTCATCGCCTTCCCCTGCTATAATCATCTATCCTCCAATGAACTTGCCCAGATACGCCACCAACAGGTGATGCGGCGTGCTGCAGATAATCTAGAAGCACGCTTCCAAGGTAGCTTCCACCAGCCAACAGTTCTGGTGAAATAAAAAACCACCACTCTTATTGACCGCTTCAGATCTGCTACATCCTAATCAATACATGTGGTCAATGAGACAATACCTTGGATCTCCAGTATGAGTTTATTTTTGGGGAATATAGTCAGTGCTTTTCCTTGGAGCTGCCGCACTGTACACATTGACTACATACCTACACTACCTTACCCATTGATTGCTCCATGATACCCACTAAAATCCCTCCCTTCCGGCTCACGATACAAGGTAGTATGGAGGTAGTGTATGTACTATGTAGTATGCTTGATATTTCTTGGGTCTAGAGCGGCAATTCGTATATGTTTCAGATCACACTATAGCTGCTACTGCGGCAACTTCGCTTAACCGATCTTCCCATTTTCTTATTGCAGTTTCCTGGTTACTTGGGGGGAAAGAATCATCTCTGGCCTCGTTCCGTCTGCTCGATTGAGCCGGTATCTAGGTTAATGGACTGATTTGAAGGCCCTATCTGCATGACGGGGGGTGGCCTTTCCAAAAACGGGTTGCCGTTAACCCCAAAAATGTCGACTTGATACTCCCGTCAGTCCGTATATCTCCAAGAAAGCCTGTGCTCAAATTGGAAAAATTATACTTGCGGAGCAGAACGCGCCTTTCCTCATTAGCCTTTTGTGCCCTTTTGGACGACGATCATTTTTGAGGCGGGTTTTGCAGAAAAGCCGCTGGGAGTTGTGTGAGAACCGTGCTGCTGGTGCACACGGCACCACCCTTGGCATGGAATGGGCTTGGGTAACTGTACTTGTTCCGCCTGATGAGACTCGTGTCTCTCGATAAGCCTTGTATGTGCTTTAACCTTGTTCACGATGTGTGGTAGACCGTTGTTGACCTCAGATCCCCCCTCCCAAGCCTCCCCCCCTTCTCACCATATAACCCCCCGGGCCGAGAGTCCCAACCACTAATATAGTATAGTACCATGTATATACCGACATCATGGGTGCTGGAGACCGGTGCATTGCCGAAAGCCTACACATAAGCATACATTTGGGCCGCATTCGGCATCCTTCTGGATTGTGGGAGGCTTGCTCTAGTGCCAGTTGTACCATCGTCGTATGCCCGTTTAGACGAGCTGTCATTGTTTCGTTGATCGGGCCCACGAAAAGCTTGTTCAGCCTGGCTTGTGGCCCTGGGTTCGTATAGTCCTTGGGGAGCCAGGTTATGACTACGCAGTACTTCGTACATCCCCATGTCATACGAAAAGGCTCTGCAAGAAGGAGCAGAACAAGCAATGTTGTAAGCTCGGTGTCTGGCTGCAGGTGATCATTTGCAATGTGGCTGCCTCTATGTCTGGTTTTATTTTTTTTCTACTCCTTCAATCTCTTCCACCGCTGCTTGCCACCGGGACTAAGCTTCGTATTTGCGTAAAAGTGACCATATTGCTTTAGAAAGAAGAGGCTTCATAGGCGTCATCTAGATGGTGCAACACGAGTCGCCATCCGCAACAGGCGAAACCATGCAGTTCGGCTAGTGGCAAGGATGGCGGCTGTAATGCATTGTTGTATTGTGCGTATGCACGGAACAGAGCACAGAGATATCTGTCTAGTCTTTCCAATTCGGATGTCTCGCCTCAAGAGCCGGATCTGGCGTCTTTGCGGCGAAACAGCATCCCGGCCTAGTCAAGAAACGCCGCACCCGTGACACGAGTATTTATAGTAGCCTGGCTCATTCGTGCCCTACAGGCGGGAGCGGGAGCCCAAGCCATTTGTGTGCCATCATGTCTCTTTTGGACGAAAAGTGGTCAATACGCACTGGTAGCGCAACTTGCTTTCTGGGAATCGATGCGGGTTTCGGATCAAGTGTCCTGATCTCGCTGGCTAACAGCGGTCATTTCTTTCCACGGCCGTTGGGAAAGCCTCATTGCGATTGGCATCAACTTGAGACAACGGCTTGGCAGCTCTTGCAAATCCCATGTAGATCTAATGTGTCTGAGGAGTGGGCATTGCGCAAGCAGCCTCACTGCCTCGCTCTCTCCAGAGCCTTGCGGATCCGCCCGGGGGTAAGACCAGTGTAACCCGGACTCCGTTAGAAATCTGTCATTTGGCTACCAAGTCTTGGCCCGAGCAACAGTAATAGTGCAACTGTACTATGCGTAGGGAATACTAAAAAGCTGTTTGCTGCTTTCTGGCAAAAAAATTGTGACGCCTGACTAGGTTTCTGGGGGACTGCCTTGCATACGTACATGGAACAAAGCATACATACCTGACTGGTTTGAAATTGCCTGCCCCCATCGAAATGAGACGACATGTCGAGCCCCATTTCGGTGACGAATCGTTGCCAGCAGGCGTTTGAATAATTGTAGAATGCTACTCTTACCTAGGTACTCAGTACGACGCCGCCGGAAAGTATATCTGCCTACCCATATCATTAGCACCAGCAGAGAAGTATGAAATGCTACCGTAATACCGATCCAGCGGCGAATAAAAGGTAGGGGTCTTGAGCGCCACACAGAAAAAATTGCCCCAGCCAATTACCACTTCAGGTCACTGGCGACTTGACTCAAGCGGAAGGGAGACCGAAGACTGTTGAATCTCAAGATGAACGAAATCCCCCCCTCCATCGGATTTGGCGATTTGCCTCATGCGCGTGCTTGCGTGTGTGCCTGACTACGTACTATTTACACGTGTTCGGGAGCTCCCTCGAGGCGACCCTCTGTATTGTGGACACGGGCCGGCCAAACTTCTGATGATACCTACTTCTACGAAGTGGCAGTCTGGCGAGCCGCTGGCGGGGGAGTATTTTGATCTCGTAACGGTGCCCGCGATGACGAACATGAAGCTTTGACTTGATTATGCTGTACATAGTAGACTAGTTGCGGGATGAAGCGTGAAACAAGGACGCCAAGCACGAGCTTCTGGAAAACGTGGTCAAGGGCGGCGCGGGCGTGGATATTGCTTCATCTTATGAAATTAACGTCAACCAGGATTCCAAGGTTTGGCTGCTGATCCGGCGATGGGAAGCGGGCAGATTATTAAAACGACAAGGTAATTTAATGGGTTGCGCCGAAAGAAAAACAAATGAACAGTGCGCAGACGATTGAGAACCGCCAGACCCCAGGAAAATGTAAAGCAGCTCGTATATCGCCTGTACATTCCCGGTCTCAAAAAAAGTTGATTGAAAACACATGAAATTCGGCGAGTCGTGCAAGGCGATTATACTCTCAGTGGTTGGGACGGCTGTGGAATTTTTCTGGCTTTCTTCCACACTAGGCGTTCTGCAGCTGGGACGTAGAAAAAGGAACGGAATTTACATGGTTCTACTGAGCGAAGCGGTACTTGCACACAGTAAGGGCCGACCGCCTCTTGCGGGCGTCGATCTCTCCAGCGATCTGGTGCCCCTGCCTTCGGGGGAGGGTGGAGGGGAGCCGTGATAGACATGCCACCCACTCAAGCTTTAGCGCGGGGCCCTTGCAGCCAAATCGGACACCTTGAAGGCAGCTAGTAATGTATACTTGACCAACAGTCGAAAGGTGGAAGAAGGTGAAGTGTAGGATGTATTGGCCCACCTCCAGTTTCGTCGCTGGACCCGGTCTGGTCTGTCCAGTGATGATACGCCTAATACCTCATCTATGGGATCATTGACGATGCTCACGCTCCTCCTATCTGATCCTCGTACGTGGTGATGATGATGGAGGAACGAGCAGCCAGCGACGGGCTTGGAGTGGTTGGGGGTAAACTGATTATAGGTATGGCGTTCCTGTCGCCAAGACTATCTGACCTAGCCCGGACCAGTCGTGCATGCAGGCAGGACGGAGATCCAAACCATCATTGTGAACAAATAATAAAGCAAGCAAGCAGGCGAGCACCCATAGCCTCAAGAATCAGACCAAGTCGCCGGCCGCCCTTTCAAGATGGCAACAGTAGGAGTCGACAAACTCCTAAGGCTGCAATCTGTCTTCTACTACTGCGGGACGTGACTTGATTCCAATCGATTTGCTCGGAACAGGGAGTCGGTGAGGGGCAAGGACAATTACTAGTAACACATAGGATGATGTCCCGCCGCCCGCTGGTCGTTTGCGACTACTATGCACTGTCCACTGCTAAGGTAGGTAGAGTTCTGGACTTCCAGTGGACTTCGGAGGTGCCTGGGGCCACATGTATGTACGTCTGCACGCTACTGGATAGAGGGCATCCACTTTGCCCACTATATCCACCGAAGCTCGACTCGAAAGGTTCGATGATGGGCGTGGGCGGACACAGAGATGCGCGCGCGAATACTTTCGGCTCGTCCACTTCAATTGGTTTGTCGGTATCAAATGTGATGAAGAACATTCAATGATATTTGGATGTACGTCCCTTAGGTACTTCTTACTATAGGTGGTGCATGTATCTCTCTCTTTCTCTCTCCCCCTCGGGCTCTCCCCCTTCTCTAATGTGCACATCGCCTCGAGGTCACCACCATCTCCCATATACCTACTGCGAACTATCAAAATTTGACCACCTACAGCAGCGGAATTTTGTGATTTGATGAATGGATTGGATGGACGAATGTGTCCAATGTAGTGTAGTAGCGAAGGAAATGTATCGTGTACACCCCAAGTCGAGCCAGTCATATCACACTATCATCTGAAACGAGATGATCACTGTGCAACCCAGCCTCTGTAGCGTTTACATTTGTTGCCATCATCAACCGGCCAACACCCCTGTCCTGCATAAGAGCTGGCCTGCCCCACCCCCTCGTCCCCTATTTTCGACCACAGATTTCCTGGCTCGAGAATAATTGTTGATACTGTAGTAGCTTGTCCCTCCCAGAGTATTTCGTCCCTCTCCGTCCATCCATTTATCTACCTCACCCCTTCCTTCAGCATCTTCTAGATTCTGTCCTCCTCGTCTTGTCTTTTTTTGTTGATACCCAAAGAGCCACTCTTTCTGTCATCTCAAGATCAATCCCATCTTGTGTGATATACCCCCTCCAAAGCGAGTCTTTTTCATATCCTGAACCACCCCCACATTCAACGGTTCCAGAAGTGAGACATCATGTGCGCAGACATGTGAGTATTCCATCCAATTGCTGTTGTTGCCATTGGCACAATATCTACACTTCTTCGAAGACGAAGGAAGTCAACGATGTGGGTGTGCTAACTCGTCTCCCATCAGCAACGTCGACGTTCTCGTTATTGGCGCTGGCCCAACGGGTCTTGGTGCTGCCAAGCGTCTCAACCAGATTGTATGCTTCACCGCCCACTACTTGTCGAAGCTGAAACTAATTGTGCGCCCAGGACGGCCCATCATGGCTGATCATTGACTCCAACGAGAAGGCCGGTGGTCTTGCTTCCACAGACGTTACCCCCGAGGGTTTCGTAAGTTCTCCCTTTGTGCTTCTATGCTTTGCGTAGTTTTTCGTGGCTAATTCTCGTCGCTCAAAACAGCTCTACGATGTTGGTGGCCACGTCATCTTCTCCCACTACAAGTACTTCGACGACTGCATCGACGAGGCTCTCCCCAAGGAGGATGACTGGTACGAGCACCAGCGTATCTCATACGTTCGCTACAAGGGCCTCTGGGTCCCCTACCCCTTCCAGAACAACATCTCCATGTTGCCCAAGGAGGACCAGGTCACTTGCCTGGAAGGCATGATCGACGCTGCTTTGGAGCACCGTGTTGCCAACACCAAGCCCAAGAACTTTGATGAGTGGATTATCCGCCAGATGGGTGATGGTATTGCCAACATCTTCATGAGACCCTACAACTACAAGGTTTGGGCTGTTCCGACCACCGACGTAAGTGCTATGGCTCTTCTCTTCGATCTGATGAACTATCTCTAACCGCAAAAATAGATGCAAGCTGAGTGGCTCGGTGAGCGTGTCGCCGCCCCCAACCTGAAGCTTGTCACCAAGAACGTCGTCCTGAACAAGGTCGCTGGTAACTGGGGCCCCAACGCCACTTTCCGCTTCCCTGCTCGCGATGGTACTGGTGGTATCTGGATCGCTGTCGCCAACACTCTCCCCAAGGAGAAGACGCGCTTCGGCAAGCACGGAGAGGTCAGCAAGGTCGATGCTGCCAAGAAGACTGTCAAGCTCGCCGACGGCACTACCATCAAGTACGAGAAGCTTGTCTCCACCATGGCTGTGGACCACCTCGTTGAGGCCATGGACAACAAGGAGCTCGTCAGCCTGAGCAAGGGTCTGTACTACTCGTCGACTCACGTCATCGGTGTTGGTCTGAGAGGCGAGCGCCCCGAGCGCATTGGTGACAAGTGCTGGCTGTACTTCCCCGAGGACAACGCTCCTTTCTACCGTGCCACCATCTTCTCCAACTACTCCCCCTACAACCAGCCTCAGGCTGATGTCAAGCTTCCCACCATCCAGCTGGGTGACGGTAGCAAGCCCAAGAGCTCCGATGCCAAGGAGGGTCCTTACTGGTCCATCATGCTCGAGGTCTCCCAGTCCACCAAGAAGCCTGTCGACGAGGCCAACCTCCTCCGGGATTGTATCCAGGGTCTTATCAACACTGAGATGATCAAGCCCGAGGATGAGATCGTCTCTACCTACCACCGCAAGTTCGACCACGGTTACCCTACCCCTGCTCTCGAGCGTGAGGGTGTCCTCAAGGAGCTTCTGCCCAAGCTTCAGGACATGGACATCTGGTCCCGTGGCCGATTCGGCAGCTGGAGATACGAGGTCGGTAACCAGGACCACTCGTTCATGCTCGGTGTCGAGGCCGCCGACAACATTGTCAACGGCGCTGTCGAGCTGACCCTGAACTACCCCGACTTTGTGAACGGCCGCAAGAACGAGGAGCGTCGTCTGGTCCAGGGCACTCTGGCCACCAAGAAGTCCAGCAGCAACGGTGCTCTGCCGACGCGCAAGGCTTAAATGGATTTTGGCCAACAAAGAATATAAAGAAATTTAACTTGCATTTGTGTTAGACATTTTACTACGAGGGCCTCGTTTAGCTAGAGGATTTGATGAAGCTAGACAACTGGAGTTCACGGGGCCTGTAGCTCTTGATGGTTTGATGAGCGTCAAAAATGCGACAGGGATGATGACGGTATGGCTTTAATATGATTCTTCCGGTGCCAAAAGATGCACACAGAGAAAGATCTTGTTTGTCTCTTGAGAGATAGACGCCCAGAACGATAGAAAATAGACTATCCAATCTGTAAGAAACCACTTTTACCTATGTGTGCTTTGTTGCATTGCATCGAGAATTGCGACCATCGTGAGACTCGTTGCATGTTGTCGTGCCCTGACATCATATCTCGGTAAGAGAACACTTATCGTTGATAGATTATGGATACTTGCTTATCCCCCCACCCTGGTAATTTCTACCTTTTTTTTTTCTTCTTCTTTGGTAGGAAGTGGTTCCTTGCAAGTCTGCCACTATGCCAGATTGCTGATGTTGGGCAGCAGGGAGATGAAGAAGGGATCAGATATGCCTCACGATCAGACCCCTCGCTCCTGAAAAGGGGAGGATAAAGCTGAAAGCCTTCTTGTGAAGAAAAAGATCTACCCATCCACACCATCTCTCATGCACACCACCTACCTACATTAGCTCGATATGGCTGGCTTTATTGCACTGGGAAAAAGAGATCTGATTTGATTGAAGAAGATGAGATGCGAGTTCTGCCTCCAAAAGTTCTGTTGCATTCCGAAGTACATACATAATTGCTATGTAGTTGGTCATAATGCCGGCAAGTACTATGTACTCTGTAGATCGTCATACATGAGACGGGCCAGGCACAGCCAGGTGATCGGGAAATCCAAGCCCTCTCCTGCACCCTTGTGATTTGGTGGTGGTAATCTCACGGCCTATAAGTGCACACTGCTAATCATGACGAACATAGCACATTGTTGTGATAATTGAGCCATCATGGATCTTGTAAAGTAAGATCTCTTGTAGGCGCAAGTGGACTCGTGCGTGAATATGCTCGAAGTATTTTGTAACAAGAAGTAGATTGAATTGTTAGTCCCAAACAGTGGGTTTTCGCATCGAAGATTTGAAAGAGACAATCCCACATAAGTCACCATTTGCTTGGCCTATGACTAAGGTATTATTCGCGACTGCCGGACTTTGAGTTGGGTTTTTTTTGGGGGGTGACGCTCTAGCCAGGTTAGGCTCGGCTGGGCTAAAGTGACTGGGCCCGGGACCCTCAACGTCGTCGACTTCGAAGTGGCCGCTTCCAAGACAACCACCACGGCCAGACATTGTCGATCCTCTGCCAAAAAAAAAAAGTGTGCTTTCGTTGACGGGGTTCATTTCCGCCTTCTTGCATCTGCTGGATCTGCGCAAAGAGATCCGAAGCGGACCATGTACGCCCTCGACGTCGAGCCTTATCCCTAGAAAGTCGAGCCGCCGCCGAGTCTTCCATGAAGCCGATCTGAGGTAATGGACAGCTCCGTGATCGTGATGGACGATCAGCTTGATCCTCCGCCGCGAATCTTCGAGCGCCTGCGCCAGATCGCTGGCTACACCTGGGACGACACCCAGCGACCTTTCCATTCCACCTACGATAACTGGTAGCTCCCCTTTTTTTCTGTTGTCGTTGTTGTTCCTGTTGTCATGTATCACGGGATGGAAATTCTTCTCGTCCAATGCCATACTTGAAAGCTAACGCGCTGTCCTATGTAGGCACGTCTTTGGTACAAGATTTGTCTCTCCATACCAAGACTCCAACTCGCAACCGCGTGATGTCTCGAGTCCTCCGGCCTTTCTACACAAGCTGTCCTCGTCGGGCTCTATACAGCACAGCGACGGGAGCAGTGACCGATCCGCCACTTCACCTCCTATCATAACTCACGGCGCTTCTGCGGACCTCTCCAACCTCGAGGAACAACAGGTTGTTGCGCGCGTATCGTACCATGTCCTCCGCGAAGAGCGAGCTTTCCACACCTGCAAGAATATCATCGCAACAGCCGATCCGAACGGAGAACACAATGTGAAGCCAATCGATTTGATCAGACTAGCTTCGCATCCGGAAGATCGAGGACCAATCATTGTAGTCATCTACGAGTTTCCAGGCTACAATTATCTCTTTCGAGTGTTGGACTTGGGACCGGCCTTTTACTCTGCCAAAAAGGTTGAGAATAAGTTTGAGCCAGACCAGCAGGAGAACTACGAGCTTGAAAAGCCCATTAGCTTGCAGCATTTTCTCGACTTCGCAATCGGAGCAACACAATGCCTAGAAATTCTGCACCACCGACATGGATCAGTTCATGGAGAGATTCGTGGCGATGCATTTCACTTCAACCTTGAAACTAAGAGGGTTAAGTTGTCATCGTTTGGTTCAGGTGTTCGGTCATTCGAGCATGGCTTGACAAGTACAGGATGGTCAACTTTATCGCAAGAACTTGGTGCCAAGAACAAGCTGGTCTACATCTCCCCAGAACAGACTGGCCGTCTGCCGGCTGAGCCAGATACCAGAACGGACATTTACTCATTGGGCGTGCTTTTCTGGCAGCTCCTTACGCAGCAGCCGGTCTTTACAGGCGCCACCCCGCTCGATATTGTGCAGTGCGTTCTTGGCCGTCGTATACCTCTGGTCTCGAATGTGAGGATAGACGTCCCCGAGATTCTTGGTAAAATCATTCAAAAGTGCACGTCCAAGAATATACAGGATCGTTACCATTCCGTAAGCGGCTTGCAATATGATCTTCAAATGGTACAGAAGTTTCTTGTCGACGGCGACCAGGTGGCCCTGAAAGCATGGCACATTGGGTCCAGGGACGTGTCATCCTTCTTTATGCTGCCAACCGCCATGGTGGGCAGGCGTGAGGAACGCGACAGACTGTCCAGAGTGATAGAAAGAGTAGCAAAAACACATGATCTAGTGTCCAGCGCCACCAATCGATTCTCAGAGCTCTCTCTATCCAACGATATGCTTGATACAGCCGACGCATCCAGCGAAGGCGCGAGCTCCGTTGAAGGCCAGGGCGGTACACGGCGAAGTGGTTCTTTCACGCAAACAGTGATGCAAGACTCAAGGCTATCAAGAAGCAGCTTCCAGCCGTCGCTCAATGGCACAGACGAGCTGACCATTTCTGGGGAGACTGTATCTTCCGGAAATTCCGGACCACGACTGACGAGGCCTTGGGAGCGCAACCACTCCGTCTCCCTAGAGACCAGGAGTCTTGTAGATGGATTCAGTGAACGCCAGCCGTCGCGGCATAGCGCTATAGAGAGTACAGGTAGTAGCCTGTCTCGACAGCTAGGTTCGGCCAGATTTCGCAGGCGGGGCCACTGTGAGGTCGTCACCATCGAAGGCGCGGGAGGGCTTGGCAAAAGCTTCCTGGTCCAACAAGTGCTGGCTGATGCCAGACGCCGAGGCTTCTGTGCCACTTCCAAGTTTGACACTGCACGGCGTTATGCTTTTGCTCCTCTGCTGAAGCTGCTATCCTCTTTGATCAAGCAAGCTTGGGGCGAGAGGAACACGGAGACGCCTTTCCACTCGGCACTCAAGGATTATCTACGTCCAGTATGGCCAGTATTGCACAAAACGCTCGGGCTTCCAGAGTTTCTTCTTGGTCCTCGTGATGGAACCACTGCTACTGTTGTTCGATCAGCTTCCTCGGCCCAAAGTCCAGCCAAGGGGCAGGGCGTACGTTCGTCGATCCGTAGACGGGGCTCGTCTCCTGGAAGCTCCCCCAGCGGTTTATTGTATCCAAACAGCCCCCGGATCTCTTCTCAGAGTTCTCAAGATTTCTTGAGATCGGGAGGCACAACGAAAACGATACGGCTCATGAACACTTTCCTTGATATCTTGAGGATATTCAGCTCCTACCACTTCATTTGCTTTTGCCTTGATGATCTTCATTTTGCGGATTCCGAGAGCCTTGAGCTCATAACACAGATGATTGCGGCTCGGCTCAAAATGGTTCTCATCATAACGTTTCGGCCTGATGAGATGCCACAAGAACAGGTACAGCGTATTCTTCAACCAGCTGATAGTGAAGAGCACTCGATAATGAGCGCGCCCCGGATTACGCGAATCATCCTATCGCCGTTGAATGAACCTGAAGTTCTCCAGTTCGTGGCATCGACGTTGTGCAGACCTCCTGAAGAGGTGGCCCCCCTCGCTTTGGTGATCCAGTCCAAGACAGCTGGCAACCCTTTCTACATGCGGGAAATGCTCCAGGCTTGTTACAGATCGAAATGCATATGGTACGATCATCGCGAAACCCGTTGGTGCTATGACTTGGACATGCTTTTTGAGCAATTCAAAGGCGAGCATGGCTACGATGTCCTAGACAACGACTTCATCACACGCCGACTTGGCGAACTGCCCTCGACAACTCGCTCGATACTTGCCTGGGCTTCCCTGATTGGCAATTCTTTCTCCTTCGACCTCATATGTCAGCTTCTCAATGGGGAATTTGACTTTGTGGATGACACCACATGCGAGGATCAGACACTGCTTCCAAGTAAATACTCCAAAGCAGATGCCATCGCAGGTCTTCAAGCTGCTATAAATGCTTGCATTCTCGTTCAGGGCGATTCAGACGAGAGATTCCGCTTTGCACATGATAGATACGTCCAAGCTGCATCCTCTTTGAAGGAATGCAACGTACGCAAACAGCATTTCATCATTGCACAAACACTTCTCAAGTACCATGGTTCTGAATTGAGATGGCAAGAGAACATTGCGGCACATATCTGCGAGTCGGTTGATCTAGTCAAACACCGGATACACATTCGCGGGCAATTTCGCAAGCATTTGATGAGCTGCGCCGTGACGTCTGTCGAGAACGGTGCTCGGCCGACAGCTGCAAAGTACTACTCAGCAGCCGTGAAGCTCTTGCAACCGGAGCCGTGGGTCGATGGCGAAGACAGCTCCTACCAAGAGACATTGGACCTCTACATACGAGCTGCCGAATGCAGCGTCTTCATGAGTGACAGCCACCCTGCATATACCTATGTCAACACCATTTTTGAGAAGGCGAAATCGCCTGACGACATGGCGCCTGCTTGGCTGATGAAATCACGCATCGAAGCTCAAGGTGGCGACTCTGTGGCGGCATTAAATACACTCAAAGAAAGCTTGACTCACCTCAACGTCGACTTCGATGCTTGCCCTACTTTTGCAAAGTGCGATGCCGAGTTCAGAAGGCTTTCTTCCAAGGTCATGTCAATGGATCGATCTGAAATCATGGGTCTGCAGACCATTGATCCGCAAATGGTGGCTGTCGGCGCTATTCTGGCAGACGCCTGTAGCGCTGCATTTTGGAGTGACGTCCTTGACTTTTTCAACCTCTCACTCACAATGCTGCGTATTCATCTCGAGAAGGGATCCTTCCCACAGTCAGGCATGGCTCTGTTGCACATTGCCTTTATAGCCATCGCCCGCTTCAACTTGATCGAGTTTGGGTCAGAAATGGGGACCATGTCTCTAGAACTGTTTGGCCGTCTGCGCGACCCATTCTCATCAGCTCGCGGCTACATGATCTATGCCAATTTTATCAGTCATGTGCAAGTTCCCATCAACCTCGCCATCAGCCAATTCGAGCAAGTGGTAGAGTACGCCGCTAGCGCCAGTGATCGTATATCCGTTATCCTCAGCTTTGGCTTGTCTGCGCAGATGCGATTCTTTGCCAGTGAGAACTATGCAGATCTCGAGGCTATCTGTCAATATTGCTGTGAAGAGGTTCAAGGATGGGCCTCTGACACTCGTGGTGGAACCTTCTTGGTCTCAGTTCTGCAGGTCTCTCGGGCGCTCCAAGGCAAGACCCATCATTGGGATCCGATGGAGGTGTTGACTGATGACCACCACTCGACTTCGGGCTATAAACAGTGGCTTAGCCGAACCACACATAACGGAGCTCGATCCTTGTTGGTATATGAGACTATGGAGATTATACCACTCTACCTCTTTGGCCATTACGAGAAGGCCTGCGAGGTTGGACAAAGGTGCATTGACAACATGCAAAGAATCTGGTCTGCAAGGAATACCAGAGCCGCTATGCTGTTTTATGGCTTGTCCCTCGCTGGCCTTCTGTTCCGAAAGCTGAATGACCCACGAAACAAGGGCCAAGACATGTCAAGCGAGATCGAGGCCACTGTACTTGTCCTAGACGACTTCAACAACAAGATCAAAGATTGGCAAGTGGTGTCAGACGTCAACTATCTCGCATGGACGAAATGGCTCGATGCCCAGATTGCCGAGCTCCGCGACGATCACGGTTTTGCCATCCAGCAATACGAAACAGCACTGGATCACGCCTCCGAACACAGCTTCACATTTGAGGAGGCTCTGGGCAATTTCCTCATGGCTGGCTTCTTTATCCGCAAAGCTGCCAGAAGATCTGCTCGGGCGGTCCTACGGGAGTCCATTGGACTCTGGCAACAGCTTGGTGCGGCTGGAATGGCTCGCCGGATCGAAGAAGAGCACTCACTACTGTTGCATGGCCCTACGGCAAATACTCGAGCAGTAGAGGTTGGTGTGCAAACCGACTTCACAACTGAGATGTCCTATGGCGAGGGAGAAGAACTGGGCCAACCTGGTGCTCAGGTATCGACATCCGAACTTCAGCACACTCGAATGGCTGCGTGGCGGGGTTCGATACCACAGTCAGGGGCAGGACTCCCGGCCCTTGACATGATTGATTTGCATGCTATTTTGGTATCGTCTCAAGTGATATCTTCTGTACTGCAGGTCGACGTATTACTGAAAACCATGTGCGATGTTGTTCTCCAAACGTGTGGCGGATCTGCGACACAGGTAGGTTGTCCTGTTCTTTCTCCTCGCCATCTTGTATTATCCGTTTTCCTTTTCGCATGTTCCTCGCACGTATATTCCTCACAGTTTACTGCATATGGGACAATTAGGCTTGAGAATTCTGCTCATCATCAATCATTGATGTTTTCGAGCGTTGGCTAACACATTCGCTAGGCTGCCATTATTGTGCAGGATCAGGAGCTAGGGGATGATACTTATTGTATCGCCGCCAGTGGAGAGCCTGAACGAGGCGCGGTTTCTTATCCTCCACCGGGAAAGCCCCTAGCTGGTACCTCGCTTGTGGCTGAGAATGTGATTCACTACTGTGTCAGGTTCCAAGTGACTGAAGCCATATTCATTCCTGACCTGATCCAAGATGAGCGTTTTGGAAATGTAAGCGAAAGCTGGCTGCGGCGCAACCCTCTCAGCAAGACGGTCATCGCCTTGCCCATCAGATATGGCTCGAGACCTTTGCTTGGTGTACTGTATCTCGAGGGCGAGCCGGGGACATTCACAACCAGGCATTTGACTGTGCTGCAGTTGCTCGTTCAACAGATTGGTATCAGTTATTCAAACGCTCTTTCTATGAGAAGCATAGAAAAGGTTTCCGCGGAGAACGAAGCCATGATCAAGATGCAAAAAGAGGCACTTGCTGCAGCCAAGGCAGCCGAGCTCAAGGCAAAACAGGCCGAGGCCGAAGCATTACGCAACGTCAAGATCGCCGAGGAGGCAGCCAAAGCAAAAAGCGTGTTCCTGGCCAACGTGTCTCACGAGCTGCGAACGCCTCTCAATGGTGTTATCGGTAATTCGGAACTGCTCAGAGATAGCAATCTCAACAAGGACCAGCTGGAGATGGCTGACTCGATCCGGGTGTCAGCGGATCTCCTACTAACAGTCATCAACGACATTCTTGACTTCTCCAAGATGGAGGCAGACAAGATGAAACTATACATCATTGCGTTCAATCCCGAGGAGATGGTTCGCGAGGTGGTACGAGCAGTATCCTACAGTAACCGAGAGAAGACGTCGAAGAAGAATGTCAAGATTATCCAGGACATTCATCTACCCCCAATGCTCATCTACGGAGATCCAATTCGATTACACCAGGTACTGGGAAATCTCATTGGAAACAGTCTCAAATTCACAGAAGATGGTTCCATCACAATAGGAGCGCGTATCGATTCAGAGAACGAGGAGCACGCCAAGCTGACTTTCTGGGTTCGCGATACTGGAATCGGTATTCCTCAGCAGCAGTTGACGAAACTTTTCAAACCCTTTAGTCAAGCAGATGCCAGCACAGCTCGCAAATATGGAGGCAGTGGCTTGGGTCTGAGCATTTGCAAGTCCTTGATCGAAACAATGATGAAGGGACGCATCGAGCTGGAGAGCGAAGAGAACGTTGGAACAACGGCTTGGTTCAGTGTCACCTTTGACAAGGCAAAGCCCGAGGTTTCCGCCGGCGATGTTCAACAGGTACATATGCCGCAAATTGTCGACAAGCAACAAGCAACTCGTGAAGCCCCACGTAGGGCATCGATCAATCCTTTCCCGGACCTGACGCAAATCCCCAAGGACCAGCTACGTATATGCATAGCTGAGGATAACTTGATCAATCAGCGAATCGCTATCCAATACGTCCGAAAATTGGGCTACACCAAGGTCGATGCATACGAGAATGGATTGAAAGCGGTGGAGGGCTTACGTGAACAAGCAAGCAAAGGAAACCCATACCACATTGTCCTGATGGACGTGCAGATGCCGATCCTCGATGGGTACGAGGCCACAAAGCTTTTGAGAAAGGATGCAATAGAGGCAGTGAAGAAGGTGTTGGTCATTGCCATGACGGCTTCAGCCATTCAAGGCGACCGGGAAAAGTGTTTGGCTGCTGGCATGAATGATTACTTGGCTAAGCCGGTCAAGGCCGACTTGCTTAAACGGAAACTCGACACGTACACGACAATGCATTTACCGCCGAGCCCACCGCCCAGAGGGTCTCCAGTGTCGATGGCTTCCGGTGCTAGGACCGGGTCGTCCAGTGACATCACTGTGCCGTCGCCAGCGCCATCAGCTAGTCCAGCTACTGTCGCAGACCATGTTCCCAGACCTGGACCGACACCGACGAGCAATACAAATTTGCCGTCTGGGCAACCGCCTCCGCAGGTTCCTAGCCGCCTTTCTAGCGATAATCATTCATCTGTCTTCGACATGGCATCGATTGCCGAGACAACAACCAATTCAACAGTCTCATCAAAGGACATGAAGCGGCAACCAAAGAAGCTCACCAAACTTCGCAACAATAGCGATAAAACTGACAAGTCGGAGAAACCCAAGGCGGTTCTTAGGAAGCCATTGCCATCAAGCACAACATCTCTGAGCGAACAATTGGCTACTGAGGGCCATGATGGGCACTCCGGCGATGGACAAGGGAGACCAGCCAGTCTCCACAGCACGAGCAGTCTTGCAAGCAAAGAAGCTGCTCCAAAATAGATTTTCGTTGCATATATACGCCAACGGTCGATATGCAAAGCACACCATGTCAGCCAGGCATATGTTGAATTTTCAAATGGTCAGGGACGGTGGGGTCTTCAGGTGATGCCTCTGATAAATGTAGCGTATACTTGAGCATTCTACATGAGGCGTTAGACACGGATCTGTTACGTGGAAATGATGATATCGGGTGCTTATGTTTGGGGGCGCTGATTATTTTTCTGGCATAAATACGTTTATATATTTTTGGCTGCTGTCACCGTTGGGTGATTTAGATGATATGGACGGAGGAGCCGGTTGGGCGACTTCATCATTTGCCGGTATTGTTGTCGGCGGACAAGCACTCGAAGATTTCACCTCGGATAGGGAATGGATGGCTTGTGGCGGTGTAAATAGAGGACTCGGAAAGTCTTTGTAGAAAGAAAGCGAAACTGTGCTTGAGATACCATTTGGGAAAATGTTTTTTGTCTTTTCCATGCGCGTCGACTGCATGATTGATTCCACGCCACCCATGTCTTGTCATGATCATGCTGTCTGTGTACAGTAGTCACAAAATACGATCACACTTGACCTGAGACTAGGAACGGTTTGCGTGGATTTGGGACAAGAATCTCGCGGGTAAGTAATCGTATTGGAGGTAATCAGCAACACGTTACTTCTCTGCTTGTTTATTTTCACTCTCGAGAGACCACAAAAACCTGATTGGGTTGTCATGAATTAGCATTACTCTGGTGAGCGAGATGACATTAGCATGTGTTGCTCTGGGTAGGTTTGCATTCATTTCTTGTCAGCTGTATAAGTCAAAGTGCATCGTGCATTATAGAAAAAAATTCACAAGCTGCGCCATTGGGCTAGAGTCGGGCTGCGCCCATACCCAGAGATCGTTCGTCAGCGAATCTTCAGAGCAAAGCTCTTCGCGGCAAGGCCAAGCATTTAGACACTTTTAGTTGGCTGTCGATGGACGTTCACAGTCTCTTGATTGCGTGATTCAACATTTCACTAGTAAACAAGATCTTATTCCAGGATAACTATCTCGTGTGCCAACATCATGCGTACAATCTTGGGTGACGAGGGTTGGAACTGTGAGGGCCTCGGCGCCCATTTATCACTCATAATCGTCCACAACTCTCATCATCAGCCTGTCATGCTCAGCCCGTAAGGCTGGGTACTTGGTGTCGTAGATGGAACATCATTTGGTATCTGTTGCCGCTCACTCTGGTTCTGTGATAGTATCTGTCCTGACTGGCCTTGTGGCAGGCCCTGTGCTGTCATGAAAATTGGCATTGACTGGCTTGTACTTGTTTGAGGATGACCAAAGGGGTGAGGTTGTGCTTGCTGCATTGATGGCTGTGCATACAAGTGAGGTTGCGTTGGAGACTGAAAATGTGTTTGCGCCGATTGGACACCAATTGACTGGCCTCCATTCATCAGTGTCGTCATATATGACTGCGCTGGTTGAAAGGCGTTTGTTTGTGTCTGAAGGGGGAGGCTGTGGATGGGATAATTCGAATATGCGTGATATTGAGTCTGGCCTGGATTCTGACCGAGCACTGCATACTGGGGAGAAGTCGATGCGACGTTTGGCTGAGGATTCGCAGAGGAATGGTGGTCATATCGAGGACCATTTGAGCTATACTCGGTGGTTCTGGTGCCAATAGCCGTTGCCAATTGAGTTGCCATTGACTGCTGCTGAGGTCCGCTTACAATGAAATCGTCAGAGCGCTCGTTTTGCAGATAGGCTCTTTTCGCATCCGTGTGGCCAATGGTTTCCTCCATATACTTGTTGAATTCTTGCGTGGCGGTCTGAACTTCCTTGAAGAAGCCTGAATGCAATACTGGACCTACAGGCTCTTGGTTTCCATTGAGCCGAGCCCGATCGCATTGATTAGCATAGTCGTGGTGTGCCAGACTTGACGCAATCTGGAACGCATTGCGGATTTGCCGTCCATTCCAGCGTCCTTCATTCGCAGTAGATTCACTGAAGTGGAGTTCCACAAACTGAAGTATCTCCTCGTGCTGAATCTGGAGTTCTGGTTTGTTCATAACCTGGCTTCTCTGCTTCTCGATTGCCTTCAGCTTGTCAAGGTTGTACCTGAATATCTCTCTTGTCTGCTCTTTCGACAAGGTGTTGTAATACAGCGACATGTGAACTCGCGACTTGAAAGCCTCGTCAATGGTGCCTACTCGGTTTGTTGTCAGGAACAACAAGCCGTTGTAGTATTCCAGCACCCTCAGAAATACTAGCAGTATTCGTCAGTGGACAGACCATGAGTTGCCATAGCACACGGACTTACCGGAAACCATTGCATTCCTTTTCATATCATTCAGAAAACGATGCGTCAGAAAGACGTCGGCTTCATCCAACAGGAGCACACAGTCCCACAAGTGTGCCAACCGAAAGATCCTGGTGAGCGACCTCTCGATCTCCTCGGGTGTCAGACCGAGATCGCCACAAGTCATGACGAACAGTGGCCTTTTATTCTCCATTGCTACAGCTTCCGCTGTCGCCGTCTTGCCGACACCGGGGGGGCCATGTAAGAGCATGACGAGGCCCTTCCCTTTGCCCTGCACCAAGTCTTGGCTGATACTCTCACGTCTATGCATCAAGAGCCTTCGCTCAAGTTCCTTGCCTTCAAAGTGAGATGAGACTAGACCTTGCACCACTTTTTTGTGGGCATCGGGAATCTGGAGATTACGGAAGACCTCGGTATCATGCTTGATATCCTCGAGAAAGTTTAGATCAATGATGACAAACTTCCTGTCTCGAAGGGAATATGCGAATACACGTTTCGGCAGAAGCATGAAATCTTCGTCGGTGAGCGTGTTATCTCTTCTCTCGCCTGGGCCCAGCGACCGGTTTCGACTTTTGAGAAACGAATCTTCCCCCAAGTTCACATTTCGCTGGCGTATCTCGATCCCATCAATGGTTTGAATGAACTCGGGAGTATCAAAGACCATGACGTCTTTGGAATACCTGTCCCAGCGTCCAATACTCAAACGATCTTCCTCTGAAGCGGTTGGAGGAGGCTTGACTGTTGTCGGTTTGTGGAACTCTGGCTTCCATGAGGGAACGGTCTGGAATGCTTCTGCCGAATCTACGATGACGTCGCTTTCGATGAACTCGGGGTGTCTCAGTGGCTCTCCATTATGGCCGATGGGAATCTCGGGTTCCCAAGGATTTTCCTCATCGCTTGGCGGGTTTCGGATGAATGTCCAACCACTGTAAGACTGGTGACGGGAGGCCCCTTCCAGGAGTTTCATGAACTTTTGACCTTGGGCTTTCAAGGATACCCTTTTGCTCTCACAGTCGGGGAGATACCGGAACGGAAATATTGCCAATGAATCAATGGGACGCTCTCCAGGAAAGTAGCCTATTGTGAACTTTTGTCGCACAGCTCCCAACGCATGACTGTCGTGGTCGATATAGTAACAGTACAAGGTGAACGACTGTTCGGATAGCTTATCAGGGCCGGCTCTAGGGAGAGGGGGAGGGCGCCGTCTTCCATCGCCCCGCGGAATAGGCGGTGGTATCTCTCGCCCATCAGCGTCTTCTTTTGGTGGCCGTGGCCATCCTCCATCCTTTCGATGCACATTATGACGCTCCGCGGGGACAGGAGGGGATGTCTTGACTCTATACAGTCTCCAGAGCTCTTGATAGCAATCATCGGACTTGTCCTGACTCGGAACGTAGAGCAGTTCTCCAACCCGAAACAGTGACCAGAGGTCATCGAAAGCAACCTCTTTGACGTTTTCATCTTTGAAACGATCATGGAGTGGCATGATCTCTTTATCGACAAACTCCAGATAGACTCGCAGTGCATCAATAGCTTCGACTGTACCAAGATAGTCTTCTCGTCTGAGACGGTGATTGTCTGAGAGAGGAAGGCTCTTGAATGATGGTGCTGGGGATTTGTCCTTGGTATCACCCTGAGGAATCCCCTTTATTGGGACCTTGAGATTTCTTGGCTCAGAGTCTTTTCTTTCGCTGCTCTGTACCACATTTTGGTCATAATCAGCACGTGGCCATTGTGCCTCCCATTTGGCGAGTCTTTCTTTGAGTCTTGGCTGCAGATAGACCAGGGCTTTGAAGGGACGGAAGAATGTTCGTGGCCAATACCAGGAAGAATGGACATTGAGTTCGAAGGTCAGACAAGCCAGTAATGTAAGGGAGTGTATCCGCACACGTTGGATATCTCCTTCAACCTCGACGGTTTCATATTCGTCCCCAGCTTGTGTATGAGAGGTGTCATTGTCGAGAGCCGCATCAACCTCATCACTGAAGATGGCTTGGTTGAACCCGTGCCTGGTATTGTGCGAATGCGACCTTCGAAAATCCATCTCCTCTCTGATCTCAGACATCAGATCGGGACCGGCAACCAGGACTTCGATTGGAGCATCGTGATGTTTGTGGCCATAATGATTCTTGAAGTCATCAAAGTTCACCTTTCGTATTTGCCCATTTTTGGGGGCTGTCAGCGATTCGATTTTTTTCCGCTCCGCCAAAATGTGCCGCTGCTTCAACTTCTGCTCACGCAGACGTCTTTCTGCACCCCAATCAGAGTTCATTGTGCCTGATTGCTCTGGAGCGGAACGTCTTTGAGGCTGAGTCGGAGCTATTGGTTTGGACCTATCGAGAGACTAGGATATAAACGGAATGAAGACGAAGGGAGTGAGGAAGCGAGAGGCAGAGGGAGAGAGACAGAGATAGAGAGTGAGTGAGTGAGCAACATAGAAAGGTCAAAGCAAGGAGAATCCGGTAAGGCTGTGGATTGACTAACATAAAGTGGTAAGGCTGTGGGATGGCCCAGGATGTTCACACTGGTAAGAAGTGATTTGGGGGCCAGGCCTCGTATTCGGAAGTTTCGTAATACACAGGCGGTGTGTTAAAACCAATCATGGTCATGCAATAAGCATTCAATGGTAGGATCGGAAGATCGACCCTGTGATGATGTGCTCATTGCTGACGAGCACCTATAGTAACTGCCTCTTGTGCGGTTGCTTGCATGGAGACCCCGCTCCGTTTTCTGTCGATCGAACACTGTTCGAACCTCATTTCTCTGCCATGGATTGGCTAAGATGACTTTGTGGTATCATTTTCTTTTTCGTCTACATAAAAAAGTAGAGTAGGAGAGAATCATTTTCTAAACACTTCTTCATTGGCGGTTTTCACAACAGTCTCTAGGGTGACTAAAGAAAGAAGAGATCACAATATGGCGATTCCATCATTGGAAGTCAGTTTCATCCAGGAGCGCGCAGGAGCAATTGATCCCGCTTTTGCCATGCCGTCAACTTTTGATGAGCAACGTGCGATTGTCGGCCCAAAGGTGCAAAAGCAGTAAGACACGACACATACCCGTGACAATCTTGTATCACAGTGCTAATTGAGGACTCGCCTTCACAACAGTGCACTCAAGGCTGCGATGGAACAATATCAGGCTCTGGACTGTCGGCCAAAACTCGACCTTGACGTCAATAACTGCTCGTGGCCTGAAGTGTTCAAGTTGTTGGAGACCGTCCAAGAGGACTATGCTGCCAAGGCTAGAAAGGGACTCAAGGGCGCATTTCGGAGAATGGGGAGAGATGCAGGAGAAAATTCAGATACAATAAAACCGTTACTGGACATTATTCCTGACGAATTTGGCGGCTCCGTCATTCGATCTGCTTTAGGTTGGATGTTTATAGTAAGTAAAATGTTCCTACCTAATAGCCCTTGTTGAACAGTATCATGGACTTATGAAATCTAGGTTGCAAAACAAAGCGCACAGGCGCGCACCGAGATATTTGAACTGTTTGCCGAGATTCCGTCGATTATAATGGAGATTGGTGAAGCGCGAAAGGACTTTCCGCGTGATGATGAGTTGATGCGCTTGGCTGATTTGGCAGAAGCCGAGATTGTCAACGCAACGCTGAAGCTCATCAAGTTTCTTCTCCCCGAGCACCATCGTAGGTTGATGCTGCCCCTTTTCCCGCCTTCTTGCTCGCATCTAAACGTGTAGTAGTCAAGAAAGTCTTTACAACGTTCTCTGATGTGCCTTCTACTTCGTCTGTGAGCGATATCGTCTCCAATGTACGAGCACGAGCCCAGGCACTGAAACGGGGTTCCGATGTCCATATGAAAGGAGTCGGCATTGACACGAACAGGAACACGCGGGTGCTTATAAGAGAAACTCAGACGACTCGATACAACACCTTTATGATAAATGGAAAGGTGGATCAAGTCGGACAGCAACTTCAGGACATTCGTCGGGATGAGCAAAATATGCTTGACAGACTCACTACTGCTATTGAGGCACAGAATGGTCTATTTCGATTTCTGCGCGAGATGAGGGAGGCTTATCAACAAGAACTGGAGAGTATAAACTCTAGGCTTGCCTGGGCCTTGCAAATGAGCGTCAATTTGGAAAGACACAGAGCACAGACAGTCCCTGTCACCCTACTATCGACCGATCAGCTGCTGTTGGACCTCAACGTTACAAGTCATCAACTTGTTGTAGATCTCGAGCAAGCCTTACGGCAGGGCTCACGACTGGATCGCCTTGCCATGGGACAAGCACAGCAGCTGCTCAAAATGGACCGGTTCTGGTCATGGTACAGTCGGATCTCTTCAGACTTGATCACGGTGCACGGGAAATTTACGAATGAAGCCATACACAGCCGCATATCACCTCTCTCCGCCACCTCTGCTACACTGGTTACAAGTATCTTGCGCGAGAGGCAGGGGGACATTGCACTGTACTTCTTCTGTGGCCAGCATACATCGTCACAAGATCCCCTGGCAGGCCCGCGAGGAGTAATGCGGTGTCTCCTCGCGAGACTGCTTCTTGAAGTACGTGCTAGATGTCAATTCGATATCTATCTCGAACCAATCAGTGCCAACGCCATCGTCGAAGGTATTCGCTGCCATGACATGGAGACAATGTGCCTAATGTTCCAATTATTGGTCGAACACATACCACAGGGAACTACTCTTTTCTGCATCGTCGACGGAATGTCATGGCTGGATCAGCCCAGTCATGTAGCCCATACAAGTCGAATGATTCAGCTCTTCAGGTCACTGGCGACAGACCCACGATTCCCGTTCATCTTGAAATTCATGTTGACGGGGCCGTGGTCCCCCAGCTCATTTGAAGCAGCCATGCGACCTGAAGAGCAGATAAATCTGGGCCAAGGACTTCTGATGCAGAATCCCGCAGCGACGAGTCCTCTGTTCAATAGGTTTACGCTGTCACCTCCGCAAAATCAATCGAGTCTATTCCAGAGTAGACCACTACCACCTAGATGATACCCTCACACCTCACAAGGGTTATATGCTGTGGTGTCCTTAATGCTCTGATTGACACGAATCAGGAAATGCGAAAAGTCTGTCCATATTCTCTTCTCAACACCACAAGATTTCAATCGAGCCATAGTTAAGACGTTCTCAATAGTTTGCCGGCTAATTGCAAGATGTTTGGTCGAGTGTGAAAACGGGGCACCGCATATATCAAAGTCGGAATAGCCATGAATACCACTCACGGCTGCCTTGCATTCTAAATTAGCCCAGCGACCTACACTGAATGGTCCTACTCGAACATGATAATTTGCGGATGATTTTAACTTATGTATATATATTCATGAATCCTTGGTAGTCATTATTGGGTTTCACTTGTACTACTGCTACGAACCGAATAATTACCTTCCCATAACCAGTTCTGTCTAGCTTTGGCTGAGTAATGAAAACTCGACCAGTGGAACTCTACAAAGGTCCATCGTGGAGCATGTAGGCACCTGATTCAGTACCGGAATGTTATATTCTGGCTCACCATACACGGCTTCCTGCCAAATTTGTCGTGTGTGACCCTTTATCTCGGGCCAAATCAAGACGGACAGCCTTTTACTTAGATCACATTCTAGCCTTTTAATTATTCTTCTTGTTTTGGGGTCCTTGCTTCTTCGCCTTATTCCCCCCTCCNCCC